CTTTGACTTGCTTGGCGCTTGCGTCACGGCTCTCCATTGTTCCAATAGTGGCTCGGGTCGTTTCTGGGGAAATAATGACATATTAGGTGCAGCACCTCGATGCGGTGCAACTTGCAGGGAGGCCGCCCCCCCCCCTCCTGGATGTCGAAGTGCAATATTATCGTCCGCTCAGTCACTGATGCCAACGAGGCGGCTTGGAAAGCACAGCCACTAGCTGCAGTCTAAAATTTTCAGATGTCTAAGCCAGAATTTTCCACGTCCAGTCCTGACCCGGTTTCCCTTGGTTGCAGCACGTTTATCCTTGGTTGCAGCCCGTTCAACCTTGGGTTGGTTCCACAAAGCTCAAAGGCATATGAGTTTCCTCACCTTTTTTCGCTTCTACTCCGTATACGTCCAAAGCCATGCACGAAACCTTCATACAGTGGCAAACACTGAAAATCTGACCATCATTCCTAGCTGTTCTGGCTCTGAAGGCATCAATCCCAATGTGGTTTCGCTTCTATTCCGTATACATCCGAGGATATACATGGCGCCTTCATACCGTGTGGTATAACTTATATGTATAATCAATAGAGCAAATGTCTCATTCTTTAAAATTGCCATGGCTAAAATATTCGGAGAGCTCAATGCTCAATTCCTACAGCCTTCTCGCTCTAGGCTGCATATGTCGACCCCATTGTTGCCCCATTTCACCTCGAGAATCCCATTTGGCCACCATGGAGTGTGCAATCCGGCCGGTTCAACCATTATAGATTTCTCTGTTGGCCATGAGTCTTGCCTCTAAGACAAAGAAAACTTAGCACCTCCAGGCACAAGCTGAGAGAAAACTCGATCAGGGTCATGTTTGTCCCGAACGACCTTGAGAGCCCCCGCAAGTTTTCTGCCCCATTGGTGGGGAATGTCTCGGGGATTTGAGACTGATGGATGTCATTGAGATACCAGTTGACATGAATGGAAGTGACCTGAGCGCGGCCGCAGAAACATTCTCTCGGATTTTGGCGTTGGCCTCGGCGTCTACCCCAGCACACGCTCGTCGTCCTCGGGCCTCGACCATAGAGGGCCCTCCACATACCAGATCTCCGGAGTGTCATCTTCTCCAGTCCAAGGGGCACATCTTCTTCACCGCTGTACCAAATGTGTCCATCAAAAGAGATGTCGCTGCAGCGGGATGGGACCAACCGAGTCTGGCCCTCGAAGGAAGCCTTGGGGAATTCTGCGCCGTAAATTGCGAATTGCTCCACAGTCTTGATGTATTGCTCTGACAGGCCAATTCGCCAATAGACTGTTCCTATCAGCGCAGATGAAATTGGAAAAGTGGTCAGGAAAGCCTCTGCGACGACACAGTAGTTGTTGCCGCCTCCAAGCAAAGCCCAGAACAGCTTGAGGTCAGGATGCTCCTCGGCGTTAGCTGTTACCAGGGCTCCTTTGGCAAGAACGCACTGGAATGGCAACAGTATTTCAGCCAGTTGGCCTCGTCATCTGGAAGGCTCAACACTTTGACTTACTTCGAGAGTTCTAGCAATTTTGGACACGTCGTATTCACCGGCCATGAATCCGAAGGGTCCTCCTTCCAAAATTGCACCGACCACTCCTCCATTACCTCAGTGAATGTAATTGGCTACTATATGACATTATAGTCATCTAGATAGGTACACAACGGAGGCCATGTAATACTGCCCCGATCGCGACAGTCTGGCGGTCATCTGAGATACCTAGGTAGTAATGGTGCTGAGGTTCGTCACAGCCATCATGATACCCTGCACCACGATGTGGGCAGCTTTGCCGAATGGCACGGCACCTCCGCAGCGAATGGAAAACTCGACTTGATTTCTGAAAACTACGGAGCACGAATTGCACATCTTCCGTGCTCCTGAGTCTGAAGATCAAAGATGCACGACGGTCCCAGGCGCGTGGTTCAGGTCCAAGAGTCTGCGCAGCTCCGATCAGTCAAGTTGGGCGTGGCTCAAGGTAGGCTTACCCTCACATTTATTCTCCAATTTCTATCGTGGCCAGCCGGGGTAAAGGGTCTTGTTGGGATGGCTAGAGGCCAACGCGTTGCACCGGTCGTCAACGACGGCGCATCTTGTATTTACAACAAACAAGGTAAGTCCGAGGGCAATTTTTCTGAGTGACTTTTGCATGTTGAGCGAGCGTGGTTGATTTTGTGGTCATGATACTCTTCATCGTAGAAGAACGCCGAATCTTGTGGTACATGCTTTGATATTGACCTCCTTGATATTGACCTCAAGCGGTATATATTCTCTGCTGGGCGGGTCCAACACAACAGTGAAGGAACGACCGGCAATTATGCCAAATTTCGCTCATCTCGTATCTTCAGTGGCCCCTTTCCTTTAATCCTACAACAAATGAAGGTTGGAGAATCCTAACCGCACAAATTGCATCAAGCAACTCTTGTGCTGAAATTCTTCTTGGCACCTTCTTGCATATTCGTAGTAGTTTAAGCTGATAACCCGGACAGCACAACTTAGAAACGAATACGAAAACGCGGTAGTCTTTGCTGACCAATATCTAAGTCGCAAGATCATGCCCGTTCTCAAGGCCATAGATGAAGTTGTCAATTTGTGTCTTTCGCATTGCCCACACCAAAGGAGTCCCCTTCATAGTTGCAGGCGCCACTTTTGCCAAGACTGGGATCTCTCTTTGGTGAGAGTCGAAGAACCACAAGACGTCTTGAGATCAGAGACATGTGTTGTGTTCTCTCTGGACTGTTATTGTCATTGTGTTCTTTTTTAAACGCTGGGTCTTGAGTGCTTACCACTGTATGAAGGCGCCACATAAATTTTGTATGTATGGGGGTCGTAAACGAAACCACTTCCTTCAGGCCATCCGCTAGTTTGATTCTGGAAGTTTGGCAGTAGATGGGAAAATTGGGTTGCACGGGTTATAGGAGGTGCTCCGAAGTGAATGAATTCTGCGGATGATTGACCTCCCGGTTTGGTACCGCTTATATTTCTAAACGGACCTCTAACCATAGCCCTATTTTATTTTCGAAGTAACTCCAAAATTGTGCGTTCCTGTCGCACATCACCACGAAACATTACTCCTCGCCACCGCCCACCTTCTGGGTGAATGCCTAGTCTGATATTTCCAGTGGCATCGTACAACGTGTAAATATATGTCTGACCGTCCACCCAGGGTCATGCAAACTTGGATTGTCTGGTGTTCTATTCCGCAGTGACTCTCTACGCGGGTGGTTCGCATGAGTGAGGCTCAACGGGCGCCGGGCACTAGACGGTCTGGTGTTTTTTAAGACCAGGATAAGCACCGTAATAGAGCTTGTCTCGAGTTTCATGACGCTCCAGTAACGCGATGGAGTTGCTGAGAACATTCGTTGCGTCATGCCTGAAATGTTGTCATACATCACTGAGGGCCGGTGTGTCGGCGACATGACCCATGGTGGTGGTCAGGTACATTCTCGGCTGACAACAGATGCCAAGCATACACATCAGTGTATCAATGCTCCCTATCGGTGGGGGAGACTTTCTTGGGGCGAGAACTCTGCTGATATGTCCTGTCATGAAGCATCAGCATCAACAACGACACTGTTCTGGGCACCTATCCTTACCGGTTTCAAACCCATGCAATGATAGTCTGCTCGGAAGCCTTGAAACGACTCAAAATCCACCGATTGCTTCATCAAGGATAGTACCTGTCATGAAAATGACACCGGGCTTGTGGCAAGGGCATCAAGGCGTTCGGCCCCAAGGCAGAGAGGCTGTAGCTGCGAGCCGGAGGGTATCGCGGCGCCTGGCCGTGCCACTGTCGATGCGAGGTTTTTCCAAGCTCTGATACTCCATAGCTGGATATTAGAGGTCATTCGTTCATTTCCCGCTTCTCTGACACACCATAGTGAGTACAGTATAATCATACCGCTGACAAGCCTTCTGCGGTGGGCCTGGAGGATGGTGACGGAGGCTAGTACTGAGGCAATGATGCCAAACACAATCGAACAAGTGATTTCCGGTGTCATAGTCATGTTCATTCGAAAGAAACTGCTCACTCAGTGACGAGCGGATATTGGTGTTATGCGTCAGGTGTGTGGCGCCGCAGATCTAGATACCATTTGGCCCAAGGTTACCTTGTACTGATTCAGATATAGATCTAATCGGCTCATCTATCAGAGGATGTATCGAAGCTTTTAATTTATTCTAGAAGAATTAATACAAGCGAAGGGCAGAGGCTGAGGGGTGGCAAGGGTCCCCTGCAGAGCCCGGGAGGCTCCTGCAGGGTCTCTTAACGACAAGGCTGCCACACCTACACCTTCCGCCCTGAAGCCCTGGGGGTAACCTTCTTTCTTTCTTCCTCAGGCAGACCTACTCATCAAATCCGAGCCACCGTTCCGTGAGGCCCAAGTGAGGTCTCAGTACACAATGATTTGAGTGGGAGGAGGCTATCTAGGCACTTGTTCGGTTGGGCTAGAGATGACCACAATGTCGCCTAATACAACTTTTGAAATAGTCTTTGTTGATCCTGTCAATGTTGAACTAGGTATTCGGATCCATACCAACTACAATACCAACTACAAGCCGAACAGGTTTCACTTTCGCTGAGTGGCTCACGCCGTGGACTGTCAACGGATTGTCTGGACTCTAGGAAACTGCCTAGCAACCTCTGGGGCGCAGAGATGAAGCAGCCAACCAAACGAATAACTCCACCAACATTCGTTCGTTGCAACCAAATACGGCACATTTAGTTCCTCATCACGGGAGCCTGCATAATTGAGTCCTAGACTCCACGAAGTACATCCAGAGCTGAAACACATACAAAGCACATAATTCAGAGGCAGGCTGAGTGAGCCTTTGAGGCCAAATACTAAACATCGGGCCGTCCGCTCGGCATGGAAACGGGCGACCAGGCTGCACATGTGGGAGTCTTACCGAAGACAGTTTTGTTCGCGACCCACATAGAAGACTAGGACCAGTCAAAGTTGAGGACTATAGAAAGTGGCTGAATAATAATTTGATTGCCGTCATATGTCTGAAATATCTTGTTGAGGCTATGCACAGATATCTCAGAATGGGAAGGCGTCTGCACATCTTGTGGTGCACGTGTGCGGCTCGGTGATGCCACCAACAGCTGCCACACGGATTGCGTTGAGCACAGACGGAGGATTTCCTGTTTGATGGCTCTCGCTTCGCCTTATATCATTTATTCTTCTGTCACATTTCTCCTGGTCACACCCGTCCTGCCGGGTGGCTTGCCCAAGCCAACAGACCGAGCCAGGGAGCTCCAGCTTCCCAGCGAAGATCTGCGCCTTCAATCGCAGTGGGGTGTAACAAGTCGCTTCATTCATCCCGGCCAGCTTGGCCCGTGCCGTCAAGTTTAGTAGAGTTAGACGGCGATACCGAGACTCCCGGCTGTTCAACTTGAAGCCGGCCAGTCGCCCGACTTGTGTTGGCTTCAGAGCCGATGCCGAGGCCCCTGTCTGCGCAGATTTGAGCCCACGGGGCTTCGCTTACGCCACCTTCCTCGGGAGATTCTGTACGTAGCCGGAGGATGTACTCCAGCTGAACGGTAGGGATGCGGGTAAAAGTAAAACGAAACAAACGGCGATGTACCGAGCCAATGCCCAAGCCTGGACTGCCAGAATGGTGCTGGAAGGGTTCTGATTTCTATCTCCATATGATGAAGACAAGTGAAAACTGTATGTGTGGCCGTATACACGAAGCTTTCGAGGTCACGCTGCCACCTGGTCTACTCCCTAGACCACGATTTCGGGAGCGAGGGCAAGCCCAAACGGTGGGAATGTCAGGTCGTAGGCCCGAATATGAAATCGAGATAGTTATCCCTGATCCTCTCCACGCCCTCCCTCAGCCCCCAGCCTTTAACCTCGCAGACCTTGCGGTACATCTCCTCGAGCATGTCGTCCATCTGCTGCCCGGCGGTATGCAGGTCGCTCTCGACCAGGATCCTGTCGTCGGGGCACGCACGGATGACATCGTCCGCGAGGTGTTTCTTCCTGTCGCGCTCGTGCCCTCCGGTAGAGTAGTTGACACAAAGGCTGAAGGAGAAGAAGATCTTGGCCGGGCAGGCGCGGTCGTTTGTGTATTGCTTCAGGACGTCGACGGTGCCGGTATAGGAGTGCAGGCAGATGCGGGGCGGGTACGGTCTGGGCTTGTACTGCTTTCTTGTCTTGACATTTGCGCTGCTGCCCTCATCGTCGCTCTCGTCTTCGGAGGACGAAGAGAAATCCTCGTTGACGCCCTTTGCTATCCTTTTCCTCTCCCTGTTCGTCACGACCGCCCTCTCGTGGCCTTTCCAGGTGGACTTTATCGCGTTGTACAGCACGCCGTGTGCCTGTACACCGTGGACACTCACAGGCCGGCCAGTCTGGCCGGCGAGGTTTAACTGAGCCTTCATGATCCGTATCTGGTGGTCCATGTTCACCCGGTATGGTGATAGACGCTCGCCGTTGCGTCGCCCTTGTGTCATGCTGGCTTCTGGGTTGGAGACGAAGACCCCAGGGCTCGGGAGGCGGAACGCTTTGTCGATGCCAACCTCACCTACGAGGGCGAGAGGATGCGCCTCTAGGTATTTCCGTGTCTGTGACAGCAGCTCCGACAGTGGCTGGGGCGTAGGAAGCTGGTCTATGAAGCCATCGTCATCTTTACCCCTTGGTGGAGGGGTAAGTACTGCATTGTAGTGCCGCAGTTTCTCGCTGGCCAGATCGGATGATTCCGGATCGTACGTGGCTTGGTCTCGGGCCAAGGTATCGTCGTATAGCTGATGAGAGAACCACGGGTGCCAGCCAAAGGCCGGTACGATTTTGTTAGGGATGTGGGAGCCATGCTGGCCGTCGGAGGCGGAACTGGAGGCGGAACTAGAGGCGATGGCTTGGCGACTCGTGCAAGTGAAGCCGTGCTCGTCCGCTACCTGTGCCACCAGGTGCTGGTCCTGGGACCGGGTCGCCATGACGGTCAAGACGCGGGCTCTCATAGAGGTCGGGATGGCCGGGATAGAGTCCATCGTGTCTGTGGGATGGCAGTGGGCGTCGAAGATGCCAAGCTCCCAGGGGAATGGCCCCCGTTGGCCGCCGTTGGGTTGGTCGCCCATGGTGGGTTATGTGTTATAGCATACACTCCAGGCTATGAACGCAACGCCGCCACACCTTGAAGAAGTTGCACGAGCCGCAGTGGCTTGCCCACCTCTGAGGGTATCCTCTACGAGTTTGGGAAGTTGTCCTCTCAAGATGTTGCCCTATAGGAGGTTAGGAGGTTGTTTCTCAGGATGTTGTCCTATTGGAGGCTACCTCACTAGATCTTGTCCTACAGGAGGTACCTAAGAGCCGGGGTCGCCAGGCGTAGCGGACACCCGGGCAGAGCTTATTGGAGGCTAACGAGTGTGGTACCTGAAGTAAGTAGTCTCATGGGGCTGACCGATGTGATGGCCTGAATAGGAATGGTAGCACAGTCCGGTTGTCTCAATGAGCGTCACTGGTCACCGAAGGAGGGGCATCAATATTAGATGACAGCCTTGTCGTTGATGTTGACGTCTACCCAGAACGACAATTGATTGCGTGGGATGCTGTGGGATGATGTAAGAGGCAGATGCGGCTCACGACGGTGGGTTTGGGAGATGGCGCTAGTGTGATTGTTTGGACATCAGACGAAGCAGTCGCTTGTGTTCTGTAAGTATTTGATCTCACGAGTGAGGGGAAAAATCCACGCCTGCCAGCTATTATCATGTACGAGTGTTATAGGCAGACACTATTAGTAGGTGGTGTAATTGAGGGGTTGTGCGCGTCTGCGGAATAAGGTGACTGACATGGCAGCATTTTGTGAGTCAATTCACTGCAGTGGACCCACAGCACAAGCAGCTTCAAGAATCCAGAATCGCGATTGAGTAGAATCCGGCTCTCACATTCAGGGTTCCGTCCCAAGCCACGAGTCCGTCCACGACCCGAGCACCCGGACCGCGGAGTGTCACAAACGCCAAGACAGCGAGGAGTGTCTACTTTACGACTTACACAGCAACAACCGTCTGAACGTTGTACGTAGATACCTAGGTACTTGGGAGCCTACTACGTAGTACATAGCAATGAGCAGTGAGTGGCCCAGCAGGTCCAGACCCACGCTTGGGCTGGTCCGATGCTGCAGCTCATGCACGTCGGCCGTAATCTGAGAGCATGTAAGTTTGGTAGTGCGTATGAGAAGGAGACAAGGAAACTCTGTGGTGATGGTGCCATGCAGCCAGCCAGCAGCCGGCAGCCGGCCCTCGCCGTAATTGGGTGGCGATCTGCTGATGGTGGTGAGGTTGCCTATCTTAAGTAGGTAGGGTAAGGGTGTAGCCGTTGCTGTGGTGGTCTCGGGCTGGCGATGCGAGGTGCTTGCTATACCACCCACCGAGGTGATTTGTCGCAGATCGCCTGGCGTGCTCTATGCGAAGCCCGTCATTTCCCCAAGTCCCAAGTCCCCAAGTCCCCCCCAAGCCCCCCCCCCAGACACATGCCTGTCGTCCTGCAGCCCGCCAGGCCCGAGCCAGCCAATTGGAACACTCGGCCCAGGTGGTGGGGTCTTCCGCTGGCTTTCACATGTTTGCAAGCCCGTGTCAGTGCGACGCCATCTCCCCCAGCTACCTACCCTGATTGACTGTCAGATCCTGGGGAACCCTGCCTCCCGTGCTCAGACCTCGACGCTACCCTTACTGGCCCTACCCTCTCTTATCTAGCTCCCCTCCTGTGTCGTCCCTCCTCTCGGTCCAAGACGGGCACCACGAAGGGTGTCAAGACTTGACACTGATCTGCTACCTCTTTGCCCCCATGCCTTCGCACTACTACTAGACGGCATCGTCCCCCTTTAGCCAGGGCCACAGAATCAGACATCCCACAAACAAACAACGCCATCCACCACCAGAGCCGCAGACACGAGCTCCAGCGCCATTCTTCCCGCCATGTGAAACAACAACATATCTAATCTAGCCCACACAACCGCAAGCCACGCGCCCTCCACGAGCCGCGAGCCCGCCCACGATCACAATGGCCATCATCAACCCCGTCTACGCACTCATAGTGCCCTTCCTCTTTGTCTTCACCATCCCCCTGGCCGTCTTCGCCGGCATCACAACCACACTCGCCTTCTCCGTCCTGATGTTCCGCGTGGCAGTCGTATATGTCGACATAGCAGTCAACATGGTACCGCAGTACCTCACCGGCCGCCGCGTCTACCCCTTCCCAAGGGGCTACGCCAGCACCCTCCTCTCGACCACCGAGGCCTCGTCCAACATGCCGCCGTCCCCCACGGGCAGCGGCACCATCTCGCCCCCGACGAGCAGGCAGGCCGCGCGCCACCACCGCAGGCGGCGGACCAGCGGCGCCAGCCTGCACTCGGTCGGGTCCATCACCCCCGTCGACGACCACCCGAACGGCCTCCTCGGCGCCGCCGCCGCCGGGAGCAAGCGCAACTCGTTCATGATGATGGCGCCGTCCGTCGGCATGGACCGCGACTTCGAAGGGGTCGGCGGCTGGCGCCTGGGCGGGCGGAACCCGGACGACGACGACGACGCCTGGACGCACATCAACTCCCGCCTCGAGCTGCCGCTCGACTACCAGCGGAAGCACCACCAGCGGTCGCCCTCGGGCGGCGGCGCCACTACCCCCGGCGGGGGCAACGACTTCCTGGTCATGAAGAGCCCCACCACGGCGAGGTCGCAGGAGAGGTCGCCTGACAAGGGCGGCAAGAGGGGTGGGGCCAAGAAGGATAAGGATGGGGGTGTCGGTGGTACCAAGATCACCAATGGTCCCGTTGTCATGTCGCCGAATAGTTCGCGGGTGAGGACGCCTACGAACACGATGCCTCCCCCCCTGACGACGGTGGCCGAGGGCGATGGGTATTTTTCACGGCTGCCCAGGGGCTAAAACTGAGTTCTTGTCAGCTGGGAACTTGGGGGCAAGGGTTCTTTCATCTCCGTCTATCTGGTATTTTCCAAAACCTCAAGCGTGCAAAACCTCCGGCGTTCGGGAAAAGGGAATGGAAGGCATTAGGAAGGCATCGTGAGGCATCGGATTGGGAGGCATCGGATTGGGAGGCATCGGATTGGGAGGTAATGGGTGGCATGGACATGGTCATGTCATTGCCCGGACGGTATTTGGGGGACACATGACGCATTGTAAACAAGTTTGGTGCAGGACATATCCCTCTGGGAATAGCGTTTCAATTTCAGACAAGCGTGGGGACGCTTTATGTGGTATCATGATCGAACAACGCCTTGATATGTTGTTCTCGACGTACTCTTGAGAATTCTCCACACCCCGTCAACAAAAGGATAAATATAAATCCAGCCAAGGTGGTAGTCACCAACCCATCCAGAACGCCGAACCTGATCATAAACACGATAACCAACCTGGAGCCAATCAAAAAGCATCTCCTCAATGACATTCAACAATGACCGCCCGTCAAGGCAGTCATATCCCATCTCGTTTCCTCAGACTCCCTCGTCCAACATTGGTCTCGCTCTCGTCGAAATCCTTTTGATCACGAAGCCCGAAGGCGGCGGCAGAGGTGGCAGAGCCGGATTGCCGTCAACACCCTTCTGATCCCCGTGGTAGGATTTCTTCTCAGCCCCCAAGCGCACCCAAGCGCGGGCCCCTCCTCACAAGGTCTGCCAGAAGTAATTGGCATAAAAGAACCTCGAAAACTTCTTGTCGAGGTTGACAACGTGCACGTCCCCCTTGCGGTCGTTGCGCACCACGGCGCGCGTGAACTCGCCGTCCCGCTCGTCCCGCTCGACGTCGATGCCGAGGCTGCGGTACACCCTCAGGCGCAGCAGGACCTCGTCCTCGACGGCGTCGCGCTCGGAGCCCGGCCCGCCCTCGACCCCCTGCAGCTCCAGCTCCTGCAGGCGCGCGCCCAGGTCCGCCAGCTGCCCCGCCAGGCGCTCCGTCTCCATCTCGAGGTCGGAGGCGGCCTTGGCCGTGCGGAACTTTTGCGTGTCCAGCCGCGAGATCTCGGACGCGTGCTCGGCGGGGGAGTGCGCCGAGACGAGCTCCGCGTGCTGGGCCTGCAGGGTCGAGAGCTGGCGCGCGAGCTTCTTGAGGGCCGCGTCGGCCTCCTGCCGCTGCAGGTCGCGCGCCTGCTGCAGGGTCGAGAGGGAGTCGTTTATGCGGGCTACGGCGATCTTGTCTGGGCCGATGTTGAAGTTTTGGATTGTGTGGTGGATGAGCTGTGTTCGGGCGGGGGTGTCTGTCAGTGTTTCTGACCCGTTGTTTGTTTTGGGCCGCAAGGCTGGTCGGTGGTGGTATTGTTCTTACCGTTGCTGGATCTTCTTCGAGAAGCATCTTGACTGATTTGACTGGTCAGAGGAGCGAGCGGGATGCCTTGGTGGTCTTTGTACTGTTGATGTTGATGTGTTGGGTGCTTTGGTCTTGTGCAAGATGAATAGTCTACAAAGTTGGAGGTGCTTGCAGGGGTGTTCCGTTTCCAAACAAACCTCGGGGCCCAAGCTCGTCACCCGGACAATGAGCTGTGCTTATCTTATCGGGCAGGCAGGGACCCCTGCTGACAGTCGTCATCGGGCGCCCGAGCTTCTGGCCACTGCAGGGGAGGCAGAACTCCGCCGAATGGAGGCCTGACCAAAGAGAGTGGATTGGTCTTCCGACTCGGACAACGCGTGCCTATACCTAGACCGACGCTCTCCGACAAGAACCTACAAACACATAGACTCACCACCTAACCGAGAGAACCTGCTTTTACATTTGATTCGCAGCGAGACCATCCGTCAAATTCATACCAGACTGTCCAAGTGCACATCCACCACCATGGGCTCAAATTTGCCGTGTAAGTCAGGAGATCGGAATGCTCCCCTGGCGCCGCCCTGCGCCGCCCTGCGCCGTCCATTCCCGTAACTAACAACCGGCCCAGTCGCCGTCGACGCCGAGTCACCGCTCAACCCAGCAGAGCTCCAGGTCCTGCGGGCACAATATGAGAAGGAGGGGGAGCTGGTCGGCGTCCAGACAAAGTTCAACTACGCATGGGTAAGCAGGCCCAAAGCCACGGGAGAATCAAAAGCCACGACCAAGAGACCACTGACTAACACCTCTACCATGCAAAACAGGGCCTGGTAAAATCCAACCGCCGCGACGACCAGCAGCTCGGCGTCATGCTCCTCTCCGAGATCTTCCGCACCTCGCCCGAGCGCCGCCGCGAGTGCCTCTTCTACCTGGCCCTGGGCAACTTCAAGCTGGGCAACTACGCCGAGGCCCGCCGGTACAACGACCTGCTGCTGCAGAAGGAGCCCGCCAACATGCAGGCCAACGACCTGAGCGCCCTGATAGACGACAAGGTGGCCAAGGAGGGCCTGATGGGCGTCGCGATCGTCAGTGGCCTCGCCGTCGCCGCCGGGGTCGTCGGCGGGGTGCTGTTTAGGAATCTCGGGAGGAACAGGTAAAGAAAAGAGAGTGGGTGGGGATGGAACATGGCAAGAGATGAGGCCGGGTGGGATGTGGGAATATATGGATATTGCTGGCTGCCCATGAGGAGGTGTTGGGGGAGATTTGGTTGCTCGAAGCGGGGGCTTATCACGCATGTGACTTACCTTCGACACGGATTTTGGTCGAGGCGAGAAGGAAGTTCCAGGAGGCTTGCATTTCTATCATTTTGCTGTCATGGCTGCCGAGGAAGTCCTCTGCAACAGTCAGAATACCCTCAACGCTACTCTGAAATCATCATCTCGAGCAACTGTGGACTGCAGGCTGTAGCCTAGGCTGGGCTGGGGAACTGCTAACATCCTACCACCATATTAACCATGTATTTTAGCTGACGGTGGGCCTTTGCTTCATTCGCCTCTGCAAATATAATATTGTCCAACCTTGACTCTCTCCCAAGAGGTGACAGGAGCGTTTCGTCTTCAACTACATGGAGATGTACTATTGGCTTTCCATGCGTAGTCACCAGTCCTATGTAGCTTTCAGAAAAGAGCCCACGTCCTCAGAGAGTGAGTGAATATCAAAGAAGACAAGCAATGGCAGGCTATGCCGAATATGGAGATCATGATTTGCAGATTGGACTCACGAACAGAAGGGCAGGACCAAAACAGTGCCACATTCCTCCTAGCACGTATCTGAATATTGACAAAAGGGCGCTTTCTGAGGCAAAATGCCAAGATCCTTGCAGCATTGAAGTTTCCATGAGCGCCTAGGATGTGTGGGTACGGGTAGGAAGGAGGCCTGCCGTGAGATCTCAAACAATGTGACAGCAAATGGTTATATTTCACCCCTGAAAGTGGCGAATCCAAGCACTAGACGCGTCGAGTCCGTACAGTGGGCGTTCTTACCTTCAATGCAAGGGAAAGTGAGCACGACTCTCTCTCTGCTAGTGCCGTTGTCGCAGAACGCCTTTTAATCAAGAAGCAGTCTAGTCCCATACATCTCCTGCAAGCCTCAAAAAGCCTCAAAAGGAGGCCGGCCGGCTCCGGGACTTTTGGAGAGATGTTCGTTCAGTGACAAGTCAGACGTGCATGAAATAAGCGAGTCAAGGGCTATGGTGTTTTATGTGGGAGTAGCCTTACTGACTTCCCAGTTAGAAAATCTGATCTGGAAGAGCTGATCAGGTGGTCGCGGAGCAAAGCCCCCATACAGGAGGAACCAGCAATCACCTTTGAGTACTACAAACGCCGCGGCGTTGCTACAGAGTGGGCTGTGGTGACATTCCAGCATGATTCCCATCCAAAAGTTGCGCCTGAGGCGTTCATCTGCTGAGAGATACTCAACACCTAAGAAGGAGAGAGGCAGTCAAGTGCACAAATGTGGCGCGGGCGGCGCTGTATTTACTTCTGCCCCAGTGGGAAGACCGAGTGGCATTTCGCCCACCCTTCTAGCGTGACCATCTACGAGATCCGAAGACCTCCCAGCTATCTTGAATATGGTAGATCCTGCCTGCTTGGTAGACTGGCGTCTTGGGGGGCTTTTAATCCTCGAACGCGTGAACCATATCACGCCTGTGTTTTGACTCATCCTACGTCGCAGCCTGGGAGCTACTCCTGCCTCATCAGTCATGGGAGGCTGAGGTCGACTCCAGGTGGCATATTCGGCGTCGTCATCATCATCGGGGAGTGGATGAGGGCCACGGAGGACATGGGAGATTCTGTGTGTGCATAAATCAGACGGATGCCCAGGAGTATCTGCATCTTCGATAGTTGCAGAGCGTTGTCATAAAAACTCGTTTAGAACCCAAAATATAGCCGAATTTCCTGGACTCGAATCTCATTTTCACAATCACCTTCCATATTTTCTTAACATGATAAATTTTTGGTGGGAATCCAGGGCGGAGAACAGTCTCTCTACAAGAGACGAACCGAACCGACGGCACAAACGTCTCTTATACCACCGCGCAACACAGTATCGCACAGGCAACACGAGACATCGTTTATGGGAACCGGAACTCCTCAAATTCGTCAATTGTATACCGGTGATGGCTAGCAGACAGAACGCAATGATCTCAGCGTCGTCTTGTATATCTCGCTCGTCAAATCATCGAGGCAAAACCCTTACTCTATACTCCTCGAAAAGGCACAGAACGCCAACGCTTGCCAGCCATAAACCCCCTTCCCCCTTTAAAAAAAAAGGCATAGTATATCAAACCATGCTGGTTTTCTCCGAGAAAGGAAGAAGTATCAGACGTGAAAACATAACTTCTCGAATGAAAGCTTGAAAGCTTCCAGCTGTGCGGGTACAGCTGTCTCTTGGGTATTTTGATCAATCAATCCTTGCACTCCGGCACGCGAAAATCACATAATTACCTCCCACTATCCCACAGTTCATCATCGTCTCGCAGGTGGTCCTTCAGCATCGCAATCCCATCATTTCCTGGGCGGCCAAAGGCCTCGGTAAGCCTCCTTTCCCGGATACTTTTCAGGCCACCACCGTCGGACCTCTTCCTGGTCTTGTCCTCTTTCCTCCTCCTAATAATATCAGACGCCTTCATCTCCTCCCTGAGCGCCCCATCCGATGCGGTAGTAGGCCGCCTCCGGTCTGAAGACCCGAACGAGCTGCTCATGCTCCTCCCGTAGAGGGTCCCGAGCGCCGACAGCCGCTTGAGGCCTCGACGGGACGCGCGCATGTCGTCGTAGGTATCCCGGTGATCGACTGCCTTGGCCCCGCCAGTGATGGTCGTCGTGACGGTGCCGCCGGTGGAGTACACGCTGAAGCTGCTTCCGCTACGCTGCCCTGGCCGGAACCCCCCGAGACTGCCAACCGTGGACCTCCTGGCCCCGGGCTCGTCGCTGTCGGTGCTGCTCGAGGAGGGTGTGTAGGACCCGTCGAGATGCTCTGCTTGATCTTGGTGCTCTTCCTCAGGTTCCCAGACGTTGGCTGTGGAGGGCCTCTGGAGGCCCTGCATCAGGAGCCTTCCGAATGTGCTCATGTACAGCTCCTCGGGATCACTCCGCACGTGGCGCAGTGTTGGGGATAGCTCATTGTTTGTCCCAACTCTCAGTCTGGTGTCCTTTGGGCTTGATGCCACGGCAGCAGAATCATTCGAAGATACCGAGTCATTTCTGTTGTCTTGTGTCGGGATACCAGAGTATTCGTCTTCCTCTCCTAGCGCTTCTAAGCCCGGCAATGCCACGCCCAAAATTCCATAGCCAGGCTTAAACAGCAGGTCCTCCTCGCCTTCAGCGGTAGGTCGAGTCTTTTTCTCCGGTGTCGTGAAGGAGTCGTCATCGGATGAGACATAATCATCGATATTGAAATTCTTGGACCGGTTCGTGACTGGGGACCAGTCACTACCATGCTGGCCGTTGTTGGCAGTCATAAAGCTTTCCGCGCTCTTTGAGTCGAGCGACGTATTTGCCGTGTGTCTAGAATGAGGCCTACCGCTAGCCGCGGAAAATACATTCGAATGGCCGGTTGTGTCAGACCTAGACGTCTCTGAGAGAGACCAGTTCCGTATGCTGCCGGATTGGATAGTACTTTGTTCGTCAGCCTCAAGTGGTGAAGACAAGAAGCCCAGGCTTTGAGACCTGTGGTATCGTATTTGATCCTCGCTGTCGTTGGATCTCGAGTGTCGGTGTGAAACTGGACAGGTCAGTATGTTTCGAGTCAACGAGCTGACCTCCCTGCACTCACATGAGGACTGAGGTCTCCCGACCGTTGTGTCAGTCTCACCATAGGCGGTGTTGGGGTCGACATGGGCCTCAATTAGCCTTGCATTTGGATAGCCGAGTGGTGTCAAATCGGTGGAAGGATAGCGACTGGGTATGGAGGAAGCGAGGGAGGATCTGAGGGTCTGGTAACTCTGCCTCGCTGGTGATCTAGGAGGGGAGGCGTGACCAAGACTCTGATTCGATGCTCGCTGAGTGCTCGGGACTTCGGAGGAAATGATATCGTCAGTTGATAAAACTTCAGCAATTCTGCCGTCGGCGACATGAGCCATGTGCGAAGGTGATATATTCCCTCGCGCGGTTGTGACCTGAAAGTTTTGCGGTGATCGTGGGCGTGAGAAGTTGTTTGTCGTCGGCGAGAGGTTCTTGGACCGAGTTGTCGTGTCTTCTCCTGGGCGTGCGTCCGGGGATGCAAAGTCTCTCGCTTCAACATTGCCTGCCAATGCGGGAGATGTTGCCACAGATGTCGAAGATACAGGGGATACCATACCGGTGGGTACGTAGGTATTTAGCGACAGCCGTCGTTTGTTGCGGCTCGAGAATGAGTGTACCTCGAGGGGTTGCGACGCCGATTCCTCCTTCAATGGGGGGCCTAGAGAAGGCCGGCTGAAATCCCGGTTGGCAGGCATCCGAGGGAACACGCTGGTTGAGCTGAGGGACTTGGTGCGGTTGCTCATCTGCCGGGGATCTGGCGTGGGACTAAGGTTGCCGTCTCTGTGTCGAGTGATGTTGCGGTCCGCGACGTCCTCCCCGTAGTCCCTTGCTCCAGCCGCGTGTACTCGGCTTCGAAAGTCGGTTGGACGGATCTCTTCTTGAGCATCGAGGATGTCCTTGGACTTGATGCTTCCGAGACTGGATCTCGAGCCGTTGGTTCTGCGCAGTCTCACAAGAGAATTGATGTCATTATCGCTCTCACCCGTATGGGTTGTGTTCTGATACGCATTAGACACCGAGGACAAAGAACTGGGCTTCTTGAAGGACACCGGTGGTTTCCTCGGCTCCCTCTTCGGGCGGCTTGGAAACTGTGGCCAATCTCGGCTCAGGCTGCGGATGCTGGCTGCGGTTCGCGGTCGGTCTTCAACAACAAGACTCGGGTGGCGGGGAACAAATGGGGCCGGTGCTGAGGTGGAGTCCCATGCCTCGGACTGATCTTGCAAGTCCGCGGTCTGAGGTGGAAGGTCTGGCTCTTGCTGTGATGTAATAGAAATCGCCGGGATGTCTGTATCAGGCTGGCGTGTGTCTCCATTTTCTGTGCGACCTGTATGGTAAGCGGTCCATCCACCATACTGAAGACAGTAGACCCAGTGATGACTGACCTTGCGAAGACGGTCCTAGCGGGGGGCTCGTAACATTTCCCTTGAGCCTGGCCTTACTTGACTTCCTGGTGAAGATCTTGAATAGACCCATGGTTGCAGACCCAGGCCATGTACGCGGCCTGAGTGCGGCCCGTAAATCTCACAGCTTCAAGAACTTGAGCCGGTATCAAAAGCGGAACCCAGGACAGGGAGCTTGAAGCAGCTTTTTTGAAGTATTCCTATGTGTGACTAGCAAGTTGAGAATGACCGACTGCGCGTGTGAGGCCTGGCTTCGAAGTGACCGTAGAATTGTGGTGAGGTAGGGAACGCGGGAAAAATGTTGGCACAAAGGTTGTTTAAGTCGTGGAAAGAAAAAGCAAGCCAACGAAATGAATTTATCGCAAGATGGAGGTTACCTGCTCCTCGGCGTATTTTGTCTGGGAAGTGCCAGCTCCATGGAACACGATGAACTAATGACGGATAATTTTGTGAACCATCATGCCAAACGGAGACTGAGCTGAAAATAAAATATTCAATTTGACGTGGACACGGCGATATCAGTTGCTCCAGAGTGTACGAAAAGTCCAAGTTTGGTCGAGTATAGGACTAGAAGGGAAAAAAGATCCCTCGGCGACCACTGGGGTGAGAGAGGTAGGCTAGAACAAACGGAATAGCACCCAGTAACACAAGTAAGCACCATTGGCGCGGCCCGGTGATATATAGGGTGGGAGAAGACGACCTGGATGTCCCAGCTGGTGTGGAAGGGGTCCCTTTGTCCAACCGTGCCTGCAGGGGCAGGATTTATGTTTGACAGCTTTTGCAGGGTCTGATTCGCAAGTGAACCGGAGGGAAACAGGCTGGACCGAGGGCCGGGATGGAACCATCACCAGCCTAGGGGGATGGTATAGGTCAAAGTGCAGCTATCTCGGTAGAGGGGCCAGCGCACGCACGCAACCGAGATCTCCCAGGTGATCGAGAACAACCAGGGGTGTCCGCTGCTAAACAACCAGCTCTAATCCAGCCTTGGCCATTTAGAAGCTCCCAAGAGGGAGCGTTTTGCGCATCGGTAAAGCGGCATTTGAACTGCACGGCCCCCAGATGAAAATCAAGAGGCGCGAGGGTGGAGGCAGGGAGGTAGGTAGGTCATTGGGAACATGTTGCCGGGAGTGGGAGTGGGACAGGGGCCGAGGCGCCTCATTGCAGATCCAGGAACAAGGATCCGGGGCGGGAAAGTGACATGTCTGCATGTTGGTTGGGGTCGGAGGAGGACGAGGAGGAGGAGGCTCACCCACCCACCCACACACTGCCGAGCACAGGGGGCCGAGGGGCCATGAGCTCAGACTGGCACTAGTGTGTTACTGGAGCAATCGCTTCTGTCTCTCGGCCTTCCTGAACGCGCACAGGAGCAAGAGCTAAAGGGAATTGCCCTGCTGCAGGACTCCGAGATTGTTGAAAGAAGATATTTTTGCATCACATCCTGGTGGTCTGCCGGGCTGACTCGCACCGGCTCGTCGTTGCCAGGTGCCACTTGTTTAGACTCTGCAGCAGCGCACGCGGGAAAGCCAACGGCGATCCGGGAAGAGGTGGCGGATGGTCCTGTGACGAGGTGTGATGTCCCCGTATGTCCGTGCCCACTAAAGTCCCGATGGCCCTGTGGCAGTTGTAGCCACTGGAGCCCCGTCCTGCGTCCAGCGTCCAGAGCCCAGCCCCCGGGGCCCAGAAGCCCACGGTGAGACCTCTCAAGGCTGGATGATGGACGGTGACGAAACGTGAATGGGGGCTCCTGGTCGCCCCCAGCCTGCAGCTGCTTGATGCAGAGACGAGGTAGCAAGGTGTAACCCAACACGATATTGGCCGCGCGATTGACTCCAGCCGGAGGAGCGCTGCGTTGCATTTCGCTGCCTCGGACCTTCCATCGCTTCGTTTGGTGCTGCACAGCAGTTGCGAAGACCCGCAGCCGAGAATGTGCTTGGTGGGCGAAACAGCCCTTCGGCGACTTGAGGTTGGTCGCACGGCAGGAGGACTTGCGGGCGGGCAGACTGGCAGGACTGGCAGGGTTGAGGTGCACAATCAGGCAACCCACCAGGAAGCCAAGGCAGCGTCTTACAGTAGTCGCATCCGCCCGACGGCAGCGGACCTGCAGTAGCCCTGCCTGTCTCAGTGGGGCGCGAATTCGCATTTGCGAGAGGGCGGAAGGGCAGACGAGCAGAAGGGCAGAAGGGTTTGACATGGAGGTCCCACCCTGGTAGTGATAGCCGTGCCGTGTCGAGCAGGAGACGGCGAACAGACTGGCCCTTCATTCGTCATGTTGCTTGCGGCATGAACCACTTCTGTAGGGCAGCGTGGCTGCTGCTATGCCGGCCGGGCCAGCCAGGCCAGCCAGGCCAGCCACGGATGAAAACAGCCAGATCCGGGCAATATTAATTTCAAAGTGTCACCAGTGTTTGTGCCGGTGTTATGCGGCGTCAGGCTCAGCCTCATGGTCTGGGTGGGCAGCTGGTGGGATACCCGAGGTCGAATATGGCTGATGCAGAACCGGACAAAAGAACGCCAATCACAATAGCAGTATCAAACTGCAAGGGCGGTTCGCGTTTGCGACCCTTTGAAAAAGATCCTGGGATTATGAGCCGTCATAAGAGGCATTCCCTGAGAATCACCGGAAGAACCACCTTGGAAGTCATTGCCTTGTAGTCGATTCCAAATGCAGACTGGAAATTTCTTTCCGGACCAGGCAACTGCTCTGTTTGTCTCTGCGCAGCAGGGAAGGAGGGACGGATGCTGATATTGATCCCGCCCAGCTCCTTCTGTAAAAAAAACACACACCAAAAACCCCTGGCCGCTTGCTCCTGAATGCAGGATTTGGTGATTGGTGTGTGTCTGCGTAGAATGAGAGGGACAACTGGCTGATGTGCCCGTTTGATTGTTCGTGGTGATTCACCGCAAAGACTTGTCGTTCGCACCTCATCCACAACGAGGAAGGAGGTTCTCGTCCAATACATAGTATCGCGTCGCTAGGCCATGCTTTCCCCATTGAGAAAGGCCGGGCTAGGCGGGGCAGTGGCCACCCCTGCGCTACCACCGATCTGGTAAGGCTTTGATCGTCGGAGATCGAGTCTCGATTGATGATTGTCGATTGACGACTGGCGATTGACGCAAGGGCTGGCCTGGCACAGAACCCTGAAAAGCTTCCATCCCTACAATGCAATCCATCGCCCGCGGACCAGGCCTGCGTCTTTGTCTTGCTTCTTCTCCAGTGCAGGGACAGGGGCGCTGCTTAACAGCTTAAGTGGTCAACGTGATGAGCAAGGAAGGACACGGCCCACTCCACACGACCACCCGCGTGCCGGCCAGCCTTGGCCAGACAGCAAAAGACAGTCCGAGCCTCCTAGGCAACGAACCGGTTCGCGCGATATCGAGGGAACCCTGCCTCCACACCCGTTGTCCCTAAACCACTGTGGGACTCCCACCGAGCAGAACCGTGGTACACACGTCGACGGACAGCGGGACTCTGATCAGACTTCATGCATGGAGATGAAACGCACAATGCGGCCAGAATTTCCCACCAAGCCAACCTTATTCGGCGCATACCAGCGAGCCAAAAGTCTTGCCTCTCAGCCTCTTTCTTGAGCTCTCTGTACGCATCTCGTGTCCCAACGCACCATCATGAGCGTGGCTGACGCACAATATGCACAAAAATGCACAAGTTGCCCAGCACACCAGCAGCCCGGTAACAAGTAGCAGGGCTGTGGCTTCCTGGGCTGACAGCTGGGCTGTAAAAGGACCAGGCACAAGCGAGAGGACAACAAGAACCCTTCCCGGTCACTGCCATCGAATCTTCTACCGCGATTCGACAACCAGACACCTGACATCGCACAGCCAGGCCAGCCATGTTGAGATAGGAAGTACAGCGCGCACGCCTCAGCTGTAGTCCAAGGCATGGCGGCCGTCAAGAAACCCGTCCAACCTGTCAGCTCCAGACTACCGGAGATGAGAAACGAAAAGCAGATTGCAGCCAAGCTGAAAGACGCGAAGACGTGCATTCCCGTCAATACAAATGTCTGAGGCATCAACCGACTGCGCTTGTCATGGTCAATCATGCCTACTCGCGGCGCCCAGGCGCATGGGATGGCAGTTTTTCTTCTCTGTCATCCTGCCGCATATACGGACACTCGTCTGCCCCTCAGGTGCAGTATTGTCCATGCTCTGTCCCAACCACCCAAACAACCTTGGCAAATTAAAAGGAGCCCGGGAGACACTTCCTGCAAACCTTGATTTTCTTTGCCACGTGGGCTCACGTTGGAAACCCGGGCGCGCGTGAACTATCCCATAGCACAGTCCACCTGATTCTCACCAGCCGCCTCCCGAAAGCCCGGCTTGAGCGCAGCACATGTTCGCACCAGCGCAGCTTACTCCCAGCCCACTGTCGCAAGCGCGATTCCACTGTGCCGGCCGTGACCCAATTGGATGTCTAACTGCGTCAACTAGTCATGGGCAAACTTCGCTTCCGTTTGCATTGATGTTGCCGCCGTCCGAGCTCAACCACATTTTTGTCGATCCTCGAAACATGTGATGGCTTCGAGCTACTCTTAGCGCCCGTAGACACGGATGGGCAGGCGTTTCAGGGCCTTGTTCCCTCGACTTAGGATGAACTTGGTCGCGAGATCGTGCCGGAAAGCTCGTCAGCATCCGCGTCGTCTAGGCCACCAAGCGGGAAGGCTCCATGGCGATGCGACCACAGCGTCGTATCCTCGCCGGCGACTGGCGACCAGATCGAGTTTTGGTAGCGAGCCCGGATCTTGATCAGCCTGGGCGGAGACGCTTGGGATGAACACCTCACAATTGCGACGCAGTTCCAGGAAGGCTCACTAACAAGCTCCTGGGGTAGGATGGGGACTGTCTACAGGTTGCACTGCGTAGCAGATCCTCATCGCCATCAAAAAGTAACCGTTGCCAACCAGCCTTCGCGCCTGGTTAAGCATCCGCTCGGGTCCCTACGAGCCGGTCGTATTGACAACCAGTCAACCATGGAAATGTTCCAGATGAACCATTCAGTATTTTGAGCACTGTCTTCCCCGTTACCTTTTATGCTTTCACTGTCCCAGAGACTGACTGAAATTGGCGCGTCGTCCATCCGAGCACTGTGTGATACTACCTTGACGTTCGAGCCGATTTGCTGGCCGTAGTCCGGATGGCAGTTTTAGCCTTGTTGGAAAGCACGATCCTGTGCTGACTGCCAGGAACAAATTCACAGACGAACTTCGGAATAGGCCACAACAGTCCAGTCAGTCACTCCAAATTATGAGTCGACTGGCTTCTTTCAGTGTGGGAAACTGTGATGGGCTCCTTCCGCAAGTTCAGAGTTGGCCTGGAATGGCCTCAGGGCTTTAACGCAGAAGCGCACCTAGAACGCAATGTGCCTCTTCTATGAGCCTTTCTTGATGTCGTCTTCAGCCTTGGAGTTCTGTTGATCACAAAAGCCTTAACTTTATCCATACCCTCCTAAATCTAGACCTCATATCATCAAATGCATCTTTCAGGAGCGCTGTACATGGTGCGAAACTCTAAGCCGGGCAAGAAAGTTGACGAATCAACACTCAAGCTCAACTCTGGACAATCAAGCCAAGTGACGGTCTCGGAACATAACAAAGCATCTGATGGATCAGCTCAACCATCACCATCCTACCCTGGTCCCGTGCCACCGAGCCACAAACCACCTGATGACGGCTCACCTCCGCAACGGAGGAACAGCAGCACTGCGTGTGCCCGAACCTCACGACCCGTCGTGCCCGTTAGTAACACAGCACTCTCTCGCCCGAAATAGTACACCCCTCTTACCAAGGTCACTAATCCCTAACAATGCGTACCCACAGACATCCCTAATCGGAATACCAGAGGACGAGGACAAGCCATGTCCCCGCCGAGCATCCTCACCCGTTTCAAAGCCCACGAACACATCCTCCCGCAGCAAGGACTCTAGCCCGAGGGTGGCATCAGTGGCGATGGGCCGCGGCCGCAGCCACAGTATTGGCGACCTTTCCAGTCCACCTTCTGACATCGTCAGGACCGGTTCAGCCCCCACTCGCCGGTCGAGCCTGTTCTCCCCCGACGACCCGGCCCTTGCGGGTGACGAGGACGACGTGGCTGGACGGTAGCGGCCTGCTTCACATTTCACGGGGAGCGTCCGCCGCTGAGAGCAAGGCGCCAGATCCGGGGGCCAGGGAGCCCCACATCCTGAGTGTCTCTTTTCGATGCGGAGACATCAAATACACGGGTTGGTGATCAACTGGTCGTTGAAGTCCGTTCGGGAGCGGCATCAACTGCTTGGACTACCTAGGTAGATCCTTCCTCTACATGTCAACCAGCTGTGGCTGTAATTTCATTGCCCAGGCCATCGTCCTCCAGGCCTTTGCTTCTTCCCACATGGGAAAAATGTGTGGTGCTTGCCGTGTCTGAGGATTTAGGCCAGTGAGAACATCCACCCGGAGCTCTGATCGCGTCGAATTGTGCTTTTTTTCGATCCCGTGGCTCTGGCGCGAACCATAGATCTGCTTTTCTCAGCGCTCTTAGCTTTATCATTGAGCAGATTTAGCGAAACTTCACGAGATATAAGCAAGACGTAATCTGGGCAGAGGCACCTCAATCAGATAGGGTAATTTTAGAATCGTGCTCATCTGCCCCTGTAATCTCGCAAGCGATGCTTTCCTTTTGCATTACCACCAAGTCCAATAACGCCGATGATGCTCCAACGAACTAAGATTCACAGTCTGCAGAGTTTGCCGCAGACTGCATATACCACCAGCGCCTCATGCACGTTGCTCTTGTCCGCGCGTCATTGATGGAAAACCTAACGCGGCCCATCCCGATCTCGAATGCCAATTCGGCCACGGTCTAGTTGTCTGCGCCAACATACCACATACCAGCCAACCAGCGCTCGCCAACCTTGAAGGCAAAAGGAAACAAAAGACAAAGGTAAGAAAGAAGTAAGACTAGAGCAAACACCAAGAAAGTTTCATGCTTTCCCTCAGTCCAAGCTACCAGCAAGCGCCACTGCGCTGAACCGCAGGTCATCGCCGGCCCTCTCGAGGAACTTGAGCGGGCCCAGCGCGAGCGCCTTCTCGCTCAGGACGTCCTCGTTGGCGTCGAGCTTGCCCTTCTCGAGCGGGCCCTTGCGCCGGCCGTCGAGCTCCCACAGCGTGCCGTCGGAGGTCTTGACGAAGCAGACGTAGTGCAGGTCGACGTCGTCGTTGGCCTGCGGCGCGGCCGTGTCGCCCTGGCTGGCGGCAGACTGGTGCGCCGTGGCGAGCGGGCCCGACGCCTCGATGAGGCGGGCGCGCTGGTCCGGCGGGAGGGGGATGACCCCCTTGAGGAGCTCATCTAGAATTGAGTTGGGTTCTATTCGTTGGAGGGGGGGGGGGTTGTGTGTCAGTTGAGTTCAGTATCTTGACGGGAGGGCAGGAGCCGGGATAAGGTCGGGGGAAGGGGGGCAGAAGGGGGGGGGGTGCGCAGGGGAACACTCACGGATAAACTCCCTGGCAGGGCCGTTGGCAGTGGCGTGCAGCAGGCCCATGAGACCGCAGGCGTTACGGATGGTCTGGCGGAACCACACGACGGGCTCGTCGGCGCCCTTGCCGGCGTACTCGGGCAGGGTGGCGTCCTCGGCGAGGCGGTAGCTCTCGTACGCGGCCGAGACGGGGAAGACGAGGAGCAGGGCGAGGGCGGGCCGCGGCACGAAGCCCAGCATCTCGGCATCGTGGAGGCTGTAGACGTCGTGCATGGCCAGCTCCTTGGAGAGGCCCAGGCGGTGGAGCAGGTCGCTCATGAGCTGCGGGTTGGCCTCGAGCGGGATGAAGGAGACGGGGCCCTGGTCGCCTGCTGGTGTTGTCTCTGCCATGTCGGATGGTCGGGGGTGGGGATGGGTGAGTGAGTGGGGTGTCTGCCTGTGTGTCTGCTTGTATTACTCGGGACGGCTTGTGAGACGCAGAATGGTTTTAAGTTACTGTTGTGACATATCTCTCAGACAGACAGACATACAGACAGTCCAATGTTTTGAGACGGAGGAGCTGGAGCTCCAAGCTCTGGTGGGGTTGCGCCATGATCTCATTCCACTTACACTGGGCCCCACCAATTCAGGCAGGCGCGTCTCATGCGCGTCAGCAGTCACCGGCCGGCGTCCCGTGGGCAAGAGCCATGGGCTACGACGCATTAGAAGCCCAGGGGTTTCTTGAACTGCTCTCAACTTTGAATCTAGAAAGAAAGGGCCACTCTCATAAAATAACCAGGTCAGGGTATCATGAATTGTGATTCTCATATACAAAATCTAAATATACGTATATGATACAATGCAGGCTCACGCCAGCACTTATCAGTGGTGACCATCTACTCAGGTCTTGCACATACATACATGTAACAGACATGGGCAAGTACCTAGGTGCGCACCCGTTTCCTGACTCCAATTCGACCAAGCGAGGAGAGGAGGGCGAGGCTCATGGGGTAGGGCCATGCGTAGGTGGGATCTGCTCGTCCTTGCCCAAGCCGTTGAGAAGCGGCTCGTCATGGCCCTCCCGTGTCCAGTCGCCGACTGTCTGCTGTTGTGCCTCGGGCTGTACCTCGCGCTTTCCCCGGCGGTCCTCCTCTTCATAGTCCAGCAAAGTTCTGGCCTGGCGTGCCTTCTTGGCAGCCTCCTTCCGTATCTGCTGCACCCGCACCTTTCTGAGCTGGGGCGAGTAGTCGAGGTTGGCCAGGTAGTCGTCGATCTTCTCCTCCACCAGGGCCTTGACGTGGAATGCAAGCGCCTGGCTCTGGAAGATGCCGACGTAGCGGTAACTCAGCCAGAGGTACAGCACCAGGCCTTTGTGCAGGGCCTCCAGGTGTCTCAGGTATTCGACTTTGCCTGCTGGGTAGGTATCGCGGCTGTAGTCCAGTATCTCAAGGTTCATCTCTTTGATGTCAAGCAGGTGGCCGTTTTCGTTGTTCGCCACACATCGCGCCAAGGCCCGCAGTATGTCCTTCATGCCATGATCCTTCAGCGTTGCTGGCGAGGTGAGGAACATCAACCGGTCTTGAATGCTAAGCGGGATGGACTGTAGGTGGTTGGAAATGGCGATATTGTCCCTGAAGTTGCTCATGTGAAAATGCGGCGAAAGCCGAGCGATATCGCGCAGACGAAGGAGTATGAAGGAGAACGGTGTTGCGGGTGGAAAGAAGGACGCAAAGCGCTCGATGAGGAAGGTGGGTGGGAAAATCCCCGCCGTCTGCAGAGGCTCAGCTTCTTTTTCGAAGGAGCCATGGACGACTTCGAGATCGTCATCTTCCAATGTGGTCACGAGGCCTGGTTCTCCCCTCTTCGGAGGAGGTGCTTCTGGCTCAGAAGAAAAATCCCCGCTTGTTACCGGCAACGCCGGCGTGGCAGCGGGGGCCTCAGCTGCCTGCGCTGCAGTCCTGTATCTTCCTGCGCGACCTCCAATCTGCTTGAGCTCCGGTACTGTCAGCGTTCGAACTTTGATGCCGTCGTGCTTGGCGACAGCCTCGAAGACGACCCGCTTGATTTCCAAATTGAGACCCATGCCAATAGCATCGCTTGCAGCCAGGTAGTCGTAGTCATTGTTGGGGTCGTTGAACAGGGCAGCCTGCTGAGCTCTACTTTCGGGGGGCAAGGACCCGTAGACAATAGCACACTTCTTCCCGGTTGACTTCTCGATGCCCGCCTTGAGTGTGTGCAGATTGACTCTCGAGAAGGACACGACCGCGTCGCCTTTCTGCAGGTTTTTGAAACTGCCCTTGAGACTTTCTGTCATGGGCTGCAGGCCGCTGAGACGCTTATATCGGTGGACAATGAGCTCGTCCCCAAGCTTGGCGCATATGTCCTCGATGAGAGGCACAGTCCGCTCTTCGCCACAGAGATGAACCTCTTTGGCCTGGACGCCAAGCAGTGCCTGCGTCCAAGCCCACCCTCGAAATTCATCTCCAATCATCTGGATCTCATCGATCACGGCGACGTCAACACGCTGGTTTAGGGGGGTCATCTCGACCGTACAGCTTGCGAAGTAGCTTTCATCGCCCTCGGGGATCCTCTGCTCCTCCCCGGTGATCAACGCGCAGCGCTTGCCCTTTGCCTTGAACCGTGAGAAGACCTCATGAGCCAGGAGTCGCAGTGGCCCGGCATAGACACCAGTCTTGGCCTCTTCCAACGCTTTCAAGGCGCGGTATGTCTTTCCCGAATTCGTCGGACCGACGTGCAGATGTATCGTTCGCTGCATACTCCTCGTGGCCGGGAACCATTCGTGTGGATAGCGCATATCGGCAATTTTTTCGTGAACAGCGAGGGCCTCTCCTGACAGGTGTTGCCTGACCAGAAAACTGGTGAAAGAGTACTTGATCTCAGTCTGGAGACCCTGGATATCGCCGGTGACGAACGCGTTTCGCCAGCTCCAGAAAAATGGGTTCTCCTGTCTTGAAGTCTGTCCCTTGTGTGCGGCCAAATCAAGAGATTTCTTGATCACGGCTCGGAAGAGATTCGCCTCCTTTTCCACATCTTTGGGGGACTCTATTCCAAGACCCTTTAGGTCTCGGAGATCGCCCGATCGCGCCAGAAATTCAAAACGTGAATTGACCAGTCGCCTGAATCTATCGTATCGTGGCCTATCTTCTCGCTGACGAGGCCGGCGAGCATCGGGGTTGGAGGCATCGCGGTCTTGTTGTGATTCGAGGTCAGAGCGGAGGTGTTGGATTTGTTCCCAGTGGTTCGCAAAGCCACTTCGCAGCTACGGAGTGTTAGCGGTGCGGTCGTTGAGGAAGTGAAATCTCCAGCTCACGTTTTCTCCACCCTTTCCTGACGGGACACTCCGCCATCGTCTCGCCGCAGGGAGAGGGACCGCAAACAGCAACGGGAGGAGGGCGGGCGATCTTCGTTCAAGTGCCCGGGCGGTTCTCCAGAGGGACGTCATGACCGTGTTCTGGGGAGACCCGCGAACACATAGTGCTCCCGGAGAAAGAAAAGGAAAGTGACGACCTCGCGGCGCAAGTCAATGATGCCTCAGCGGTCGCCAGGCTGAGAGTACAGCAACGTGAAGTCTAGGCCCCGAGGCTTTGTCCTCCGAACTTTTTTTGGATTTTGCCGCCCGTCACCGACACCCGGGTCGGGCACTGCCTGCCGCTAATCATGCTACGATCAACCGCTGTCGTCATTGCACGGAGCTCTGCAGCTGCAGCCTTGACCCCTGTTCCGCGTGGCCTAATGACCGCCTCAGTGGGCAATAGCATTGACGAACAACAGCACCAGTCGTCCTCGAATTGTTACAGTCCAGTTCCCACCTTGTCCCCCTCCAAAAGATTCATTTCCGACACAAAGGCCGTATAGCATCTCTCTGCCGGAACAGAAACGACACTCATAATGGCTTCCTCATCGACTCCTGCGACGCCGCTCCTCTAGTACTTATCCCTCCCTCCCTTGGCCTGGCGATGGCTTCAGACCATGCGAGAGAAAACTAACAAGACCCCAAAAACACAGCTCGTGCATCGCCCACAACACCACCATCCTCTCCGAATGCACGACCTCAGCCGCCTCGCAGACGTCCTCCCTCGCGTCCCTGATCCTCCCAAAGATCAACCATGACACGCCGCAGAAGCTGACCTACACGCACGGCAACCACCACATCCACTACATCGCAGAGTCCCCCTCGGAGCACGGCTCGTCCCCGGCCGCGGGGGGGCTCACCTTCCTGGTGGTGGCCGAGTCGTCGCTGGGCCGCCGGATCCCGTTCGGGTACCTGTTTGAGATCCGCAAGCGCTTCCTGGCCCAGTTCCCTGCCGAGTCGACGCAGTTCGACGACCTGCCCAACTACGGGGCGGGTTCCTTCAACTCGGAGCTCAAGACCCTCATGGTCGAGTACGGCACCACGAGCGGCGGCCGCGACGACGCCATCTCCACGGCCCAGCGCGAGATCGACGACGTCCGCGGCATCATGACGCGCAACATCGAGGGCCTGCTCGAGCGCGGCGAGCGCATCGACCTCCTTGTCGACAAGACGGACCGCCTCGGCGGGTCGGCCAGGGAGTTCCGCGTGCGCAGCAGGGGCCTCAAGAGGGAGATGTGGTGGAAGAACGTCAAGCTGATGGCGCTGTTGGTGCTTGTGCTGGTCTTGATCGTGGTGGCCATCATCATTGCTGTCAAGGTCTGATCTGGCTGAGCCTTGTCCCGCGCCGTGTGGTTGCTCCGCCGGCTGTTCAAACACTCTTCGTTTTGTGATTTGGTCTGGGCCTTCTGTTTTTGGTCTCTTGAAGCAGGTACGGCGTTATGGCATGGTTGCATCCGTCAGGGATGGAAAAGGAACTCTCTTTCTTCTACTCAGGTATTATTCTACTGCTCCTAAGCACTTGGTCGCCATGAAGGCAGATTGACGTCCCAGCACAACCGCATTCATTCACTTTGTAGATACCCGCGCCCTCAAAACACGCCTCTTTAGCAGGATTCTGAGTATCAATCCCAAACCCACACAATTCCCATTGCATGCATTGTGTCCTTTCCGTGGGACCACAAAAGCCAAATCTCTCTGCCAATCCTGGCATGTGCGTGCCCACGCCCCCGTAGAATCCCAACCCGCCTTGACCAGCCCTTGCAAAATAAGTTGTGCGCTGTCCTGCCCCGTCACAGCTTCGAAGAATGCGTGGCCTTTACCTGCCCCTCCTGATACACGTAGCCCTGCGCCACTGGGCTCATCGCCAAGACCGGGGCCGGTGTGCCGCCGAAGGCCGGCGGTGGCCTCATGAGCCTCTCGGTGAAGAAGACGGGGTGCCGGCTTGCCGAATCATGATGGGCCGCTCGTTGCGCGTGTCTCTCCCAGGCGGCCTGGAAGGGCGCAACGAGGTTTGGAGGTATGTTTCCAGGCGGCGGTGGTGGTCTGGGCTGGGACATTCCTCTGGCTCGGACGCTGTCCGCGGGAGGGTGGGTAAGTGAGTGGGTGAGTGGGCGAGTGAGTTGGATGGCTGATCAGAGGTTGACGACGCTGGGCGAGGGGGTTCAGAAAAGCTCTTTGGCTTGGTCGAATCTCATGCAATTTGTTGCCTGAGTTCCAGGATATATATGCAGCATCAATATGAAAGGTCAACAGTGCATGTTTGTGAGAGACCGCACATCGCCTTGGTCACTTGAGTGTTGCCGTCCTAGTAGCCCCGCAATCGATGGGCCGCGGTACCGGCATCGTCATCCAGGGCCTACTACCGAGAAGTGTGGCCAGTAGCACTTCTACAAGGCGAAACTGTTGCAAACATGATCGTACTCTAAAATTCGACTTGGAATCTTTTCCAAGAGGTTCAATCTGTTCGATCGGCCTCGGACGTTGGCACAGGCTCCAGGACAGCCGGAATAATCCGGGCGTAACTCCAATGCCGCCGAATTGGACGCAGGATAGACTCTCGTCTCGCTCATAATATCATTCATTGTCTATATATATACCGAATTATTGCACAGCTTTGTGCCCGAGCTTGGCCTTTCTGAACTTGGCCCTCTTGTCAGCATCTTTCTCCTTCTCCTTCTCCTTGGCCTTCCCCTTCTTGATAGTCTCGACCAATGCCTCGATCTCTTCTGCCCTCTGTCTCCTCTCCTGCTCGGCCTTTTCGCTCTTCTCCTTCTCCTCGCGCGCCTTCTTCTCCTGCGCCCTCTTTTGCGCCGCCAACTTCTCGACCGTCTCCACGAGCTTATCGCTCGACTCCCACAGCTTTTTCGCAACCTCTTCGTCCTTGATATCTGTCCTGGCACAGTCCACCTCGATGCATTCCTTGAATATCTTGCCGCCCGGGTCCCTGATGACGCTGCCGTCGAAAGCCCCAAAGAGCAGAGACTGTGCGGCCATGAAGGGGCTCTTGAGGAAAATCCACGACAGAAAGTAGGATAGCAGGTAGATGAACAGCCCCCACAGGGAGCCCCTAGTCATCCACCTCCTCATGCCCGGCGTCCTGGCGAACCCGGGGTCCACGAAGACCACCTTTGCGTTCATGGGCAGGCCGTCAGGCCTCTTGTAGGCGTCCAAGTGCTTCTGGAAGGCCTGGCCAAACGTCATGAGCGCCAGCTTGCTGGTCGCGTACGCGGCGGCCGGCGTCCACCCCTTCTTGTCGAGCGCGTGGGCCTGGGCGTCCCGCAGCGGCGGCGAACGGATGTAGCTCGAGCAGGTGGCGAGGATGACGCGGACGTCGCGGTCGAAGGGCTGTGCCTTGATCGCCGGGCTGAGGATGGCCAGCAGGTGGTAGTTGGCGAGGTAGTTGATCATCCAGGTGAGCTCGACGCCCTCGGGGGTCTCCTGGCGCTTCCCGCCCGGCGGGGTGAGGGTGGCGGCGCAGCAGATGACCATGTCGAGGCGGCGGGGCGGGGCGTTGTCGATCCACTTGGTGGCGAACTGGCGCACGCTGTGCAGGTCGGCCAGGTCGACCTGCTCGGCGTAGATGAGCTGGTTGTTCGTGCGGGAGCGCAGGTCGTCGATGTACTCGACCAGGAAGGGGTCCGAGGGCGGCTGCTGGGTGAGCAGGCACAGCTGGGCGCCGCGCTGGGCCAGCTCCAGGGCCAGGGCGGCGCCGACGCCCGACGTGCCGCCCGTCATGATGACCACGCGGCCGTGCATGTTGCGCTCGGTGAGGTTCAGGGCGCCGTTGAAGTAGCGCTTGGTGATGGCGAGGGCGCCCAGGGCCCCCGTGACCCCGGCGAGCTTCCACGGGTCGGGGAACCACTCCGGCAGGCCATAGTTGTAGACGTGGACGATGAACGGGAACGGCATGTTTGGCACTGCTGGTTACCGCCGTGTCATGCCGGTCGTTCGTGGTTGAGGTCGGTGGTCAGGATAGGTAATAGGGGCTGAGAGAGTGAACAGCTCTGCTCAATGAGGCCCCGATGGGAAACACGAATTCCATGTGCCTGTTGCGTCAGGGGCCCAAATTGGGCAGCCCCACTGGACAGGGGCCATGCACCTGGACCCAGGGCTTCGGTTCCTGCCGCAGGTGACGGGACTTGGACTAGCGGCTGCTACACAGTACTTTGTAGACCTTGGCGCCGGTAGGCTTCCACTTCATCAACTTCTTGGTCAGATTGCTCAGCCATTTTGCCTTCTTGTTTTGGCCATAGACGCCGGGGGTTTCCACAAATGTCCCGGCGCCCGAACACAAAAGGAGGAGTCTTGCCATCGAAACACCATTCGTCCACCACTCTGTCAAGATGTCGGCAGACGAAAGGGATGACTTGGACGACCTGGCCGACTTGGACGATGTGCCACTCCAACACAAGAAACCCTTCGGCTCGGGATTAAGGCGCAATGAGATCAAATTCGTTCCCGCCTCGAACGAAGACCCAGAGGTGGCGAAGCAGCAAAAAACAAAGTCAAACGGCCAGTCGATCAGTGACTTCTACCTAAATATGGTCCTGAAAAAGCCGGCGTCTACAGCAGCCACCACGGACAAGGAGACAGCCAAAGCCCCCGTGTGCGAAATATGCAGTATGCCGGTTTCTGGCGCGGCAGACGACAATACAGGTAGCGGGACTACCACCGCCAGCAGCAGCAGCAACAACCGGAGACTAGCCGGGCCCCATGAGGCCTCGATAGCCCACCAGGTGTGTCTGGCTCACTCGCACCCGCCGTCGGCGCTCGACCGCTCGCGCATGGGCCTGACGGTTCTCGCAGCGCAGGGTTGAGACCCGGACTCCAGGGCGGGTTCGGGTCTTGAGGGCCAGGGCACCCAGTACCCCGTAAAGGTGAAGCCCAAGGAAGACCGGCTCGGCGTGGGCGTCGTGGTGCCTAAGGGTGGTGGTGGTCCCGCGAAGAAGCAGCGGGAGGGGCCCAAGTTGTTGGATGCCAAGAAGGTCCGGAAGATGGCCGCTGAGGACCGGAAGCGGGCTGATAAGTTACAGCGGGAGTTGTTCGGGAGGGTTGACCTTGATAAGTATTTGGGACCTGGCGCGTAGCTCGGTCTGGTATCTGTTCTTTCCGGACGGGAGGAGGGAGAGCGGGACGGGTCTTGAGGCAGCAGATACAGTCGAGGGCACTAAATGGTTTTAACGGTTTTCGAAGGAGTAACATTAGACGGATGGATGGATATTAAGATACCCCTATTAGAAAATTACAGGATCTACGTGAGGTTCTGTGCTACGCAAGTAGCAGAAAAGCACGTCCATGCCTTCAGAAACATAACCATGTTCCAACCCTCTTGCCCCTCCCTTTCCAGCCGTCCTCCTCAGGCTCCATGTCTTCCTTCGTATACACATCCGTGACTAGATCCATCTCATGCGCCTTCCTGAACTTGGTCTTCTTGACCAGCTTCCAGACGATAATCATGAGCGCGAAGACGGGCAGCTCGATGTAGTAGCTGACAAAGTCGACGGGGCTGAAGCCGCCCTTGAAGCTGCTCCAGCCCTGCACGAGGACGAGGAAGCTGTTGAGCACGACGGCGATGATGGGGCCCCAGGGGTACGTCCAGTTCTTGAAGGGCAGGAGATGCTCCTTCCCCTGGGCCTTCAGGCCGGCGCGGAAGCGCAGCGAGGCGATGCCGATGCAGATCCACGACAACTGGTTCGAGACGCCGACGATGTTCTGCAGCCACGTCCAGAGCTGGCCGGCACCGATAAAGGAAGCGCCGAAAAGCAGGCCCGAGATGAGGCTCGTGGTCAGCACAGCGACCCAGGGCACCTGGAACCGCGTGAGGGAGGTGAAGATGGCCGGGGCGTGGCCGTTGGCGCCCAGGGTGTACAGGAGCCTGGACCCGGCGAAAAGGGCGTGGTTGCCGGCCGAGATGACGCTGGTGAGGATCACGGCGTTGACGAATGAGCCGGCGACCTTGGATCCGGCCATGGTGAAGGCGATGGTAAAAGGGGACGTGTGAGTGGACTTTGTGTTGAGGTCCGGGTAGTTGTAGGGGACATTGAGGCCGATCATGAGGGCCGAGAGGATATAGAAGAGCAGGATTCGCCAGAAGACGTTCTTGACAACGCGGGGCAGCACGCGGGCAGGGTCGCGCGTCTCTCCGGCCGTGATGGCGATGGACTCGGTGCCTCCATAGGCGAAAGACGCCGTCACAAAGACAGATGCGAACCCGCCAATGCCGCCGACAAATGGTGCATCTCCGATGTGCCAGTTCCGACCGCCGATATAATCATGGGCCGTGTTGCCTCCGACGTTGACGGCTATGCTCAGGATTATAAAGATAATCACAGTCACGACCTTGAGGAGGCTGAGCCAGTACTCAAGCTCGCCGTAGGCCTTGACGTTGATGATGTTGGCCAAAACAAGTATAACCCACACAATCAGACCCAGCGCATACCAGGGGAACGAGTCGGTCCAGTACTGCAGGAGGAGCTGCAGGGCAACCAGGTCGGCGGCGGTGGACACGGCATCGTTGAACCAGTAATTCCAGGTGAGCGCGAACCCGAACGCATCGTCGACATAACGGCCGGCAAAGGTGCAGAAGGAGCCGGCGACGGGCACGAAGGCGGCCATCTCGCCCAGGCACAGCATCGTCGTAAAGACAATGGCCCCGATGATGGCGTAGCAGATGAGCAGCGAGGCCGGGCCGCCCGTGGCCAGTGCCTTGCCGGTGCCCAGGAAGAGACCCGTGCCAATGGTGCCGCCGATGGCGATCATCTGCACCTGCCGCGCCGAGAGGGCTCGGCGGAGCTTGTCCTCGTTGACATGGCCGTGGTGGTCGCTGAGCGAGGCGGGCGCCGCCTCATGGTCGTATGCACCTTTCTCCTGGTCCGACATGTTCAAACATCAACCGGCCGGCGGAGGAGCGCAATGGTGGTGCAGGAGGGGGGTTTAGGAGCAAGGCGGCACAAGGGCTACCGTGGCGACGACAAGCGCCGCATTTTTGGAGGATGCCCTCATGATTTTGGGGTGTCTTATAAGGCGTCGTTGCGCATAGTGATGTCAAAGTCTCTGCTCGAGCACGCCATCGCATTCAGAGCCAATTACTGCTGTGTCTGACTAGGAGTTGGGTGATGGAGTGGCATATCTAGAAGGTGTCAAGACCAGCTAAACCGTTACAGGCTAGGGCCATTTTCAACTGGGGAATTCCATGACCAATTCTACATGGTGCCTGACATGTCGCCTCGACTTTGGCTCAGCAACAGAAACGGTTCAGCAAGTTTTGTCCTTCAAAGATATTCACTCGCACATTCGAAAAGGCAATTTGTATTAGCTAACTATTCGTCTCATTCAGGATTTTACTTTCTTGAATATTCAGCAAGTAGAGGCCAGCCGCGTAACACAAATACCGTGAGAATTGTGGCTGCTCAACTATCGCGGACACCGCATTTACTGACTCAGTGGATTGCCTCGAAAGACAATGTTTTTTGATCAAAGAATCCACAGTTTTCACATTAGCGACAGTCTATCGGATTGTGACAACGGCCACCTTCAAAATATTGTCTGCCGAGGTCGGTATGTTTGGCACTCTATCTGGCAGGATCTGATGATGATATGACTTCTGATTCACCAAACAGAAACCTGATGGCTTGACTCATTTCCTTATCACCCATATCATCCACTCAAACCTGGACAAAAGTCCTTGGTAGTCGATGCGCTGCTTAAGTGGCTGAACTTGGCTTAATACCACAGAGGTCTGAAGTTTAACGATGCTGATAAAAATGCATTATACACGCTCCACGCCATGCTCCTTGCCCTTACTCGGGCTTACTAGCAACTTTAACAAACTTGCTTCCCTTGGCAATATCACCACTGAGAACCTCCAAGCTCTTGTTGCCCATGATCTCCAACACGGAAATCTCGGACCCACACTCACTGGCAAGATAATTCCTGATCTCCATGGCCACCAGCGAATCCACGCCATACGCGTGGATGGGCTTGCCAACGTCAATATCCGGCTCCGCAATGCGCATCGTGCGGCTCAGCCTCTTCACCAGCGCGTCACAGATCACCTCGGCCGCGGCCTCGGGGCTCTCGGCGAACTTGAGCGCATTCGTCACCGACACGGCGCCGTCCTGGTCCGCCGCGCCGTCCGCCGCGCCGCCCGACTCGCCGCCCGCCGACCGCAGCTGCCGGAACAGCGGCGACTTGATGAAGGTCGGCTCGGGCAGGCCGCGCTCCTTGAAGACGGACAGCGGCGCCAGGCCCACGCCGATCTGCGGCTGGCCCCTGGAGCCCGCGCGCTCGGCGTCGAGGTGGAACTCGACCAGGCTGAGGAACTCGTCCTCGCGGATGCCGTCGTGCGCGAAGAAGAACAGCGGGTTCTTATTGAGCGTCTCCTGGTTCTCGGCGACGAAGCCCACGCTCAGGATGTTACACAGGTCGATACACGTCGCCGCCAGGCCCTGCGACCGCCGGTGGATGGCGAGCGCGTCCTGGAACGTGTTGCCCGCCGCGTAGTTGGACTGGCCGCGGTTGCCGACCAGCCCTGCGACACTGCCCAGCATCACGAAGAAGTCCATGTCCCTGGGCAGGTGCTTGTGCAGGTTCCACGTGCCCTGGACCTTGGGGCCCAGGCACTCCTCCCACTGCGCGTGCGACATGAACTCGAACGCCGAGTCGCGCAGCTGCATCGCGCCCTGGATCACACCTGCGATGCGTGGGAAGCCCAGGCGTGTGATCTCGGCCAGGGCTGCCGCCAGCTGCGCCTCGTCGCCGACGTTGCACTTGAGCGCCGTCGCCCGCACGCCAAGGGCTGTCAGCTCGTCGAGCAGCTCGCGCGTCGTCGGGGCGTCGGCGCCGCCGCGGGAGAGGAAAACCAGGTTCTTGGCTCCTTGCGCCGGCGCGGCCATCCACTTGGCGATGGATCGTCCGAGACCGCCTGCGCCGCCGGGCAGCAGGTAGGTCGCGTCTGGCCTCAGGCGTGTGGGCGCCGGGGGCTTGGGGGTGACCTTGACGATGTCCTCAGGGTGTGCGGTGAGGACGAGCTTGCCTATGTGCTTGCCCTGCTGGAGGATTCGGAAGGCGTCTTCCATCTCAGAAAAGGGGTGGATGTTGAGCGGCTTGCAGGCGTGGAGCTTGCCGGAGGCGTGCAGGTCGATGACGGAGTGCATCATCTGCGAGGTCAGCGGGCGCGCCATGGTGGCTATCTGGGCGAGGTCAACCGCGGTGAACGTGGCACAGCGGCTGAAGGGGAGCATGTCGATCTTGCTGTTGGCCATGATGTCGCGTTTACCAATCTCGACGAAGCGCCCGAACATGGCTATGCAGTTGAAGGATGCGCGCAGTGCTTCTCCTGAGAGGGAGTTTACGATCACGTCGACGCCCTTGCCCTCAGTCATCCGCATGATGCCGTCTGCGAAGGACAGATCACGGCTACTAAAGATGCAGTCCTCAGAAAGCCCATACTCCTCCACCAGCAGCTTTCTCTTCTCGTGCGAGGATACGGTCGCGTAGACCTTGGCACCTATGTGCTTGGCCAGCTGGATCACGGCCTGACCTGTACCGCCAGCTGCGGCGTGGACGAGGATGGACTCGCCCGCTTTCAGACGGGCTACCTCATAGAGACAGAAGTATGCCGTCACGAAGACGACAGGGATACTGGCGGCCTCCTCGAACGACATGCGGTCGGGAATCTTGACCAGAAGGTCCTGAGGCACTCTTGTACGGTTCTGGAGGCAGTTGTTGTCGCCGTTCCAGACCAGGACGACACGGTCGCCCACCTTGACGTCCGTCACCTCGGAGCCGACGTGAGTGACAACACCGGCGCCCTCGTAACCGAGGATGTTGTTCACCAGCTCGCCCATAGCCACCATGACGTCGCGGAAGTTCAAGCCCGCCGCCTTGATATCCACCTGGACCTCGTTGCCCTTGAGGGGCTGCTCCGCGCCCGGCCAGTCGATGAAGTGCAGCTTGTCCAGGCGTCCCGGCGCCGAGGTGTAGAGCTTCAGGCTGCGGTCTGGGTCAGCACCAAACTCCTGCAGCTGAGGCTGGAGCACAGTCGTCCTCTTTGCGATGAAGTCGTTGACGGGGGGAGCAGCGACGATCCGGGCCGTCTGGATGAAGCCGCCGTCAGCACCACCGACTGCGTTGACAAGGTAGTCTGCGTGGCGATCTGGCGAGAAGGAGGACCCGGCGAAATGATGCTTGAAGATCTTGACGACGCTGGGAACAACGAGCGAGGTCTCGCCAGAGGCCAGGTGCAGGATCAGCAGGTCCGAGCCGTCCAGGTCTCTCTCCCAGCGCACGGTGCGAAGCAGGCCGGATATCAGGCCCATGTGTGGGTTCTCGTATGGATCAAGCGTGAGCCACAGCAGACCTCCAGCTGTGCACAACAGCTGGCGCAGCAGATCGAACTCGCCTTCGCTGAAGGACGATGCGAGGAAGGGCGCGGTGGTCTCCATTGCCACAATACAAGCTGTGTTCTTCAGGCTGTGCTGGGCCAGGTCGGCGAAACGGACGATGCTCACGGGCTTTTCCGTCACATTCCCAAGAGCAGAGGCCATGGCATCTGCCAGGGCGATGTCCTCGGGCGTCGTGTGCGCGATCACAAACACCCGGCTGATGGCATCGTCCTCGTCGAGCTGGTTGCTGGCGTCTTCCTCCTCCGGCCGCGTGGCCACGATCATGCTCTGCACGTGTTGGTCGTCGTTCAGCGAGTCCTTGAGCTCCAGGACATTGTCGGCGAAGCCGGCCTTGCGCAGCACCTGCTCCCACCCCTTTCCGTCCAGCAGCGGGCCCCAGGGGCGGAAGTCCTCCTTGCCCGCCCACCAGCCCGCAAGCATGCCGAACACCAGGGGGGACTCGAGGCACCAGATCTCGGTGGTCTCCTGGAGGAAGACCTTTCCGCCGGGCTTCAGCAGGCTGTTGACGCGGGTCATGGTCTGGGTGATATCCGAGGTCGCGTGCAGACAGTTGGCCGCGATGATGAGGTCGTACGAGGCCAGGTCGAAGCCCTGCTCCTCGACGTCCCGGTCAATGTCCAACGTCTTGAACTCGATCACGCCACCAGCCTTCCACTTGCCAAACTTGGTGGCGGCGGTCTCGAAGAAGCTTGGGCTGATGTCCGTGTACGTGTACTTGAGCAGGCGGGAGTCTCCGATGATCCGGGTGCCGTTGGGGCAGACGGCCTCGAGGATACTGGTCGTGGTACCACCCGTTCCGGCACCAATCTCGAGCACCTTGAGATCTGCGCCCCGCTTGTGGCTGAGCGTGCCAGCATATGCTCCCATCAGGGTGTGGATCTTCTGGGTTCCAATGGCGACCCGGTAGACGCGCTCAAGCATGTCGTCCATGCCGAACAGCAGGTGCAGCCCGTCGACGTCGCCGCGGAGGATGGGTGCAATGTTGCGGCCCATGCGGCAGATCATGACGGCTTCGGGGTGGCCTGATGCCTCATACTCGGCAAGGAACTTTTCGCGCGCCGCAGCGTCTTCCACAATGGCCGCCCACGAGGCGTCCTGGCTGATCACCTTGTTGTTCTTGTAGTGGTCGACGATGAGACGCAGCCAGCGTAGGTACTTCTGCATGTGCTCAGGCAGTGCCTTCTCGTCCGCAAGCGGCCGGGCCTCGAGGTCCTTGACGGCCTCGATGATCCAGATGGCGCACGCCAGCTGTACGTCCCAGAGCGTCTTCACATTTCTCTCCTCGAGCTCCGGCGTCTCCAGTGGCTTCAGGGCGGAGCGGATGCAGGCCTCTGCCTCGCCGCTCGCCTCCAGGATGTCCACATCCGGCTTCCAGTCCAGGTTGAAGCAGATCTCCCGCACGTCACTGGCCGAGTCGCCCGCAGTCGTGCTCTCCTGCAGCGGCACGGTCTCGATGCCGCGCATCACGATCCTGGCGGGGTTGTCAGCCTCGGCGTTGGTGCTCCAGGCCGTGATGTCCGCCTCGGCCCTCTTGTGGCCGACACGGCCGGCCACGGCGTGCACGGTGAGCTCCGAGCCGGGCTGGGCCTCGATGTCGGCGCTGACCCAGACGCTGCGCATGGCGACGGGCACCATGGGCTCCGTCAGGCGGCCGGTGGAGGCCTGCAGGGCGAAGACGAAGGAGTGCAGGATGCTGTCGAACACGGGCGGGTGGATCACGGAGTCGGCGAGCGCGCGGGCGGGCATCGCCGTGGCCAGGTCGGGGATGCGGACGGTGGCGAGGGCCTGGCCGCGGGCCTTGTCGTCGCCGTTGGAGTGGACGCTGGTGATGTTGCGGAACATGGGCCCGAAGCCGAGGCCGATGCGCTCGAGCTCGGCGTACTTGCTGGCGAGGGCCTCTGTCTGCGGCGCGGTGCAGGCCTCGGTCACGGCGGCCAGCAGCTCGCTGTACTTCTGGCGGCGGGCCCTCTCCTCGCGGCCGCCGTCGATGACGCCGGTGGTGGTGGAGGCGTCGGTCTCGGCCGAGATCTGGCCGCGGCTGTGCTCGAGCCACGAGTCGTCGTGGGCGCTGAAGGAGGTGACCTTCCACTCCCACCACAGGCTGCTGTCTGACTGGCGCGACTCGGTGACGCGCCGCATGGAGAACATGGTCTCGGTGTGCTCGTCCTCGCTGACCTGCAGCGCCCGCGAGATGCTCACGTCGCGCAGGTTGAAGCCGGTGGGCACCTCGCCCCTGTCGCTGTACAGCTGGCGCACCGCCTCGATGGCCATCACCAGGTACGTGACGCCGGCGACGACGATGCTGTCCGTGACCTTGTGGTCCCGCAGCCAGGGGACCTCGGGCACGCGGAGGTGGTTGCGCCACCTGGGGGCCTCGGGGTCCCAGTCTCGCACGGGGGCGCCCAGGACGTCGTGCCGGGCGTGCTTGCGGAAGCGCCATGCGCGGCTGCTGCGGGATTCCAGCCACGAGTGCGTCTCCTTTGCGTGGTGGAAGGGGTACGGCGGCAGGTCGACGAGCATGGCGTCCCTGCTGCCGCTGCCGTTGACCTTGGCGAGGTCGATGGGCAGGCCCGCCGCGGCGAGGGCACCGACTGCCTGCAGCGTGGTGGCGCTCGCGTTCTTGCCGCGGGTCAGGACGGACACGTAGCGCAGGGCCTTGTAGTTGGCGTCGTCGAGCACGGCGTCCCGGGCAGCAGCCTGCAGGGCGCCGTGCGGGCCGACCTCGACGAGGTGCGACACGGGCAGCTCTGCGCCGCCGCCGACCTTGAGCTGCTTCTTGGCGACGTTGGAGGCGCACAGGGCCACGAGCGCCTGCGAGAACCGGACCGGCGACACGAGGTTCTGCACCCAGTAGTCGGCCTTGGTCATCTCGCCGGTGGCGACGAGGCCGCCCGTGACGGACGACACGACCTGCACATCATCCGGCTTGTTGTCCGCCGCGCGCAGCTCGCCCATCAGCGAGCGGTACTCGTCCGACACGGGCACCATGTGGCTCGAGTGGTACGCCCTCGCCACCCGCAGCTTCCGGGCGAACAGCTTCTTGCCGCTGGCGACCTCGACCATCGCGTCGACCTTGGCCTCGTCTCCCGAGATGGTCAGGCTGTGGGGCGAGTTGTAGCAGGCGATGACCAGCTCGCCCTCGGCGCCCAGCTTCTCGTTGACCTGCGCCATGAGCGGCGCCGCCTCGTCCGCCGTGCACCCGATGGCCATCATGGCCCCGCGGATGTTGTCTGCCGCCGGCTTTGCGCTGACCACACCACGGCAGTACGCCACCTTCCACGCCGACTCGCGGTCCAGCGCCCCCGCCGCGTACGCAGCCCCGATCTCGCCGCTCGAGTGCCCGACCACCCGCTTGGGCGCCAGGTTCCAGCTGGCCAGCAGGTCCACCAGGGCCACCTGCAGCACGGTGCACAGCGTCTGCGAGTACAGCGGCTGGTCGATCCTGGTGGTCTGCGCGTCGCGCTGCGTGAGCTCCTCCAGCACGCTGAACCCGCTGCCGAGCGTGTTGGAGATGAACCGGTCGGCCTCGGCGACGCTCTCCCGGAACACGTCGAAGGCGAGCAGCTCCCGGCCCATTGCGAACCACTGTGCGCCCTGGCCCGTGAAGATGAAGCCCGCCGCCGGCTTGGTGGCCTTGCCCGGGCGCACCGCACTGCTGCTGGTGATGGGATCGGCGAGTGCGGCGAGGAGGGACTCGGCTGAGTCGGCCGTGACGGCGAGGCGCCAGGACAGGCGTGACCGCCGCTCTGAGAGTGTCGTGGCGAGGCTGGAGAGGTAGGTGTCGTCCACCGTCTGCTTCTGCAGGTGCTCCGCGAGGCTGGCCAGGACCCGCGGGATGCCGTCTTGTTCGTTGGCCGAGAACAAGAAGATCCTGTGGCGTGCCGCGGCTCCTGAGTCCCCATCTGCCGAGGGGGCCTCGAGTGCCGGAGTGCATGTGCTCGATCTTGTCTTATGCAGGTGGGCGCTGTCGCCAAGGCCCAGCCGGTCGAGGTAACTCTTCGCATCGTCCATCACCAGGTGGGCGTTGGTGCCTCCGAACCCGAAACTGTTGATACTCGCCCGGCGCACCCCCGAGGGACCTGCCTCGAACGGCGTCGGGGCCAGGGGCAGCTTGAGGCCCCATCTCTCGATTGGTATCCTGGGGTTGATCTTCTCAAAGTTGGTGTTTGGCGGTATCACGCCGTTTTCCAGCACCAGCACCGTCTTGATCACCTGGGCCATGCCAGACGCCGCCTCCAGGTGGCCAATGTTCGTCTTGACGGTGCCGATGTGCAGCGGCGGCCGCTCTGCTGCCTTGGGCCCCCCGCGCTGGAACACGGCCGCGATGGCGCCAGCCTCGGTTGGGTCGCCCGCCGGCGTGCCCGTGAAGTGGCCCTCGAGGAAGCGCGTGTCGTCCATGTCAAGGCCGTTGCGCGCGTACACGTCACGCATGAGTCGCTCCTGCGCCGGCTTGCTTGGCAGCGTGATGCCGCCCGTGCCGCGCCCGTCCGAGTTGACGCCCGTGCCGCGCAGCACCGCGCGGATCACGTTGCCGTCGCGGATGGCTGCCGCCACGGGCTTGAGGATCAGCGTGCCCACGCCCTCGCCGCGCCCGTAGCCGTTGGCCCGCGAGTCCAGCGAGTAGCACTTTCCGTCCGGAGACACCATGCCGAGGCCGCTGGCCCGGAACATGAACTCGGGCGACTCGATTATGTTGACGCCGGTGATGATGGACTAACGGGGATGGGTCAGCAAGTTTGCCCTGTCATGATGTCCCTGGGTACCTAGGTATTCCACCGCCGTGGCTGCTGGTTCCGGGACGCAACTTACCATGTCGCTGAGCCCGGCCCGCAGGTCCTGGGCTCCTGTGTGCAACGCTACGATACTGCTTGAGCATGCTGTGTCGAGTGTGAAACTGGCGCCTCTCAGGTCGTAGAACCAGCTTATCCGCGCCGCCAGGATGGCTGCGCTGGTGCCGATGGGCTTGTATTTTTGAGACACGTCCGGGTCCTCTTGCAGTATGGACCTCACGTCGTCTGTAAACTGACCCGCAAACACGCTGGTGTTGCTGCCTTTCATGTCCTCTAGCCGGAGGCCTGCGCTCTCCATTGCCTCGTACACATTCTCCACTGCAGGTTTGTGTGGTGAGCTTTCTTTGCTACAGTTTCAATCTTGTTTGTTGTGCGACTATCCCCTAGGCAGGATGCGCGCTACTGGGTCTCAAGTGCTTGCAAAAGAATACGTACTGACTACCCGCTGCTGGAGATCCATCGTCTCCGTTTCTGTGCGGGTGATGTTGAAGAAGGCGGCGTCGAACTGCTTGCCGTTCTGCTCGCCATCGCGCAGGAAGTGTCCCCCCTTTACGATATTACTCCCTGCGCGCTCCTGGGATGGGTGGTAATGTGCTTCTTGGTTCCATCTTGTTGCTGGGATTTCTGACCAGGCGGACTTGCCTTCCATCAGCAAGTCCCATAGTTTTGATGGGCTGGTGGCGTCCCCAGGGAAGCGACATGCCATGCCAATGATGGCGACGTCGTTGTCCAGACTGGGAATAGGATCGGTGGACCCCATCGTGACGTCTTAGGAGTGATGCTCTTCAAATGTTTTGCGCAAGGGGTTGAGAAAGTGAGGGAGTGAGGCTAGGTGGTTGAGCACCGAATGTCAATGATTACCACTGAGAAGTCATCTAAAGTCCAGAACGGGCGGTATTCACCCTGTTGTCAAAATCACAGGGCACTATATCAACATAAACTCACGATCGCCCTCTCTGGATAGATACGATCAGATGACTCAGCAGCAAGCGGCTCTCCCACATGTTGCCAAGTGTACATCCTCCGAAGTTATCGCTGCTCCGTGTCATATCATCGACCCATGTCTACCTAATTTCACCGAAGATTCGGCAGCGGCGCGCGGTCTGCTGAGGTGGTGAAGCCCACAAAATCCGGCGAGTCATTGCCGCATCTCCGCCTTGTCAGCCTTGTTTAGGCTTAGGCGCCTGGGGCTCACCAGGTCGGACCCATCTTACCTGACTCTGGGGAAAGCGGGACCCCAGAATACTCTCGGTCCGACTGCGAGCAGTTTGAGCTTAAATGTCACTAGTACCCCACAAGTCGATGTATAAAAGGACCCCTGAGCACCAGTGGTGGTGTGGGGATCGTGATGATCGTATCCACCGGCCTCATGTGAGGAAGACGGTGGAAAGCTTGTCATAATGCTTGCTAGTTTCTCGAAGTCAATTGGATGGGCTGCGAGGCTTCCCATGGTCCCAAAACAGGAGGCGTGGATGTACAACCTGGGCGCGCTCGACTTCCGCGGGATAAAACTAACTCCGCGCAGGTAGGCGGTATCTCTACAAACATGACAGGGCTACCTAGAAAGTCAACGGAGGTTGATCGAGGCTGCGCATGAGACATAGTGGACCACACGAAAGTGCGGCATTTAAGGGGACTCGGGCTACCACAGTACGTGTGGCTGTCATTATGCTGTATGTGGTTGGTTTACTGTATTATTTTCACCGGACACAGTTTGACCCGCCAAAGGCTTTCAAAGTCAATACCTTGGTGAAACTTTGCAACTATAGCCCGAAGGTCCGAAAGCAGCAACTGAGTCTCTCACCAAGAACACATTCGGCAATCTGTAAACATGCCTATACGGATTCTATGTCTGCACGGCAGGGGTTCTAATACCGAGGTGGGCAATCCTGATGCATCTTGATCGCCTGTAGCGCAGCACCAAAATAACTGACAGATGCTTTCTCGCTCTTGTAGATCTTCCGCATGCAGACGGCAGGCATACGGAGTCAGCTAGAGCCAGAATATGAGTTTGAATTTGTGGAGGGCCGATGGCCTCACTTGGAAGGCAACTGGTCCCTGCACACAGTCGACTTCTCAAAGTCAAATGTGAGTATTCTAGAGCCTAGCTCTGGCGGCTGGGTCAAGAGAGCCGCAAACTCTTTCTAGGCGCCTCTGATTGTCAAAATCCCTACTTTGGTCTGGACTCCATATATGTCCTCGGACGTATACGGAGTAGAAGCGAAAACACCCCTCAAAGGGTGTGGCTTTCTTAATATTGCCGCGCTAATGTACTTTTCTAGCTCTATGGGTTCTACAACATGCTAGACATCGAGGACATTCTGGCCACCGAGAATGAGCTGCGCGAAGTAATAGAGGAACATGGCCCATTCGATGGCTTGTTAGGATACTCGTAAGTTTTTGAGAACCTCTGTTAATTTCAGGGAAAATGTCTATACAGGCCATGATCTCGCCCGGGAACGAAGACTAATTCTTTGAATTAGCCAAGGTGGATCTATGGCTGCTCAAATCGCGATTCGACTCCTCATGGAGAATCCATACGCCACGCCCCAGGAGTTGCCAATCAAGTTCCTGATTCTCATAAATAGCGCTGTGCCACCATTCATAATGCCATTGGAAGGGGAAGATGTTACGCATATACCGATCGAGGAGGCGCCGAAGCTTCAGATGCTTTTCGACGTCTTCAAAGCGAATCCGGCTGACCACCTGGAAAAGGCTCGGCCCGCGACGCTTTCCAATGGTCGACAGGTACGCACAGAGAGACTGGAGTTTCTTTATGATTCATAGTGCTGACTGACGGTGATAAAAGGCTCTTGTGAACAGCACGCACTACATGACGTTCTTTGATAAGGACTGGGATGGCCATATTCTTTCCATGCCTTCGCTGCACATCACCGGCCTTGGTGATGCCCCAGAATACGGCCAGCAACTCTTTGATATCGCCGACCCTAGTCAAGCAGAGCGAATTGGGCATGTGTTCGGGCACGACTTTCCACGGGGTCTTGATATGAACAAAACCATTGCCAGGGCGATCAGGGCCATGGCGGCAAAAGCCCTGTAGGTGACGGAGACAGGGGCTTCTCGCGGCGGGTTTGGACGTCTGTAGCTAAATCATATACAATACACATCCAATGTCCCAGAATACCTCAGTCAACATTGACGCCTAATCTACAAACTAGCTCTCATCATTGCTCGAAATCTGCGGCCAAGAGCGCAAACTCGGCAACCGTGGACCCATCGCCATCATCTGTCCAGCATCCTGTGACCTCTAGTTTCGCAAATCCACCGCTCCAGATCGCGCCGGCGAGTTCAATGGTGGTGATGTTTCCCGCGTATTTCACCACAGCCGAGTCCGGGATCCACGGCTTCGTTATGCCAACGTCTTGGTCCGCAAGGACAACGGCATGCTCGAAATCCGAGCTGTTCGAAACCGAAACCTTGACATGTTTTGGCGGCCGCATGGCAAAATCCAGCTGAATAGCCCCCAGCGGCCGCCGCGCCTGCGAAGATCCAACGTCGACCACAAGAGCGGCTGTGACATTACTTGCACCGGGCTGCCAAAAGGTGCCCCCGTACCCATCCGTTGCCGCGAACGCCAGCTCGCCATGTGTCGAGCTTGCGCCGCTGCACTGCAAGATGTTGCCCGGCACAGAAACCTCAGTGTCGTACATCCTGTTCTCTACCACCGCAGTGTCGCCGACCCGCAGGAAAACCGTCCGCGCGTCGGGGTCGTCCACGTCCCGACCGATGGTCACGGGCATGGCCTCCTCGCCATACTGGTCTGGCACCAGGCCGTCGAAGTGAGATGCATCGCGCCGCGTGATCGAGGTATGCGTGCGGTTCATGCGGAAGCTGACGACGGCGCCGTTGTAGAACTGGATGGGTGGCTTGAAGTTGCGGAGCTGGGGCGGGAGGGACGGGTTGATCAGCAGGTTCCGGTGTGTGACGCGCAGGCCGAGGAAGCCCGCGGTGAATGTCTGCAGAAGGCCGCCGTGGCCGGTGAGGAAGGGAAATGCTGGGTTGATGCCGTTACCCGTCAGTGGGTCCGGGATGCCGGGCTCGTCGTCTGCCTGTTCGGAATATTGGTACCAAGGGCCGCGGATGTAAGGCTGGAACGACTTGACTAGGTATGTCCAGAATGCGCAGCCCGAGGTGGCTAGGGAGTTGGCTACGATGGCATATACGCTCCAGGTCATGGCTGGGCCGTTTGGATCCGTACGGACCGCGTAGAAGTCCATCGCAGCTCGGTACTTGGAGAGTGTGAAATTCCGCTTGTAGTCGTAGGGATAGTGAGACAGGATTATATCTGCCTGCTTGGGGAAAACGTCGTTCGTCATGCCTTTGAATTCCAGAACGACGTCGTCTTCCGAAGTGGGGATCGAGATGTTCTCGATTTGGTCGAGCCAGTTCGGCTCAAGCGGGATGCCTCGTTCATGACGAACATCCGAGGCATATTGTAGCAGAGTGCTGACCGCAGTCCCAGTGAAGGAACCGTCTGCGATCCACATGTAGTATTCGTCAGCATCAGCCATCACGTCGATGCCCCAACGGCCGGTGTCCTCTCGTCGTGTCAGAACACGAGGGTCGCTCAGGCCCAAAGCGACGCCATCGATCACGTCTGCCGCCCCGTGCTGGTCAAACCAGTCCTTGTCACCGCTCGTGTTCCGACCCATGGTCATGCTCAACGCAATATCAGCATTCAGGTGATACTGGTACATAATGCAAGGTGCAGACATGTTGTAGCATTGTCCATGTCGGCCGCTTGTCCACGCGTAGAGCATGCTTCCCTCCTTCAGTTCATGCCTTTCGGTGTTTCTGCGAGACTGCTCTGCACGGTTGATGCGATACAGCGAGAACTGCCTCGCCAATTTGGGATGCACTCCCTGGATGGCGGGGGCCACGAAGAGATCAGCGTCCCAGAAAATTTTGCCTCCATATGTTTGGGAGACCAGGCCGCCTACGGCAAGAGAGTTGCACGCAATGCAAGTGCTCGGATTCTCATCACGCGTCGGACTCCAGGGGATGAGGCTGGTGTAGAGATAGTAAGCGGAGGAGATGGCTGTGATCTGCAAAGCTTGCACTATGTCATCGCCTGATGCGAGCGATCCTGTCACCGGATCTCTGAAATCAGCCACGAAGTCTGCCCTCATGAGTCTGCCCACTTCGGCGCTGTGCTCTTCACGTAGACCATCATATCCACGATTGATTGCAGATGACAAGACTTCTGATAAAATTGTCTCTGTTTCCAGCCCATAATGCTCTGATGAGGCAATACCTGCATACTTGTAGACCGTTGCGGACTGTAGACCGGACTGAATCCGATACCGCTGGGTCGAGGAGACGGACTGGAAATCGCTATCAGAGGAATTGGCTGCAACAAAATTTGGAAGATCGTTGAAGTCAGATAGAAAGTCGCTGGAGTATTCGTCCTTGTCTTTCAAGGACAACAACTCGTCCCCAATCGTCGATGAGAGCACATACGCCGTGACATGGTCGACCCCATCTGGCGAGACAGCAGAGGAAATCTGACTACTGGGAGGGTCTACCTCCGTCTTGACGCTTGTTGTGCGTAAAGCTGACTGGTCATCCAGTATGTCAAGAATATGTACGTCGTCGAGGCCCTGCTCGCTGGAGACAACCAGTTGCACGGCTGCGAGGCGTCGCTCAGCCAGTGACGCGAAAGATTCGTAAAATATTGTCAACTTCCGGCCCTTTTCGCACTTTGGAGGACTCCAGACATATGACCATGTGAGTATTCCTGTCTTACTGGTGGGACGTCTCAAATTAGCGCCATATTCGGTCGGTCTTATGGGAAAGCTGGTGTGTACCTGCTGACTTACAAAGACAGGGTTGACTCAAATTCACTGATCTCGGATACGTCTACATCCCCATTGAGGACACTACCGCATACCTCGACGAGCAGATCGGTGAAGTGCGGCACACCGGAAATAAAACTCTCGCCGAGCTCACCAGGCTCAAGCGTGCTAGTCTTGCTACCCCAGAACCCCGTGACCGTGGCGAACGTCCTTCGAGGATTGCTATAAGATGGCCATCCTTCTGAATCATTTCGGCGGCTGCGCTCATAGAACGGGCCGAGAGAGCCTTGTGCAAGGCCAAAATAGCTGTATGCAACAGAGCAAGTGATTTATCAGCACCTGTATGCAGCACGCTAGCGACGAAATTGAGAAGTCATACATACCCGTTTGACTGTGGTAACCAGGCAGTAAATACCCCTGGTAGCGGCTTGGTGGATTTCAAAGTCCACGTGGAATCATCCCAGGACACCCATTCCGCGTTGATATCGAATGACGAGCTTGTGCTTGGTGCTCCTCTTGCTACGCCGAAGGAGCACACAATGGCCAAGACTAGCACTGGAAGGTTCATAACGAGCATTCGAGGTCTGACGAGCCGGTCTGACGAGCCTGGCATTGGTTCAGAGTGTGCTTGTCCCATCTACCTAGGTACGGGATGAGCCATCTGTATCAAGCGGTGTGCTCCGTGACACTTACACGAGACGCTGATGATTTGGCCGGAGATAACCCACAATTCAAGGTTGGGGCCCCACGTGGACTGAAGCGCGACTAGCAGATCTGGACCCGCCCCATGGGGAGCCGACGACAGGGCCAGTGACTCGCGAGTTCTCCACTGCCATGGTCCCACTGCCATGGGAACCAGGTGATTCACAAAATTCGCTCACTCTGCCTCCACGGATAATCATTACCTAGGTAGTTTAGCTCGGCAGGGACGCCGCCGTCAAACTCTCGGGTGGTGGGCAGCTTTCGGTGCAGTGCCAGGCCCTGACCCTGGCACGCTGGTACTTTTGCAGTGGGAGGCGGAGAGGGACGTTCAACACATGCTGTGGTCAAAAACATGTAGTCAGACGTGGCATATTGTCTTCAAATGATCTTATCTCGACCTCAGTAGGGCAAAATTGGATTAAGCTGACCGGGGCTTACGGATCCGAGAGGTGCCTAGTCTTGCCAAAAGCATCAAAGTTGCGAGAACAGAGCCTTGTCATTGAAAGAAAACCCCAGGGATCCGTGCCCAGAGCATGCAAGCATCTGAGAACCCTTGAGATGCAATCCTATGTCTCAAAATTTTAATACTCTGTTGGGATGGCCTCTCCAGGCGCCCTCGTTTGCGCACCTGGCGCATACTCAAATTCAAATTTGTAGCTCGAAATTGACTTCAGGCGATGCTTCAGATTTGCAGACTTGTAAGGTTCTGCATACTGCTACGTCATTTTGATAACTTGGCATTGTTTGACAGAAACAATAAGTGCTAGCCTCATCTTACACCTCTTGATGTCTCCTCCTGATTCTCATCTTGGCGTTCATTGGCGGAACGTGATTCGTTCCAAACCACATATTCTCTTGTCTTTTCTCTTGGAACTCAAACTCGTATTTCTCCAGGATCTCCGCCATCAACACCTTCAACATTCCAGCAGCAAAGAATCGTCCAGGACAGCTGTTCAAGCCAGCCCCAAAGGACAGGTAGTCGGAGGATGTGGTCGCCCACGCCTGCCTCGCCCCCTTCAAGTTATCGCCAGAATTCTGTGCGTCCTTCCTTCTGTTGTAGAAACGGAACGGGTTGAAAGCCTCTGCGTCAGATCCGTAGATGTCTGTATCGTAGTGGATCGAGTACGCTGGGATGCCAACTTGATAGCCCGGCGGCACGTAGATGCCGGAAGGCGTCGTAGCGCCGTCCTTCCCGACGATACGCAAGGGGCCCAAGCTCAATATGGTGTTTATGCGCTGGCTCTCCCGGAAGCAGCTGTCCATCTTCTCGAGTTTGGCCAGTGATCGCTTGTTCCATCCCTCGTCCTCGCTGTGGGCCGCGCGAACGTCGCTGATCTCTTGGCGAAGCTCGGCAACGTACTTGGAACCTTGCTCGGCGCCGGAGCCGACGATGTCAAGGACCATGTGCATGATTGCAAAAACATTGGTGTGCAGTGCGAAGGCGTTAAGGAGCAAGATCCGCGCTGAAAGGACTTCTGGATCCAAGAGGTAAGGGTCACCATGGGTTTCTCCGTAGGTAATGAGCCAGCTCAAAAAGTCGTTTCTGCCTGCGTCTCCCTTGCCTCTGGCGTCCAATCTTCTGTGGACCTCGCCCATGGTGAGCTTGAACCACTTTTTCTCGTAGTAGCGGGATGGCAGGGTCACCAAAGGTGCCAGCAGACGCCGCAGCGGGTTTGGAATCAGCCAGAGCATATTCGCTCCCAGCGGTATAACCTGCGCATACCTAAAGCCGGTGTGAAGCACTTCTTCATTCCGGCAGTATGATTCCCCAATGAAGATCCGATTGATTGCCTGGCCAATGATGAGCCTCAGCGTGTCGTAGACTCCCACCTCCTTCCACTCGGTGCTAACACCCCAGCGTTTCTTCAGTGCGAGATCCAGCTCCTCCGCAAGGTCCGGGATCAGGTTACCGATCTCACGCGTGAGCTTGGTTTGTATGATGTGGATGGGAACATTGTTGTGGTCTCGTGTGGGATAGACGGTGCCCAAGTTCCACTGAAAATGGTTGGTGGTCTGATCGTGCATGCTCACGACAGAGTCGGGCTGATCGACAAGCCATTTTCTTTGGGAAGAGGGCAGCAGGATCAACTTGTCTTGGCCTGGACCTAAGATGGGGACACGAACGGTCTCATCTTTGTGCTGTGTGTGGTGCAGGTAGAGCGTCTTCTTCAGATCCAACGTGTTTCGGTAAAGCGCCCGAAGATAGGGGAACCATTCGCCGGGCGGGCTGTTAAGGAACTGTAACTTGGCGACTGAACGAGGGGTTGGAAAGATCACATAATTGTAGACTAGGTACACAACCAAGACGGCCGACAGTATGAGTACCTTCGGCGGTGCGGGCCATTCTGCGCTTTGCATTGTGGCCATGAATTCGACTCGATCCGCTGATATCTGGCAAGAAACGCAGATAGTGAACAGGCATAAGAACAAAAGATGAATGTAATACTTTATAACTCTACTTGCTGATTTCCCAGGGTTACAGAAACGGGAGCCGCATGCGGGAGTCCGAAAGGGTGAATGATGTTCCTGCTACCCTTTCCTCCCCAGCCATAATGACCCATCAACTGTATTGTGACAAGATCGCTGCCCGAGTCGTATGTTTCAGGAGGGGGGAACCACTGTACCCAATACTTACTGGTGCCGCCACGCATCGAAACCGAAGGCTGGCTTCTAAAGTGTGATCATGATCTGCAAGATCGATGCTGACTCGTGTAATGACATGTACCATGCCAGCTAGTGTGGGTGTGATCCACCTAAAGTGGCCCTCGAGCTTAGGGACCACTAGTCAGCTGATGGTTAGAATCATAAATGCATTTGACAAAAGTTTCTAGGTAACGGCCCGAATTGTGCTCAGCGGTGTATTGAAACCTTGACTCAAGATGGTTCTCACTTTACTCCAAACCTGTATTTCTAAACAACGCCTCTGATTAGCCGCGCTGAAAAATCGGCGAAAATCATCCCGGACAAGGGGGGCATCCCTGACCAGCCATCTGGCAGCATGTTAATGTTCGCGTCGTACCATGTGCTGAGCCGGGGTCGCGGCATTGTGCCTCTACCCCGTGGGGCACCAGATGTCATGCCCGTATGATGATGACTGGTAAGAGGTTGCTGGCGTGCTCTCGTCCACTTAAGCACGCAGTTGGGAATTCAGACCACTACGAGCTCTGCTCTGGTGTCCGCTAGGACCACGGCATCTCCTCCCTAAAATCCTATGACGCATAGGAAGCCCCCCGATGGGATACCTTTTGATAGGATGTCATCATATTAAACAATGTTTCATAGAGAAGTCGTCTATAGAAATTATATACCTAGGTAGACAGGAAGTACATATGTAGCCCAGCTAGTATATGTGATCTGCAAGCATGTGCTGCAGGTTGACGTAGGAACTTTGTCGGCCAGCGCATTGTCGTCTGCATGGAATCACCCGAATTCCGCGTCGACGATCAACGGCGCCGTCGGGAGTGATGCCTTCAAGCCTTGTCTGTGCGGCACGAGGCTGAGGCCACGTGCCCACAGACGTACTTTATTCTCTCTATACTGCTATTAGCACCATATTTCCTTTAAACACAAGGTCTTAAGCGTTTACCACTATATGAAGGCGCCACATACAGTTTATATGTACGGGGATTAAAAACGAAACCACTTATCTCCTTATGTTCTAGTCTCTATCATCTATCATTCCCCTATAAGTCCAAGTGAGCTTATTGTTTAAGTACTTATGTAGCATGTAATTAACTTGTGTAACAAACGAGCGGACATTTTTGTTTTTAGCCATGCGTTAACCCCGCTTCCTCCTTGCCTCCTGGACATCTGAAAGTAGGCTTGCCTTAAGAAGAACTGTCTCGTCTCAAAACTCCAAGAGCAGCCCTTACGCGTTACTCCTCCCTTGAAGCTACATATGTATGCAACAATGTTTCGTCGCAAGAAGATGTCTACCCGAGATCGTCCCCAAGTCTTCGGCTACGATCGCGATGCTTTCGTCTCACTTGTGAAGCGCCACTACAAGCTGCTCGTGGACATGGGTCATCTGCACCCGGAAGCCCTCCAGGCCCCAGATGAGGCGGGATGGACCGATGCGGAACTCAACGTCGACGCGCTGCGGACCCTGGGCCGGTCCGAGACAATCATTGACCTTTTGCGACACCTGCCGTACCCGAGAGCGGGTCCGCCCGGCAGCGACGAGGCCGTTGACGATGCGGTGGTCTACTATGAGACCAAGGCTCTGTCCTACCTCAAAAACAAGTGGCAGCCCGAAAAGGACACGGATCCAGACTGGCACAAACGGCCGTTTGCTATGCTTGGGCTGGCACCTTTTGACAAGCCCGTGCCGCCGCACATGGTATCCTTGACGTATGATGAAGCGCAAATCGGAGTGATTTGGCTCATCGACACGGAACGAGGTTTGACTTTCCTTACGATCTCACTCCTACTGTAAGGCATGCTGACGGAATCACAGGATGTGTCTATCCTCAGGGCGATGAGTACTACTTGTACGATGACGCCCCTCCCGAGGCTGAAGGCGACGAGCCGTGGCTCAGCGCAAAAGCGCTTTCATTTCAGATCTTCTTCGACAAGATGTACAAGGAAATCTCGTCTCTGAAACTGGTCCCAGCACCTACGGCGGGAAACTTTGGGGCGGCGATCAGGGCCGCGAAGGACCCGGATGCCAAGGTGAATTCCCGATCACGACTACACATTCCGAATGCTGCCGAGTGTGGCATTCAAAATATCTGAAACTGACAGGTTGCAGGCAATGAAACGGCTGTACATTGAGCACGGCTGGCCGGAGGCTTTCAGGAAAGACGAGTTTCTCAGGGCAGCCGTGCCAGCTCGTGCAGCCGTCCTGGACGACGAGTACGACTGGTCAGACGAGTAAACAAGACCTCTCTGCACACACCCCTAATACCGACTAGCGTAATTTCGCTATGAAGAGTGCACCGGTACGGTTTATTTCATGTCACAAAGAAGTGAATAGACATTTATATTCTGGTGTGGGAAGGCATCCTATTTAAGAGCAGGCTCTCTTAGCACTACAACTAATTTATCCACTATATTTATATTATATTAAAATAGCTTTAAGTATTTTAATATTATTTATAAAGTATTTTTTTAAAATATTAATATAAAATATAGTTTTTTAAAACTTTATATTATATTAAAATAGTTTTAAATATTTTAATATAATTTATAAAGTATTCTTTTAAAATATTAAAATAAAATAAAGTTTTTTAAACCTAGATTTTATTAATAATTATATTAAAGATTACAATTATATTATTCTTAATATATTATTTTATTAATAAATAAAAATAATATTTATAAAATTTAAAAAAGAAAGAAAAGTTTATTATAAGGAAAATATATTTTATATAAAAGGTAAACCTAACGTAATTATAGATATAAAGGGTAGGTTAAATTAGAGGGTGGGCTGAATCCTATTACTCTAACTTAATAATTATAATTATAATATAGCTGAAGCCGAGCTGAAAAAGCTTCCATCTTTGCGGCCACACCTGGGCAGCTGGCGGATCCGGCTGGATCAACCCCATTTCCAGATCCGAGTATGAGTGAGCGGGAGCAATTTCAAACCAGCCATCAGTATCTTCCAAGGTTTTGATACGTGCTCATGGGATTCCATGTCGGCTGATAGGAATTACGACCCAGCTGAAAAGACAACTGCGGAAGGGTCTGGTCCCACTGTCCTTATCCAACATTTGGGGGCATGAACAATTTCCAAATCGTGCTCAGACATTTGAAATCGGAATGAATGTAACACTATTTGTGGTGATATCCTCCGCTCGTTCTATGTGAAAACGCTTTGAACACTCAATTCCCCCAGTATTATGGATGTGGCAATCCTCAGAAGCTCAGAAGACTGAGATGATTGAGTTTTCAGAGTGGTTTCATATGATAGAGCGACCATTCACAACTTGATTACATATCTACAACCCTGACAGTCATCTACAAGGGAAATCACTGGGAGCGGGACGCCTGTAAGAAGAATCCACCACAGGTCACCAAGAACAGCTTTGAATTTCGCCGTGTGATAATCGCCTTTTAGCAACCACTGTGAAAGTGTCATGCCTCAGCTTCACATCATATGCGCCTCTGAAGATATCCTCAAGCATCCCTTCCAGCTTCGATGGGTTGACGTTCCTGGTGGAGATAACCGTCTCCTCCCGACGCTGTCGCCGATGACGATTCGATGGGTTCCAGTCAGACTCGTACCAAACGGTCCTTTGGGGCGAATTAGCATTGGTACATCGATGGAAGATGGGTAAGTCATACACGTAGGACGACATTATACCGAACTTGAAATAGGGGTGGGGCCCTGCCACGTATTCGTTGCCAGTGTTCCCAGAGAATGCATATGTGGCGGAGCGCTCAGGGAATAGAGATATCTCTGTATTCACAGAGAATAGAGGTATATCTTTAGTCCCTGGACTCTGACGTATTTGAATTCTCAGAGAACCGTGGGCTGGGACACGCTCAAGAGACGCGACGGTCTGTCGCAAAGCTGTGGAGAATTGAGGGGAACCTGAGCCAGTTTGGAAACACTGGGCGGGTGGACCGAATGGGTCGTCCACCCTTTTGACCATCCTACCGCCACCTTGTGCTTTTGCTGATTCCCGGGCGGGTGAGATGCAGGCAGGTCAGGTATAAAGAGGGTGTGAAACCCGACCAGCCGCATGTACTAAGCACGCGCAGTGCCCTGCAGAGTCGGTCAGCAAGACAGCCAGTCACATCACGCGAGCACTGTCAGAGGGCTGCATCCAATGTTGTTGGCCACTTTCATGAGGGCTGGTGTGGTGCCACGGAGCCAATGTCCGCCGCGTATGCAATATTGGAGGCAACCCAATTCTGCCCTTGAACGCCCGAAGGCAATCACTCGGACTTTGGTCCCCCACCCCCCGTGGTCAGCGCCTCCTTTTGTTGGTGCGATATCACCCACGCCGCAGAGCTGCTGCCTTCGCCATTCAATCAGGGGCAGTTGCCTTACCATGGATGCATGATAGTGATGTCGCTTACGAGAGTCACTACACCTCATACATACTATATGTAGCCTAATCCAAGGAATCTCCCCCCAAACTTTCCACACCCCACTCCTGTGACCCTCCGATTGAGGCACCTGGACTCAGCAGAGACCTAGGTGGCTTTCCAACGGCGCACCGGTGGCCGAAGAGTTGGGTGTGCTGCGCGGGGGATGCGCTAGTGGATTGTCTGCGCAAGCCACCTGTTCGCGGGCAATGGATTGTTACAGTACCTCTCAGCCTTTTGCAATAGAGCGGAAAAGGACAGCGGGCTCTGCTACTGCTGAAAATCTTCTTGGTGCTGCATTTTCTGAGTGTGTCAGCCGGTGGGAGGTGCGGGCCGGCTTTATGCAGCCGAGAAGAGAATTTGCTTGTACAAGATGTCATTCATAAAGGCTTACACATCTCACCCTCGTTGAAGGAGATGCTGATGAACATCGAGAATCCCCGAGTTCTTCGGTACACTGTCAATTTTCAACGCTACGTTCCTATACTACCCGAGGCACGTTGTGTCTTATCAACCTGAGATAATGATGCGCAAGGTAATCGATCCATACAAGCCCCTTTCATGCTTTTGTGCGACTACGAGAAACATTTACGGTGCTCTGCCATCTTGAACACCCCAGTACTCACAGGACTATAGAGCTCATCGTCGTTTCAAAAGCCTCAGAGTGGAAAGCCAAATTTCGACCCCTTTAATGATTCGAATCAGCTTTTGGCCCCGGGTAGCCCAAGCAGTGGCCGCCGAGTTTCCTTTTCTATACCCGAGGACAGCCCATGTCATAGTCCCAAGGGCGGCCCATCCATGAGCGGCAATCCCTTCACAGAGTCCCCGACATATCATTCTCCACAAATTGCCTTGAATCAAATCCTGTCTGTTTCAACGACCTCTGGCACTACCCAGAGCCTCTCCCTCTGGTCTCAACTGCAAAGCCGCTTTCGTCCGTCTGAATATGGCACAGGTAGGCGACTTGATTTCATGCAAAAAGGCTCATGCCATCACCGAGAGGAATTCGTTTTACAACCTGAAAGTTTTTCAGATTCCTAAAACTGAGGGCCTCTTCATTGTGCCAACGCATGCTAATGAGCTAACAACCTCCCAGGGGATATAAAAGCTTTTCTTCCCAGGAGTGCTGTCGATGATCTGATCGACAGGCACAACGTCGAAGAATACTGGGAAGGACTCAAACATTTACCGTCCAACAAGTCATTATCTAACGTGTTGGACTATGTGTTTGGTACACGAAATGCCCGATCTGTCTTTGCCATCATCGTCTTGATGGGTGAGCCTTCATTGCTCGGACACCTCATGCAAGATCGTGTGCATGACGATGAGTTACCACTTTCTCAAATTGAGGTACAGGGCGTGGATTCTCAATTTGGGAGGAAGAGCAAAGATGGTTCGATTGTACCTGTAGACTGTTTCAGGACATGGTCAGCCTCCCAAGTCAACTATTTTGGCCAGTTGCAGAGGCAGGTCAAGGCTGTGGTTCTGGAGAACTGGCCGATCCAGCTTCGAGTCACTGAAGTTCCTAGCCACAGTATCTTGCCTTTGATGAAATGTAAACGGATACATTACGGGAACTCAGAGGTTTTCCGAGTGGAAGTCCATCATGCACATCATCGATTCAAAGATAGCACAAAGATAAACCCACCACTCTCTTGTTGGTCCTTGTGATAGAAGCTAACGCGAAAAAGCCGACAACTGACAGAGAGAACACGCCCTTTGCTTTGAAGGTCCTAGAGGCTAAGGATGAGGTCACCTTTAAGCTGGAAGTCAAAGCCCTAATGAAGATCAGGCCCAATAAGCACCTAGTCACTGCAGTAACAGCTTTCAAATACCAGGATAAGTATCATCTGCTTTTCAATTGGGCTGAAGGGGGAACATTGTCAGACTTCTGGAAGAACGAATCTCCAGGGCTGACACACGACTCAATCTGCTGGCTTGCCCAACAGTGTCACGGCCTTGCGGATGGTTTGTGTGGGATTCACAATGCCCAGATATCGGTGCAAGAACTGGTAGATGTGGATCCTCAGCACGAAATGCTCCACATAGAAGCGAATGCAGGATTAAACGACCACCGTGACGATAAGATACATGGAAGACATGGCGATATCAAGCCGGATAATATCCTCTGGTTCAGTGACGAGGACAATGAGTACGAGGGCGGTGTGCTCAAAATTACTGATTTTGGCGTAACCGCCTTCCACAACGCAAAGACGACAAAGCAACCGGCCAAAGCGGTACCAAGGACGATTACATACGCCGCACCGGAAATTGAGGTCTCGCACGATGAGGATGAGCCCCTGGTGTCACGCCCATTCGATGTGTGGTCACTTGGATGTGTCTATCTGGAGTTCATAACTTGGATCCTGTTGGGCAGTGAAGGGGTGCTCGAGTTTGAGCAAAGCAGAATGAAGGAGAAGGTGACCCGGAAGAGGTTCCAAGAGGATAGCTTCTACTCCATACACAGGAGAGGGCGCTTCAATCCTTGGTCAAGGGATTACGGCACCGTCAAAACGAGCGTAGTCGCTGTGAGTGCTGAAGTCTATCAGTATTTGGAGAGTCGAAACTTACTCCTTATTCCCAGTGGACAGACACATTGAGACAAAACCAACGTTGCACCCCCTTTCTCAAAGAATTTCTGGATTATATTCAAACGAAGATGCTCGTTATCAAGACGAAAAGAGAAACCAGCGCCATTGTACGCGCACAACTACGTCGCATGCTGGAAAACTGCCAGCAGGATCGTCAATACGCCGAATCCCAGGCTTTGGTACAAACGGGAACACAGAGCAGGGATACGGTACATCTTACAGGGTCGATATGGCAAAAGGCGGTGATATTTCTGTGCGGCTAATACAAGGCTGATGATAGTCTACATATTCCCAGATCCAAGGGCCCCGGATGGGTACCCTCTTCCGAGTCCGTCTACCTCATGGCATCTAATGCTTCTCCGGTTTGCTCATAGTGGTTCCTCCCATTTTCTACGATCTCCTGAATCTCTTTCTTGGGTGTTTTTCAGTAATTAGGGTCTACATAGTTGTCTTAGATCTCAGTGATACACATACCTCAGTGAGTTTCCTGCTGACACGAATAATGCGTTGTTCTTGAACCACCTTCTCAAGTCAGTGACTAGACTCGCAATTTTCATTCTACAGCCTGATCTCAGGAACCTCAGAGTCGAAAAAACATGGGTGGTTAGACGTACTTTGAATGGCTCCCAGCCTTTCTTGCCGAGGATTCTGTCAAGGTCTCTCTCCATTGGGTCATCGGCGAGGTATCGCAGTGGCAATGCCTGCTCAGCCCATTCTTTCGACATCGTATGGTTGTGGGATGATCTCCAAAATTGGGCCTTCTTGAAAATGTTTCCAATCATTGAGCCCGAATCAGTCACGGTGCTAGATGAGCGAGCTTGGGTCATGGTGTCGGCTTCAGAGGGAGGCTTTCTTATACTTCGAGGTTACTAGAGTTCAGGTGAGAGATGCGTTTCGTACACACCCACACGCTTGCCATGTAGATAAACTCACCAGGCAACCGTGGCGCGCTTACTTCTGTGAAAAGGCGTCGGCTAAGGCAGACTCACTTCTGACCGCCCCCGTATCAGGAGCTGCATGTGCAGGGCGATGGTGGGTGGTATGCCACTCACACTATCTCTTGCCTGCATAACTCTAGTCCCACGCACCAATGATTTTCTCCACTTTGGTTCTGCAGTTCTTCTTGGGGAGGGGGGATAGAGTCGGATGACCACTTGGCACACAATTGTGCACATCGTCTCGAACTAACGCACGCAGCCTTCTCCCGACCTCGAGTCTCGTAGGCGTTTGGGTGTCACGGCAGATACTGCGATATAAACAGAGTTCAGAAAGTCAGCGCTACCGTTTCCCCTCATCGAGGCTCAATGATAAGGCATCTTCACTCACCGAAAACTTGAATGCTCTAGTAATATCGTCCCCCAACTGTATTCAAATCTCTCTGGCTCCACACTCGTTGACAATAATCGATTTGCGCTCAGTGATTTCTCCATTTACCACTACAGGTTTACCTTCGTTTCAAAACATGGAGTGGATTCAAGACGATTTCCTTCTTGGGAGAGAGGACCTGCGCGTTCTGAGTTTCCCAGCTGAGCCGAAGCAGAGCACCATTATCTCCATTCCTGGGGACCCTGACGTAAGAATCCATCATAAAACGCTAGAAATTTGCAATTAGCTCACTGTGACGAAGGAGACCAGCTCAATAACAAAGATATACCCCAATCTTCTAACGCCGGACCAATGGCATGAATGTCTGGATTCAATTCACGAGGTGAGTTACAACATCTCACGTACATACATTTTTCGATTCTCGCACTGTCTTCCAGGCACTCAAATTGATATCTGTGATTGACTATGACAAGCGAAGCGCGAGGTATCCGCACAAAAGCGTCACAATCTTGTGAGTAGTTGTTCAGCTTGCTCAAGTGTATTAAAAGCACATTGCTCCACATAATTACAGACACCACATCAACACATCCCGTTTAACTGCACAATTGATTCCTTATAGTATATGAAATCAAATCCTTATCTCTCAGCGAGATGGTATTCACCCAAAACTCAGAACAAGTTGTTCGGCCATGGCCAGATTCATTCCAGTACGAGACACTGATTGCACAATATCGAAATAGGTTCGGCGGCAGGACGACAAGCAGACTCAGAGGCAACGAAGTCTCCAAATTGCCTTTTGAACCAAACCTTTGCCCAAGAATCGTCTCCACTTTTCAAATTCACCGGTCAATTGCCAGGGTGATCAACCGCAATACCACAGCCGCTTGTTGCGTGACATCTGCAAGAGATCCTGACAGTGGCGAAGAATTACAAAGTGAGTAAACATGATTGTAATGACACCACAATTACTGACATATGGACCCGCATGACAGTCTATAATTGCCGTTCATCTGCTGAATGGAAAGAGGACATGGCACTGTCCGTGACATACTCACATGACAGCCAGTCAACCAAGGCGGTTCTGTACGGTTGTACTGAGCCCATCCGGGACACGATAATCCGGCGCCTGAAGAAATGCAACTACGTTGTCTATCACCCTCTTGCAATCCCTGCGCTATTTTGTGACATCGAGCGAAAGCGTCAGTTTGACCTAGTCGGACCGATCACCAGGAAACTGAGCGAACGAGCGCTGAAAATTGCCAAGCCACAGCACCCTGGCAGCCCCTCCTTGAGGTTCACGCGTAGTAATTCTACGACGTCGACGCAGGAAGCCGGGATTGAGGAAGATTCTGAAGATCTTATGGCATTGTGGCTTGAAGCGAGTGACCTCAAGAGGGGTTTACAAACCTGGAAGCACGAGCTTGGAAACTTAATCGCCCATTCCGACCAACTCGCTCAAGATAGACTCGCCAGAGGCTCCCAAGGCTCCGAAGGCCTCGAACAGCGCCTTTTCATGGATGCTGGGAAGCGAATTCGACAACGTCTTCTGGAATTGGAGGGAGAATATGATCAGAAGATCAGACAATGCACTGATATTATAGACGGTATGGTGCTAGCTGCACAGCTGGTTCGTAACTCATTCCCATCCATTAATTGGCATTGCCCGGCTTAGGCGGCGAACCGGATTGAAACGACGGAGACTGATCGCAAGACACGCAGGAATGGAACAACATTGGTCACGAGGATACGCAGACCAATCTCAACATATCGAATACGAACATAGAAATCGCCAAGGCTACGCAGGCTGACTCCCGACAGATGAGATCGATATCCGTGCTGACGATGGTGTTCCTACCAGCTACTTTTGTTGCCGTGAGTCTTTGAGTCCTGTGGAACCTGGCATAGAAGCCCCTGTTTGCTGACTTACACTGTCCAGACGGTCTTTTCGATGACCTTTTTCAACTGGAGTCCTGATCAAGGCGAGAAGATCATGTCTCCGTGGTTCTGGATTTACGTAGTGATTACTGTTGCCTTCACTCTCGTGACTATGTGTATTTGGCTCATATTTAATCGAAGGATATCTAGAGCCAGGAAGAATGACGTGGAGAGCGGGTCAATAATCTCGGGCACAACGATTCGTGCTTCTGAACAGACTGAAATGGGGGAAAGGGAGATCATGGCTAGCCCCCTCCGAAGGCTGATGACACAGACATCAGGCTGGGGAAAGGGGCACCTCAACAGAGGTGAAAAGGTGGAGTCGACTAAAACATGCTCATGATCAAAGGATGGACTTGCGGGACGAAGCGCGAAGCCGGTGTTGGAGACAGAAGGGCGAGAATGACTAACACAAACCGGCCGACCTACTCTTTTGTAGAGCGTCATTAATCTACAGCTGAAGTTTATTGACTACTTCAAAATTTGACTGCATCATATGAAGTGTAAAAGAAGATCCAGATACAGAATAATAGTGAGGAGTACAGCATAACGGCAGGCGAAGACAGGACCTCTGGAGGAAGTAAGTGATACTAATCCTGGGACATTGAGTTTCCAACACACCAAACATATTAGAATCCATCCTCTTCAGGTATAAAATATGTGTGAATCCTCAAGTTTACAGTTATTTAACAAATACATAAGCTATGTCTATGCTTTCCTCGGCCCGGGATGCACCACCCTCGCGAGCGGAAGTTTGCGAAGGAAGCACCGGAAACATGCTGTCAAAGGGCAGATAAGACCTACTCACGGTCGACATCATACGAGTCACAAATCTAGCGCCAACCCACGTTGACTGACTCTGGAATTGTGGTCTTTTGGCCGGGGCGTCTATGGCGGACCACTCCACGGGTCCGTCTCAACTGTATGACGTACATATCAATGTCTGCACCTGTGTGGATCTTGCAAGTGGGTCTGCCCAAGGAAGAATAGAAGAAAAGAAGGCTGCCCCTCGGACTTTGGAGACCTGTGGAGACCCCTGTAGGGACCTTGATCACTGCCCCTTATTGTACACACAGTGCTTCTCAACACGTACCCTCACAACGAAAACTATTTCGCATCGAGAGACTTCGGACGCTACTACAGGCTGCACTACTAGATTATTCGAGGAAGAGAAATTGTGACAGGTGGACGTAAAAAATGGAACCGTTGTTACCTCTCCGGTAATACCGCCTTATATAGAGTAGACTATTGTCACAGAATTTCAAGGATGACCCTAAGAATATTAATGTGGCCTATAATTCAATTGTGCAGCACGTTTGGAGAACTGTCATGTCAATTCGTACTCTGGACTATATTGTACCACGCTACAACATGCTTCGACGAATGCCTCAGAACTTCTTCGTCACCTTTAGATTCTTGAAGTTTTCAGGCGTCTCGATGCGTATACGTGAGCTGCGGATATCTGGCCTATTAAGAATTTCCTCATAGTGAGAGGCGAACTCGGAAGATTTCGACACGCCGTGTTGGACGGCGTCCTCGTCCACCTCTACCCGGAACATCAGAAAGACCTCGTTCGCGCGCACATTGGTCTTCTCATTCTCACGGGCAGCCGCAGTTGCCATGGAAAACAATGGGCCCTGGGTCATGGCCGGGAGTGCAAAGACTGCTTCTTCACCCTGGGAGCCCGTGCAGATAGTGAATGTACTGTTAGGGTGATTCTGTTCCAACAGATACCCGATGGTATCGCGGTAGGCAACTGCGGATTATCGCTGGTGAGCAAGGTCATGTCTGATAGCGAGGAACTCAGGTTGGTACTTACAGAAATTGGCCTCAAAGCCTGTGTTCATGTTCCGGCGAAGCGCTTCGGTGGTGATGTCTTTCAGGGGTATAGGGGTGTACTCGCTGCCCACTTCATTGAAATGTCAGTCTCTTTGTCAGGCGCGACGGAGGGAAATAACTGACCGCAGGTGTATACATGCTGGAAAGCTGGTAGTTTCCCGGCCTTTACCAGGTCAACAACACTCTTTACTCCTGTGTCCGATGCAATATCGGCCTCGACGGTTTGGATGCCCTCAGACGTCCCCACGTGCTTGAAGAGCTTCTTGGCAGAGTCTTGGTTGCGCACCAAGGCTAGAACCTCGCGTCCAGCACGAAGGGCACCGATGGCGACCGATACGCCGATGTTTCCAGTGGCTCCGACCAGCAGTACGCGTTCGACCATGGTGAATAGTGTCTGAAAGATTGGGATTTGGTGACCGGGGTATTATACTTGACGCTGATGGAGTGAAGAACTAATGATTCTTAGCATAGGAAGTCATGTTCATTCTTATCACCCTCTATCGTCGTGATGATGACAAATTCGACTATAACGATGCGTGTAAAACGGACAAATCGGACTTCTGCAAAACAGCGAGCTGTGCCATATTACCAAGCATCTTCTGTGGCTTTCCGGTGCAAAGCGACGAAAGGGGAAAGAAAGCAAGGATCTTCGGGGCAAAGGGGCATTGGCTGCTGCAAGGGACATCTGGGGCACGGTGGATACAAGGTAAAGAATGTGACATGTTAGTTGCATGTCAGAACCGATACCTGAGGTCAACTGCATCGTTAATTTGCATCATTCCGCAGTATATAGTACCAATACCCATGATTGAACCCTCTCCACAGCGTGCCAGCGCGCATTGGGGGTGTGAGGTCGAGAAAGGCACGTCAATATTGATTTCACCATGTCAGCACAGGATTCAAGAGACCGAGATGCCCTTGAAGGGCCTGATGTATCTGCCAGTGGAACAGCAATAGAACCTGCAAATGGAGTGCTGGAGAAGGAGTCCAGTGGGCACGCGCCAGCTGACGATGCCTCCGATTACGCAACAGGGCTGCGACTGGTCTTGATCATGGTCACCATCTGCGTGTCTACACTCGTCGCCGCCATAGACCTGGTAAGCATTCCCACGAGCTGCCCATAGTCTAAAATTGCACTCACGGTACCATAGGGCATCGTGGCGACTGCAAATACCTGGCATCACTACCGATTTCCACAGTCTGGATGACATCGGTTGGTATGGTGGCGCCATCTTCATCACGGCCGGTGTCACGTCTCCGCTAAACGGAAAGCTTTATAAGTACTTTTCGGGCCGCTGGGTCTACCTCGGATGCGTGCTCCTGTACCTGGTCGGCAGCGCCATCGCCGCCCCAGCTCCGAATAGCATCGCCCTGATTGTTGGACGTGCAATACAGGGCTGGGGCTGCGCCGGCGTACTCGGTGGCTCCGTGCTTATGATCAGTTATGTGTCGGAGCCCAAGGTCCGCCTATACTTATCGGTCTATGGACCTGTGTGCTTGTGGTCTCTACTATTATTGGGTCTATCCTTGGTGGTGCCTTTACTACTAATCTTAGCTGGTGGTGGTGCTTTTGGATTAACTTGCCAGTTGGCGGCCCTATTGTCGTTCTTATCCTGCTCGTCTTCCACATGCCTAAGCATGTCAAGCCTACACCAGCCACCTGGAAGGAGATCCTAATGCACCTCGATATCGGGGGGCTAGTGGTTCTCCTTGCCTCGATCGTTTGCTTCACGCTGGCTATGCAATGGGGCGGCCAATCTAAGCCATGGAGCGACGGTTCTGTGATTGCTGTTTTGGTTCTATGGCTCGTTCTGACTATCGCATTTGTCCTGATTGGGTGGTTTTAGGGCGAATATGCCCTCATTCCGCTGAGAAATCTGCGACCGCGTTTGTTCCAGACGAACGCCCTATATGGCTGCCAGTGGCTCGTCAACCTTGCTGACTTTCTTGCGCTTTTCTACCTTCCTATTTACTTCCAGTCCATCGACGGGCAGTCGGCTATCATCAGCGGCGTGAATAGTACCCCGTTTGTGGCCTTCTTCGCTTTAGGGTCGATGCTTAGAGGCTTCCTCGTGTCCAAGACTGGTTACTTGCAGCCTTTTCAACTTGTCAGCGGATTGCTAGCCACTATCAGTGGTGCCTTGCTCTATATCCTCGAGGTCAACTCAACCCAAGCCAAGTACATTGGCCCGCAGGTTATCCTTGGATACGGCATCGGTGTCGGCAACCAGATTCCCATGACGGCCTATCAGTTCTTCTCTGATCCTAAAGACCATGGTTGCCATTCACTACACTCAGTGTAGTAGTATAGTATAGTAGGTATAAATAAACCCACTACACTCCATTACACTAAGGGTATTTTTAAGTCCACTATATTATATTAAAGAGCCTAATATATATAAGGTAGTAAGTTTAAGTGTAAATAGGGGGGAGGGGTAGAGGGAGAAGGGTAATAGAGGGAGAGAAAGGGAGGAAAAGGGAGAGGAAAGTTAACTAAGTAATTAAATAAGATAAAATAAAATAAGATAAGATAAAATAGGAGGAGGAGGAGGAGGAGGAGGAGGAAAAAAGATTATTTATTTACCTACTTATTTATTTATTTATTTATTTATTTATTTATTTATTTATTTATTTATTTATTTATTTATTTATTTATTTATTTATTTATTTATTTATTTATTTATTTATTTATTTATTTATTTATTTATTTATTTATTTATTTATTTATTTATTTATTTATTTATTTATTTATTTATTTATTTATTTATTTATTTATTTATTTATTTATTTATTTATTTATTTATATATATATACTCTTTCTAACTCACCCCCTTATATTTTAACTTACTATACTATATATACTTATATTAAAAGTCTATACACTATACTATATTTATACTAAAAGTATTTTAAAATCCACTACACTACACTAATAAACTTAATATATATAGTGTAGTGAGCGGCAACCCTATTAAAGACTTATAGTTAAACACGGGTATTATATAGTAAGTTAGGATAGAGATCCCCTTATCCCTACCCGGTTTTCGTGATCCGACTAAACGGCTCTTTACTTTGTTTTAGTGACAGATGAGTTTGGTTGGTAGAAGGAAGAAGTCTGATGTAGGTGGGGGACACGCTCCGTTTTATCTCCCCGCTTCTAAAGTTCCGTGAGTTCTATGTACACATCCTAAGATATAGTTATCACTAACATAAAGTGACGAGACTGCAAGCCTGCACAAAACTCCATTTCATATATATCTACTCGCTTAATAGCTAGCTTTAATATTATTACTTTAATGATAGGATGCTATCCTTAAAAGTCTATATAGTAATTAAAGTTATTATATATAAGAATTCTTATAAACTCTTTATACTATATATTATTAATATTTTTAATTTTTTATAAATTATAAATTTAATTAGTTTAAATAGTAGAATAATTACTTTAATTAATTAATATTAAAAGTTCTTTATTTATTTAATTAAAGTTTCTTATTTTATAATACTTATAATTAATTAAAGTAGTAAGTTCGATCCTTAAAATAATTAAAAAATATTCTATACCTACTATACTTAGAAATATATATAGTACTTAGAGTATAGAAGTGTGTAAGAATTCTTATAAACTCTCTATACTGTGTGCTACTAGTATTTTTAGTTTTTTATACTATATTAGCTACATTTAAACTGTGTTGAGTTATAACGAGGTCGCATGATGTTACCACAACCCGCTTCCAAGCCAGAGAAACTACGCGCAAGCTGTCAAATGGTCTGTCAGAAACATATTTTCTTCTTTCAACCTGTTTCCATCTATTCCTTTCCCACGAGTCTTGTGACATTTCCATTTTACAGACAATTATCCGCGCCATGATGGAGAAAGGCTGGAAGCTAACACAAGTTGGGCAACGGATAGTGCGCCTCGGTGAAGGTCAAATGTACGAAGGAAAAGCTGACGTATTCTCGGTGCCAAAACCGGAGCATTCCATGCCAGTACATTGTCGTGAAGCGTCCTGGACGCCGGCCCCAAGGCTCCACAACCACCACCACTGGCAGTGTAGGCGCAGGCGCATCCAGCTCGGCCAGCCATCCCGCAATCGAATGTGGTGATGCCAACATCGCGATCCTTACGGTCTTCTATCTCGCCAAATCTATCTATCCAGGACAGAGCAACCTCCTTGGCTGAGGCTGGAGGCGCAGCATCACCTGCAATCTCGCTTGGTTCTTGTACTAGCCACACTGGCGCGGACATGCTGAACATGGGCCTTAACTACCTTGACTGTCCTGCCATTTCTGGAGACCTCAGGCCCAACATCTTTGCCAATAATGATATGGCAAACATGGACCCCCTGAGCATCTTCTCGGAGTTGGAAAACACCCATGATATCCTGTCTCCTACCTTGATGGATTTCGGCGCCGAAATGGATGGGTTGGAGTTCTTTGGGGTGTCTGACCGTAATCATATCTTAGGCCAGACTAAACCTCTTGACATCGCCTCACTCCTCATGCCGGCCGGAGATCTTACCGGGCATAACCCTGTTTCGGATCCAACATGCCCAACAGATGCCTCTATGTGCACCGCCGAAAGCAGGTCAAGTATCACATCACCACTTGCCTCCTCTACCAGCCAGATACCCGCCAATCTCATGGCACATTTGACGGAAATAACGAGCCCCATGAACCCGTCCGATGGATGCCAATGTCTGATCCGAGCACTTGATCTGTTAAAGAAACTGTCCGGATCGTCAATCTCATCATCCTCCCCAGCCCAGTCCTAGAAAATTATCACTCGCATATCCGCTCCTAGTCTAGAGGAGAACGAGTCGTCATCCAGCTTCGTGGCGGCTGATACGCAACCCCGGTGGGTCCAGGCGATACTGGAAGAGAACAAGAAGTACCTACAAGTCCTAGGCTACATGTTGACTTGTACAAATACCGAGGAGGACCACTTGTTGTCCATGGTCATCTGCATGGTCCTCTTCAAGATCCTGGAGCGATATTCGGACGCCGCTTGGAGTCGTTCACAATATTCTTGCACCCACAACAGTGTAAAGCTTGGGGTGAACAAGGTTGATAGTATAGGCAAGAAAAGCAGCATGAAGGCATCGGACACGAGTCGTTCGACGTCTATTTTCACCAGTCAAAACCAAGGGCTTAAGTTAAGCCACCTTAACGTGAACGATGGCTTCCATCGCGCCACCGCTCAGCTCGTTCTCGGACAACTACACCTAGCTCAAAGACTAGTGAATCAGCTGTTGTCGAACCTCGAAGGGCCAGACTCCAAGGAGATACCAGAAGGCCCCAAGCAAGGGACACAGATGGCTATAGTGGGAAACGAGACGGGGAGAAACGGTCGCAAACAGGCAGAGACCACGAATCATGGTCTGGTGTCGCCTTTCTCAGCGAGTAACTCGACGCGGATTGCTCTTGATCTGCGAAAGAGCCTCAGTACTTTGTGGGCAAAAGTTATTCATCGGTTGCTTCGAAACTAGAAATAGAAATAGAATCTTGGAGTGGGTGGGTATAAAACTACTAAATTTCGTTGATGCGCTAGGAAATCAAAAATACAATCCAAAGGGGATGTATCGGGCCCTACAGAGCAGCGTCATCATGTCAACTGGTGCCAACCGGTCCACGGGTAGTGGAGCCGCGTAGCCGCCTGTGACTGGAATCGGGTCTCGATCCGAGACTTCTTACTCCCACACCAAGGTATTCACCGCTGACCTAGCATGCTCCGATAGCAAGAACGGCCTCGAGACAATGCTTGCTCGCTGAGTCGCGGCCGAGGTCAAACTGGACCACGATGGATACATATCGCGGCCCCGACGTTGTGACGAAGCTAACCGAGGCGCCTGACGAAGAACAGCGACACCGCTAGCCTCTCCCTCCGCTGTGATAAGGTACTTGAAACTCTGTTTCCGGTGACATTATTTGCGGCCGGCGTTGATTAAGGACTTCAAGGTTGCGACAGGGCGTACTTGGCATGATAGGAAAACTGCCTAACCCGATCTCCATTTTTATTGTGTCTTCTTTTGACATATTGCAATGTATTGTTTAAGGAATTGTTTCAGGTTCAGGTGCGTTGAGGTTTGATTTAATTCGAAATTAGCTACATCTGTGATCAATCCGCAGACTGGTCTGGATGCTGAGGTCGGCAGTGCAGTGAAAGTCCAGATGTCCGGTCCGGGTCCAAGTTGGTTACATGTACGGAGCAAGCCATGTATGTCATCGGACATATACGGAATAGAACCGAACTACTCAAGAATATGTATCAAACCATTAAAGACTTTATATATGAGCTTTAAAGGGAAGAAATAAGCAACTTCATAGAAAGATAGTTATATAGTATGGAGGGAAAATGTAGTATGGCTGAAGCCTTACCTAGGTAGGGATGTAGTTGGTAGGGCGCGGACGAGTGGACGGAGCAGATGGGCGTCCAGATATGACTCACAACAACACGAAACCACCGGCGATCACATCATATCAACACCTATTCAGCCGCTCGTCCTGGACACCTCCCAGAAAGGTAGAAGGGGAACGGCCTCCTCGTGTCTCGGCTCCCCTGCCCCCACACCACCACGACCACCACCCACGGCCTTCATCCAGGGCAGGCAGGCCCCCGACCATCGATGTCCACAGTGTGACCGAATTCTTTCGGCCGTAGCAGCCCCACACACATTTTCCGGCATATGGGAGAGTAAAGTCCGCAGAGAGGATTTGTGCCTTAGCCAGCCACATGTGCAGTCTCGTCCATCCACTTCCGCGGTGGTCCTCGCGGAGCCTTGGATTGGGGACAGGTGTAAATACATTTGGTGGTAACTCGGCCGACATGGATTATCACTATGTCGAGACGAAAAGCGACATTTTCGGTATGTATAGAGAGTGAGTCTGGCCAAGTCAGGACCAAGAAGCTTCAGCTCTGAGATTTGGGTTTCGGGGGAGTGTGCCTTTCCCTCGGTCCGTACAATAGGACAATACTTGCGCTTTTCTCTTACTTGTTCAGACTCCCTTAATCCATGTTTTACAAGCGAGATTTATAAGTTTAAATGATTAGACGCTACGAAGGAATCCGCATTTTCAATCCGTAAAAGCCTTTCTTTTGTCCAACATCTTGAGAGGTTCACCAAAGACAGGACAGCCGCAGACTGTCTCAATCAAGGGCAAAATCATGATCCTATGGACAATCATGCATGACCGACTTCTTTCTATTTTTGACAAATTAGAGGTTTCGTTTCTGTCGAAAGCACCCGTGGGGTCCGTGACGATTGGGCTGCCCATTTGAAACGGTATCAGGGCGTAGCTACCTTCTTCGTTCCTGGAGCGACCGATTCCGAGAACCAATTCGATTTTTGTTGCAAGCAGCGATTACACCACCCTCAAGTTTGTCTTCTGACCACATCATCCCAGCAACCAATCTGGCGGCGCATTCGTTGCCCAGATCAGGTCAGGTAGGGGATGATGAAGCTACCAGTTAAGATGCGTCGACATGACCAACCCACGTGCGGTGCCAAGTCCAACAACACACAACAGAGTAGCAAATCATTAACGTGCGAGTGGACACCCGCGCTGGACACCTTTAGAGGTTTAGTATAAGCTCAAGGGTGGGAAAACTGAGCGCTCAGGATCCCGGCCAGCACAGTATTGGCAAATATCCCATCCCACCCAAGCCCCTTAGGCTTGGCGCGGCGCTGGTCCCAGCTGCTCGGGAGCCCCTAAAGGTAGGAATAGCCGCATCGTAAATCCTTCTTTTGCTCCCTGTCTTCATGACGCTACTGTGTAGCCAATGTGCCCAACTGCATGGGCCCATGACGGCTGGTGTGGAAACCTTCGCTAAAAAGCTGCTCGCTTGTCTCCTCGTGTGTTTGTTGCTGCTCAGTTGCGCGGCCCGATGCAAAGTGGGTGTCGTCCCACAACATGCCGGCAGCAAAACCTGGCACTTGGACATGTTGCTCCACGGGGAGGCCAGGAGGGCGGCCCTTGGGTCTGGAGAACTTACTCATGGGCTACTGTGTAGTTGGGGGCGAGTGTCTCCGGCCGTAGTACCGTGCAGCTGTTGCGTCGTACCGACAGTTTTTTGCTCGGCTCTCGGGACTGCGATATCGGCAGCCACCCAGCCGTTGCCAATTGACTGGTCGTGCTTGTTCTGCTGTCCCTTTTCAAATTTCCCGTGCACATGGTGCGCAGGTGTTGGCTATGGATACGAAAAGACGAATTCCTTGGCTTCAGTCCTTCAGGAAGTCGCAATCAGGGCCTAGAAGTTAGTATCGCCAGAGTCAGGCGGTTGTTATGTAAACTGTGGGGACTCGAAGTGAAAGTTACGGTCTCGGCCAGTCATCGTGAGAGCTGGGGCGTGTAAGTCGAGCTCGCACATGCAAGGGCCGTCACCGGCGGAACTAAACGCCCCAATTGGCACAGTAATAGTTGTCTAGCTCCGACTGTTTGAAATCCATTGCTCACGTAATTTATTGAATATCCTGCTGCCATACGCAATTGCGCAACGACTTACTAGTCCCTCTAGCTGGCGGCCGCGGCCGTTCCAGGTTTGCCAGTGAGACGCAAGGTCGATGTAATTTCTGTTGGTAATTGCATCACAGACACCAGGCCAACGTTGGTGCGGGTGCCAACATGAAAAGGATCAACGGCGGGCTGGGCTGGCTGGACCACAAGACGCCATCTTGCGTATCAGGGGATCAGGGGACCACCAAATATACGCGCCAACCGCCCGAGTCTTGTTTGTCGACACGTGCCCCGTGCCTTGGATTATGGAAGCCAAGTTGAGTGGCTTGTAGATGTCGGGCCTGTCAGTTGAAAGGGCCTAGACTTGTCGTCCTGGGCAAAGGGCAAGGAGGGGCGTTGATCCCTGCCCTGTCGAGTCTTCCAATGTTGGGGTTGGTGACCCGCCGGCCGATGATCCACTGGCGCAGATGCAGGGATCGCTTTGTGGGTTGGAGGAACGAGAACCTTGGTCTCTTGGCCGTGCACGCCTTTTCGGCGAACGGCAGGGCGTCGACCTCGTTCTTTTGTCCCTGGTGGCCTGGCCAGACGGACATCCGCATCCGATTCGCACTGCAATCAGAACACCGGCAGGCTCGACGTTGGATGGCGGATACGATGATATTGACTGACTATTGGGGCTCGAGAATTCACAGTCAAGACAAATGGTTGTCAGAATATACGAGATCTGGATCTGATCCAGATCGGGTCTTGGTACAGTAGAAAGATATCACTGACCTCACTCAGACACGTCCCGATGACTCCAACCACCCGGGCCGGGTTTTGGAGCTTGGCAATGGTGCAGATGAATGGGATGCACACCTAACACACCGCAGGCTAGTCCCTCCAGCTGCAATCCATATCCGGGTCGGCAGACGCCCTTCGACCCGCAACAAGTGATCGATCCTCTGCTGCCACACGACCGCCCGCCGGACTAATAAATAAGCTACCAACGCCCTCCACATAACATGCCCCCCCAGACATCCTGAACAGTGCGGATGCGGAGAGGCCATACCACAGACCAGGCCTGCCCAAACTGCCCCTCCGTCTCGCGTCCCCTTACCGTACACGATTTCTGGACGCTTACTACGCCAGAATGACTCAGATAATCTGAACTTTCTTCCATTTCCAATCCAATACAGAGTTTGTCACCTTATGGCCGCTACTCTCAACCTCTCCTCCCCTTGTTTCATGCGCAATTGCGTCCTACACCCGGCCAAGTGTATAAAGCCCGCCGTCAGCCGTCGTTTTGTCACTTGAAGATGGTGTCCGCTGTGCCCTCATTGGCAGTTTCTCAAGAAAGGGTTTCCAAGTGACCGTTTCACTCACCTTGAATTATAAACAGCGACCTATCAGATCACATCGCCATTGAGGTCCACATCATCAGCATTAAAAGAGGCCTTGCTACTCCGTACTTCTGTTGACCTCCAACATGCCTGGAAGGACGAGCATGTCGACCAGCCCCAGCGAGGCCAGCTCCTACCTGTCGGCCCACGCCAGGAAGATCGGCTTTCCCAAGTCGGACATCCAGATCCACCTCAAGAACCACTGGAAGACCAAGACATACACCTCATCTTCTGTCGTGTCCGGGGACGTCACCATCAGTACCCAGAGGGACGTGCGGTTTGACACCATCGAGGTCATCCTGCTCGGCTCTGCCAAGACCAAGACAGATGGCTACAGCGCCCCCCATGAGTCCACTTACACCTTCTTGAAACTGATCATGCCCATCCCGGAGTCGGTGTATCCGGTACCGCGGGTCCTCGAGGGCTCGAGGACGCTGACCGTCCCCTTCCATTTCGTGCTGCCCAACTTCCTTACCATCGGCGCCTGCACGCACAAGGTTGAGTCTGACCACATCAGGGGCCAGCACCTGTGTCTGCCACCCTCAATGGGCTCATGGGCCCGGGGAAACTGGGAGAAGGATGATCTGTCCCCACAGATGGCGGACATCGAGTACACCATCAAGGCCCGGGTCTGGAAACAGCCGGAGCTGCACGCGCGGCCCATCAAGATCATGGAATCCGTCAAGCCAATCCAGGTCCTCCCCACGTTCCCAGAAGACGCCCCGCTGAGCATCACCAAGAACGATCGCCTGTACTGCATGAGCAAAACCAAATCCATCCGCAAGAACCTGCTCTCGACCAAGCTCGGCAAGCTCACCGTGTCCGCAGAGCAGCCCAAGGCCATAATGCTGCGGCCCGACGGACAGCTCTCGACCGGCACCACCGCCCAGATCGACCTCAAGTTTGAGCCCGCATGCGCGGGCGCGGCGCTGCCCAAGGTCACAGCAGTCTCATCCAAGATCACGGCCCACACCTACTTCTCAGCCGGGCCCATCAGCTCGCAGCCAAACATGGGCGACTTCATCAAGCCGGGCATCTCGGACCGCCGCGGCGTCTACTCGACGTCCGTCACCCTCCCGGCGACGGCACCGCCCCCGGGAGCCCAGGCGTGGACCGCGCACCAGGCCCGGCGCGACTCGGGCTACTTCACCGACACGGCGCCCGAGACCACGGCGTCGGAAGGCGAGGAGGACGACGACAGACAGCGGCGCCAGCGGAGCCGGCGCCGGCGCACCTCGACCACCATCGCGAACCTCGTGCGGCCCTCGAGGCAGCAGCACCAGAGCCAGAACCAGAGCCAGTCCCCGCCGCGCCCCTCCCCCTCCTCCGTCTACCACACCTCCACGACGCACGTCCCCGTCGCGCGGCTGCCCACGGGCAAGAAGTTCTTCGTGCCGACGTTCCACTCGTGCATCACGTCGCGCGTCTACACGCTGCACGTGGCGCTGCAGGTGGCCGGGTCGGCGGGGAGCGGCAACACGACGCTGTCGCTGGACCTGCCGCTGCAGATCGGGGTGGAGCCCCCGGTGTCGCCCGCGGGCGGCGGCGGCACGCGGCTGAGGGGCGAGGCGGCGAGGGGGGAGGAGGCGCTGCCCAGCTTTGAGGACGCGGTCGAGGAGGCCGCCGTGGACGAGTTCTTCCGGCCGCGGGTGCTGAGCGTGCCCGAGGTCGCGTTCATGGAGACCAGTGTTCTGCCTGGGTATGGGGTCAGGTGATTGGGTCTCGAGACTTGGTCTGACCTGTTCACATGTTCTTTTTCTTCGTTTTTGGTCCTTTGCTGGTGGGATTCCGTTTCGTGGGTCTGGTTGTTTTGGATTGGTCCAGATTGCTTCCATCCAAGCCATCTTCATAGTTCTTTTTTGGGATTCTTGTGTGTTAACTTTTGATACCCCTGTGCTCGGGTGTGTTGGCCCCACGGAATTCAACCCGGTGGGTGCCGGACAGAAGGAAGCATTGGCGTTCTGTGTCTTCCTCGTTACTGCTGCACGCTGCAGTGCGATGATATCTGTGGTTTCTTTTTTTCCCCCCTCGAGGTACTCCACGACTACCCGGCGCAAGGTGATGCCAATTTCGGTAAAACGCAGATTGTACTATTGATTAGTTAAAAGTAAATACATACATCTTAATTCTCCAAGTATCGTGTAGCATTGACCGTATCGCGGGCGGAATACCAAAGCATGCGGGCATTTAGATGTAGCGCTTGCTACGTGATACTTGTAATGTCGATGTTGATCAGCGCCGACAGTGGGGACAGACCGACTAGAGCATGAGTTGTGACCGCATTACGGTCACTTTCTGAAACCAGGCGCGTATGCTGTCTGACAGGACCTTGTTATGCATAAGTGGGTGTCACTTGTGCGGAGGTACTGCCAACGGACGCTCAGCGTGTCACAGCACTGTGGTCGAGTCCGTCTATCTTGTAGTCACAACGCCTGACATTTATGAGACGCAACACGCATTTCTGTCTGGGCCTCGAAGCACTTTATATAGAGTTGAGGACCCAAGCCTAGTGTTCCAAATGCCAACCAATCAACTGTACTAACCAGTTGGGCGGGAAAGACTTCTCGAGGGTAATATATGCGTCGGCTTTTGAGAGGGCAGAGAAACCTTCCCCGGTGCATGGGTCAGCCCGGCAAGATCTCCGGTCTTGGCTCCCGAGGTTGCGGATGCTGTGGATTGATTGATCTGGCTGGCCCGACAGCCCGAGTGGCTGGCTGTGCATCCTTGGGTTGATCGGTGATCTTCCAGATGATTCTTGGTTGAACTACTAGTAGCGGCAAGTTCCTGGTTTCCAATGTTGCTGTCGAGTTACTTAAGTAAACACCGGGGTCGGTCAGTCAGTCAGTGGGCTGAGGTGCTCCACTGAGGGCCAGAGACAGCCGGCCATGTCGAGAAGGGATTTCCCAGTAGGGCTGGACCAAATGTACGTCACTTACCTTGACCGTGGCTGTAAGTAGATCTGCCCAGCACATCCGCCCGTCCCGGGACAGTACACGTGTACTATGTAGATGGCCGGGCTGTGGGCATCTCTCGTGTGGGGACTGGAGATGCAAACGCTGGCCTGCAATGGTCTACACAGTATGCAGCTGGTGGGACATCATCTGTAGGCATGGTGCGCCGTGGTTATTGCAAGTTTTGTTGGGGCAAGAGGAGAATACCGCGTACTCCGTACCTACACAACAACAGCTTACCACAGTACTCGGTACACAAAAGCCGCGTGCTAGCATCGAGACCAATTCTCGGGCCGCAGACACTGCGTCCGTGTGCACAGCGTGGCCATGTAGTGTCAGGACCAGATGGGCCTATGGGAGAACACTCCTGGCTCCCAGACAAGACGACACGCAATCGCGGTGTGTCCGAGCCACACACTCAGACCCTTACTCGTGGATGCGCCAAGAGCCGGCGCTCGTAATAGATATGCTTTCTGCTCAAGTCTTTGCTGCGACAGGTCTCAGGACATCTAGTCATTTTGCTCATTGCCACACACAAAACAAACGGCGTCTGCACCATGCACTGCACCATAAACAGAAGCACGGGGAGAAAGGAGCAGAAGAGGAAGGAAAAGGGGGTCCCGTGGCAGCGAGTAACATGAGAAATGAGCGTGGGGGAGGGGCGGGTCTGGGCCCAATGTCACTGTGGTGACCGGGTCTCTGGTGGTGCATGGTGCATGCTGCGGGCCGTGCTGTTATGTACTCCTGTATGTACTTGGTATATGCAGACTGTATATTCAGGATCCACCTCAGACCGTCTTGTTGTCATGCCCATGTGCCCGCGTCATATGTGTGCCGCATGACTGGGACGGCATTGAGAGGTGTTGGGAGGAGCATGAGGACTGTGCACGATTTACTCGCCTCCAAGGTTAGCACAAGAGAGATGGCACCTAGATACGGTTAGGAGAGACAGGCGAATGAGAGGGCATTGTTGGTTGTATTATTAAGGTTGAGGCCGCTGTGACGGTCCCCACAATGCGACCATGCACTTAGCAGCACTACACTACCAAAGTACAGGCTGCAGGCCAGGTTGCAGAGACGACCCGCCCTTATCGACTTACACGACCCATATCCCGCCAATCGGGGGCTCATGGGCCGGGATCACAGGCTAAGCAGGTGCTATGCAGCTCGGGGGCTTCCAACTTTTTCCCCCCTTCCCACCCGTCCTCGCTTACAACAAATACCGCGATCAAAGGGGGGGCGGTTCTGGCTGGCCCAGCGGAATTGATTGACCGATGAAGTGACTGATTGATGAACGATTAATTGACGGGTTGATCTGCGTGCCGAATGGCTGACTGCTGGCCTGCCTGCCTTGCCTACCTGCCTGCCTGGCTGTCTGTCTGATCTGTCTGATCTGTCTGATCTTCTTTTCCTCCTTCATCTCAGACAAACCTTCTCGAAGCTGCCACCCCAAAACCAACCCAACCCAACTTTGAACCCAAAAATCAATTGACCCAGTCTGCACCGTCATTGCTCGGCACGGCAGTCCCCTTGCTCGGATCCCCGGCCGACGACGCGCCAGCCCGACTGTTTCGGTCAGATTTTAAAGTCTTCTTCACTGACAGACTTTCGGACTCATCAGCACCTCAGCTCCAAGCACCCACCGCTCCCATATCCGCTGCAGATCAGCATCAGCATCAGCACCAGCAATCAGCAATCAGCAATCAGCAATCAGCGACACCAACCCACGCCTGAGCCACGTACTCGCAAGGACCTCTGGTCCAATTACACTCGTTCAGACCAAAACTTGTTCATGCGCGCCGCCTCTGCCTGCTGAGGTTGAGAGGTCATCCAGCCGGTCGCAGCAGTGACACCACGCTCACCACGCTCACCACTCTCGGACACGCCTTCCTGACCCTCTGTCGATCAGTCCATTTCCGGGGCCACCACCACCAGTCGGTCGGTCTACACCACCTGCCGCCTCTATATTGTCGGTCCTACGGCATATTCCCGCCTTCATCTTGCCATATAATTCTTTACTGTCGAGCCGATGCGCATTTCGGAGTAATTCCTCGCCGGATCGAATATCCTCGACACCCCATATCTGTGTGCCTTGTAGATACAATCTACCTGCTGTTGTTTCCGCTCTGAGACACGCCACTTGCCTTTGCTCACCGCCCCCCCACCCGAACGTCTTCGCGTGGTCCCGCGCTCTGCGAGAGCATACCATCGTAGCCGGCCGACATCCATGGGAGGCACCATAGCTACGATGCCAGCGACAGCGACGCCAGGGCTGCTGAGAGCGCTCCTCTTGGCTCTTCTATGGTGTCAGATCGAAGCCTTCTACATCCCCGGTGCGTTGGCCCATCCAGAGCGCAGCGCCTGCCTCGCCCTGGTCCTGGTGTAGGTCCTCTTGTGCTGACTTGTAGCTTCTCAATAGGCTGGTCCATAAAGTCCTACAGCCAAAATGAAAACATCCCATTAATGGTTAACAAAGCATACTCGGACAACACACAACTGCAATATGCCTACTACGACCTACCTTTCGTCTGCCCTCCGACAGGGCACCACCGCCCGGGTGCCGGGCTGCTCAGCGGCCAGAGCATATCTCTCAACCTTGGCGAGGTTCTGCGCGGCGACCGCATCGTCATTTCCGATCTCGAGCTGTCAATGATGAAGGACAACGAATGCAACATGCTTTGCAGCAGGGAGGTCACCAGGCGCGACGTCAAGTGGGCGCGGGAGCTCGTCCGGGATGGCTACGTGGTCGAGTGGATCGTGGATAATCTGCCTGGCGCAACGAGCTTCGTGACCGTTGACAAGACCCGCAAGTACTACGCTGCTGGTTTCAAGCTTGGTTTCACAGACACGTCTTCCGGCAGGCCGCGCTACTTCTTGAACAACCACCACACCATCGTCGTGCGGTATCGCAGCGCGCCAGGCAAGGCCGGCGAGAAGGGAGAAAAGGTCATTGTTGGATTCGAGGTCTACCCAAAGAGCATTGGGTCTGCCAACCGGAGGAACAAGGACGGGTGCCCCGCAGACCTGCAAAACATCGAGCAAAGCTTTGAGCTGTACATGGCCCCCAACAAGACGGTCTCCGAAGCTGCCAACCAGCTGTACTCCCAGTCGTCGTACCATCCCGAGATCGACCAGGAGGACCTCGACGACGATGCGAGAATGACTATCCCCTACACGTACTCGGTCTACTTCCGCGAGGATAACACGGTCGAGTGGAACAAGCGATGGGACCTCTATTTTGTCAACCAGGAGGAGGGCTCGAGGATCCACTGGCTGGCCATCGTCAACTCCTTCATCATCTGCGGCCTCCTCACAGGCATTGTGCTGATTATCATGGCCAAGACGATCAGGACCGAGATCAAGGGATACAAGGATGCCCGTGCCGAGGAGGGCAAGCTCAAGCTGAAAAGAAGCGGCGGGCAGCGGTCGCCCAGGCTGTCTGAGAAAAAGACACTTGGCTTGCTCGATCAGGGCGGCGAAGACAATGACGCGGATGCGTCTTCTGAGGACGAGGCCCTGGAAGATGTCACAGGCTGGAAATTGCTGCACGCCGACGTCTTCCGAACGCCCGACTACGGCTGGGTCCTGGCTCCCTTGGTCGGGTCTGGTGTTCAGCTTCTATTCATGGCTGTCGGGCTTGTGCTCCTGAGTGCGCTGGGCATCCTGAACCCGAGTCTTCGTGGCGGTTTCATCAGCTTCGGTATCGGCCTGTTCGTATTTGCTGGTCTGTTCTCCGGCTACTACTCGGCCCGTGTGTACAAGACTTTTGATGGACAGGACTTTGTGCGCAACGCCATGGTAACGGCTCTGCTCTTCCCCGGTCTGGCTTTCGGCCTCATCTTCATCCTGAACCTTTTCGTCTGGGCTCAGGCTTCAAGCACGGCAATCCCATTCGGGACGTTGATCGGCCTGCTGCTCCTATGGCTCTTCATCCAGCTTCCCCTCGTCTACGTCGGCTCTCGATACGGCTACAACCGCGGCGGTGCGTGGGAACACCCCACCAAGACGAGCCTTATTCCGCGCCAGATCCCTCGACAGGCATGGTACATCAGGCGCACGCGATCCGTGTTGCTCGCGGGCCTCATCCCATTCGCAGTGATCTTTATCGAACTGCTCTTCGTCTTCCAGTCCGTCTGGCAAGACAAGTCCGGCTACTATTACGTGTTTGGATTTCTCTCGGTAGTCTCGCTTATCCTGATCGTGACGGTCGCCGAGACCACCGTCGTCACCGTCTACGTCCAGCTGTGCAGCGAGAACTACAACTGGTGGTGGCAGTCGTTCCTCGTCGGCGGGGCGAGCTCCATATGGGTGTTTGTGTACTGCATCTGGTACTACTTTGTCAAGCTGCACATCACGGGCTTCGTGAGCTCGATGCTGTTCTTCACGTACAGCTTCATGACCTGTTTGGTGTACGGGCTCCTCACGGGCACGGTCGGCTTCCTAAGCGCCTACGCCTTCGTGAGGAGGATATATGGGTGAGTCTGCTCAAGACCATTGGATTTCTAAAATGTGTGCTAACTTTTTGAAACAGCGCAATCAAGGCTGATTGAGAGGGGCCGACCATTCCGTCACGGTGTGAAATCCATCGATTCAGTGTTGTCACCCCGACCATGGGAAACGCTTGGCACGAGCATTGCGAAAAGAACGAACAAAACATCGAACCTGACTGATAATGAGTGTGCTTGACTGCATCAGACGCGGCGTTCATAGTGCAAGGGAATCCATTGGGCGCGAAACTGTTTCCATGGCTGGCGTTAATCATTATGTTTTCATGGGATGATCTTGGCATCTTTGGACTGACATGGCGCGGGCTTCCTCGACGTGCCCTACTGCCCCTGGCGGCTTTCGACAACCTCAACCGCTCGACGTGCGATAATCGCGACAGCTGGCTGGCAGGGAAGATATGATTCGCGTTGGCGTTTCAACGGGATTTGAGCCCACCTGGGAAAGCCGGGGAGCATTTCTTACCGGTGGGATTGGGTGGCTCCATGGTGAGCGAGGGTGGACATTCATAGACATTGTTCGGTTTGTTTTTTAATAGTCGATACTGGGAGGCGTGGTTATGATGTATAAAGTTGGAATACCTCTTATATACTTTCTAGTCTTTAATGACTCTTATTACCTATCCTACGGATGAGATCATTCGCGATGGTGTACCTGCACTCTCTTCTGGAAAACCTGCGTGACAAGTTACCCTAGGGTAAGCATGTGGTTTCGTTCAGGCAATCTCAACAACACTTCGTCGAACACCTCCATTTTGGCAGCTCATAATTAATTGAGACTAGATACAGGTGCTCTCCGACCTCGAGCCCTGCCCTCCATGATGCTGTCAACTCCATTGCTGGATATGTATAATAGTGTATTCATCATACTTGATTGGATATCTTTGACTGTCACGCATCCCAAAAATGTAATCATATTCCTCAGGAGCCACGGGTGTCTATCGTCAGCACCAAGAATGTTTCTAGTTTGGCAGCTGCTTTCACCAGCTTTTGCTCTCCCACCACGGAACATTCTATACATCTAAATGAGTTTTTCCGGCGCCCATCTATCAACACCCCCGGGACCCAACGAGAAGGGGAGAGGAATCAGCTCCCCAATCTAATCATGCCACGAAATATAAAGCATAATCCCGGCCCCCAAGGCGATGGCGGCGAACTGGCTCAGCATCTTGCCCAGCTCCTCCCGCCTGTTCTTGCCCGTCTCCAGCAGCTCGGGGATCACGGCGACGGTGCCGACGTACAGGAACGTCCCCGCGGTGAAGGGGAGAAGCAGGTCTCCGTAGGTCAGGCTGGTGCCCCAGATGCCGCCGTTCAGCGGCAGGGGCCCTTCGGCCTGGGACGAGCCGGAGCCGCCGAGCTCCTGGACGGCGATGCCGATGCAGGTGCCGAGCAGGGCGCCGACGGCGGTGATGAACTGCGCGCCCATGGCGGCCTTCTTGCTGAAGCCCGACTGGACGAGCAGCGCGAAGTCGCCGACCTCGTGGGGGATCTCGTGGAAGAAGACGGCCATTGTCGTGGTCGCGCCGACGGTCGGGGAGGCGTAGAAGGAGGCGGACATGGCGAGCCCGTCGGTGATGTTGTGCGTGAAGTCGGCTATCATGTTAAGGATGCCGCCGAGCTTGACGCTCTGGTTGAGCTCCTTCTCGGGCGGCGCCGCCGCCGCACTCGCGTCCTTCTCGCCCGCGGTAGCCGTGCCGTTGGACTTGTTCTTCCGGGACTTGGCCCCGGCGGCGTCGGCGCTCTCGACCGCGGTGGACTTTGCGCTGGCGTTGCCGTTCTCGTGGGAGTGTGGGTGGCTGTGGCCGTGGCCGTGGTCGTGGCCGCCGTCGCCCCCTGTTGCGATGCGGAGGCCCTTGTCCATCGCCACGAAGGTCATGAAGCCGACCAAGATGGCGACGCCGAGCAGCAGGTTGCGATTTGGCTCGACCAGGACGAAACGGGCCTTCTCCGGGTCGTCCTCACCCAGGAAGATCTCGGGCAGCAGGTGGAAGAGGGTGTCACCCATCAGGCCGCCGACGGCGAACGCCACCATGATGGAGAGCGAGGAGGGGTCGATGTTGGGCGGGCATAGCGCGAGGAGGAAGTTGGGCGGGCCGGAGATGTAGAGGGTGGCCAGCAGGGCATTGATGGCGGGCGAGCTGCTTGGGAAGAGGATGGAGAAGAGCCTGGCGACCTGGGAGGTCTTGCCCGAGAGGCGGGCGAGCTTCTGGGCGGTGAGGGTGTGGACGACGGGGCAGTCCTGTGGGGTGGAGATTGTCAGCCTGCCAGTTCGAGGTTTTGTATCACACAGTTGATGTAGAGAGCGTTGCGGTCGCATACCTGGAGCTGGTCCTCGATCTCTTCCAAGCTCAGGGGCGGGCCCAATGTCACGTCGTCCAAGGCAGCTTCCTTGCCGGTCTCAGCTCGGACAAGAGCTATGGCGACGCACAGGACGAGGCCCAGGGTCAGCCTGCCCCAATTGACCCGGAGTGAAGGCATTGTGGGGGTCGCAGATCAAGTCTTGTTACCGGGGCGGGAAGAAGTGGTTCAGACTGGTGAGACGGTGAGGAGGGGGAGGAAGAAGTACGGAGCACAGCTAGGCACGCGACAGACGGAAAGGAGAAAACAGCTGGCTGTCTGCATCCCTCCACCCCACTCAAGGGAGATGACGGTCTTGGTGTCTGTACACGAGAGAGTAGTCAGCCATCCTCCATAAGAAATGAGCGGGTCAGCGCCAACAGCTGGCGCCGTGGCGCCCGAGTTCGGCAAGTTTGTGCTGTTATCGGGCTTTGCAGTAGTGCACTCGCTACCACCAGGTAGGTCTGCAGGTGCGGTCGTTAGAGTTAGCCCCCACTTAACCTTGTTGGACCCTTGTTAATCATCGCACCAGTGCCCCACAAGAGCTCCCCACAGCTCCCCGACCCCGAGGCCCCGGTACCCAGGTACCCAGGACTTGGAGAACTGATATCAATCAACCTTGACATATACTCCGTACATGTCTAAATATACGCGTATTTACCTTCAGTCTTTCAATTGTCAGTAATGGTCAACATTTATCAGTGCACATGGCAGATCATAGGACGACTTGTATATCACACTCTTACCTCCTTACCCGTGGCCTAGAACAAAGCTGTGTCAACGAAACATGAGACGGCACGCAAGCACCCTTGCTCAACGACGAGCAGGGAGTCATCTCGAGACTCCAAATCGGGTCAAGGTCTCGACCTACCTGGGTCAGGAGCGACCTACCTGGGTACCAACGGCGTCCTGGGCGAATCCTTCGAGCTGAGCCCCCGAGACCAACTGCACAACTCTCGACAATGTAAATAACGGAGCGGTTCAAGCAAAACATACTTGGAGATTCTGTCCTTCTCGCAGCCAACCATGAGCAACAGCTCCTCCGCAGCGGCCTGCTGGCCAACCGCCGACGCGAGCTTCGGCCCCGTCGTCCAGGACTGCAGGGGAGACTTCGACTTCACCATCACCTTCGAGCAGTCCCTGTTTACCATCCTCCCCGCATCTCTGCTGATCCTCGCCGGGCCACTGCGCCTGGGGTACCTGAGGCGGTCGCCCTCCGTTGTCGTGGCCGGCGACAGCCTCTTCAGGCTCACCAAGCTCGCCGCTGTGGCCGTCTTCTCCGTCCTGCAACTCGCCCTCTTGGCCCTGTGGGCGGCCCAGCCTGCCGCGCTGCTCGGCCGCGTCAGGACCGTGTCCGTCGCCGCATCCTGCGTGTCCTTCGTCGCGAGCCTCGTCTTCTGTGTCCTCTCGTACGCCGAGCATGCGAGGTCGCCTAGGCCCTCGTCTATCCTTAATGCGTACCTGCTTGTCTCCCTGCTGCTGGATGGCGCCATATTGCGCACCTTCTGGATCTCTGATCTCGCCACCTCCGTCAGGGCCGTGTTCACCGCTTCGTTTGCTCTGAAGGCGTGCCTCTTGGTGCTCGAGGCCAAGGAGAAGGCTGGCCTTATCGTGAGAGGGGGTGGTGGGAGTGAACAGCGCAGGAACCCCGAGGTCACCAGCGGTCTCTACAGCCGCGGCTTACTCTCATGGCTGAATCCCCTTTTGCTGGATGGTTTCCGGCGGCTCCTGAAGCCGGCCGATCTCTATGCCCTTGATAGTTCGATGAAGGCTGATGCATTAAATGTTGAGTTTTGGAAGGCCTGGGATACTTGTGGGTGACGCCGTCCACCAGAACGTGAGGTCGAGACTGACCACCCAACAGTCAAACCCAGCAGCAGCAACAGGCTCTTGAGGTCATGTTGCAGTACCCTGAAGTGGCCCCTACTAGGCGTGGTCTTCCCAAGGCTCATCCAGCTCGCTTTCATCATCTGTCAGCCGCTGGTGCTCAACCGGTTCCTGGAGTTTTTAGAGCAGCCAGATGAGAGCATGAACCATGGCTACGGCCTGATCGGGGCATACGGGCTAGTCTATCTAGGAATTGCCCTGTCTGGCGCCTTCTACTCCCACCAGGCTACGCGGACGGTCACCATGCTCCGCGGCATCCTGGTATCGGCCATATTCTCCCGTTCGATTGACCTCAGCACCACAGCCATTGACAATGGTGCGGCCGTCACACTCATGAGCACCGATGTGAGCCCGGCGATCTTCCACGTGTGTCTGCAACCGTATATCTGACCAAGAGCAGGTCGATGCAATTATCCGTGCGACAAATGAATTACTCGAGATGTGGGCCAACGTCCTCCAGATCGTGATTGCGACGTATCTGCTCAGCAGGCAGATAGGTGCGGCATTCGTCGGGCCGGTTATCGTCTGTGCTTTTGCCTTGATCGCCACATTTCTCTGCGGGCCTCCCTCCAAGAACTTCATGATGGCTTGGATTCAGAAGGTGCAGGACCGCGTTGGTAAGCGAGACGTGTTTTGGACCAGCTGGTTTCAATATTGCTTGATCTAGGCTAACTTATGTGCAGGTATTACTTCTACCATGCTGGGCCATATGAAGAGCATCAAAATCTCTGGCCTCGGCCGGAAACTAGGCGACACCATTGCCAAGTTGCGGAAAGACGAGATTGATGCGGCAGCCCCCTTCAGGAGGATGAGCGCACTGACTTCTGCGCTGGCCCAGGTCCCACTGCTCATCTCTCCTGTCGTAGCATTTGCTTTCTTCGCGATCGGGGCCATCAGCTCGGGAGAATCACTTCAGACCACGAGAATGTTTTCTTCTCTTTCGCTCATGATCCTCCTCGGACAGCCACTGTTCTGGATGTTCGAGGCAGTCTTGGACATTATGGCGGCGGTCGGGTGCTTCACAAGGATCGAAAAGTTCCTCTCTACGGCCTCGAGAACTTATGGAACATCGGATACAAGGATGACTTCATCTCAACTCCATCATAACGGCCCCGGCGGCTCTACAACACAGCTCAGCCCCCATATCCCAGAAATCATAGAACTTGAGAATATGGTTCCAATCCAGCACGCTGCGTTGGAGCCTAATGGTGTTCAGGTCGAGAATGCCTGCTTCAAATGGTCAGCCGAAGGTGCTGTGGTCTTACAAGATGTCAGCTTCACGGTCAAGTCCCAAGAACTTGCAATTCTTGTCGGTCCTGTGGCCAGCGGCAAGACGACGCTGCTCAAAGGCCTCCTCGGCGAAGTCCCACATATCACCGGCGAAATCAGCATCGAGAGACATAGACTTTCTTGGTGTGAGCAGACCCCGTAAGTGTATTAGAAAATACTCTAATATATTTGCAAAGTAAAAATAACTAACTTTAGGTGGAAGCTGGCTGATCAATGACACGGTCCGGAAGAACATAATTGGCTTCTCCCGCTACGACGAAGAGCTCTATCAACTTGTCACACAGGCCTGCGACCTTGATAGAGATTTTACCAGTCTCAAAGACGGGGACTTGACTGTCATTGGTTCCAATGGAATTGCGTTGAGCGGCGGCCAGAAACAGCGAGTCGCGCTTGCGAGGGCTGTTTATTCCAGGCCACAGTTGGCGCTTTTCGACGATCCTTTCAGTGGCCTGGATAATCACACCACACGCATTGTATTCGACCGAATATTTCACAAGGATACCGGCGTGTTGAGGCAGTGGGGGACGACAGTGATTCTCACGACCCAATCGATCAACCTGCTGCCACATTCCGACCGCGTCATCATTGTGAAGGACGGTGTTATCGCAGAGCACGGTGACTTCAATTCTTTGAACAGAACTGGCAGTTATGTAGCGTCTCTGGATATTCAACATGTTCCAGAGGCTGTAAACAGTGATGACGCTGAACCAGGTGAAGCACCGGCTGAGCCAAAGGGGGGTCGTGAAGCCAGATCCACGACTCCCAAGCCAGGCCAGGCCCAGCCAGAGGACAAGCGCAGACAGCGAGGTGACTCAGCAGTGTACGGCTTCTTTCTCAAGGCCGTCGGGATACCATTTGCCGTTGGACTGTTGGTGTCAGAGATGGCGTGGGCGTTCCTCTCTACCTTCTCGACCGTCTGGCTGAACTTCTGGTCCGAGGCGAATTCCGAGCACCCTAACCAGCGCATCAGCTATTACCTCGGGATCTACACCGCACTACAGATTTTGGGTGTCGTCAGCTTCGGCCTCATGGTCATGTTTGGAATGCTCTTCGTGGCCGCCAGAACGGGCCTCCGGCTACACCAAGTCCTGCTGAACGCTGTGGTGAGGGCTCCGCTCTCCCTATTCACCAATACAGACATCGGAGAGATCACGACGAGATTCTCCCAGGATATTGGCATAATCGACAGGTCGCTCCCTCTGGCGCTCGTGGTGACAGTGGCTAACTTTCTAAGCACCATCGGGGTCGCCGCCCTGATCGCCTCCTCTACGGGCTACATCGCAATCAGCTTTCCCTTCCTGGCAGCCGTCTTTGTCTACATCCAGAGGGGCTACCTGCGCACGTCGCGACAGCTCCGGCTGCTAGACCTGGAGCAGAAGGCCCCTGTGTACACACAATTCCTCGAAACACTCTCCGGCCTGCCCACTATCCGCGCGTTCGGGTGGGCCAAGCCCGCGCTGGACCTAAACCACGAGCTGGTGGACAGGTCGCAGCAGCCGTTCTACCTCCTACTCATGGTGCAGCAGTGGTTGACACTGGTCCTCAACCTGGTCACGGCGGCGCTCGCGGTGCTGATCGTGGGCCTCGCCGTCAGGCTCCGCGGCTCGGTGTCGGTCGGCCTGACCGCCGTGTCGCTGGTTCAGCTGATCACGCTCGCCGAGAACCTGAAGATCCTGATCCAGTTCTGGACTTCGCTCGAGACATCCATCGGCGCCGTGGCGAGGATTAAGAATTTCAGCGAGGAGACGCCCGACGAGAGGCTACCCGGCGAGGACCGGGAGCCCCCGGCGGACTGGCCGGCGCGCGGAGCGATCGAGATCAGGGACCTCTCGGCGAGCTACGGCGAGGACCTCGGGCAGAGGGCCCTCGACGGCGTGACGCTGAGCGTCCGGCCCGGCGAGAAGGTCGGCATCTGCGGGCGCACGGGGAGCGGCAAGTCGAGCCTGCTGCTGTCGCTCCTGCGCCTGCTGCCCAGCACGAGGGGCACCGTCCTCGTCGACGGGGTGGACCTCGCGGCCCTCCCGCGCGACACGGTCCGCTCGCGCCTGATCGCAGTGTCGCAGGACCTCTTCTTCCTCCCGGGCACCACACGGCAGAACCTCGACCCGTACCGCGACCACGATGGTGACGACGGCACCGCCCGCGCGAATGATCACCGTCTCGAGGCGGCCCTGCGGCGCGTGGGGCTCTGGGACGCCATCGCCGAGGCGGGCGGGCTGGGCGCAGAGTTCGACGAGACGAAGCTCAGCCAGGGACAGCGGCAGCTGTTCTCGTTGGCTCGGGCTCTGCTGCGGCGCAGGGGGGATGGGGGAATCGTGCTCCTCGACGAGGCGACGAGCAGCGTCGATGCCGAGACGGACGCGCTGGTGCAAAGGGTCGTGCGTGAGGACTTTTCCGGCCACACGGTCGTGGCGATTGCGCACCGGCTCGAGACTATTGTGGACTTTGACAGGGTCGTGGTCCTGGAGAAGGGCTGCGTCGCCGAGGAGGGCTGCCCGCGGGAGCTGCTTGCGCGTCCTGGGGGTAGCCGGTTCAGGGAGCTTTGGGATGCGAGCCGGCGGGCTGGAAGGAGTGGATGAATGAATACAAGAGGGGGAGGGTTGCATAATATCTCAGGCTAATTCTATCTGTTGGGCCCAGCAACGAGCGAAGGTCTCGATCATGGCGGCGGCTGTTCAAAGGCAATGGATTGAAATGATTCCGGATATATCTTGATCAACACTCTCATTAAACTCTACTTTCTGCGAATGAATCAAGAGGTGGACAGTGGAATCTTATGGGATGGACTTCCTTTTTCTCTCGACAATGACAAGGCCAAGCTTCTAGAAGCGTCAGCGAGAGACAGATTAAGACAGGCAGCCGTTCAGCCGGTCGGACAAGCTTTCCGCCCAGCGCCTTGGTGTCTCTGAACCTGTTGCTTGGCTGTTGCTTGTTCGATGTTTAGCTACGGTCAGACTTCCCAGGGCCGCTGGTCCTGGTACGGCGCGTGCCGCTGAAGAAGAGACGAACACATATAGCTCGTCCTCCTCAGCTCTTGGTCTTTTGCAGTCTTTGGGTGGTTTCACAGGTTTCGGGCTCCAGCTTTGCCATTATGAGGTACGTGAGTAGAGACAAGTCAGGACAATCTCACCTTACGAGCTCCCGGCGGGTACGGCCAGGTCCCCAGTCAGGTCCCCACACGGCCTGGGCCTGGCTGGAACGTGGACCCTCCCAAGCATTTTTGACAGCGAAGTTCTGCATGATTGATGCAAGTCGGTGAGAGGGAGGCGCCGTCTGCACATTGCCGGTCGAGCATCCAGGGCCTCTCAACCCCGGTTCTGTTTTTTTGCTTTCTCCAGGCTCACCCACAGTCTCGATTCGGGCCATCTGGCAATCAATCAGGGTCGCATCTTGGTTCAAGCCAGCGACGTAATCGTGGCAGGGGCCACTGGGCATAAACAGGCCCTCCCCCTGCCGAGTCGATGCGAGCAGCCAACTGAAACAGCCGCCAAGGCCCCAGCGAATTCCTGCTTTTTGGGCTGCCACCAGTCCTGCCAGTGCACCTGTGGAATTTGGACGATGGGAGGTCGGGCTTGGCGATGGCCGTCGTCACACAGGGAGGTGGTGCAGGTACAACACTGCGCTGCAGTCCAGCCCCCAAAAATAATAGGAGACACCGCGTCAAACAGACAGTGAGTGAGGCAGCCAGCTGGCCAGCCACGGTAAGGGTCTGATATTTCGGGCACAGTAGCGTCCAATCTTCCATCTATGATTGCCTCTCACGTCGTTGACTGTTCTGTTCCTTGATTTTGTGTCACACCCACAGTCCATTCCGAGTGACTGACTGGCACACCTTCCCTCCTTTCTTCAAGACCTGCTGCTGCTGCTGCTGCTGCTGCTCTTCTTGTTGTTGAACTTGCGTGGCTGAGAGCGAGCGTGTTTTTGTGTACTTCGTTGAGGCCTCGCTTCATCTCCCTCGCTCCACACGACACTGGCCACCCCCATATTGTCCCCAGAATTCGCACCGCCCGCCTGGCTTGGCCCAACTTGGCTCGTCTCTGTCCGCTTGTCTGTTCGATCGAATTGATTCACTGAGGCGCCGACTGGCTGCCCACGTGCCATCCTCGCCTCCATCAAACAGTGGGCTTCCTCCCGCCGCCAATTCCTATTAAACCCATCTCAACCACCCCAGATCCACCATCCAGGAAGAGGACGAGCCCGACACCTGAAATGTCGCAGCGAGCTCCAAAGCCACGGCAGTCGTCATCCTCCCGGAGCAACAACATGGCCGCCGCAGAGAAATCCAGCTCCCGCGACCCGGCGCTGCCGCGGCACGAGCCCGTCCAGCACAGGCACGACGACGGCAACGGCTACTCGACCTTGACCCCCCACATCAAGGCCGCGGGCGAGAGCGGCCGGAGGGGGTTCGGCACCGAGTTCTTCGGCATCGCCTTCCGGTCCTCGTGCAAGGCCTCCCGCTACGTCAACATCCTGTGGCCCGTCGTGCCCGCCGCCATCGCCGTCAACTTTGCCCTGCCCGACCAGCACCTCGCCATCTTCATCCTCGCCTACATCGCCATGGTCCCCTGCGCCAACCTCGTCGGCTTCGCGGGCCAGGAGCTCGGCCGCAAGATGCCCCTCGTGGCCGGCGTCATCATCGAGACTACTTTTGGCTCCATCGTTGAGATCATCCTGTTCCTGGTGCTCCTGATCCGGGAGAAGAACGAGGAGATCATCAAAGCTGCCATCTTGGGTTCGATCCTCGCCAACCTGCTGCTCTGCCTGGGGCTCTGCTTCTGGGCTGCTGGAATGCGCCGCGACGAGTCCCACTTCAGCGAGGCTATCACCGAGGCTGGCTGTGGTCTGCTTCTTACTGCTGGTCTCGGTCTTGCTGTGCCTACCGTTTTCACACTGGCATTTCAAAATGTGAGGTCACGCAATTTCTGTTACTCCCTGATGCCACAACGCCTTTTGTCAATATATGAGATTGTCATGTATTGGAGTCACTCTCTGTGTCTAACGCGCTAACATGTTGGTATAAAGACCGAAGGACAGACCGCCACAGCCCTCGCCGACACCGTGCTGCAGGTCTCCCGCTCCACAGCTGTCATGCTGATCATCGCCTACTTCGTCTACGTCTGGTTCATGGGCCACACGGTAAGCCATACGTTTGCTCCTCCCCGGGCAGCCATGGACACCTGCTGACTGCCCTTGGGCATCTCTAGCACCACGGTATCTACGAAGCCGTGTTCGAGTACGACGAGGAGCGCGACCACGACGCCCACAAGGACGCCCACAAGGCGAAGCTCACGCTGACCGAGTGCGTCATTGCGCTTGTGGTATCGTACGTACTTGTCTACCCTTGCCTTCCAACTCAGAGACCCCGTGCGCTGTGGCCATGTCTCATTTGGAGAAGGAAATTGCATGGGCGTTCCTAACATATTCATTTCAACAGGATCGCGCTGGTCAGTCTCATCGCTGTGGCCCTAGTCCACGAGATCCACTACATCGTCGAGGACCACGGCGTCTCGGATCCCTTCATGGGCCTGATCCTGGTCCCCCTCGTGGAGAAGGCCGCCGAGCACATCACGGCCATCGACGAGGCCTGGGACAACCAGATGAACCTGGCGCTGTCCCACGTCCTGGGCGCCACTCTGCAGACGGCCCTCTTCAACGGGCCTTTTATTGTCATCGTCGGCTGGGGTATGAAGTTTCCCATGGGCCTTGACTTCGATGTGTTCAACCTGGTCATGCTCATCCTCGCGATCATCACGGTTGGAAACTTCCTCCGCGACCAGAAGAGCAACTACCTCGAGGGCTTCCTCATGATCGTCGTCTATGTCATCATTGCGATTGCGGCGTTCTATAACCCCACGCTGCCTGAGGGCGGCGGTGCTGCTGGCGAGGCCACCGCCGAGGGCTCGACCTCGACGACTCATGAGCGGTCCCTTCACGGGCTGTAGTCTGCGCGGGGGTTGAAAATAGAAGGAGAGGGTGGTTCGAAATTATTGATCCCATTCTGGCGTTCTCAATGGAATAACACGAGATATTTGATTTACTATTGGACACGGTCGAGTACATGCATAGCGAGCGAAACGAGAGGCAAAGATTTGAATTGGCCAGGCACAGATTCTTCACGGGGCGTTGAACTTGCAATACAAAACTTTCTAATAATCCAATCACATGAAACTGGGCATTGCCAATTAAATATGCTTTGAAGATTCCGTTGCGCGCCTAACGTACATAGTGAATCTCGACAACGCCAATGATTAGTAAGCCAAGATTTTACGCATATTTGAACACAAGCTATTTGAGTAATTTAGAGAGGAAGGAAAGTTCTAAACTTGGGCACTCCCTGGAGAAAAGAAAAGCAGCCCGAGCAATGAAAAATTTAGGCATGCTGTGGCAATAGTGTGTGAGTTCAGTCAGCCGTAGGCACTTGGGAAGAGACCGTAGATTCACACACCTACAACAAATACTTATTACTAAAATATAGAATTTTAAATAATACCTGGTCTATCTAAGAAAGAAAGGAAGGGAGGAAGGAAGTCTTCGAGGGTTCCAACTCTAGAAGAGCTTAGGGCCTCAGAGGCTACAGGTGGCCTGTGCGGCCAGTCGCCCACCTCAGCCCCCAGCCCGATGTGGCCACAATAGTGTTAAGACAAGTCTGAATAACGCCAATTACCTAGGTATACAGGCACTCAAGAACCATTCCGCCCTACCTGGATCCAAGCTTGCTCTCATAACTACACAGGGCGCCATATGGAGCAGGCCACCTATGGAACCCAGAAAGTACCTTCTACCTCTACAATATCGTCTTCGTTCAACCGGTCAACCTCCACAATAGTCCTCGGCGGATACCTGTTCGGATCATCACCCCACAAGGCGATCTGGACCTGGTTGCACAGCGGACGATACCTATACATATCCGTGGTGTACACGACCAGCCGCGTGCAGGAGAAGCGATCTGTACCAGCCAATTCCGCGAGAGCGATCATGTTATCGTAGGCTACCTGAATACGCGCCTGGCCTGTGGGAGCAAGAGTGCTATTCGACCGATAGATACCACGCATGCCTTCAAGCAGCTCGTACATCAGTGTGTGTTTGCGTACGGGATCGAAAGGTAGCGAACGTACCGGCTATGTATAATGTATTCCCAGCCTTAGACATCAAACTCCAGGGTCCCGTGGTGTTAAAGAATGTTGATGGGTTGTAGATTTCTACGCCCGCTGGTGATGTAAAGTTTGGCTGTAAAACGGCTGTGCTGGCGCCGACTAGGCCTAGGAGCGAATACGGGAGCCTCATGGTGAATATGTACAGCTTTCAGGACCCACGGACTTTGTTCAACGAAAGGCATTCGAAGGATGATGAGGTGGGGAGTGCAAAGGCATCGAGGACTTGATTTAATTCAAGCGAGCGAGGGTTCCCTTTATTTTACAACTACCTAGGTACTTATTAACGCCATGGCCGTACTATTGCTTCTTATCCGATGGCTTATGACATCAGGTTACATCGGTGGTCCGTCGCCAAGGGCGTTCATCATCCAGATCCACAATCCGACTTGAAGATTAGGCAACTACCTTGGCTCATAACGGCATCGAGGATAATAACACATGAAGGCTGTTCTTCTGAGATGTTGGGTTGATAGTATCTCCCGGCTGTTAGCCGGGCCCTGTTGTAAACGACAATAGTTTCGATATGAATTACTCGAACAAGTCATTTTATGTGTAGATGGTGTGAGGGGCTTGTGCCTAGGTGTCACACGATTCAAGACTTGTTTCATAGCATAATAGATCAAGTCAACAATTTGCGATAGTTATGATGGTAATTTCTGTTAACTATTTGAGTAGTGTGTGTGTGCATCGGTCTGGGTAGACTCGGACAGAGCATGAAGACAGCTGACTTCCAAGCGTTATAGACTTTCATTCTTCCTGGTATATTTTGAACTGGTTCACATACTCAAAAGCACTTGCCTTGAAGTACCTTTCTTGTGTTGTAAAATTGACATACTGAATGATGTTAGCAGCTGAATGTAAATTGAATGTTTTGGGGAGAAGCGGCGTTCAACTCACCTGCACACCAAAGCGGCATGAGTAACCGTGGTCCCATTCTACGTGAATTTATTAGCATGCCAGATTCTCGGAATATATTATACCAGTAGCAGGCATAATGTGCGTCAATACCAGGTCTGCCAACTTGAAATGGACGTAGGTAGACTGGTAATGTAAAGTAGAATCCGTTCGCGGATTTGACTTGCCAAAATTATCAAAGATACTCCAAGCCAGCGTCCCAACCACATTGACACCTTCAGAAATAGCCATCAAAATCGACTGCACGTACTCTTTGTAGTATCTGGAACGAAGAGGGTCGATGACTATAGACTGGAGATTTGTTCGCAAACTCTCATACGGTTCAGGCATCCCGAACTCTGATACAACAATGCCACCCTTGAATAGTAAGGTCATTCAGTGAAGAGTTTCTGGTAGCCTTTCTTCAAGGGTCAGAGGATACAACTCACAGCTGGTTTGAACATCTCCTGATAATTCTTTAGCATGGTCGGGACCCAATCGGTACTATATGACAGCCAACTTGCGCAGGGGTCAACAGCAGGACCGGTAGGCCAGTAGTCGGCTCCTGGGTAGGTTGGAGAGCCCTCGTAACATCCAGGATAGTCAGGGTGCGAAGAATTGCCGATGCACGCCTTCAAGCCGCCATCCCCGGGGGCCTTGATAAAACCTCCACCGCCATAGGCGTCGATCATGAATAGATCGCTGGTCCCGTTGATCTGCGCCTTCTCCTCCTCCGTGAATGCCGGCAGGAACTCCGAGACGTGCTGCTTGATGCTCTCAGGGAAGTCGCCGGTGAGAAATATCGGAGTCGCCCACAGGCCGTCGTTGAAGTCCCACGCCCGCTGGACAGCCGCCGCGGTCTCTGCGCTGTCATCAACGGGGATCTTGTACGCGCCATTGTTCTTGAATGAGATGCTGAGGGAGGAGTCGATGCCCTTGCCGATGTGGTAGGCTGACGCGTGAGCTAGGAGGGCATTGCGGGCGCAGGTGTAGAACTGCTGTTTGGGCGGGATGGCGGCGGTCGCGCTGTCGTTGAAGTAACCCTCTGGAAGCTGGTAATTGCAGAAGACGGAGGGCTCGTTTAACGTGACCCAGTAGTGGACCTTGCTGGACCACCTCGTGAAGGCCACGCGGGCGTACTCGCTGAAGTCGGTTGTGATCTGGTCGTTGAGCCACCCGCCGTAGGTGAGTTGCAGGTTGAGTGGGAGGTCCCAATGGTACAAAGTGATCACTGGGGTGATTCCATACTGAATGCATGTGTCTATCAAGTCGTCGTAGTGCTGGAGACCTGCTTTGTTAACGTCCCCCGAGCCAAAGGGGAAAATTCGTGACCATGAGATGGAGAAGGCATATGTGTTGATGCCGAGCGCGGCGATACGGGCGATATCTGGCAGAGTTAGCTCTTCCATATCAGTATCTAGCTATTTCACACACATAGTCTTGCCTTGCTTGAACAGGAAGTAATTGTTGTTCGCTATATCTGCCGTGTCGTTGTTCACCACATATCCGGGAATGTGAGTGAGGACGTCCCAGATACTTGGGCCTCGTCCGTCAGCCTTTACGGCACCTTCGATCTGGAACGCTGAGCCTGAAATTCCGCGCAAAAAGCTCTGTGGGAATTTCCAGCTCTCATTCCGATCTTGTAGAGGGACCTGAGCCCCACCAGGGAATGGAAATGGCGGGTAGTTCAAAGGCGGCGGAGGGGTGAGTGACTCGGAAGGCACGGGAGTCGGATCGACGGTGCTATTGACTGGCGAGGTGCTCACAGGTCCAACATACTGGTCCCAGAGTTCTGTCGAGTTTAAGCGTGGTTCAACAAAAAGCGAAAGGGCCATGTACGACCGTGTTCTGTCCATGCCCACACCACTAAGTGATTACTGACCGTCTAGCGTTAGACTTGTTGTGTTCTGTCCTAGAGTGCCTGTCACGAGCCCAGCTAAGGTGAGCGACAAAAGCGTTTGCTTCATCGTGACAAGGCTTCAAATGCTCTAACCAGATTGCTTGTTTGTCGTTGAGAAATTGTAGTGAGTCTTGACCATTGGCAATGTCTTAATTTCGGTGATGCCTCCCATGTCATCACCGGAGCGGGGAAGATGCATGTAACTGCAGCACATCGGCACCTTTTAATTCAGATCGGCATGCAATAAGGCGAGACTTCCACCCTTACATATAGCTATTAATATAGGGTAGTGATCTACAGCTATGATTATAAAAAAGAAGTCTCTATATTAACTGTATACCTATGTATTTAAAACGTATTTAATAGTTATACTTTATAAGTATAATAGAATGTAATATTTAACTATAATAAAATAATAGAATGTACTTTTAAAAGAATAGAAGAATATTGTTAAGATTAAAGATATTTAAATTTAAGGGTGGTTCTACTTTTATTGCGCACATATCCTAAGACATACATGGGGCCTTCATATAGTGGTAAACGCTCAAGACCGAAGGACTATTATAAGAGACTTTATAGCACGTAAGACGGACCCATAGACTAACTACTACGCCACAAACACCCCGGCCAAAAGAACACAATTCCAAGTTACCCAAACTTGGAATCTAGCAGTTATTAACTCGTACCACCACAGAACGGTCGTAAGGTTTTCTGTTAAGCCCAGTAGTATATCCAAGTTTCAAGATTTCGTTTGATCCACTGCGTTGCGAGTCCCAATGGGTACATATATGTATTGTGTTCGACTGATTTTGATTGTGAGATGAGAAACATAGCAAGATGGAGAGCAAGCCTTGAGAAAGCAATCTGACAGTGGCGATGGAGACGATTGATTTTACCCTAACATTGAAGGTTATGTCCATCAGGCATGGGTTTATATACTTACCTAGGTAATCACCCATCATACGGGCATGCTAGATGGCATCTGGCCATCCAAACCCAGATGTGTCATGTCAACATCCAGGTCTGATCCCTCCGGCGACTTATCAGGTTGGCTACGACCATCAAGTTGCTGGGTCGCAGGCTACTATATATATCTGGGTCTCATTATGGATTTGCAAATGGGCTCGAAGTACCTGCCCCGCTTGGCCAGTACTAGTATGGGGAATATTCTAAGGTTCTGTTCCAACAGTTGGGACTCGGCGGCACAGCCCACTGAAGTACAGCCAAAGGGCAGATGAGTCAGCTGAAACGCAGGATCCTTCCTGGGCAACCAGTGGACAACATGCAGTTTCCTTTTCTTGACTCTGACTCCCCATATTCATCTTTTTTAATATTTATAGGCCAACGCCTCAATCCCAACACACAAGCTGGGTTGATTGATGCATAGGCTAAGCGACAGCAGATGCCCATACAGACACAGTACCGCAAACGATCTTCTTTCCAAGATCAACCTTTCGTCGAGAATCATCCACGCAGACGCGATATGGCAGATAAGGACAAAAACGTTTCTTTTGCCCCTCCCCTTCCGCGAATACATGGCCCAAAACTGCCGTCATTTTCTGTCACCGGCAATGCACAGATCGATTTCCTCAAGCCTCTGGGCCAATCTGAGGACCAGGACGCTTGCGTATGGGAGGTTCAGATTGAGGGCAAGAGATATGCTTTGAAGATGGTTAGTCAATATCTGAAACTCTCAGAAATCAGGCACTGATCTGTCAAGTTCCCCTTCCGCTCAAAGGAATACTGCAGTGAAACCGCTCCGTTTCTCACTCGTGGGCTGAAAAAAGAAGAGTCTTACGTTGATTATTATGACCCTTTCAACTGCGAATGTCGAGTCTACGGGCGGCTGAGGGATGAGGAGCGCCAAGACCTGGCCGTTCGCGCGTATGGTTACCTTCTCCTGACGCCAGAACAAGAGAAATTCGTTGCTGAAAAGGAGACGGGGGATCCCCAGCCGCAAGGACTCGAAATATTGGACGGAGACGGCTTCTGGGAGCGGTGGGAGGAGCACCGAGGTCAGACGGTCCGAGCCATCGTCAAAGAACTGGTTGTTCCGCGTCCAGGTGAAACTGGCCCTTTGGAATTTCAAGCGTCTCACGTCCCACAGATGTGGAACGATCTAGACACACTCCATTCTTTGGGCATTCTCGTGCGGGACATCCACTACGCGAACTATCTCAGCGGGAAACTCGTTGATTTCAGCCGGGCATGGACCATGTATCACCCCAGCCTCGATCTCATTCCGCCAAGCAGCTATCAGGCCGTCCGCAAGACTGAGGTTCTGGATTTGGAACAGCTGATTTATGATTTCTGGACCCAGAATCCCTCGGTCGTCCCTGAAGATTTTAAGCTTCCTCAGGGCTTACTCAACTGCACCGGCAGTAACCTGGCCTGCGGGGAGAGTCCTCGGGAGTACAACTGGCAGGCCAGAGAGGAGGAAGTCTTCGTACCCGAAGATCTGTTCAGTTGAATAAGTGGCATGAATTGGTTCCTATACTCAAGTGATAGGCGCTCGCTTCGGTGTCGGTCTAGTCAACCGAGGTGCTTAGTAGTCCACGTTTCAAAGAACGGCACATAGTCTATACTCAAGTGATAGGTGATTAAATCCTAAAGGCACCAGCTAGTGCTAATTGTATGCTTTATATATGATATTGACTATCCCTCTATTCGAAAAAGTTACTTATGAAAAAGTGAATGAACCCTTTCCTCACATAGTCAAAGCTAATCTAAGTATAAAGATATAACCTTAAGGCATGAATTTATACACAGAAGATCACACCAACTCAGAGGACGGTTTCTTTGATGTATCACCTGACCAAATGTAATATAAGCATTATTACTTGGTTGTAGTTTGTAGGTTTAAAAAAAAGGTCTAAAAAATGATAACATCTCAGCGTACAGGCCGACAAGATACCAAGATGTTTCCACCAAGCCATCGGGACCCCCTCCCTCAAGCCTTGCACTTCCCAAGCAGGCCCTCCCAAGGCTCCAGCGTAACCGCCCCAGTGACCGCCCTCCCCTCAGCCTCGCCCTTGCCATACGTCGTAGCCGCCCAAGAGTCCACCTCGTAGCCCTCAGGCAGGGCCCAGCTCCGCTGCTCGCCAGAGAAGTTGAGCACGACGACCCACCTCTCGCCCGCGGCGGTGCTGCTCGTCCGCGCGTAGGCGTACACGGCCTCGTCGTCCGCGGCCGAGAGGTCCTCGAAGCCGCCGTAGACAAAGACGTCCTTGTGCGCCTTGCGGTCCGCCAGCGCCCGCTGCCACCACTGCCAGGGCGACAGCTCCGTGTCGGACTGGAAGCCCACCTGGGCGGCGGCGCTGGTCCCCGTCTTGTGGTCGTCCATCACGCGCATCCAGGGCTTGACGCCTTCCTCGCAGAAGCCTGCGTTTGGCGTCGTGTCCCACTGCATCGGTGTGCGGGCGTGGTCTCTTGCTTTTCTGTCGGGGTGTGTTAGTTGGGGGGTTCAAGTTGAGGCCCAGGGGCTGCGATCGGAATAGATGATGGGTGCTTACGTGTCGATGATCTTGCGCCCCAGTGCAATCTTGTCCGGGTCGTCCTTGTAGATCGCGTTGACCTTCTCCCAGTAGTTGACTGTCTCGATATCTTTGAACTCCTCGATCGGCCAGTCCCTGGGGATGTTGCGCATCCCGATCTCCTCGCCCTGGTAGACGAACACGGTGCCGCCGAGCGTCGTCTGCATGAGCGCCAGCAGCCGCGCCGACTTGGCCCTGTCCTCGTCGCTGTCGCTCGCGTACCTCGAGATGGAGCGCGGGTTGTCGTGGTTCTCGATAAACACCGAGTTCCACCCGTCCCTCTCGATCATGACGTTCTGCCAGCGCGAGATGATGCCCCTCATCTCCTTGACCGTCCACGGCCGCAACGTCATCCGGACGTCGTGCATGTCGATGTCCACCACGTCGAAGATGAAGATCATGTTGAGCTCGCCCGCGTTCGCCCCGACCGTCCGCAGGATCTCGTTGTCGTCGCTGACGCCCGGCATCTCCCCGACGGTCATGGTGTCGTACTTGCTCAGCACCGTGTCGTGCATCTCGCGGAGGAACTCGTGCAGCCGCGGGCCGTTGACGGTGTGCTTCCACGCCGGCTGGTACTTGTGGCCGGGGCCCAGCACCTCGTCGGCGTCGGGGTACCCGGGCACCTTGGAGATCATGTTGATCACGTCCATGCGGAAGCCGCACGCCCCCCGGTCGAGCCAGAACCGCATCACGTCCCACACAGCCTCCCGGACCTCGGGGTTCTCCCAGTTGAGGTCCGGCTGCTCGGGCGTGAAGAGGCTCAGGTAGAACTCGCCCGTCTTGTCGTCCCACGTCCACGCCGAGTTGGCCTCGCCCAGGATCTGCGCCCAATTGTTGGGCGGGACGGGCTTCCCCTCCTTGTCGAACCCCTTGGGCGGCTGCCAGTGGTACCACGCGCGCTTGGGGTTGTCCTTGCTGCTGCGGCTTTCCAAGAACCAGGCGTTCTCGTCCGAGGTGTGGTTCGCCACCAGGTCCATCATGAGCCTCATGCCGCGCTTCTTGAGCTCGGCGATGAGCTCGTCCACGTCCTCCAGCGACCCGTACCGTGGGTCGATCTGCTTGTAGTCGGCGATGTCGTAGCCCATGTCGGCCTGTGGTGACTTATAGATTGGGCTGGTCCACAGCACGTCAACGCCCAGCGACTTGAGGTAGTCCAGCCGCGAGGTTATGCCCTTGACTGTGCCCCAGCCAGGCAGCTTGGCCCCTGGCGAGGACTGGAAGGACGACGGGTATACCTGGTACACGACCGACTCCTTCCACCACTTAGGCGTGGAGTACGAGTTTGACTGGGATGAGGCCATGGTGGGCTGGCTATTCACTTGAGCAGCAGACGCGGAGAGAGAGCGAGGTGTCAACTGGAGTGAGGTGTGAATTGTTTCAAGTCAACCTTGGAGCAGGCCCGCGCAGGAGGCAGATGGACCTTCAGCTATGATATATGTACCATTGCTAATTTATAAGTGTTAGTTAGAATTGATTCAACTCCATCGCGAGGTGTGCAGGGCCAGACGCAACGGCGCTTCCTAAGTCGTCCGTGGTCGGCCCGGCAGCCTCTCCGATACTTTCGCCGAGAAATAGCCCGCAGTAGTGTCGGGAGAGGTCGCCTCTCCGGCGGGCTAGCTGTCGATCCCCCATGACTCGGTCCACCTAATGCGGAGTAGTATGGGGAAGGTTTAGTAAATGTTACGGTTGACATCCCCCATCCGGAGCGCCATCGCCGAGGCACTACCTTTAAACTTTGAAGGTCATCCATGCTTGAAATCTGCGTGCGACAGGACTTGCTCGTGGGTCACCATATTGTCAACATTCTATAGACACACGTATGTTGGGCCATGTTCTGTACATCCAAAAAGGGAGCGGTAGAGCCAATTTTTCATTGTTTGATGTCTCGTCATCAAGTCGCGTGGGGGAATCAATGACGGAGGGCAAGCTCTGGTTTCCCTCCCAAGACCAAAGAAGCAGCTTCAACGCCTCCAGTGCCCCCCTTGAAATCCGTTCCTGCCAAATCCCTATATGATACAAATGCAAACAGTCGCTCGCGAATACCTATGTCTTTTTATGTGTGGACTCATTTGTCTTCTTGGTAAAAGCGTGAGCACGAAACGCCTGGGCCGGCTGGCAGTGTCATACACCTCCACACCTAATTTGGGACTCTTTGTCTTGTTTCGGACCCCAAGCCAAGCTGCGCTATCTCGTCCTCGCCAAGTCTATGCAGGCGCGAGCAAAGGCTCTAGGTGCCCAAAAGAAGAGCGTTCCGAAATTCGCTGGTCACCGCAATGCGCCGAGACAGAGATAGACTCTGTCGTATCTCCGTTGATCCCTCGTCATTGTGGCCACGAAGTTGGCGTGTGAGCATATTCTCACCCATATTCCAAAAAAGACCAGAGCGTTACACTTCATGACCCATCGTCCTGTCCTGGCGAGCCCTGCCCAACGGAGTTCTGGACGGTAGCTCCGAGTCTGATGTTGATGCTTTTCACCCCTGTAGTGCCAGAATTCGGTGCTCCATTGAAAGACTTTTTCTTGGGAATTGTCGCCGCGGGACCACTAGCGTTTCGTACTGCAGACGTGCTGTTGCGCCGCTTGTTCTGCTGCATCATCTTCCCCAACTCGTCGTCGTCCTCTTCCTCTCGCCGACGCTTCTCACTAAGTCGCTCGGGCGGCGTTGAGCTCAACGATAGCGGCGCAGTGTCTGTGCTGTTCGGGGTCAGAGGCTCCTCTTCGGACTTTACGCCTTTACCCTCCTTGCTGATCTCCGAGTCGGTCTGGGCCATGACCACGTCACCACCATTCTCGTCTGACTCTTCGTCTGAGTGATAGTCGACAAGGGCGCTGAGCGGACCGGGGCCAGGGCTGGGCCCTGCCACCAAAGAGCCCCTCGCAGCCAGCTTTGTCTGGTTCTCTTCCTCATCGTCGGACGTGTTCCAATACTCTTCTTCCATTGGATCCACACTTATCTGCTCCATCATGCGCCCATTCACATGAGTTGGTCGCCGGCCCATCTCATCCTCAGATTCCATAAAGTATGTATCCATGTTGCCCGCAAAGCCTCTGCTCTGCTCGTAAAGGCGGACGAGATCGCTGAAGGTTTCAAGATAGCCAAGCGCGGTGATCTTTTCCCTATAGTTCTCAACCAGATGCTTGACGAGATCTTTGATGTTCTCCTTGCGGATGTACTCGAAGATATCCAAGCACGCAGAACTGAGGAGGTTGTCGCGTGGTAGTGTGAGCAACAGGACGTCCAGGATTGGGCCGAGGACTTGCTTCTCAGCAACAAGCCTGACATAAAACTCATCGGAGACGTGGTTCACCAGATGGCGGAAGAATCGGATTGCCACTGACTTGATGTTAGTTCCAATTTGTGGAGACTTCATTGAATAGGGGGGGCACTTACCTAGCTGCAGGTGTTTTTCCTTACACGATAGCAACTGGGCGAATCGTGACGCAATATTGTGGTCTCTGATGAACTTCTTGCAGAGATTGTGGTGTTGTCGGGCAAAGAAGCAGAGGATGTCGTTGAGATAGCTGAAGATGCCATCGTTGTGCACAGAGAACTTGAGTTCCGTTCTGCCTTCCAAATCAAGCAGAGGTCTAAACAGCCGTGCTGCCGATCGTCCGTAGAAATCCTCCAGAATGGTTTGCTGCTGGCCCTCCAAGCTATTGATCTGATTCATTGGACGTGGCCGTGACTGGAGCTCCCCATTGACCATCTTGATACCGCCATCTGGCGCTTGACTTGTGGGTATAGTGTCGAGCAAGACCTTGAGCGCGTCAGAAATCTGAGACTTGACTCCGAGATCCACCTCTACCAGGAGCAAGTCAATGAGAGTGTCTGTCAGTGGGAGCTGCTTTGCCAGTATCTGCCGGAGGAGAGTGTGGCGGATCATGTGAGGATCGTGGTCGATCATGGAAACCAGGATATCTGTGGCGCCCACGCGGACAGAAACATCAAAGTTGCGAAGGCCGAAGTTGATAACGGCAAGCAGGCCGTGATTCAACAGACTGCTGTAGAAGCCCTGCCGGTTTTGAATTTGCAGGTTCTTGGCGATGGCACAGCACTGCTGTATGAACAGGACCGCTTGCTTTTTTCTCAGCTGCTCCGCCTTCTCATCTGGGTTGAAGATAGAGAAGAGGTCACGCAGGAAGGCGCCATTGGACTGAAGGTGCTGAACTATTTCCACCTGGTTGAAGAAGATCATCGAGTTCAAGACCGAAAAGGTGGGGTCGTCCAGGATCCGGGCCAGAACGACGTCTTTCATGTACTGCAGGCGGTATGTCTGGTGTATCCTCCGTCTGACCTGATCGTCTTCGATCCGAACCACCTCCTTGTACCTCGACTGGTCTTTTAACCATTGCCTGTGGTTCGCCTTGTGCTGTGGGAAATCGGGGTCGTACTCCAGGGCACCAACGACGCCCAGGATGCATTCGTCCGACACCGCATGTTCGATAATCGTCGTGTCATTAAGCAGGAGGATTGTCTTCATGATGTTGCAAAGGCGATGCAAGTCCTGGAGGCTCTCAAGGTCCTCGGCCATCTCAACCAAGGGCATTAATTTGCCGATGTAGTCCTCGTGCATTATTAACTTGGCGAGGGTCTCACGACCATTGGCGGAGCTGCTGATAACTCTTATTGTGGCTTCGAGGTCGGTGAGGCTGCCCAGTTCGGCGGGAGGAAGTTGGATGGAGGGGGGCACGTCTATTGCCAGATCGTCTGAGAGGCTGTCGTCAACTGGGGAGATATGAGCTAGTCTGTTGATACATGCGGGAAAATTGGGAGGGGGGTGGTAGTTGGCATACCTGGACCTGCGATGTCTCCTTGTAGTGTTCGTTGGACATCGTTGACAAATTTCCTTTGGTGAATGTTAGCCGTTCGCTCCTGGACTAACCCCGGAAATATGAAGGCTCCGGCATGATATGCGATCACACATACCATATCAGGGCGCAGCCATCAGCTTCTTGGAAACTCAGGGCCATATCGACCTGCGTGCTCGGCTCCGTCCAGACGATGAGGGTTTCTACCGGGGCCGTTAGTGGGTGTCTACACGAACGACATGATGGTGAGGTTGTAGCATGCCTTGTTGCTTCTGGAAGCCATCTTCCTTACAGATCCTCGTCTCCAGCAATGTCCTCAGCGGTTCATCTTCGGAATCAACAATCACGCGGGGCTCTTTGGCCCTTCCCTCTTCGGTCTGTCGAGCAGAGTGACCAGATTAGTCTAGGTGGCAAGAGCGGAATTGGGACGGACGGGATGGTGGTGAGGGTGGTGAGTTGATGCAGACAGGCAGTTGCGATGATGGAGGGATGTTGCGCAGACCAAGACAAGAAGAGCAGCAATACATGACACAGGCACGGCGGGACGGAATGGCATCTGACACGGCCAATCGACAAAAGGATAAGAAGGTTTCACGCTGGAGACATACTTCAGTCCATGCTGCGGTACAGAAGCCGGTGCCGCGGTCGAACCAGTCGTTGTCGCGGAGCTCGTAGACCTTGACGCGCCTCCTGTCGGTCGTTTGATGAGGCACGGGCTGTGCCATCATCAACGGCTCTTGGTCCCTGTGGTCTGCGGCAATGCGCCCGTAGCTGGCGAGGAGGTCGGGGGCGATGTTGAGGTGCTGCTGGAGGGAAAGTTCGGTCTCGGAGGAGCTGAGGAGGGTAAGCGCCGCCACCTTGGACGAGAGTGGTCGCGCGACAACGGATGCGCGCGGGGTGGGGACGGGAGAGGCAAGAGGGCCCGGCCAGGCGACCCAGCGACCAGGCGACCAGGCGACGCGATGCGATGCGGCGGCGAGCAAGGACTGATGGATGATCAGGATGGGGTATTTTGTCGTGCGTCACTGGCAGGCTAAGATCAGGACTGGGCGAGGAGTTGGGGGCGGTCGGTGTTGGGTCGGTGGGTGCGGGTGCGGGTGTGGGTGTGGATGGGGCGGATGGGCGGGCTATGACACCAGTTGTCGTGCTCGTGCTCAAGAAGCCATCGGTCGGGCAGTGCGTCGGGCAGAGGCGGAGAGCGAGGAAAAAAGACGGTGGCCGAGGCTTGTTGCCGCAGAGCTGGCGACGGCGGGCAGTCCCAACGTGTCGGCGACGACAGGCTGGAGTGTGCAAAAGATAGTGCGATCGGTAAGCCTGAGCCTGAGCCTGTGGACCCTTGCGATGGGATGGGAATTCAGTCTGGACCCGGCTTGGGGTTGGGATGGTGATGCTGTGGATTGAAAAGCTCGACCTCAGCCACCCGACGGGCAGATCTTGGGGTTAGGCAGGCAGGCGGCGGGCGGGCAGAGGCGACAGGGTGACAGGGTGACAGGGTGCTGTGGCACTCTCCGCAGGCTGAGAGGACAAGTCGAGTCTAGCCTCTCCTGTTTGAGAGGGTGCCCGCCTTGCCTGCTTGCGCGCCCAGGCAGTGGATGGCAAATCCCTCTTGCCCTCCCAACCCAAGTCCCCCAAACGTCGTCACACTGCCTGCACCCACCCTCCCCGTGCGCGTGCTCGTGTGCTCCGTCCCAACCTAATTTTGGCTGGGGGTCCCCATCTGCCTTGCTGCGAGACTCGATCAGGACCCACTTGCCTAGGTTGTTTAGGCACTTTTCTCCTCCTGTCCCCTGGATGCCTTCCTTTGTCTTTGCCTTTGCCTTTGCATTCGGGAAATCCCGCGCATGTGGCATGTGGCGGCATGGCTTTTCGTCCCAACTGTCGATATCTATTTGTGCCATTGCGTGCTGAACCTTACCTTCTGTCCCGAGTTCAATAAGCCAAGCCCACCACCCACTTGCAGGCTGCCATTGCCCAACCATGGCAGCCCTCAGGAAGCCAGCGACAATTTGAATATGTTTCAGAACACTCTCCAGGACCTACCAGCGCAAAGCACGGACAATATCCAGAGATGGATCATTGACAACTGGGCAGTCAGTCGGCTTGTCTACCAACCCTGTTTCCCCCATTTAAACAAGGCAAATGCACAGCCGGTATTAATGCCACACCATCCTATCATCAGGTCTCGGCACATAGCGCCGTGCGAAAGGGCGGGTCACATTCGCCTCCTGTCAACACTTTCTTGTTCTGCAGATCAAACTAATCAAGCCGTTTGCGATGAATAGAGTTGCCCACCAATGCAAGTTACCAGGCGCTTGACAGGCTTATACCGGTCTAGCTTCTAAAACAGACGAGCCGACCAATTTGGGGTCCATCTGCATCGCGCTGCTGCTGGGGCCCTCATGGGACCCCTAGCCTTTTTCCATGCCTCTTGCCTCGGCCCGCATGGCGCATTGCGCGTGGATCGGCAAACCCCAGCCGTGGAAAACTCCATCGCCAATGGAACACCACGCCTAGACCACACCACAACCGTAATCCACAGGCCTTCTATATCTACTACCCGGACTGGGGATCGCCTACTGACAATGCAAGACTCCGCATCGGTCCCGAATTGACCATGGGGATTTTGAGAACTCTGACCACGAGGGCAAGGCAAAGGGCAAGGCAGAGGACTCCTTGCAGTACCTCGTAGGCTATTATCATCCCACAAGACGCACTGGATACCAAGCAGAGGGTGCGAGACCGTTTTCGACTTGTCTTAGGCCTGGACGGCGTTGTGATTAAACGGGTGCACGGCAATGCCCAACTCCAATATCAAGTTCTGGTTCTTCCCTTGCGGGGCCAACCTCGAGGCGCTCAAAGCCACCAAGGTCTGAATATTGACCTTGGAAACGTGTCCACAGCAAACAAGTACAAGCTCGCTCCTTGGCCGACTATACAAGGCGCAGATAATCCATAACGAAGAATTGACCAAGAAACTGATTGCACCGGCCAAATTCCCGGCCAAATAGTTAGCTCCGACGCATATCTCTCGACTTTGGCATCCTCGTCAAGGCCGGCATCCCGGTGGTCACCAAGCTCCAGTCACCGGCAGACTACTGTGCCCCGGGGCGGGCTGTTGCACGACAGCGAGCCCAGCTTTTGACCGTGACATGTGGAGCTACATAGTTGTGTTCGTATACCTCTATGCGACAACCACGATCTTTACCGGTAGGGGCTTTGCGGGGAGGGTCAGCTCTATTGTCCAACATGTTGGGGGGGGGGGGGCTTCTATTCGTCGGCTTGTAGAGGACCCATGGCCATGGACTGGCAGTGAAGTCTTTAGACTGAACACATCAGCATTTCTGGTCACACAGTATAGCTACCATACGACTGCGTACAATGCCGTCATATGAAACGTGGCGTTCAATGGTCCACCACGGAACAAAGCACTTTGTCTTACAACATCACGCGTTGACATCCGGTGTCACTACAAGAACCCTTCGAGTTTCTTCCACGCCACAAGAGCCAGGTGGTACTTGAGAAAATTTGACGGGCTATTTAGCGACACGTTACATGTTTGTGGACTGATTTGCCGGATCTGGGCACCGGCCATCTCTCACAACAGGCCTTGGCCTGTTCTCAACGCCCGAGGCGGAGGAATCGTCTGCATCACACCCGGGACGCCCCAAGTACTGAAGTACTCTAAGGATATCCCTAGAGGACAAGGTACATAGGTACATAAAACGCATAGATCCGAGAAGGGTCCGTGTATTGCTACTTATTAGTCAGTCGTCTTGAACCGGCCCATGTAGATGATAGCACCGTGGTCTTATAACACCACTCCAACCCCCTGTCGACCAAGCACTTCTGGGGGGCTAAGGACCCCGGCGCAGGAGCGGGACCCGATGGCGTGCAGCTGATCTGACACCTAAGGCGCAGTAGCTCGAGACCTGCCGGCAGCGGGATGCCTGACAGGCTTGGCCCGATTGATCACGTGTGCACATGGCAAATACATGCACTTGTTCGTAAACTCGGAAATCGTCTATCTGCTCCTGGTGGCTATCATTACACATTATTGGTCCTCTGTGAAACATCTGGCAGACTTGGGCAGACTGGAGTGCTCCATATAGGATACAACCTATCTCCTTCTGGTTGATGCCAGTGGTTGAAAGTGTTCGAGGGCTCCGAAAGAGCCTGGTTAATCTATGTCGAATCAGATCAAAAGACGAAAAAAAAATAGTTCTTAGCAGGTTGAAGGTGTATTTTATTCCCGGAACATCAAGCTTGATATTTATTTCAAACCTCTTGATTGACATTCATTTTTAGTCTACTATTATAGCAGAAACCGGGTCCACCTGGCAGAGCTGCTGCACCTTTCTAGTAACCGAGAGCACTACTGGGCTGCGGAAGTCTCGTGGATGGATATTCCTAGGTTAACTACGGCTTCTCGGGCTCTCAAGTGCCCGGTACCGGTAGGGCAGGTCAGGTGTATCAGCATTCACGGGTTTTCTATATGCCCTTAACCTTAGAATAAGAGATCGGATATTCACACCCGCTAAAATAGAGGGTACACCTATATTAAGGAAATAAGAGATTAAAATGCGTAATTTAGTGCTAAACTATAAGTAATTATCCCATATAGTTATCCTATAGGATGTTTTTATATAGAAGCTTGTCTTATAGGAGATTATCCTATAGGAAGTTATCCTATAGGAGGTTGTCCCATAGGAGGTTGTCCCATAGGAGGTTGTCCCATAGGAGGCTGTCCCATAGGAGGTTGTCCTCCTATGAGAGGTTATCCCTTGGGTCTTGGGTATACCCTCCATTTTGGTGGGTGTGAATGTCCGATCCCTAGAATAACGACCAGGAATCTGATGATATAGACTGTGTTAAAATCAATGGAGCCCATGTAGTCGGGTTGATTAGCTTAGTCGCACGAAAGCTTAGAGAATAGGTCGCGGACTCTTGCCATCACCGACCAGCAACACCCAGTCTCGTCCAGCACAGGCAAAAATAATATTCCGGATGATATGCGCCAACGCCACCTACTACAGTCTCGTCTCGTATGGCGGGCCTTAGGGGTGTTAGTTTGCGTCTCGAGGCAACATCGTGACACTGCCGAATGGTACTAGTTAGAACCGGTGCAAGACCGCCTCGGACTTACATGGCATGGAATGAATAAACACGAAGACCATCCCCAGGGCCAAGCGCCTTATCCCCCACCCCCCAAAAATTCCCTAATTCTACAATCCCGAACAAACAGCTTGGGACTGAAAGGTTCCATCCACAGCACGACGTCCAGGTCCTTGTCTCCTGCATAAACCCAGGCCTGGGGACACACGAAGTTCAGTTTCCAACGCCAGCTCCATCCTCTCAACAGGAAACTCAAGCACGTTCCAAGGCCCTGCTCTGACTTATTCGCCCAACACATCACCTGACCCCCAAAATGGGCTTCTTCAAGACCGAGGCAAAGGCTCGCAGGAAGGAGGAGCTACAGGAGCAGCACAAGAAGGAGACAGCAGTGCCCGCGCCCTACTTCCACACCCCCACCCATGCTCTGAAAGACTCACTACAGAGTGTCTCAGATATCAACAAGGGCACAGACCATCAGAGACTCAAGGAAGCCCACCGACTGCGCCTTCAGAAGGAGGCAATTGCCCTCGCCACCGGCTCAGACACCAACGCCACCAGCATACCAGCCAACTACTGGCAGGGCCAGCCTCTCCCCGCCCAGTTCAAGGCTCCGACGCCCGCCGACTTGCGCAAGTTGGCCCTGTCCAGATCTACCATCCGAGGGAAGAACATCGCACTGCCCGAGGCATTGCTGGTAAAGAAGCAGTCGCAGAAAACCGTAGATGATGAAGGTGAGCGATATTGTCGTCGGCATGACATGCACCAACACACCACTAACACCCCCATAGGATATGCGTCAGGCGACGAGCTGAAAAGCATGGCCAGGCGTTTCCGCCAGTCGCAAGCCGTGGCTGGTCCGTCTCGTCTGTCTGTGACCGCACAACCCCAGAGAGACGAAGCTATAAAAGCCGCAGAAGCCGCCAGGGAAGCGGAGCTGGAGCGTCTCAGGAACAGGGTGAGGGAACTCGAGGCAGAGCGCATGGGTAAGCAGAATGGCCACGTTGGTCTCGCGGATCGTCCAACCGTACTGACCAGAGCACCAGCCAACAATGCCTCGCACCCGGTGAATGGGATCCAAGGCGGGGCCAGCTCATCCTCGCGGTGGGGGTCGCAGTCTTCTGCGCAGTCTTGTGGAAAGGACAGCCAGAGCCAGAAGCAGGATGACGAATCTTCCCCACCGTCAACGCCGCCTTCCCGGGATTCGGATGGAGTGGCTCGCTATGACTGGGCCATGCACTGGGTACGCCTCGCGGCCGCCACGGACGAGGAGAGAGACAGCCTACCCCCGGCCGTTAACCCCCAGCAATGTCTGGCACAAGGTGAAGATCCGGAAGCAAGAGCGGATCCCCAGCCATACGACTCATATGCGCCCAGGTTCGGCGCAAACTGTCTGTCAGACCTTCCAGCTTCTCTTGCGGTCGCCAAAGGGCCAAGACAACCCTAGAGCTTGCCAGAAATCTGACTGATGGAGTGACCGAGGCGAGGCATGTGCCAACAGCGAGTGAGATAGATGAACTTCATCTTTGTGGTTGAGTCGCTCACAACACCAACCGCGCCAGCAGCTACTCCACTGGGACTGGGACTGGGAGCTGATTTAGTCGAAACAGTAAGAAAGAAAGAAAGAAAGAATGACGGCAGAATGTCTTTGAGAAACACTCATTGCGTATTTGAGTTGGTCAAAATACCTTATCATAATCTGAACATCAAATCAGGACAAATGCACTTTTCCACCACGCCCGGCCGGCCGGAGCAAGACCAAATGACCTGGTAAATGACGGCATCGGCAGCGGAAGAATACATGTGGGCAAAAGTTTTTGAGTTACTGCTTATGAGAAACTTTAAATGCTGGGGACGCTGGGGATGCTTAATGGGTTCGTCTTGGTGTCACCCGGGTGCTGGATTTTGGTGTCTTGTTTGAATGAGGGGAGGAATGCCACACAGAAGGCAAGGATAGACTTTGATTCGGTTAGAGCAATGAGTTTACCCAGGAACATTATAGAAATTTTCAAAGCTCTCAACAAAACAGTTGAAGGGGATGACAAAGAGCCCATATGACCGTTCTGTGACGTTGGCAGGTTGTGAAGTCCAAGCATGTGGCACAACAGGCTAACTATAGTGCGTGATAGGGGTAACTTTCTCAAAGCCTACTTTACCTTAAGACCCCTAGGTTTTTAGAAAGTTGCCCCTGTTGTGCACCATACTAACCTTGCACGCCCCGAGACAGGGGTCCACTGGGTTTGCTGCTGAAGTGAGACCCTGCCAGGCCTGTTTGCCTGGGTCGTGTGGAGTGGGATGGGCCGCCCAGCTTCCCCACAGCCGATCGACAGGGGCCGTGGGGCACGCAGCAAAGACAGAACAAAGAAAGATGCGCCCAGGCAGCAGGGCAGCTGCCAGGGTACCTGACCTCCCTGCCGCCTCGAGGCGCACACGCCCCCAACCCCGATCTCAATGCCATTGCCGCCTTGCAAGTGCCTCGTGGCCTCAACCCGGCCGGCACATCAGACCTGCATCCTGGGTCGGGAGCTTGTCTTCTCGAACACCTCGTCTTCTTTGTCTCACCTCTTCTTCTCTCCGAGGGCAAACTGCAGCTGTGTGCTACCCCTCGTTTATTAATGGCCGTCCCCCGCCAGATGCAACCCTATTTCAGCCGCAATTGACTGCGGCCTGTCTGACTGACCTCTTGCGAGCATTCCTTCGTTCTTTTTGTGTGTCCGTTGTTGGTGGGCTCCCAGCTGTCTGTCTGTCACATGTCAAAACCATGGCCGACTTGGACTTGTCTCTACCTGCACGCCTGCTTGCTGCGGTAGAGCAGCTGGTCTGGTCTACCTACATGGTTGCGAGGGAGTTTCCTTTTACCATCCTCCCTCTGATCATCATCGCCTTTGTCAGTTTGGCTGTGTTGGCTGTAAGTCTGGTCCCTCCATCTGTGCCCAAGCTCCTTACCAGCTGCGGCGCTCCGAAAGAGAAAGAGACAACACACGATGCCCACCACCAGCCATTGGCACACCTGTCTACCTCGTCTGTATCAAAGACCTGGCTGGCTCCTTGCTAATACTTTGCTCTCCTCGCCAGTTCTTCATCGGCCTCCACATCATCGCACCAAAGCCACGCGCCCCATTACCCTCCGAAAAGACATACATCACCACCACCCCCGATGGCATCACCACCAGGCCTCTGCCATGCTGGTTCGACAGATGGGACGCCGAGCGCAAGCTGAGCGAGTCCGCCGCCGCCAGCAAGAACGCCTTCGACGTCCCAGACACCGGCTCCGTCGAGCCCCCCGAGGTCGAGGTGTCGGTCGTCATCCCGGCCTACAACGAGGAGAAGCGCATCCTGCCGGCCCTCGAGGAGGCAGTCGAGTACCTCGACGGCAAGTTCGGCCGCCCCACCACCGACGACCGGAAGAAGCGCATTGGCAGCCCCCCGACCACCCCGCACCACCGACAGTTCTTCAGGCGGGCAACCCGCCCAGACGCCACCAGGGGTGACGATGCCGCCGCCGCCATCCCGCCCGCGGGGTACGAGATCCTCATCGTCAACGACGGCAGCCGCGACAAGACGGTCGACGTCGCGCTCGACTTCAGCCGCCGCCACGGGCTGCACGACATCCTGCGCGTGGTCAACCTCGAGAAGAACCGCGGCAAGGGCGGCGCCGTGACGCACGGCTTCCGCCACGTGCGCGGCCAGTACGTGGTGTTTGCCGACGCCGACGGCGCCTCCAAGTTCAGCGACCTGGGCCGCCTGGTCGAGGGCTGCGAGGACGTCGTCGACGCGAGCAACCGCGGCGTCGCGATCGGGTCCCGGGGCCACCTGGTCGGCAGCGAGGCCGTGGTCAAGCGGTCGGCCATGCGCAACTTCCTGATGAAGTCGTTCCACTTCGTCCTCATGATCCTCACCCCGCCCGCGACGTCCCGCATCCGCGACACCCAGTGCGGCTTCAAGCTCTTCTCCCGCGCCGCGCTGCCGCACATCGTCCCCTACATGCACATGGAGGGCTGGATCTTCGACATCGAGATGCTGATGCTCGCCGAGTCTGCCCCGCCCAGCTCCGTCTTCGCCAGCGACGGCTCTGTCATCGGTCTTGCGCCCGGCATCCGCGTCGCCGAGGTCCCCATCGACTGGCACGAGGTCGAGGGGACCAAGATGAACATCATCAAGGACAGCATCGGCATGGCCCTGGGCATGATCATCCTACGCGGGAGCTGGATGTTTGGCGTGTACCGGCGGCGCATCACATGATCTGGTTGTCTCCTTCATTCTACAACTTGATTTTTTTCGTTCTTAAGCATCTCGCGATAATAGCTCTCACCTGTGCTGTATTCAGTCAAATTACTGGCATTTGGAACTGGCGTTAGGGTCACCTTAAAAGTTGCTATTACTTTTCGTGATGTGCATATTGATAAATACTGCACAGTAAGAATCCGCCTAGCAGGAAGGCGATAAGGATCACATAGACAGACCTTGTGGGGACCATATGCTAGATATCAATGGCATGCATGCTCTACAAATTGCTTCAGGTTCAACAAGATTTGCCCATTGCAAGCCTGAACATGTGCTGCAAGGACGACTGTTTCTCCCTGTGGTGACCAGGACAAAGACAGACCTCTTTTCAATCTCCTATCTCACGAGAGAATATCTTGCCATTTAGGAAGTTTCGACTGAGTGGTGAGTATTCTAAGAGTCATTAAAATTATTTAGATTGGTGATATATGTGCGTCTCTTTGTCCCAAAGGATGAATACCCCGTTTTAAAGGACCTAAATACATACTACGAAACCGCCCGAATTTATTTCGTGACGGGCGTGAGGCACACCAAAACGCTGGCGCAGATTCGCTCTGCTCGCCTATGGATGTCTACCGCATTTTCTCATGAAAGTCCTTTTTCTCCATTTTCCTCATGCAACATGTCCGCTCGCAGTGAATGATCACAGGAACGGAATTGACACCCGCCCCCTCGTGCGTGTCAGGGGCATTAAGTCTCCCGCAAGAAAGCGCAGAAGTCTGCCCCCCCCCCCGGGCGGCGTCCATGCCTGCTTTAGATCGCCTCTCGGTACATGATGGGCAAGAAGACGACGCACGCCTTCCAGAGGATGAGCACGGCGTCGATCACAACAATGGGGAACTTGAGGAAGCCGAGCGGGCCGCTGCCCATGACGTCGCGGGCGTTGAGCCAGATGGCGAGGAAGGCGACGGTGAAGAAGTGGCTGATGAGGACCCAGGGGCGGTGGATGAGGCCGCCGAGCAGGCCCGTGGGCTCCTCGGTGACGCCGCGCTGGAAGTAGGCGAAGCAGCCCAGGCGCAGGGCGCGCAGCTGCCGGCTGTCGGCGGCGAACAGGCTGTACAGGGCCATGGCGAGCACGTTGATGATGGATGAGAGGTTCTTGCGGCGCCAGTGGAACTGCTTCATGGCGCCGCGGACGGCCTCGGCGTCGCCCAGGTCGCGGACGGGCGCGAGCAGCTCCGACACGACCACGACGTCGTTGAAGGCGACCGTCATGCCGCCGCCCGTCAGCGGGTGCCGCATGTTCATGGCGTCGCCCAGCACCAGCACGCCCGGGTGGGACGCCTGCTGCGAGGGCGGCAGCCAGCTGTTGGGCATGCTCTTGGGGATCTTGCCGTCGGCCATGGCGGCCTCGAAGCACGGGTGCAGCTCCTTGGGGAGGGTGGGCAGCACGACGTTCTTGATGTAGCCGCGCACGCCGCCCCTCTCGGGCGACGCGGCCGGCAGGTCGATGGGCACGTCGATCAGGGCGCGCGTCTCGCGGCTGCCGATGGCGTACAGGAGCACGGGGAAGGTCTTGCCGATGACGACGTGGCCGTAGCCCGAGGGCGAGACGGGGCAGTCGATCAGCTCCAGGGCGTAGAACTTGGACTTGACCTCGGGGGTCTTGCCGACGTACTGCTTGCGGAACTTGGAGGCGTAGCCGTCGGCGATGATGGTCAGCTTGCCGAAGTAGCAGTCGGACTTCTTCTCGCCCGTCGCCGTGTCGGTCGTCCTGCTCTCCACGCCGAGGACCTCGGGGCCGTGCTCTCCGACGATAGTGTTCTGGACGTCCGTCTCGAACACCGAGATGTTGGGGTGTGCGAGGCAGCTCTTGCGCAGCTGCATTATGAATCTTCCGTGGTGGAAGCCCCTGCCCTCGGGCCTCTTGTACTCCTCGCCGGCCTTCTTCTTTTCCGCCAGGACGACCTCTCCATTCTCATCCGTCGCAGGGTATGGGAAGACGACCTCGTCGCCGTGGAAGAGAATGTGGTATCCGTAACAAGGGACGGCGTCGATGCCCTCAAGGCAGTGTCCGAGCCCCAGCTTCCGCAGCGCGGCACACCCGCCGGGTTGTAGCAGCTCGCCAACTATCCTGTCGGGCTCGTGCATCCACCTCTCGAGCAGGATCACGCTGCGGCCCTGGTTGGCCAAGGCGTAGGCGGCAGCGCAGCCAAAAACGCCGGCGCCGACGACGACGACATCGGCCTCGTGGAATCGTTGGCGGCGCTCTCGTTGCAGAGAGACTGCCTCGGCTTCAAGGGTTGTTGTCGCCATGTGTGCGGTCTTGGGGATGTGTGTTGAACCAAAAGAAATTACTGAAAGAGAAGTTTTGTCCGGACGACAGATAGTAGTCTAGAGGCTCGGTGCCGAGTATGGGCAAGCAAGTCGGTGCAGAGCTCGGGCCCGTAAAGGGGGTAGTCTGGTCTGTTTTCCCCAAGGTTGTCCTTGTCCTTGCTGCAGGTCCCAAGTCTGAGTGGCGATACCGCTGGTCAATGACGCCGGGCAGTTATGTTAGTTGCTGCTGTGCTGTGCTGCGCAACACTCTGTCAGAAGACGTGAGGGATCGTGCGGCGGGTCAAAGTATAAGAGGAATCGATCAGATCCCCCAATCTCCAGAAAGTGACCTGTCCGTTCCGTGCTCGCCCGTGGCAGCTGGTTGAAATATGGTGATAATCACAAGCAAAAGTGGGAGAAGACGGCCGACCGAGATCCACAGCCCACCCACTGCGCTGCGAGTCCCCCCAAGGAAAGAAAAGGGTGGCACCCGTGGGCCGTGGCACTCAGCGACCAGTTGCCCCCTGCAGCAGGGCGAACCAGACTGCCAGATTCGGCTGCCCTGGACCCCTGTGGAGGGCCCTGTAGATTCTGCGCTCGATTGGCCCAGGAAGTCATGCCACACGGCCATCGCCGCCTGTGATTGGCCAATGACAGTGGGTGGCACTTGACCGCCAAATTTCACATGCCCCGGGCCGTCGTCCGTTTTTTGTTGGGCACGTCGACGCGTGTGGCCTCATTGCAGTGCAGGTCTGGCTGCTGGGCGAGGGGAAGACAAGGCTTGTGAAATAAATTTCGTCTTATTGGGCCAAAGGATCCGCGAAACCATACGATGCAAGGCTGACAGCATCTGACAGGTTACACCTCTCGCGTCGCAGATTCTCTTCTCTTCTCCCAGTCTGGCACTTGAGCATTTCAGATTCGTCCTTCCTCTTCTTGAGGCCCCGCCTCTTCCGATCACGGTAAACACCTCTAAAAAGTTGGTCTCCTTGGCCTTCACGATGACGAGGTGGCCTTGAGTGCATGAGTGAGTCTTGAAATTGGCGTGCTTGGGCACTTCATATTTATATGCATGTAGTTACGGATTTGGGCGTGGCAGTCAGTATAGTAGTAGTAAGAAGATTCGAGGTGCGCCCCGAGTGTATAATCACTCCCTCAGAATCCCCCGCCGATATCATATTTGCTTTCCGCCATCATTCTTTCCATCTCGTCAGCCTGTTCGGCCTGCTCGAACTCGAACATCTCGGAAGCCAGGGCCCTGTCCCTCATCTCGGCCTGCTTCGCAGCGAGCTGCTGCCTCTCAGCCAGCTCCTCTCGACGCTGCTGTTCGTCGAATTCCCGCAGGAGCTCAGCCCGCTGTCTAACCCACTCCGGGTCCTCGTCGACGGCGGCACTGCCTCCTCCTGGACCTTGGCCGTTCTGGGCTCGCTGCTCGGCTTCTAGCGCTGCTTCTCTCATGATCTCCATCGTGTCTTTTTCTAGGTCCTTGCGCTCTTTCGCAACCGCCTCTCGCACGCACAAAATCATGTCCAGGGCCTTGTCGAGCACGCCAACCGCCTTGCGAACATCATTCGTCTGGATGGACTTGGCCAACACGCCGCGTGCGTCCTTCAGAGACCTGAGCACGGCCTTCTTGCGGAAATAGGGTTCCTGGCAGGCCCCTGCGACGGCCCACTTCATGCCCTTGAGATCAACTGTGTGTGTAAACGCAAGCAGGAACAGCGAGAAGGTTGTGCTGTCCAATGGATGCGACACGCCTTTGCGCTCTAGAGCCGACATGGCAAGCGATACTGCGCCCCGGAAGTGACGCACCCCCATGCAGGCATGCGCGGCGCGCGTGAAAGCTGCCGGCGGGAGGCTGAGTCCGTTCGACTCGAATCGCCCGATCAGGTCCTCGACTTGGCGCAAGAAATTGTTCTTGTCCACCTCGCGGCCATGCGGTATTTGGCGCAGCAGACAGGAAAATACCAAGGAAATCGATGAGCTGACATCTATACCTCTTAATTTCGCTGCGTTGATGGTGTCGAAGGCTGTCTGTGGGTTGCCTTGGTCAACCTTGAGCTGAGCTTGGACTGCTAGCCGTACATGGTCATCTCTGAGCGCGATACCTCGAGCAAGACCTGATTTGTAGATGCCATAGGCTGTCCTGTAATGACGCAGGGTCATAGCCTCCCGCATCTCAAGCCGTACATCTTCTGGGGTTGTGATATTCGACACGGAGGAGACACTTCTGCTTTTGATGCCGAGCAGGGTGACGTTCCTGTGAAACGCTGATCTGCTGTGACGTACTTTCATTGCTGCAAAGCGCATAGTGTTCTCAGTCCAATTGTCCACAAATTTTCGGCTGAGCAGCTTCAGTTTGGAAAAGACAATCCTCAGCTCCTCGAAGCTGAAATCCCATCTGCGCTTGCAATTGACTAGGATTGCATTGCTGAAGGCGGCATCGACCTCGAACCCAGCGTGGCTGCAGTAGTCAAGCCAGTTGACGAATAGTTCAACATTGCGAATCGCGCCATATTGGTTGGCGACCACATTAACCATATACCGGCAGACTGGCACCTTCAGGTCGGTTATGTAGACTTTCATGAACTCTTCGATCTCGGCAATTGTGTGCGTCTTGGTGAACTCCTTCAGAATAGGGACAAAAACGTCGTCGATGCGGTCCTTCACTTCCATGTTTTTGAAATCCGCCCAGACCCCGTCCCAGTCGCCGACCTTGGCTTTTGCCAATGCAAGGAGGCCCAAAATGCGAGCATCCTTGCACGAGGACGGTTTGATCTGTTGTAACCTTGCTAGGAGTTCATCCACGGCCTGCCATCTTCCTGCCTCCACTGCGATTTGAAGCATGACGCGATGCACACCATCCGGAAAAGCGACCAATCTGAACCCCAGTCTGCCGTTGTGTATATTTTCGAATTCGTCAAACAGCGCCCTTGTTGCTTCGAAGTCCTGGCCTCGCTGCCAATGACAATACAGGAGTTTGGTGGCCCATGTTGTCCGCACGTGGCATTCCTTTGGGCACTGATCCAATAATTGCACCAGCACCTTTGCCGGATCCTGTTTCTGGGCAGCTTCCACGGCGTCGGCCACAAGATCACCAATACCGTACCACGACTTGCGACGACTTGTAGGCAGCTTGTGGCGCGTTAAGCTGAAAGTGTTGACGACACGGTTGAAGTCGTTTCTGTTGAAAAGACCGGTCATGAATCGCCGTGTCACCGCTGCATCCGAATCACCGCCGTAGAACTGGATGCGCCAGAAAACATCTGCAGCCTGCTCGGTCATGTCAAGGTCGAAAGCCTGCTGCATCATCCTCTCAGCACTTTCCTGCCATTGGCTCGAGCGAGGGCTGGCTGAAGCCTTGTCTTTGAAGCGTGGCATGAATAAGGACAAAGCTCTCATAAGCTTCTGCTTGGCGACAGTGCGAACCTCGTTCCCAGTGTCGGCGGTCCCCATTGTGTTTAATATCGACTCTGTAGCAGCCACGGCCGATTCGATCAGAGACTGTGGGTTGAAAGCATAGTACTGGTCCACGGTAATCGGCCCAAGCCCAACGGCACACAAGAGGATTTCCTCGGATTGATCCAGCATGCCCTGTTCTTGGCATTTCTGGCAAAGAAGTACAGCTGCATCGACGAGCATGGCCTTGTCGAGGTCTGTGAGGCCGGCTCTCTGTACGGTCTTCTGAAGTATACCCACAGCATCCTCAATGCTCTGAGCATCCCCTAGGATGACTGCTTCCCTCATCCGCCTGACATTCTCGTCGACACCGAGCTTGGGATAGGCGGTGGCTCCAGCTGTAACTTTTGGATGAACGGGAAGCAGCGACAATGCAGCTGTCTGGTCCCTAGTCTGAAACGCTGGGCCTGATTTGGGCCTGAAGAAGCGACGAGGCCGTCCAGCTTGGGCCCCCGGTTGCTGGCTCTGGTCGCCCCAATTGCTTGTCGGGACTGGTTCGTCCCAGCCGTCGTTGGCGACGTCGTCCTGTCGAGGTCCCCGGCTCTTGTGAACCCGCCGGCGTGGCTCTCTATAGGCAGCAGAAGAGAGTTCATGCTCTAGATTCTCCAGGGCGGAGGGTTGGTCGAGCTCCTGATGCAGTGCAGACCTTGTCGCATGGTACTGCTTGACCAGGCAGAGCTTTTCTGCGTTTTCTATCGCACTGCGGGCTTGATTGATGCGGCGGCGGCGGTCCTCGGTGACGAGCAGGAGCGTGCACGAGGTCCCGACTATCAGGCCGCGCAGAGCTGTCAAGGCTGCCTTCTTTGGCACACGGGGAAGCAAGGAGGACATGGCCTATCGATCGACATTTCGTCTCGGTTGTCGACTGGACAGCGGTGCGGTCGGAGAAGCAATCAGCATGCCAACAGTGGCGCTCGGAGGACCCGATGTGGTGGAAGGGGAGGAGGGCAGGGCAGGGCAGCCTCGAGTCGCAATTGCCTGTGGATGTTGGTCGGGTTTGATCTGAATGTGTTGAAAGAAGTGGACTGACGCGAGGGACAGGACCCACTAGGTCGTCGTTGACGGCTAGATTTCAATCTTTTTGCCGGCCGCAGGGGAGCTGCTGGTTGCTGGTCTCTGGGGCTTGGCGCAACACAACGGCGGTGCTCTGTGCTACGGCCTGGGAGGGATGGACCTGACAATTGTTAGTCAATCCCAGAGAGCCCTGCGCAGACCAGACCGACCCCTCAGAGGATCTTGGACCCTTGGAAATAGTTGACATTTGCGCATCCTAGAACAGACAAAACCAGTCCGCTTGCGATCTCCTCTTGTTTGGTCCTGATGACAGGGCCTTAGCCTGCGCGTAAACTGCCATGGCCTTCGGTGCGGCATGGCCGTGGCTGAGAGCGAGGTTCAGCAGCCCCTTCACACGAGACACAGCGCGGTACCTCTTCATATGCGCAACCTGGTATCCGGTGTGCTACTTTGTCGAAAGCCATATCATGGGCACGACCAGGGTCCGAGGGCCGTCCATGTACCCCTACTTGAACGAGAACTACAATGAGACCAAGTTTGGCTACATCTGCCTGACCTGGAAGCTCTACGCCCAGCAGAATCTGCAGAGGGGCATGATCGTGACTTTCTAGTAAGTCCACTTACAGTGTCCGTCCCGCCTGACGAACCTCGTGTGGTGAGACTGACAGCTCTTACAATACAGCAACCCCATGCGACCAGAGTCAATGACCATCAAGCGCATCATCGGCCTCCCGGGCGACATGATCCACACCAAGGCGCCCTTCCCAACACCTTACATCCGCGTGCCTCCAAACCACATATGGGTGGAAGGGGATGGTGGTATCAAGTCGCTGGATAGTAACACCTACGGGCCCATTTCGATCCGACTGGTCCAGGGACAGGTCACTCATATCCTCTGGCCGTTCCGCAAGGCCGAGAGGGTCAAGTGGTGGGAGCATCAGCTTCCTGATCGGCTTACTGCTGCGAGGTAGTGAGGTAGAAGCCCCGCAATTGGAAGTGAGATGACTTAATGGGTTATTTCTTGTGTGGCGTTTGCGCAGTGAGGAACTGTCCAGGTCGGAAGAAGAACATGAGTGAGCCGGCATGACTGGATGGATGACCCGAAGTCAACAGCACTCGGGGATCCGTGGGGTTTACGGCGCTGGGAACACCCACGATCTTGTAGCAATGTTTGCGAAGCATGACAGCCCAAGGAGAAGCTAGAAACTGATTTGTTAATGTTCAAGTCTGGGAGGAAGTCAAAACAAATTGTTCATTTGCAGAAATAATTCAGGTCAAGAGAGCGTAGAGAGGGTGTATCCGTAGGATAATGTCCCATTCTCAAAGGTACCCGGTGCACAGGCCAAGTTATCACTAAGCCAGGTCGGCTCCGAGATGGGTGGGCGTATCGGCGATTCGGCGGGCGTCACCAAGCTGGAAATTTTGACTGATCTCATCGAGTGTGTTTCCGTGCCCTCAACAAGCCCGCAAATACAGCACGCGACCACCCTCTCCTGGGCTCCCCGCCTCAACTGCGGCCTCCGAACCGCCTCTTCCACCTCCCGACCTGTCAATTGGGCATTTCCCAGGCAGCCCCGGCACAGACACCCCCACGGCGCAAAGCTCCCCTTGCCGCTGGTGCGCGTCAACCATGCGGCGATAGCCCAGCCCTCGAGAGTCAGTTTCCGGAGGACATCGTACGCCACTGCGGCGTAATGGCCGACGAAATCGACCAACATGAGGGCCGTCAGCCCTACATTCATGTATGAAACCGAGTCATCGCTGTTGCCGTCGGCTGCCGCCATTGGGAAGATGCTGATAGATGTGCGCCCTTCTTCCAGTCCATGATCGCCGGTGGCCTCGGGGGAACCACTGGTGACATGCTCATGCACTCTCTTGACACGGTCAAGACGCGGCAGCAAGGCGACCCTCACGTGCCCCCCAAGTACACCTCCCTCGGGTCGACATACTACACAATTTTCCGACAAGAAGGAATAAGAAGGGGACTGTATGGCGGCTGGTTCCCAGCCCTCCTAGGCTCTTTCCCCGGCACAGTCATGTTCTTTGGCACCTATGAGTTCTCTAAACGCCACATGCTTGACTATGGCGTGCAGCCACACGTTGCATATCTCACAGCTGGTATGTGCGATCCTACGAATCACTGCTAAGAGACGCCGGGGCAAGCTTGCTGACACATTTGAGGACCGTAGGTTTCCTCGGAGACCTTGCCGCATCTGTCGTCTACGTGCCATCCGAAGTGCTCAAGACCCGACTACAGCTACAAGGACGGTACAAGAATCCCCACTTTAACTCCGGCTACAACTACCGCGGTACCGTAGACGCAGCAAGGACGATCGTGCGCACCGAGGGCTTCTCCGCCCTCTTCTACGGCTACCAGGCGACACTATACCGAGATCTGCCCTTCTCGGCGCTGCAGTTCATGTTCTGGGAGCAGTTCAAGGATTGGGCACAGCAGTGGAAGGGAAGCAGGGAGATCGGAACGCCGCTCGAGTTCCTGACGGGCGCCTCGGCAGGTGGTCTCGCCGGCGGCCTGACCTGCCCACTCGACGTTGTCAAGACACGCCTACAGACCCAGGTCAACCCCGCCCAGGCCGCGCAGGGGGCGAAGCCAAAACAGGGCGCCCCGGTAGACCCTCACATCACACAAGCCGCCGACGGCAGGAGGATAAAAGAAGCAACGAAGAGGCTCATCTCCACCTCGTCCCCATCGACGCACAGGCCCAAGCCCGGTGTCGCAGCGCTGGACACCTCGTCCGTGTTCGTCGGGCTGAGGATGATATACAAGACCGAAGGAATCGGCGGGTGGTTCAGGGGCGTCGGCCCGCGTGTCGTGTGGACCAGCATCCAGAGCGGGTGCATGCTGTTCCTGTACCAGATCATCCTGCGCAAGCTCGACGTGTGGATGCCGGTCGAGCAAGAGACGGCGATCTGATCGCCGTTGCTGCAGGCTTCATTTGTCCGGCGAAAGGATTTCGTGTCGTCAAGAGGATTAGATACCCAGAGCAGCTATGACTACAAAGAACAGTCATGAAGAGTTGATCAGTTGGTTGTATGAATACGGAACGACGACTTGGCATCTAGACGGAAGAAAGGCACATAAAAGAATACTGGCCGGCGTTTGGGAGGGGCATAGATATTATCTGTTGATATGTACATACATCAATGCAGGATAGAAGAGTAGATTGGAAGGAGGGAACCAAAAGCCTCCGCTCAAAGCAGAATATGTTCCACTTAAACCGTTCGAGGTTGAGGGCATCGATACCAGCAAAATCAATCTTGTGTTCAGCTGAAGCACTAAAATGGGTCTCAAGACATGCTTTCGGCGGCTCATATCACGATAATAGGATATCTAGAAATACAATCACAACGGAAAGGCCAGAAGAAGAAAAAGCCGTTCATCCTGCCTGCGCCAGCTTCAATGCAATGAGCCCGTTGAGAACCCCAAGTGAGACCTGCCATCGCTTTTCTCGCAAGAATCCTGCCGGACTGTACCTGCCACACCACCACCAGCCAAGTTTCTCTCGTCTAGCTGATGAAGCACAGGCAGCCAAGGCCCAGGTAGAAGACGAACAGAGGGTACACCGCAAGCCCAACCCGGTTCTTCACAACTCCACTGCCGCCGAGGATGCTGACGCCAGCCGCCATGGACCAGGCGACGAGCACCAAATAGACCGGGATCCGGGGGATCTGGGGCAGGTGTAGCGCAGACAGGAGGGCGGCGATGACGATCGGGAAGAGCGTGTAGCCAATGATGCAGACGCTCTGCGCGAACGAGCTGTGATCATCAACGTCAGCCACCAGACCACACAAAATTACTACTGCACACGAAGCCCGCGACGAAGAAGAGCTTCCGCAGCAGCAAGCAAAAAAAAAATCAAAAAATCAAGAAACAAACTCACATGTTCCCGCCCAGCAGCTTAATCTGCAGCGTGACGACCGCCTCCCCGATCCAGACCATAGCAAACACGCCGCTGAACACCTCGTCGCGCTGGTCGACGCCCGCGTTGAAGCTGAGCAGCATGCTCAGCAGCAGGCAGAAGATGAGCGGGCCCCAGAGGTCCCAGTCGCGCAGGCCGGGGGTCATGTTGTTCTGCAGCAGCGCCTCGGTGTCCATGACGCGGCCGGCGAGGCCGGCGAGCTCCTCGCGCGCGCCCGCTATCCCCGCGCCCCGCAGGTTGGCGTAGGCGCCCCTGAGGCCCTCGGACGACTCGAACATGGTCCCGCCCAGCAGGTACCGCGGCCACAGCACCTCGCGCATCTTGCTCCACACCGCCAGCAGGTCGCGCCGCAGCGTCTCCCAGACGGACTCGTCGATCGTGTTCTGCGGCGCGCGCCGGTCCTCGCCGCCTATGCGGGACGTCAGGTAGTCCTGGCTTATGCTGCCGCCGCCTCCTTGCTGTTGCGATGATGATGAGCCGATGTTGCCTGTGAGTGGGGCGCGCGAGGAGGATGGCTGGAGGGGGTCGTCGAAGTCGTTGAGGTCGGCTGTGTGTGCAAGGTTAGCGATGCTGTGCAGCCTTGTATCTAAGGATTCGGAAGGGCTGGTGGGCGGGAGTCCTCACCATCATCGGGATCTATCATGTCATCGTCCTCGAGGGACGGTTGTTGGTAGTTGTCTCTCCGGCCTGCGGAAGCCATTGTTTCTGAGTGGGTTGCGTTGCGCTGTGGAGAGCGGCCCAAGATATGAATATGCTCGACGTAAGAAATCTGGATGTTTTGTTCCCGTCGCCTGCAGTTTGTGGTGATCTGGGAAGTTTGGTGCTGCGGAGGGGGGGTATATCGAAAGTTGGCGGGTCCTGTAATTGTTCGAAGTTGACGAGGGATGCTGTTAGTTGTCCTGAAGCTTTGGAGTTACGCAGCCGAGCTCCCATAGCTAGGGCACCCCTGATCAGACACCCCTGCCAATTAGAGCACGAGCTGAAGGTACGTACCGTTTTTCGTCCCTAGCTGGTCACCTTAGACCTTAGATGAGCGTATGTTATTATTATTACAATTATTTTCAATTGAAAGATACCGATAAATCAGTGCTTTATTCATGTTAAGATATTCATCTTGTTCATTGCATGGCTTCATTTGTTCAAGCCTACTTGGAAGCAAGCATACCTGAATATCTACGTACGTACCTCCCTATGTACCTAGGCACTTACTTAAGGACTTACTCAAGTGGTGAACTCGCCTATGTCATGCATTCGCCTTATACTGGTGTTGTTCCGAAAAGCCAAGAGTCAGGCGGTCTCCCTGTACCTGTCTCACTTGCTCTTTTTTTAATTTCCGTTTTGCTGGAAGTCCATATAAATATTTTGGCAGTGCGGTTCATGTTAATATACACACCTAGGTATTAAAGCCACCTTGGATCGACATGCGTAAAACAATCTCTGGCAAGCAAACAAAAGGCAAAAGTCAAGACTCAAAGAAGCATACACTCGTGGGGTATCTCAGAAGTACAATCACTGCTTAGCAAACGCTCCCAAGACGTGCGCTCAACGTCTGTTCACTCCCCCGCCGGTCAGCCTCTGATAAGGCGACATCGTGTATGCTTGTTCAGACTTCTCGAGCGTCATGCCCAGTCAAACCTGCCAGGCAGTCCAGCTCGATGCGTCTGCCTCGACCCTGACAACTTGGTGGCCCTGAAAAGAAATTCCAAAAACCAGTACGCCTCCCATCAAGTTCCATCACAAGCAGCCCTTGCCTTACTTACCTAATAAGCCCAGTGGTGGAAGGCTTTATGGATCTCCTAAGATGAGAGGGTATTAACTCTCATCTTGGCCATTTTCTTTTAGGAATCATCGGTCTCGGTCCTTCGAAAAGCTATTGCTTCTCGGAGGGGGAGGGGACCAGGTTTCGCCGTAATATCACGGATGATATTGCAGACTTGGGCGCGGCATTTGAGTCCCTTTGCTCGCCTAAGAGAGGTCGTGGGGTGAGTGCTCCTGGCTGGAACCCTGCGTGGCCTGGCCAGCCGATTGCCCAGAACCAGCTGATGGCCCAGAAGAGTTCGCCTGCTGGTCAGAGGACCTCGACTGCGGCTCGCTGCCCCCTGACCCCGACGCGAAGCTGCCGTACATCGCGTTTTGCGCCTGCATCTGCTGCTGGCGCTGTCGGTTTGTGCCCGAGCTAGTTGACGACCCGAACGGGCTCTGCTGGGCCACCATGGCCGCCCACTTAGCGGCAGCTTGGTTTTCTGGCGGCTGGTAGGGGGACCCGGTCGCGGAGGGGTCCCATACGGGTAGCCCGTCGGGGGGCACCGCCTCGTCCCTGGGCATCCCGTGAGAGAAGGCGTGGAGGTTGCCATTGATCCCACAGAGACCCCAGGCAAATACACCAACTTCACGTATGGAGTGCATCAATTGGTCGTTGGGTGGGCCTCCTGCATCCCTGACGTGGTCCTGGACGGGCATGTACTGTGGCATCAAAGGTGGGCGGAAGGTGTACAGCATCTCTGGTGGTATGTAAGGGCGCACAGGCTGGGGCGCCCATGGCGCAGCGAAAAGCCCATTTTCGAAGTCCCACGGTAGGGACAGTGGCGGATGGGCGGGCGGGATGGCCGGCCGGGCCCTCCTCAGCACCACGACGAGGCCGTCGGAGGTACAGGAGACGACAGCTTCAAGCTCAACTGCCGGCAACGACTGAGGATGGTCCCGTTCTCGAGACTGTCTTTGTCCTGGATGCCGACCCCGGGCTGCATTGCGGGCCAAAGCTCGCTGGTTGCGTGAGGCTCGGTTGAAGTTGGCAGTTCGCGAGCCCGAGGCAGAATTCCCAGCCTGTTCATGCGCCGAACTGCTGCTTGCTGACGGCACAGACTCCATAGGCTCGTCTTCTTCCTCCTGCTTGATGCCTCCGCGCACGGTGGTGTCATCCTCGTCTAGTGCCATGCGACTGTCCAACTCAGCACCGCCACCGTCCGAGTCACTGGTGCTGCTATGTCGGTCGTCGCCGCCCATCGGGTGGTCTTCTCCGTCAACTCCATCAACTCCGCCATCCTCACCGTTCTCAAAGTCTTCTGCTTCTCTGGGGTCACGGGACCAGAAGCGAAGATAGGCGATGGAGTCATTGGCCTTCGCACCTTCAAGACATTTCACTGCGTCCGGCAGGCACCTCTCCTGGATGCATCGGTAGAAGCTCTTATCCTTGACCTGATCGGGGGCCAGCCCGAGGACAGAGGCCACGGCATTGGTGGCAAACATGACTGACAAATTTCGGGTGAACCGGTTGAGGATGAGTGCAGCTCGTGGCTCACGCTCCACGGGGGGCATCTTGAACTTAGGAGAGAGGTGCTCCAACATGTGGTACCTAGGGTCTCTTGGGGACGAAGAAAAGATCCTCCGAATCTGAGCACCCTCGATCGCTCGCCCTGCACTTTGTCAGCCTAGTCATGACCACAACTTTTCATCGGTAGGGATACACACTCTCGCTCTTTTGATCTCGACGGTATATGCTGGTGCATGCTACCAGAACATCGTGTACGACTGTGAAGCAGCATTCACAGCTGGCCCACTGGCCGTCCCTAGTCACCAGCCTAGCATAGTGAAGACTGGCGGCTTTGTCGAGCAGGATGCCCCGGCTGTGAATTGATCTCGCAAACGGGACCTCGTCAGGATGGAAGTAGCTGAAGACTGATCTTCCGCGTACCTCCTCCGGTCGCCACCCGAGTATGTCGCTGATGGAGTCTGAGGCAAAGAGAATGTTGCAGTCGGGGGTGAGGTCTAGGATTGAGGTCGTCAGTGTTAGTTATCAGCGACCCTCGTATGTGCAAAGGGGCGGGGTTTGAATGACAGTTGATAGCCAATCGACACTGCGCCGGAATATAGCTGTGGCAGACTTACTGTGAATTGTCATAAAAGTGTGCTCCATTGAGACTAATATCTCGGCCTACCGTGCCCGGTAGCTGTCTTCCTTTTCTTCTTGGCTGGCCTAGTATGGTCTTCTCAAATGCCTATGTCAAGGCAACATGGGATGAGATGAGAGCCTGTTGGTGAGGTAGCTCCCAAAAACGCGCCAGTTGAGACACGGGAGCTCTAGTCTGGTCGAGAGCTGTCGCGAACCTGGATGATCCCGGGAGGGTCGCAAACCGTTGCAGTGGGGACACCGGGATGGGCAATATGTTGAAAGCTGGGGATACTGTGGCACCCCAAAAAAGAAGAGTCGACTGGCGCCGTTGGTAATACACGGGTAATGTCTTCGTGTTCTGTCTTGTACTTGTCATTCAACGGTGCGGCGATCTGCCATCACTCGCTAACCGAGCTCTTGTAGGACACAGATGTCGTCGTGGAGCACGTCAAGTCTCACTGACTCTGACAACCGTGTCTATTGGGTGGGGTTTGGGGACGGCAGTCTGCAAGACTATCTCGAGAGGATGTGTGTGTCCCGGTACTCTGTCTTGTGAATCTGCTCGCACGAGTTACAGTCGACAGCTTGTTGTCCAGGCTGTCCGGGTCGCCGCTTCAGCACAGAGTTACGGAGGCGCGACTGGATTTTGGGGCAGGCAACAAATTAAGTAGGTGTAGTAAGGGTAGTAGGGACAGAGCAGGTCTTGCAATCGCAAAATGGGGTGGTAGTTTTTCCTGGACGGCTCGGCCAGATGCTCAGAGGCTGTCGTAGACACGCAATGACGGACAATTGATAGAATAGGGGGCGAAGGGGATGAAGGAGGGGTGATATTTGTCCTCGAGTATCTGCTGGATGAGCCCAAAAATGGCTGGCTACTGCTGCGTGCTTCGTTTGAGTGTTTGCGCAGGGTCGAACCGAGACGGGAGGGAGTGATCCTGGCTCTCAGGTCCAGGTAAGATGCTTGAAGAATTGCGTAGGGCGGGATGGCCAACATGTCATGGTGGCGTCGTGCAGACAGAGGACTTGACGCGGTTTATATGTCTCAGGGAGCAATTCCGTCACCTCAGGACAAAGGTCCCTCATGGCCAATATTGCTTGCATTGCGGTTTGAGCCCCGGACCCTGTTGTTGACGAGTTGACAGGGGAGCTTCTCCAGACGATGGGACGCGGGTCGCAAGTGTAGCCGTGCTAGCCCGGTAAACTACCCAGCAATTTCTGGGCGTGGAGACAAGCTCCCGTGTACATAGCTGGCGTCGTACCCCTGGCCCGTCTCCTCCCGTGGGCAGGCCCGAGTGCCCATGCCAGAAACCCAGCTCTCTGGTTACTTGACGCACCTGGGTCTGAGGCCCATTACAATCTCCTGGATACGCGTACAACACATGTGACCGCGACTGATGCCCTGGGCAGCATTGGCCAGCAAGGTCTGGCCAGCAGGTGCCGTCGACGACGGCCTTGGTTGGGTGGAGCTGTGCCCCGTTCGCAGAGGTTCGCAGAGGTTCGCAGTCTGGGAACCTGGACAGCACGTTCTGTACTAGTAGCGTACTTCATTCGCCCACGACGCAAACGCTTTGGACCCCTGAACTGACAGGCCGGGCGGCAGCCAACACTCGGAAAAGACGGGGGCCGGGAGAACAGGGGTTTAGCTTCAACTCTAATTCGATGACACTTGAATTGAATTCCAACGTCCATCGCCAGGGTCGTGGTTCTCTTCTGCCAGATGCTCGGAATTGAATGCCTTTCCGAGGTGCTTCTTGATGCCATTTGCAGTCATTTGTTGGTTCCAGATGTGGACCCTGGCGCCACCAGATCGAGTAACGAGAGGCTTGTCGAGTACCCGCGGGGTAGTCGTTACACAAGGCCCAGAGGTTTCCACGGGGCGAGCGAGATTTCGTGTCACAGGATCGGGTGGCCTGCAACGTATCTTTTCCCAGTGGCAACCTTGAAGGTGACAAGGACTTCACTTCCTCAGGATGTCCGCGGGTAATCCGGATCTCGCCCTACAAAGAAGGGCACGATGGTACCGGGTACAGTCAGTGTCGATGTGGACGAACTGGCCCGACTGACACGTCGAATGCTGTATCGAGTCAATCCCATTTGGCGAACATCGGAAACTGAAAAGACATGCACAATCCGCACTCTGTTTGATAGAATGTGGGCACCTCGCTTCTACCAGAAAGGAAGAGCTTGCGACAAGCTAACAGGGAGGTTCTGCCGAATGGAGCCCACGGCGTTGATGGCTATCTTGGGCGGCTTGGCAACCCACACTTCTCCGTCGAGATGGGGACGAGGCAGCTGTCGAGGCGCAATGACAGGGGATAGAGACCTTGCGTCCCGAAATGATCGACGGCCAGGATTGTCGGCCATCTACCCAAGCTTCCTGGAGGGCAACAAAGGGCTAGACTTCTGTCAAGTTTCATCGGACAGTGTCGTCCAGTTCCTTCGTGGACCATGTCAAGTCACGTCAAGTCGGAGTCGCCCGAGCCTCGTCAGCCGCATCCCGCTCCAGGGCAATGGTTCAGTTCCGACCTCCCCGGTGCGCAGGGCGCAATACACAGGGATATTTCAGGATGAAGCTGCACCGCCAGCACGCATGCAACCCAACGCACGTGTAGGGGTCGAGGGCACCATGAAACCGGCGTTGCAATTATGGTGGTGAAGGTATATCACCAGGCAGTTCGTGACCAAGTGTGAGGCTGGAAGCCTCAAGGATCGTGATTGTGGCGGTGGTGGAAGGCTCTCGGCTCAGCAGTCATCAGCCTCGCCCAAGGTTGTACGTCAGAGCAATGATAGGTCATTTGGGTAGGGGTCCTGGGGTAAACACACCGATGGTCGAGAATGAAGGACGACGTGGGCATCGGTGACCCTTCATTCGTCGGAAATTCAGCAGACCCTGACCGGCCCCTGAGAGATCGGCCTTAAGCCACATTGTGTGGAACGACATGCCTATAAACTGTTGCAACCCCTTCAACTTCTGAGATCTGATAACTGTATAAGCGAGCAGGAGTGTTGCTCGATCTCAAAGATCGCAACGCCAGTCAGCGAAATCCCTCATCGCCTCAAAATCTCAAAATAGCGACGGCCATGCCCCCATCCACCATCCTGACAGCCTGGCAGGCCTGGGAAGGGTCCTAAGCCCAGGGGTGTGATGCATGGTTGCGTAGGAGTTGCGCGTCACAGGTCTCCGGGCTCGCAGGCTTCGCTCGCCTAGATCGTACGGAACATGCAGCTGTCAAGTTATCCTTGCGGCGTCCTGGGCGTTGGTGCTTATGCTTACGCAGTACATAGATGGTGATGTTCAGGGCCGGTGATCTGCAGAACCCAAGCAGCACGTTTGGCAGGGGCTTGACATGCTGGCACGTATGGGTCAGCCGGCCCGCGTGGCTCTCGCTCAGCCGTTGCCGACTCCCACGATGCGATGCTAGCTTCTTCCGCTGTGCCTTTGTGCTTGGCACTGGCCTTTGCAATATCAGCCTTGCACCACTGCCATATTGAGCGCGTGAAGCGTTCAGCAAATGCAGCCTGCCATTCTGATAGGTGGAACAGCCCAACGACAACCATCTCACCCGGCAAGCTCCGTTCCCAGGCCTGCCACGTGAAATTGGGTGCGGGACCTGGTATCAGCACCCAGTCTGCCGGTCAGCCAGTCAGGCAGCCGGCTCTCGCGCACACTCTGCAGTCATTTTCGCAGCGGGAATGCCAGGAACGCCAAGGCGACGGGGAGGTGTGTCAGACTTCCCAGTCGTGCTGCAGGGTTGCTACCAGGAGTGGGTATGTGGTGTACCGAGTTGTTGGAGTTGTAGGGCTTTCGTCGAAGCTGTCAAGGGGCTTGGCATTGCCGGCGGGGAGCACCGGAGTAGGAGTGGAGCCTCATCAAGCAGGCGCCGTCTCGATTGCTTCCCTCAACAACGTCCAGGCACGATCGATCATTAAGCGAGGGCGACAGACTCGTGTTCGCGCAAGATGACGAGTACGACCAAGGCAAGCTGCCACCTCCTTGGAACGACTCGGGCATTCATCAAGATCCGAGAGGCGAGCGCGGCTGTGTAGATGTGTCATAAGTCGGCAATGATGCCATTGCAGTCGTCGGAGGTGAGCCTTTAGGGAATTTTTGATGTCAAATGAAATCTCGCCTCCTCGAGGGAGAAGGAACAATAGGCGATGGGAGCACCCGCTCTTGCTTTTGTTGAGATCGAGCACGAGAGCAGGATATTGCGGCGGCTGTTCCTTTTTCCAGGACGTTTTCAAGTGGCGCAACGAGTTTACCTAAATGCCGTCATACGAGCTTTGGACGTAGTTGATCAGAGGGAACATACGCACCTATGTAGGCACTGCAGGACCTGGTAATAAGGACCTCGGGAGTCGAGATGCTGGTTGTGTTTACTTGACTTCCCCATAAGGTTAGCGTTGCGATCTAATTGATTTACCCAGCATTGTGGAATCAGAACATGTTGTTTTATTACCGCGTACAGGAAATTTCCCCCCGCCACTTTGGCCCATATTACACAGTATTCCCTCCGTACTCAATGAGACTCGGTTCTAGATGCCCTCTCGAGAGCAACAATCAAGAGTTTGATGCCGCAGTCAACACAGCTGCGCAGCCAGCGACAGCAGGCAAGGCAAGGCAGTGCCCAAGTGAGCGGCATAGCTGGGATTGGCAGGACCAGGGTCTCCAGATGCACCTTACGGCAAGTTTCGCACTCGCTAAGCCCTGATCCGTCCTGGCCTCCGCACCGTGACCACAACGCAATTCCCAACAGCAGGAGACGATTCTCTGACGCTCCACCACACACACACGCGCGCGTCAGCCCAAGGCCAAGCTGTCCTAGCGTGTGCAGTGCTATCAACCGTCCTGTAATCAACTCGTGCGCGGGAGGTAACCGAAACAGGAAACAACCCAAAACCCTGACATCGTGCAGCCGCTGCAGTCAGGGTCCCAGGTCCCAGCCTGGCCCGCTTGGGTTGCGCGACGCGGCAAGCCTAGCTCCAAGAGATTCTCGTCACGTTCATCAATCCGAGTTGGTCGGTCCCTCAACAATCAGTCAGCAAGCAACGGGGACGGCCCTTTCCCCTGCCCTGTCCCTTGCGGCGCGCACTGTCGCGGTCCACGGAAATGGCCGCCTCTGCCGCCCTGCAGGACTCACCGGAATGGGATTTACCCAGGCTGCGCTCATCATTTGTCTTTGAGGTTCGTCGGCGCCCCAACCATCTGGGAGAATTCAGGGCGACCGTAGTCGAAAGGCCATAAGATCCTCACCGCGTTCTCCTACAGGATGACTACAGATATCTCAAGACAAAGGACAAAACGGAAGATGAACACGAAGATAAGGACACCGGTGCGTAGCATCAAAATCGTAACCCACACCCAGCTGTTCACGTGTGCTCACAGTTGCTCCCTAGAGTTCTTCGACGTCAAGTTCTACCCTTACGACCCAGATGGCGCAGAACCAGTTTTTGCCGCTGTGAGCAAGAAGCATGTGCGTCGATCGTATTATCCCCACAATTGCAACTGTAACCGTCACTGATATCTCCATTAGATTCTTGTTTGCCGGCTGTCTCAGACCGATGCCAACGTAAATCCTTGTGAAGTCATCAGAATCATAAGAGACGATGATGTAAGTTACCCCTGGTCATTACGTTTATTCCGTCCTGTGAACTGTGACACTGACCTGAGAAAAGGAGGAAGCAACGAACTGCTGTTGCTGCTGGTCCAAAGACGTTGAGACGGAGCGGCCTTTGCTCTGTGTTGCCGGATCAGATGCCAAGATCAAGGTTTACGACATCAAAGAGGGCAAGCTATACACAGTAAGCTTCGATCGCCCAGGGAATTTACTGCCTTATCTGAGACATTGACTGACTGTACGTACACCAGACGCTTGTTGGCCACGGAGGAGTAAGTCGGGGCTGTGGGCTTCTGCAACTCAACTCTGACTGATACATTCGCGTTAGGAGATCAACGATCTGTCTACTTCTCCCCAGAACCCTCGGATTATCGCCTCTGCCTCAGATGACACAACAATCAGGATGTGGAGCTTGGATCCTGCCCATGCCAAGCAGCCGTGTTTGTGCCTCCTCGGCGGCGAGGGACACTCATGGAGTCTGCTGAGCACAGTACGTGACATGCACGAAATTGCCACGAGTGCGTGGAACTCACCATGACAACAGGCCTTTCACAATTCCGGTCGCTATATGCTTTCTGCTGGACACGATCAAGTCGTCAACCTGGTACGTCTGGTCTGAAAATTAGCACTCCTTCATCGGAAAAGTACTTACCAACATCGCTGTAGTGGACTATTCCCGACCTTCCAGAACAGCATGTCGACACCCCTATAGTCGTCCACTACCCGCACTTTTCCACCTCGGACGTCCATGTTGGTTTGATCGACTGGTAAGTGCCCCGTCGGCAAGCATCGCCATGTTGACTAACACCACCGTGACAGCGTCGCATTCTACGGCGACCTCATACTCTCACGAGCGTGTCACGAAGACAAGATCGTGCTGTGGAAAATTGAGGGCTTCTGCTCCGAAGATCCTCCACCGCCGCCATCAACAGCTCCCACAGCATATGACCAGAGCAGGACAACTCGATCTGCTTTCGCCTCCACTAATTCTCCTTCATGCCCGACCCTATGGGTGCGATTGTTGCAGTTCGAAACACCACAATGCGGGCCACAATTCTTCCTGCGCTTCAGCTTGTTTCACATACATGGGCAGCACCCTGTACTCGTTTTCTCCAATACGAAGAGCGAGATTCTGATGTGGGACATGGCCCGCCTGACTGGATACCAGAGCTACATCAATCGAATCCGGGACCCCAATCGTGATCCCAAAGTGAAGGTCAAGCGGCCGGCATGGTTGCAACCAAACCACCACAAGACGAAGAAGCCCGTCTCCGAGAATCCAGTTGACCCTGTCTACGCGGCTGCTCTCTCGATGAGGCCTGTGGGTCACCGCGACCCATTCAACGTCGAACGCGTTCTGCTGGAAGAGCAGACGCCCGAGACGGTGGAGTCGTGGCAGGCCAAGTACGATACCAGCAACCCCTTCAAGCTGATCAGACCACACAAGATCGAAAAGTTCGGAGGGCCGCGGTTCTTGGGCCGGCAGGTGGCCTGGTCATCTGCGGGCGATTGGTGCGTCATCGCGGGCAGCCAGAACACTGTTATTATCATGCAGCGCTGGCCGAAAGGTGGCAGACACTCGTCGAGCCGACAGAACTCACATGTTCCCTCCGAGGCCCCAAGCAGGCAAGGCACTGCGGCTGTGAGCACTAGTTTCAGTGCCGGCCGAGCGAGCACTCTTTCTGCGCAGCCGGAGTCTGCTATATAAGAGGCTGCCGTTTACACCATCGAAGTGAGGTACATGCAGGAATGCCTGGAATCAACGAGGGGCTTGTCATAATAACTTCAAGTCTCTTGGTTGCGGTCGAATAATAGAAGGCGCCACTCGGGGAAGGGTGCTTTCAATGATGGAATCGAAACCCTTTTGCTATCCATTTTGCTAGAATACATGTAGCTAGACGTTTGGGGACTAACTCCCTATCGCACAGGCATGGATGAAAATACAGGCAACGCACCCCACTGGCTCCCCTGGTAGTCGTCATCGTCATCATCGTCGGCGCCGTAGTCATCCTCGCTACCATTCCCATCCCGTAACCACCTCTTGACACAGGCATCAGCCCGCCCTCCATTCTCAACCATGCGCACGAAGAAAGCCCTCGCCCTCTCCTGCTCCAGCCCCCTGACCCGGGCGGCCTCTCCTTCCTCATCAGCCGTCCGCGGCGCCGGCGGCACGCCCAGGTCCCCGATGTACAGCGCGACCATGCCCCGCAGCCGCAGCAGCTCGGCGCTGCGCGAGTACGGCGCGTTCTCCATCAGGCCGTCCATGCGCGCCGCGACGTCCCGCATGGCCGACAGCGCCCGCAGGCCGAGGTCCGCCTTGGCCTGGCGCAGCCGCCTCTCCCTGCCGGTCAGGTTGTCCCCGCGGTATGCGTGGCCGCCTCCCGCCCGCGCCCCATCACCACCACCGTCGCCGTCGTCGCCGCCGCCGCCGCCATAATACCCCTGCATGTCCACGTCGGGCAGCACGGCGTCGTCCAGCTCGCCCTCGCTCCACGACTCGGCCTCCTCGGCCAGGCGCTCCAGCGCGAGGCGGTGCTCGGCCCACGCGTCGTAGAACTCGCAGCTGAACAGCACCGGGTGGAAGTCCAGGTCGCTGACGCTGTCCGGGTGCAGCCGGTTGTAGGGGTACTGCCGCACCAGCGACTCGAGGTACTCACGCAGCCGCGGCATGTTGGCCGTCGAGCCCCACCTCCTCTGCCCCGTCCCCGTCCCCGTCCCCGTCCCGCGTGCCCTGTCCCCCGCCGCGCCGGCGCCCTCCTCCTCCCCCTCACCCTCCCCCTCAGGACCGATGGGGTCTGCGACCGACGGCACGACGCTCCGCGACCTCACCTCCCCGTCGCGCATCAGGATCTCGGCGCCGAGGCTCCACAGCGCCCTCTTGCGCAGGTCGACGGGCCGCCCGCGCACCTCGGACCTGCGCACGAGCCCGAACGCCCGCTTCGCCCGCGGGATGTCGCCCTCCTCGAGCGCCCGGAGGATCACGTTCGTCAGGAGCCCGAGCTGGCTGTCCTGCGCGTCGCGGAACACCTGCCGCTGCCGCGCCTTGCGGGCCCTGTGCTGCGCGCCGCCGCCCTCGCTGCTGGTGCTGCTGCCGCCTGACACCGACCCGCCGTCGTCATCTCCTCCACGGTCGTCGTTGTCGCTCTCCCCGTCTTGTTGTTGATGGTGGGACGGCCGGATGGGCCGGTGGGGGAAGTCTGGGATGTAGTTGGACGGCAGGAGGTCGTCTGCCGTGAGGCCCGCGGCGCGCAGCTGTTTTATTGTGCCTTCGCTGTGTGAGAGGGGGTTGATGGTATCATCTGGTAGGTGATTGGATATGGAGCGTTTCCTTTTGTGTGAGGACATGACCGAGTTGGTAAGTATTTGGTCCTGGGGTGATGGCTGTGAAAACCGTCGATGTTGCTCGATGAGCAAAGCCGCTCTCTTTCCAGCCGTGTTGTTTGTTAAATGTGCGAAGGGAGATGACGCTCTGGTTGACAGCTTGGATTCGAGAAACTGTGATCTGAATTATGTACGATAAATTTGCAAGCAAATGTGTGCGTGTTTTGTTGCCGAGCGTGTCTCTGCTTCGGTTGGTAGTTTATGAGGTCGGGTTGGGAAGCTCAAATTCTCAAGGTGTAAGTGAGAGAGAACCTGCCCCACGCTAAACACGGACCGACCAGTTTAGGTGTCGACACATGAACGAACCTCACATTCGCTCAGCACTTTGCAAGCCAGAATTTACAACAATTAATCAAACAGGCTGGAGCTCTAAGTTTCAACAGACTCTACTCATTTGCATGACGGCTCTTTAGTGCTTTCTGTGCGCTTGGTAAAATGGTTTTACATGCTTGTTCGTTGACATCTTTGTCCGCATCCGACAATGTCTGGAAGACCAGGTATCATTATTCGACCTTGTTATGAGGCCAATTGCTTCAATCAGCACTGTTTCTGCTGTGACATGGTTCAGTGGCAAAGCTCACTCCTGCGGCTATCACGGTTGCAAGCGCCCACACCATATGAAAAGCGTGGCTTTGGCGGTTGGTTCATAGCAATCTCTCAGGGCAGTGGCACATGAACCCATGTTTTCTGATCTTCTCATGTCTTCACATGGGTTTGACCCACGACGGAAACACGTTCTATGTTCTTCCTTTTGGGGGGTGCATTTCTTCTTTTGCCAGAATGAGTATTTGATGAACGACGATTATCCGGGGGGTGTGGTTGACTCCATCTGAGTGGATCTAGGGGTGTTTTTTTTTTTTTTGGCACTCTTGTGGTGGCAGCTGTAGATCTGTACAAGCTTCCCTGCTACTGTACATTGTAGGCCAGTCTTTCTTCAATTCAGGGTTTTCCCAGCTCCAACTTCCTTTACTCCTTCCTTTCGAAGTACTTCCATTGTCCCTCCTTGGGCTTCTCCTCGAGGCTCTCCCATCTGTTTCACGAATCATTAGCAAGTGCGCCCCATGGCCCGTGTTCCGCATAAACTTACGGCTTGGACTGCACCATCGTGTCAATGAGCTTCAGCTCTCCCTCGGCAACCTGAATAACCTCTTCGATAAGCCCAGCGCCGATTTTGTTCTCGAGCTCCTCAACTCTGTGAAATCTAGTGTTAGCGCAATCCCAAATCGAGGGACACCCCGTGCCACTTGTCGTAGGTCGGACGTACTGATCGATCGTCAACTTGGGCTCATCCGTCCACTCGATGCCCTCGCCCTCGAAAGGATCCCGCGAGGAGATCAGCGACTGGTCCTCCCTCTCCTCCAGGGTCCTGCTGCCCTCCTTCTCGGGGCCCTCGTCCTCCTCACCATCCCACTCCTTGTACCGGCCGTCGATATCCACCTCCGTCTGCCGCAGGACGAAGAAGTTGCCGCCCCGCTCCACGCCCTTGGCCAGGGAACCGTCCGCCGTCTTGTGCGCCGCCTCCTTGAAGTGCTCCGGGTGCTTCTCGAGGATCTGCCGCGCCTTTGCCAGCCACTCGTCGTAGCCCGATGGCTTCACCGACTGCACGAGCGACATGCGGTGTTTTGTCACGGCCTCGACCGACTGGCGGTAGAGGGACGTCTCGGGGACGGCCTGCAGCCTGTCGAGGGTGCTCGAGTACAGGTAGAGGAGGGTCGCTCGGGGGGACGCGTTGGCGAAGAGGCCTGTCAGGCCGGTGGGTGCGCCGGGTTCGAGGAACCGCACGGGCTTGACGCTCGCGAGCAGTCGGAGGGTCCCTCGCATCTTGGGCGGTCGTTTGTAGGGTTGACTGCGATGAGATGGGCTGGCTGGTGAGGTTGGACCACTCGATCCTGGAGGGTTGACGTCAATTGGCTTGCGTAGAGTGCAGAAGGGGTCGCAATTGGGGGTTTGGGTCGGTTGCGTACCGGTGTTCGTGAGTGGCTCGACGTCGACGCTATCGTTGTCGTGGATCGGAACTCCAGTCCAGGAAGCTTAAGCATCGAATGGAGCATCCGGGCTGCTAGCGAATGAACGTCACCGAGTTTCGCAGCGGTCACGTGGGTGCTGGCAGGGGTGCTCCCTGTCCAAGTATAGCCGCGCCTCGACTTACAGCGGACGACCCATCAAGGGGACATCAAGGGGACCTAGGCAATTTCCAAAGGAGATTCCTTTCTTTTTATTTTTTTTCTATGTCTCTCAGACTTTGGTCTGTTGTTCATTATCGGCATTCCAGTTTTGGCACTTTACAAGCATGGATAATCGGTGACGGCTTGCTGGTCGGAGGTGGTCCAGCGTGACTGAGTTTCTCCGACCACGCTCGTTCTGAGTTGTCTATAAACGCCGCTGGACTTACGCTTCCGTCCCTGAGGGCATCTAGGAAAATAGTAAAACGCTACATTATGGACTTATTTTGCCGATATGGCTCAACTTTTCGTTAGCTCCCCACCAAAATTGACCGTCAGCAATATCGTGTCCGGCGCCTGCCAATTCCAAAAAGTACCTGAAATCTTTCGCACCGGAACAAGTTTGCATTTAAAACTACAGAATACCATACCCGACACATCTGCCTTCATCAAATAACAGCACCTTGATCTGAGAATGGAACTGTGAGCACCTAGGTACCTAGGTAGACTTTTCTCGAAACGCCAACAGCGGTACTCCTGAAGGCCCCGGGCGGACAAAGCTGGGTCGCAGCAGCTTGTGGTCTACAAAATCATACTACCACAAGCAATTCAGATACGGTCTAATATGTCTGGATATTCTAGTTGAATAATGGATACAGTGCCTACCAAGAGCAGAAAGCACACTCACTAGTACATAGGGCAACAAGCAGCTAAAAAATTCAAGTGGCATTTATCTTTACAAACTCGTAGTACATAGTTTAGTGGCATTAGTGCTGGCTAGTTTAATTCAAGATCTTGCTTAGATTTGAAAATTGCTTGAAATGCTCCAATACTTAATTCAAATTCGAGGCTGCTCACGTTCTTGAGTAATTTCAAACCCGTGGAAACAACCAAACACAAAAAAGAAAAAGAACCCACCCGCGGATTAGCCTACTATTTGTCCGAACTACATCTCCAATTTGACAGCAAAAATGTTCAAGCCATTCGAAACAGATGATGAAGTGCGCCGAGCATTTAGAGAACAGGGGCCAGTTCCAAGCACAGGTCGCTTGCAAATTCCAAACGAAGACCTGGAGGCTTACCTGGGGGCGGATTATGATAATAGCGATGGCAGCGAAAGCGATGAGAGCGTCGAGAACTACAGGACGGCGTCACCACTCAAATACCCGCATCGGACGACCTTTGGAACTTTTGGCAGTGACGAAAACCTACCACGAGCATCAGCGGCGACAGACAGTCTCCGCGACATCCTGCTGCGTCCACGGCAAAGAGGAAGGCAACCTTCAACATCGAAGATCGTGGGCCAAGATCGCGCGGGTATCGTCTGTATCGGTCTTGGACTAATCTCAGTCCTAACAGCCTACTTTTGCTTTCCTATGCTTGAGGAATAATTATTCCAAGGATCAATCTAGCACGGCACTACAATCTCGCTCATCAGCACATACCTGATGCCAAATACTTCGAACTCACTCTTTCGAACTAAATCTTCCAACTTCTGCTACTCGACTAGATCGGAGATTCTCATTTTCAGACTACAAGAACTAGTCGACACTCTTACTTTTCTGAACCGATCGCATCCATCATGATTTGCGTGTTTCAGAAGGAAAAGTCGCGCTGGAGCTCCAGCGAGAGACCAGCCGCGCCGGAGGCCAAAAAAGCATCACCCCCAGGGGGGATGAACGAGGGAGTGACATGTCAGGTGCGGCAGACATTGTACACATCTAACGCTTGGAAACCTCGACCAACGAAGCCATCCTAGCTTCTCTCAATCAGGCAATGGGACGAGTTATCTTGGCGAGCGTCGCTATATTAAGATTTCGATGAAATCCACACGGATACAAAGGCTTCTGACACCTTCGGCGATAGCAATTGAATTCGAGATGAGATGCAGCAAGGAAATTGAGGGTTGTGGAAGACAACTACCACAAATGACTGCGATTTATTTAAAGCACATGAATTCAGGAAATGAAACAACCTCACGCAATTAGATATGCGAGGCTGATCTGTTTGGTATTCGTGCGGGAAAAAGGTCCCGAAATCTCAATGAACAGGCTGGAGTGTATCTTCCACTGGGTTCTTCTAAGCTCTGTATGTTATTCAAGTCTGTAGCCCAGCAAGAATAAGACTCAGGGATCCCAAGAGCACCGCTATAAATACACAGAAGATTGTAGCCATAATTGCATGCCTTTTATGTATTGACTGCTTTTGCTCCACCCAGACGTCCTAATTCCGGTACGGTCTCTCATTTTCAAGCTCTTCCCATTGTACAGACCCAGTATCCGTGACCCCCAGTATTTCCACTTTTGAGCTCCTTTCTGCTCCCCTCTCAATTCAATGACATTCTCATCTGTACCATTGAACTTACGCACATGGTAATTAAAACTAGCATGAAAGAATTAGATTCTTATGTAGCGCAGTGGCATGGGTCTCGAGGAACTTGCTGCGCACCAAAATCGGTTTTCATACAACCAAAAAATACAATGTGTCTGCCGTGAGTCACTTGATTGAAACGCTTCCAAGGACTGGGCCAACCGGTTTGCATGAACGGGCGTTTCCTCCACTCATCTGACTGTGCATCAGGCACCTCGGAAGACGGGCGCTTGTTCGAATAGAAACGGAAGTTCTACCTAGGGAAACGGCCTCAAATCTGTATTGGTCTACTAAATCCTAGGACGTGGTCCTCTTTTTGATATAGACAGGCCAACTATGAGGAACCTGGGCAAACAACATTTTACATTGCCAGTCCTTCTCCGGATGGACGAGCTGCAGGTCGTAGTCACGGATTATCGTAGCCGTGACCTTCAATGCCTCAATACGAGCGAGATGCTGTCCGGGACACGCCATGAAACCAACACCGAAGGGCATGAAGCACCTCTCAAGCCGAGCCGCACCGTCACCCAGCCAGCGCTCGGGCTTGAACTCGTCCACATCGTCGCCCCAGAGTTCACGCGAGTGGTGCAGGACCCACGGGGAAACGGAAAGAGTGATGTCCTCGGGGAACCAGCGCCCACCTATCTCGATTCCTCCCTTGGGAGCCAGACGCGGTAGCGGCATGGGGATCGGGGTGTGGATACGGAGCGCCTCCTTGATGCAGGCTTGAAGGTATGGAAGCTCCCACAATTCAGAAAACGGCAAGACGCGGTCGGTGTTCTGGATCTGATCGACTTCTGCCCTAGCCTTCTCGAGCGTCGCCGGGTTCTTGAGGAAGTGGTAGAAAATAGCCTGCAGTAAAGACGACGTCGTGTCCGACCCAGCGGCCGTGATATTCGTAGCCTGCGACATGATCTCGCGAGTGGAGACCTTGCCGGGATTCTCGTCCATGTATTTCAACCAGTGGCTAAGCATGTCGAAGTTCTCAACTGGCCTCGCCATACGATCCTTCACAGCTACGAACGCGGTCTCGCCTAGCCAAGAGGCAGGAGTCAGGCTCAGCCAGGTCATGATGGGGTTGACGGCGATGTAGTGCAGCTCGCGGAGGTGAGAGGCCCAAGTAACCAGCTCCTGAAAGTAGAAATTCGTGGCGATCGCGTTGTTCACGTCTCTGCCTTCCTTCAGGAATCCGAACGGCTTACTGCAGAGCATCTCGCCTACGATGTCAAAAGCCGTGTACGTAAAGAATCTGTCTAGGTCCATAGGCTCCTTGCGCTGAGCATAGCGGTCCAGGTAGTCAAGCAGTTGGGAAATCGTGTCCGAGATGACATCCTCAGAACGGAGGAGGCTACTTTGCGCAAATCCAGCAGCGAATATCTTGGAGCGCTCTGCCTTTCGCTTTGGGTCCGGCTCAGACATGGGGTTTTGGAAGCGCCAGTCTGGGTAGGTGGCGAACTCGTAAAACGTGCCTTTTCGCAATGGCTGAAGGTACAGCTTCTTGACCACCTCTGCATGACAGACACTGACTTCCCACGGTGATATACGCACAAAGGGGCCTTAGAAGTGCTAGGATTAGCATCAAGTCAAACAAGGTGGTGTCATTCAGCGGCTGCCTCGAGGATGGGGGCTACTTACCGTATTTTTCGTGGAGCTCGAGGAAATCGCGTGGCGCCCTCCCTCGACGCAATGCCTGGATGAGCCATAGTCTTGAGAATGAGGCCAAAAAAGGTCCAGGGATGTCAGAGATGGGCGAAATGTAGCGGTACCAGACGCAGCTGGCCAGGAACCAGGCCAATATCAGGCCAGCAAGACTGGGTAGGTATCTTAACAAAGTAAATGCCAGAGTATCGCTGCTGCCCGAAGTTTGAATATATGGGCCAGTGAGGTTTTCATTCAGTTTGGAGACCTGATACTGAATCCAGCCTCCGAGGCTATTCCCATGGGTTATGTAGTCAGGAAAGAAACCCATGATGACAGTCCTTTGTGTGTGTGGGCGATTGGCTTCGCCACCGTCTCTGGCTATAAAATATCCAGGGATGAAGGAAGAGTAATGAGAGCATAGAGAACCAGGTATGCTTGTGGACAGGTGGGTGACCGGTGTACGTGAACATGTTCGCCGCCCACTTGAGCTGCCTCGCAGGTTCTTCTCCAGTGATTATGCAGGGCACACCAATGATTATGCAGGGCATATTGGTGAACCCCGCCTCCAGCAGATAATCAACGCACTGGAGCCAATCATAAAAACGATGTTGATTGATCGATATGCGTGTTGACTTCCATGTCGTCCCATCAATCCACCAGAAACCAACAGTCGCAAGGGAGGGGCTCATTACCGCGGATCTTACCAAAACGCCCTCAGAAATGCACCGGTTCCACTCAGCAGTTGTAAAACAAGTGGGCCAATCCTAGAAACTACCTAGACGACCTGTTGGTTACATGCGTGCAGGCCTCGGCCCGTAACCACCAACACCGCTGCTTAAGCTACCCTGGTGGCACACGCTAGGCACTTTTGGAAGTTACAGAGTGAGTTGCTCCACCGTTCACTCGTCTCAAACACGGGGTGTGGGCCGGCTGAGCCAGAGAGATGATACCGAATAATTTCACATCCGGTTTATAAACACTGGCCAGCGGCCGCGGTAGCAGACGTACAGATCCGACCTTGTCCCTGTGATCGATACCACAAGTACATGACATCTTGAAATTTGGACACAACCAACGCCCATTTTTCTAGGGTTTGACTCACCTGGGCATTGCCTTTGCAATGACTTCAACGGTTGACTTGTGGCACAGTAAATGGCACGGTCTGGAGTAGATATGATTAAATTTGAGCAGAATCTCGACAAAATGCAATGGCTTGCATCTGGTTTGGCAAACACTCACCTTTTCATCCAGACACGATTTTTGTAGATTGTCCATCATGGGCACAGTCACCTTTCCCCTCATTCGTGACCGGCAATATGGCATGATAATCGCACCGGCGATCTTCAGCATTTTCTCTATTGTTGCGGTCGCCTTACGATTCACTGCACGGCGTCTTGCCCACCGAAAGCCAGATTCTAGCGACTACACTCTGCTGGTCGCCCTGGTTCTGTCAGTCGGCTATTCTGGGCTGAACATAGCTGAATGCCTCGTTGGCGGTGGCGGACTGCATGTCGCCGAGATCTTTGCCCACGGAGGCTCCATGATCACGTTTCAGAAGGTAAGTCTCAAGTCTGATCAGTTCGACCCTAAATCCTCCTCGCCTTTTGAATTTAGAATGCTGACAGTCTTGTATTGTATAGATCGGTCTGGCTGTGCAAGTTTTGTGGTCAACGACCGTGACCTTTGTCAAGATATCCCTTCTTTTGCTCTACTGCAGAGTATTTCCACTCACGTGGTTTCTCTGGTCTGCACGCTTCATTGGATCTCTGTGCATCGGTTACACAATAGGGACTATACTCGCCGCTTTTCTCGTCTGCCAGCCTCTAACATTTTACTGGGACACCACTATTGACGGCGGCCACTGTGGGAATGAGTTCCTTTCTTACATCCTCACTGGTTCAATCAACATATCAACAGATTTGATGGTGCTTCTTTTGCCCATACCCAGCCTAAGCAGGCTCGAGATGTCATTGTACAGGAGGCTGACGCTCATCGCTACGTTCGCCTGCGGCCTCTTCACCTGCATAGTTGGTGCCCTGCGTCTTCAAGCAATTGTCACCATCGACTTCAACGACTACACCTACTCCATCGCCAATGCCATGACCTACAGTGCCGTCGAGCCCGCTGTGGCCATCATTCTGGCGTGTGTACCGACACTGCGCCCCTTGCTCCCATTCCGGACGCGGAACTCTAGCAAGGCGGGATTCGGGGCCAGCAATACTCTCAAGTGGAGGTTGCATCCCAGCCTGATCACTTTTGGTGGCTCGGGAAAGCCTAAAACTAACGTTAGAAATAAGGCTGACACGCAGGGCGCAATGAGGCTTGATGATCACCTCGAAACAGGGTCTGAGTGCGAGCTCACTACTAGGCCGGAGTGAGCGCTGCTCGCACCGGAGGGATTCAACAGAGTGAGGAGATCAAACTTGACGAAAGAGACGATGGAAGCGACTTTGAAATGGGAGCCTGGAGCTAGAATGAGTCGAAAGCCGAGCCCCGACGTTGTAGAATCAAGTACTCGAGCGGAAGGTTACCCAAAGAATTGTCACCACGGCCCCGGGGTGCACCCATCATTTTCAAATACTTCTTCGACCTCTGAGTCATGGACAAAGTACGATAGATGCTTTCAATCACTTGGTTCATACCTTTGGCAATATGTTGAGTACTCGATTTAATACGTACGATGCAGTCCTGCTGCATCGTGTAATTCACTGCATTGTATTATGCATGCCAGCGAGCCCGTGGCTGGGCGCCACATGCTACACCTAGCCGGCGCCAACAACGACTTTTGAACTGTAAACATACCCATGAACTATGGAACATACTTGAAGACACCAAATATTGGTATGCATGCTAAATTGAAACCGGGCTCCGTCGCAAACACACATTGAAGCTGGTGCTTGGCTCAGTGACTTCGGATACTTAAGTACTACTAGTAGGTCTACTTGGCAGCTATACTGTCGAGTTTAAATGGAAACCGTTTCTCACTTTCCTCCAGCACCCTTCTCTGCCTACAACCAAAAGCAAAGAGAACCGCAGCCGAGCATCCAGACGTCTCTGGACCATTGCTCTCATTGAGTGTGTAAGCGGTCTGAGGAAGTATGGACTTGCGCTCTCAAAATTGAATACCTAGGTATGTATTTTGACTATAGTATAACTACTTAACCTATGATGACATCTCTTGCATTAGGAGTTTGATGTCTGCGCCATCTAATGGCGTGATGGAAACAGTGCTTCATCGTCTCAGCGAGCTTATAGCACAGGAGCGAATCGCCATGCATTTCATGTTGTGTTCAATGTTCCTCACAGATCTTGCATGCACTGACGTTCCGGAAGTAACCCCTGCTGCGTTCTCTGCACCGTCCAATCTGTAAATCTACTCCGAGCTCAATTGTTCTTTTTCTCAGGCTCTTCACTGTAGATGAGTAACAAAGTAGGTGACTGAATTGCATTTACATTGTGCTACGTGAATCTGATCTTGATCGTCATGTACCAAAAGTGTATATGTACATCATAGAAAGTTGCTAAATAGTAGAATCCTCCCAAAATAATCTCGTTTACCTCTTCTTGGCTGAGGTGGCATTAAGCTGACTCAGGATGACGTCCGCAGCCTTCTCAGCAACCATGTAGGTCGACACGGCGGTGAACGTGCCAGGAATCCGAGGGTAGACCGAGGCGTCAACAACACGCAGGCCAGACACGCCACGAACGCGGAAGCTAGAGTCCAGGACGGCATTCTTATCACCATCGGCGCCGATGGGGACGGTGGACGAGGCGTGGTGACCCCATGCGGTGTCCTTGGCGTACTGGCCAACGGCCTCAGCGCCCTGGACGTCTGCGCCGGGGAGGACCTCGGTGACGTTGACAAGCTGGCGCGCAAAGGCGTCACGAGCGAGGGCGACGGCCTCGGTCAGGGCGGTCACGTCGGCCTGGAAGTCGTTGTTACCCGTGTCAAAGTAGTTGAAGGTGATCTCGGGCATATCAAGGGGGTTGGCGGAGAGCAGCTTCACGGTACCCGCAGTGTTGCGAGGGTGGGCCTTCAGGATGGCCCAGGTGAACCAGTCGTGCTCCTCGGTGGCGTTGAAGCTGTAGTTGGGGAAGTAGCCGCGGAAGTTGACGGGGCCGCCGAAGACGAAAGCATCCCACTCGTTGTTGGTGGCGACGGAGCTCTTGTAATACATGGCGGCGGCGAGGCCCGGGGATGAGTACAGGCCGTGGTCGCCTGCAACAGGGTTCTCCCAGCGGTCGAGACACAAATCTGCTGCGCTCTCATCGAAGGTGCAGCCCTCCAAGGCAGTCCAGTTGTTCGGGATCTTGCCCTGGACCGTGATCTCGTAGTGGTCCTGGAGGTTGGTTCCGACACCGGGGGCGTCAACGATGACGGGGATGCCAAACTTCTTGAGCTCAGCAGCAGGGCCGACACCGCTGAGCTTCAGAATCTGAGGCGAGTTGTAGACACCGCCGGCAATGATGACTTCGCGGGAAGCTGTAACTGAGCCAGGGGTGCCAGTGGCACCGCTGCTCAGGGGGCTGGCCTTGTAAAGGTACTTGCCATCGAGGAACTCAACTCCGGTCGCACGCGGTGGTTTAACAGACTTATCGAAAGTGATCTTGGTAACATGGGCGTTCAGGCGGACATCAAGAGGGTACTTCTTGCTGCCGTCCTCATTGGTGGCATCGCGGACCGCGACCACAAACTCGCGGGAGCCAACACGGTGAGCATCGCCGGTTGACAGAGGGATTTGGTAGTAGCCAGGTGTAGTGTCGCGGGTGTCAGTGTCTGCATTGGCGTCGCCGGCGATCAAAGTTCCGAGGTTGATGACGGAGTTGGTCTCGTTACCAAGGGCGAATGCTCCTCCGGTAAGCATGCTGAGGAGTTGGCCGTCTCCGGTCACGATGCTTAGAGGTGCAACCTCAGTGGAAAGCCAACCATCATAACCGTGCCCAGGTTGCCCAGGCAGCAGATACTGATTCTTCTCCATCCTGACGAAGTATTGGCGCATGTTGTCGGCAGACCACGACGAGTCACCGGTCATGGTTGCGATGTAGTCGAAGTCTGACTGGTGGGGGTAGACAGCGATCAAGGCATTGTGTGCTGTGCATCCTCCCAGGGCACCAGTACGTGGGTAAAGGGTACCCAGCAGCTTAGAGCCAGCAGGAGGGTTCAGGCCGGTGTATATGGAGCCAGAAGGGGTCTGGTAGCTGGTCTTGAAGTCTCGAGCCTGGCGGGCGTTGTCGGCGTAGTGGTGAACAAAGAAGTTCCACGAGACCTCCTTCTCCTCTGACATCCTCACGCTATAGGCCGGGACAGTGTAGTTGTTCTCGGTGCCATGGTCGTCGCCAGCCTCAAGGAGCAAGGTCTTGTGGCCGGCGAGGGCAAGACGGGCAGCCAGGGGACCTCCGCCAGCACCAGAGCCAACGATAACATATTCGTAGCCAGTGAGGTTCACGGCAGTTGCAGATGTAGCAAGTGCCGCAGTGGCCCTCAGCATATGCTGAAACTTCATGCTGGGCTAGATGTGGCTGTCCTGCATGAGCGTCAGCCGGGATGTCTTCCACCTGCAGCAACAACAACAACAAAAAAAAAAAAAAAGTCTGGACCTACCGCGACCTCTGTGTCTATCACTTTCTGACACTGCAGCCAAATACGATAAGAGATGCTGAACAAGCCACACAGAATCCTGCGCGATCCCATCATGAAACCAACTCTTTATACTACTCCTGCAGGCGACAAAACCCCCCTTTTCCAACTGATCATCGTATCGTACATCAACTGTCCCCTCTTCATTTCCCCTCTCGGCGGATGTCCATGGGCGAAGCAATCCTCTGCCGGCGCTGTCGCCACATCCGGGCTGCTACCGGCCTTAGTTCGTCTCTACCCTTGCTAGGCACCGAACTATCACTGGCTCAACGGCGACGATCTTTGCCAGGGATGTTGCTCACGTAGTATAGTGTCAACTAGCTTCCCCTCCACGTGCTCGCCCACCCTTGAGTATATTCGGACGTTGCAATATCTTATGAAGAGCTTCAGGGGCTAGAACAACCTGCAGCTCTTATCGTGCCTAGCTCTCAGCTGAGGGTGGAGGCGACATAGCCCGATAGCCTCGTCGCATGGCTTCGTCGCATGGCCTAGCAGGTCCATGGCATCATCCACTTAATAATGTAACTCTCAGCTCGGAGACATGTGTTGCATTAAAAATGTCCCGATGTTACCCCCCGCGGCTGAATCTGTCCTTGAAGCATGCTATTTTCCATTTTGAGTGGTAGAAGTGGATCTTGTGCGTGCCGTCTATGCGGCTTCTAGCGGGGCCCCGAGCGTCGGCCAAGATGGAGCCTCGGCCAAACTGACCCTCGGGGAATGGCGACGTAAATAGTGGGGTTCATTGATTGTTGGGAGTCCCAAGTAGAATAGTCTGGCGCTTCAATGTGGTGCTCGGCAAATTTGGCCTCGCCTTCAACATTCTGGGCTGGAGTGAAGGTGGCAAGGTGTGATACGTGGGCTGAAGGTTCAGCCTTTGCATGTGATTCTGAGGAGTCGGGAAGGTGACTATTTTCGTATAATATTGGAGGACGTTAATGGGAATTATAGATCATTCTGCAATAGTATGGGAAGTGCATGAGTTGGGCTTGGTGTTCAGCAGACAGTCAGTGCCCGATCCCCGGCCGCATGCTTCCCCCTGTTACTCCTCGCTACCCAACTCCTACAAACTTTGTCTAGATGCCATTGAATTTGCTGCTTGACCGGTCTCGAATATTGGGATGAGGTCGCCGATTCCTCCAATACAGTGTTTGTGGGGCCAGTGAAAGAGTTCCTCCTCAAAGCACAGAGCTACTACGTAGATGCGAGTGAGCCGCAACGGCCAGGGGCTCCTCCTAGGGCGGACCGGCAGCCCCAGCTTAGCTTCTGGTGGCGATCGAGATAATAGTCCTAGGGCTGAGAATGTTGAATAGTACATGCTTGGACTTAATTGGCTCGCTATACGACCAGCTATACACAAAAAAGGTCGCCTTGCCAGTTTGCCTGGCTTGGTAGCACTGCTTCATCCAGCCAATCCTTTTTTCCACGTCTGACATTTGTCGCCTTGTCCTTGCCCGTCATTATATGAAATTTTTCTCATCCTGTCTGGCCTAAAACGATGCATGCATATAGGCGTCACTCTTAGGGTGCAATTCACCTGAGTGGTATAGTGGGGCCTTTCTTATATCCTCTACTATCTACTTTTCCTATAACTCCAATAAGGGGCCTCTAATTGCCATATTGTATTAAATATAGAAGAGAGGTACTTTTACTTAAAAGTATCTAATACTTTATTCTAGATTAGAGTAACTATTACTATAGAAATTTAATTTTAAATTTAACTTTAAATTCAACCTTAACTTTAAGGTAACAGCCTTTAGCTAAAGGATTAGAGGGGTTCTGCTTAAAAGGGTTAGTTATTAATGGCTATACGTCCTTTATTAGGGCTATTTATTTTATAATTAGTACTCTTAAGGAGAGAAGAGGGGAAAGAAAGAGAGAGAGAGAGAGAGGGTAAAATAGTGGTTTTTAGTAATTTTTAATAGTAGAAATAAAGAGAAGAGGAGGAAGTTAAAGTTAAGAGATAGCCCTAAGGCTTTCTCACCTTACTCACTATATAAAGTCCCTAAGTAATCTTTTAGTAATAATAAAGATTTTTTAAATATATTAAGATTAGTTAATAAAAATAAATAATAAAAAAAGAGTATCTAAAAGGATAAAAGAGTTAATAATAGTCTTAAAAAGGAGGTATATTTATTTTTCTATTTATTAAGTATACTTTATACTGAATTTGGGTGGTATAGGTGCTTAAAGTAGGGAGGTCCTAGTGATTAAAAGGGTTTCTAGTAGTAGAGGATATAAGAGTACCTATATAGTAGGGCTTAGAAAGTCTTAGCCCCCTCCCTCTTTTACTATATACCCTTAAAATAACCACCTAACTTTAATTAAGTATAACTTTATAAAGAAATTAATTAAAAATAATTAATTTATATTAAATTAATTATTAAAGTCTTTTTTTTAATATTTTATATAGCTTTCTTTATATTTATAAATTATATTTAACCTTTATTTTAATAATTAAATAATATTATTAATTTTATTTTAATTTATTATTTATTATACTTTTATATATTAATAAATAATTTATATTAGCTCTATTTTAAGTTAATTTTTATAATTTAAAGTATTATTTATTTAACTTTACTTTAAATAGCTTTTAAATATTTTTAATTAAGTTTAAATTAAATAATTATAAAGGTTAGTTTATTAAAGAAATTCTATTATTTAATATAAAGGTTTATATTATTTTTATAGTATAAATTTAAGTATTATTTTATTAGAAATTTTATATATTATTATAATAAGAAAAAGTTTTTATAAAATTTTTAAGTATAAGTTTATAATATACCTATTTTATTTAGCTTTTAAGTTTTTTTATTATTATTAAGTTATTTTAACTAATTTAAATAATACCTTATATTATTATAAAATTATAAGCTTTAAATCTATTTTAAAGGTTTAAAGGAATAATTTTAAATATTATATTTATTAAAGAAGATTATTTATAAGGGTATATTATAAGTAGATAATATATAAATACTAATATTTAAAAGTAAATTTTAAATATTAATTTATAATAAATATTTAATATTATAATATTATAATTTAATTTAATAATAATAAAGCTTTTATTTTTTAATAAAGGTATTTAGTATATAATTATTTAATAATTAATATAAATAAATTTTAAGGTAGTATAAATAATATTATTTAATATATTAATTTTAGTAAATTTTAAATTTTATTATATAATAAAAGATTTTCTTTAAGGATTAATAACTTTAATTAATAAATAAAATAATTATTAAAATATTTTAAATAATTATTATAAGGTTTAATAGTTAGTTTTTTAGTTTATTATTTTTTTATTTAATTATAGTTAAAAGATATTAATTTTATAAAAAATTTAAATAGAGCCTTTATTTTTAAGTAATATATTTAATATTATATTTATATATTTTAAATGAAATTTATAAGAAAACCTATAATTTAAAGTTACTTTTTTTAAAAAATAAGTATTTATAAGAAGGTATAGTTATTATAAAAAAGAAATTTAAAGTTATAGGTAGAATTTATGTAAAATATATTTTGTTTTATAGGAATGTAAAGGGGGTCGAGACTTTTTAAGCCCCACTGTAGTGTAGTTGGCTAGTTCATTTAGAAGCTATGGAGGGCTATCGCGAACTTAGAAGTTCGAAGTATGTCGTTGGGTGGCTGACTAACGAATGGTCCCCCATTTGTCTGCCACCATGCGTCCACTCATCACGTCAGCTGGGTACGCGTTGCGAGAAAATGCACAAGGGAACGACTCACAACTTGTTTTCTCTCGATCTGAACCATCCACTCGTCTTGCTGGCCAACCACTTAGTCGCAGGGTGGTCCTCATCTCGCATGATGATATGTGCATCAACTAGGCAGGCTTAACCGAGCACTACGTCTCAATAAATAGGTACTAGGGGTCTCTTTCCATGAAACTAAAACAAAAATATGTTCCAGGTGGTTAGTTGAGAGGTGAGGAAGAGGTGCGAGAGATCCATGAGCTTACCCAGATACGAAAACCCTCCACCCGTGTCATTATTTATGGTGAGCTGAAGAAAAGGCTCGGTATTGGCTGCACGACTTGTACAAAGTCTCGAGCAAGTGGCATCGTAACTATTTCACGTGGCAAGGCAAGTGGCACCACACTGTATGAAACCTCCTGCCGTCTCATGAAAACGAGTCTGTGCCCGAAATTTTCTGTGACAACCTTGGAACGATAATCAAGAATTCACATGAGAAAATAGCAAGTCAAATGGGGTAGATGACAGTCATCGCCAGTAACAATTTCAGGACTAAATCTGGGGCCAGACTGGTCGGAGACTATCTTGCCTCGACGTGGGTAAGTGGTTTCGCTTCCATTCCGTATACGTCCGAGGACATACATGGCGCCTTCATACGGTGGCAATGGTGTTAAATTCATGATTTCCCCCGACCATCCTTGGTTCTACTTGGAACCAATTTCCAAAACACCAACCCCAGAGATCGTATTTTCGTCGGCAGCTTTAACTTTAGTTCCATCAGCAGTACTAAGGACCACATAGACCTGCCCACTAGGGGGTGGAAGCCCCTGTGTGGCATTCCCAGCGGGTACGCATTTGATCTGGTACTATGAAGTGGCTAATTCAGCTTATTCCTTGAAGTTGAGGGAGTAAAGAGAGGTAGGTTAAAGACGTCACAACTTACGTCCTTGCCTCCCGAATCGACTGCTACGGGAACATAATATGTGTCTAACCCTGAGTAGAACACGGCGTACACGGGGGTCTTTTCCTGCGCCAATCCAGCCTGCATCGCATTGGCATATGCGTTAGTAAAAGTCACAGGCGACTTGCCCGCAACATAAGCCTTCTTGCTCGGCTGAACTGTCAGAGGCGGGAACGCCTTGAACGGCAGCGCTGGCGTCCCTGGGGCGAAGGCGGTAATAAACCCAGCCGCGAGGCTATAGACGGCGTTGAAGTCCAGAGGTGTGTCAAACGATTTGGGAAAGGGTGCCTGGCCCAGGGCATTTCGGACATAGGACGAATGGCGCGACTCGACCGTTAGGATTGAGCCGGCTGCGGTCAGGTACGCCTTGTCGGCGATGGCTGCTGCAGCACCGAGGTACGCAGAGACGCCGACGCCTTCGAGGACCGATGCAAGCTGCACGAAGGACTTGGCATCCGTACTGGGAAAGGCAAAAGTGGGCTCCTTGATGGATGCATTCCCGAGAGCACCCGCGAGAAATGACACGTGGGTCTATTATCAGTCAGACGAGGTCCTGCGGGGCATACTCTTTTGGGGACGGCGACTCACTTGTTCATCAAAGTAGATCTCTTTCAGATTCTTGTAGAAATCATGGGAGAATCCTGCCTTGTGAAAGTCCTTCTCGGTGTAGTTCGCCAGGCCTTGCTGATAGAACTTCCGCTCGAGATATTCTAGTGTTAAGGCATAATTGAGGATAGAGACATCACCTCCTGGGGGCGCGCCGAAATTGGCGCGTGGCTGGACAGGAGCTGACACAGAAGGAGCTGACAAGGTCGCAAGGACCATGAGGGCAGTGTATAAATGCATGATATGTGAAACTGTTTGATCCGGACAGTGATGTTCAGACTATTATTGTGGGTGTCTCTATTCTCCAAACCAGTATCGTACAGGAAACGACGAGATCTTATAGACAGGACAACAACGGATATTTTGCACGCCATAAGTTTCTCGGGACCGGATACAACGCTTTCCAGGCATCAGAACTCAGCTGTAGACATCAATCCGTCATAGAAACTCTCATGCCACGTGAACTCAAGGTACGTTGAATGGCTGAAGATCGAACAATCCATGACGATCTTGTGTCACTCAACCCAGTTTGGACCAGACTTCGCGGCAAGAGCGGCCCGTGATGCAGCACTTGAGATACACCTCAGAGTGAAAGCTGTCGGCACGGTTACTATCGTCAGAAGCATCATGATGAGCGTTTAATGCCACGAAAATAGGAATTGATGGCCCGTGCTTCCTCTGGTGGCGTTGAGCCAACGCCGGAAGCAAATCTATCCATCAATGGTCAAAAGCATGTAGACCATAGGTGATCATTCCCTTTTTCACCCGTAAGCGGCAGAGAATTAAAGCCTTTTGTGTGGGCATTCAGGTGGAGCTACTGTGGTGGTGCAATTGCAAATGCGGAGGCTACCCCGAGATCGCCGTACCAGCAACCCATCATTTCCCTTTCGTCTTTGATGGGGAGAAGGTTGAGTTGGGGCTAGAAATGGCATCGCTCCGGCCTGGTTCTCATCCGCCGGATGTGTCGCTAGCCGAGCGGCTTAGCCTCTCACCACAAGTTCGTGTTCACAGACAACCCGGCACGGATAGAATACCTTGACCAATATCATACACCAATGAGATTCTTGCAGACTGGAAGGGAGGGCTGTACTATTGTGATGCATTTGTGAGAGTAAGAAAGGAATTGTGGGAACTCCTAGTACACATGTGCAATTAGGCTTCTCGTAAGTACCTACCTAGAGGCCAAGCAGAGCGACTACTCGATTGCTCCGGGAATTGGACCGCTGACCCCATCCCCCGGACCATCGTTCTCCTGAGGCTCTCCGCCCATCGGCCGAATCGACCGCAGATAGCGGACAGAAATGGACACCGCGATGCTCGACCTGGGGCGCTCAGAGTCCGCTTCACATCACTGCCATGAGGAATACAGTGGTACACGGCAGTTTTCGTTGTGTTAATTGAGCTCAAGCTTTATCTCAATGCCTGAGAGTCTATCACAGTTTGGATCGTAAATGATAGACTCATTCAAAGTGGCATTCTGAATAATGGGTGACATACTCATCGGGCTTGCTTCTAGTCCGTATATGTCCGAAGCCACACACGGCGCCTTCAGACCGTGACTATCGTGAACGCCAATAAGGGGCTCTTATGGCGCTTGCCGGTGGATACACAGAGGAAGAGAGATGCTTATCAAGTAATCACAGATGTTCCGAAGTCACAAATGGGGCTACGTATCTGAATTTACCCTACCTAATACACTGTGTCTTGAGCGCTTACCACCATGTGAAGGCGCCATGTATGTCCTCGGACATATACGGAATAGAAGCGAAACCACTTAACTCGAAGTATTGTAGCTGTAATAACTTAAATTAAAGAAACTCATGCACCGATCATTCATATACCTGTATACATTTAGTATGGAATGGTAGTCTTAATGGGCGTGACAAGTAAAGACCAAGCAGTATAACCCCATGATAGCTGTGCTTAACTTACTTCCGGTCAAGAGGGAATGGCAAAATGGGAAGGCATTAAAGGAGATAGAATATCTAGCAGGCTGAAGAAACATGCTTGCGCATAATATCCTCATCTAGTACCTGTATTCTTAAGAACGCCCGTCTTCGAAGACAGCTAACTACCCGTGGGCTTCGGCTTCCACTTACCCACCACTAGCGTAATAGGTACTAAAACCCCACAACAACCTAAACTTCACAACAAAAAGACAGGCTTTTCCCTATATAAAACAATACTTTTTAGTACTTTCAACTTATTATAATAAACTTAATATTAACTTAATTCTTAAAAAAGAATAAGTTTTAAAATCCTTAAGATTAATAGATTATTATATACTATTTTCTTAATAATTAGATTAATTTTAAAAAAGTTAAAATATATTATTTTAAATAAAAATAATATATAACCTTAAGATTTAATAGCTAAAAAAAAGTCTTGATAGGTTACTCTCTAAGAAGTTTATATATAAAAAAACCTCCTTTTTATTGCAAACTTTAGGCCGTTGCAGGTTTTTAGCACCCACTCCGCCAGGAGTGGGTAAGTAGAAGCCGAAGCCCACGGATAAGGGAGAAAGGGCACTAGGTTAGTTAGTCTGTTCCCATAGCTTGATGCACGCTTAATAATAAGCATTATCTATGAGTCAGAACGGCAAGAACAAACACAAGAAAGAAGCATTCCCTGGCCCGTATCATCCTTCCAATTCTCGATGACACTTTCAAGCTGCAGAAGTATTTTGGCCGTCAGGTCGAATCTAGACGCGCAACAGTCGAGAGCCCAACCGTCCAACAGTTTGTCGCACAACTCCCTGAAATAGGCTCCTGTTGTCTTCACCTGACAGCGGGACCCAGAAAAAGGATTGGCAATTAAAAGCATGCCTAGTGTGTAATTTCGAGCTGAAATGGCAGATAAAAAAACAAGGATCGATCTTATTCCCTGGGATTTTAGCTCCGAGGAGCACCAGCAGCGCATGTACCTACAACGGGTCGCATGTGGGTGGAGGAGCGATGAGATCCAACGGTGGGTTGAGCTTGGAAAGGCTGGCCAGAAGACTCTCTACTGGGTTGTGAGTAGGGCCAATCTACTTACCCAGGTATTGATATTACAACTCTGCAGACCAAGATTGCTAAATACGGACCAACAGCTGCTTGCCGAGGTCCTACCAGCACGAGACCGAGAGGCTCTGAGCTCTCAACACACTGCTGAGTTTCCGCAGGTACGCAACGAAGGTCAACAAGGCCTCAGCCCGGACATAACGCCACTTTCATATATATCTGACGCTCATCATCTAGGAGTCAGCCCCAATCGTGGACACAGCAACAACGCACTGGCAAAAGCCCCGCACACCCAGCAACCGTGCATTCATCCCCATCGGCCACGTCGCCCTGGACCTCCGCCCCGAAGAAAACGCGCACCTCAAACTCACAGACGAGGGGATTGTCTGGGTCGCGGGCCTCTACATCTCCTGGGTTCTCCATAGCCGGGGTTTCGGGCGGGAGGCCATGGGCATGGTCGAAAGCATCGCCTCCCTGGAGCCCCTGAGCGCAAAATGCATCGTGCTGGACACCATGCCTAAAGATCAGCAGATGAAGCCGGCTTTCATCGAGAAGGTGTATACCAAACAGGGGATACCCAAACCGGCTGTGCCCGTGCAGGACTGGTATGAGAAGCAGGGGTATGAAGTCTTTGCTAGGGACGTGGCTGCGTACAAGTGGGAGAACGCCACTACTGGGGAGACTGAGGATTTTGATTACCTATATTTGAGGAAGAAGTTAACTTGAACGCGCATCACTTTCACACATAGAAGGGTCCCAAGTCTTCGCAAAGTGCTTCACTGTCTAGGCTCGAGGATATTATCTGTTGGCTAGACTCTGGTTCCAATCAAGTCTGAGATGTTGGCCAACATGTGTAGTTTGCAATAGAAAATTTGCAAACCCTCTAGTCTACGATAGCTTCAACACTCGTAATTCTTCTGAATAATCCATGTTTTTCCATGTGCGTTGGAACTTCTACTCTATTTTCATCTCTGTATAATAAATAGCCTTGGAACACCGTGACGTCTGCGAAACCTCATCACAGGGATGCAGATTTGATGCACAATCAGGGCATGGGCGTAGCAACTGGTACAGCTGCAATCGTTGAGGACATGGCGAAGAGATCATCCTGTTTAAGCTCCACAGGTGACCTCGTCCAGTTCAGATGAGTCGGCAATCGGTCTCCTTATAATGATGAAGTCAGTCATCATCCTTCAAATAAAGTTTTGCATTCAAATGTTGTAATAAAAGCTCACGGAAGAACGAATCGATCCAGTCCCTCCGAGCCTGCGTAGCATTTATACCACCAAAGACCAGCATATAAATAGCTGGCGCAAGCCCAGCGATGAATGCGTTCTTGGTGAAGTTTGGGTTCTGGACGCCATGTCTAGTCAGTAAGATATCCCAACGGGCCCAAAATTTGTCTTTATCACGAAGGCGGCATCCATGCTGACAAAGCCGAAGTCTTTTCTCTTCTACAACTCCTTGAACAGCGACAATTGACTTGGGCGAAACCAAGCGATTGCATCCACCTACCTCGGCCTTGGCCATACTGGTCCGATACCTCCTAGATTCTGCAGCCGTCCGAATAGTAATTATGTCACCTTCAAACTTGGACGAACTCTGGGCCCAGATCGCCTCGTCGAAGTGGATATTGTCGCCAAAGTACAAGTCCTTGCGGGACAGTGAGCCGTCGATCTCGATGTCGTTATGGACGTTGGAATCTTCCAGGTTGAACGTAGAGCTGTTGCCGGTGGTCGAATGGGCGAGGGCGGTGTTGATCTCGCTCTGAAAAGGCTCAATCGATAGGTTCATCACCTCGAGCATGGCCTCGGCGAGCTGGGCCGGGTCGATGTTGCGACCGTCGCGGGGGATGTAGCCCTGGTTGGCCAGGGCGTTAAGGCCTGGGCATGGAGAGCGACCTGTGGCATCGTCAGCCTTGTGTGGGTGTAATGTTGGTTCAAATTTCAATGTTGGAAGGCTTACTGTCGCTTTCGGTGTGCGGGATGTATTCGTGCGGGTCGCTTGGGTATGCAACACACCTGAGGGAGAGTTCGCTCAATAGCAGGTTAACAAAGTAGAACATGTGCATTTTATGTGACTTCAAGGTTTTTTTGACGATTGAAGAATCGGGTGATCGGTAAGGACTCGGCCGACTGCTCTCGTCAAGAAATAGCCTGGATTTATGAGAAACTGACCACCTACCGTGTCTGAGACGTTTGCATGCATAATTCAATGCAGCTAGGCTCACATGAATACGCCTATACGCTCAAAATCGTTGAATACACCTTTACGCTGAATGTAACCATGGCTGTGAGTTCGGTCTTACATGAGACGGACCCGTGGCGTCTCATACACTTATACGCTCGATCCATTAATAACATGCTCAGCCGTATCGGCTGTAGCCGATATAATAATAACCTTCTCTTTATATATAGAAGTAAATAAATATAAAGAAGTATATTCCTTAATTATATTTATTCTAATTCTTTTCTCTTTAATCTATTTATTAATTTATATTTATATTATTATTAGATTATATTACTTAAAGAAATTTATTCTTTAAAAATATTACTTTATTATATTTCTTTTAATTAAAATTATAAAATAGAAGTAAATCGAGATTAGTATACATTATTACTGGACTTCCTCATCTATGAAGTCATAGCCTATCACTTAGCAAAGCCTGACCATCATTTCCGTCAGTCGGTGTCGTCACGGTAAGGAATGAGTTCGCTCCAGCAGATCATTTTTGTTGATGAAGCCGAGGACCTTCTATGCTTATACCTGCTTCCTGCCTAGCTAGTCGAGCTTCGAAAGATCGACAGCTTCTAAATCTTGGTACTCCACTACTAATCAATTAACTTTTTTTGTAATTAAAAATGGCACATAATATGCATGTGATGTCCATAGGTCTCCTCTGGGTATTCGTAAATGGGTAGGTCATGCGCTGTCCTTGCAGGGGATATGATGAGATCGGAGATTCAATTGTACATTCAAAATGCTGTCGATTTTGTAGGACTGAAAATAGAAATGTCTATAAATTATCCCGACAAATAGCCAAAAGGCCAAAAGACGAGTGGCTCTCGGTAGGTATTCTGCAGCAGCCCCTCAGATGGTGTCATGCCCTCCACATAAGGCGAGCCAGCATCGAACGTGCAACGCACCAATCAATGAAGGCTAATTGCTATGAGAGCTGCGAACCACCTAACTCCATTTTACAAGCGAGATGCTCTTATCGATGGTATCATGAGGATGCCCGTGACGAGACGCGAAGTTCTATCATCTACCATTATCTCCAGCAGGCATCGGGTCGTTCAAATAGGTGAGAGTTTCTGCTCTCACAATGTACCAAGACGAGGCGAAATCTTCGACATGTCTTCTTATCTTACTTGATTATTGCAACCTTTCGCCTATAGCTCACCATGACAGACTCGAATGGCCCAATCGCCGGCGTGTCGGCGTTGGAGCTGCCTATAGCAGCCTCTTCTTCAGGCGATGGGTCGTCGGCGGAGAAAAAGTCCCTGCGAAGGAGAATTCAGGCCGTCGTCTGGGACACATTTGAGAGGACTCCCGAGGAACGCCATTTTATTGCAAAGATTGACTTCTTCATTCTCACTTGGGCAGGTTTTACCTATTTCAGCAAGAACTTGAACACAAACAATATCTGTCAGTAAATGGTTGACAAGTTGAGTCTGCGAACTCTCAACGCTGACAGCTTCCCAGCCAATGCATATGTATCGGGAATGAAAGAAGAATTAAATGTCGTTGGAAATGAATACCAAACGTGAGCGGTCAAACCACCACACAAGAAGGTCGCGCTTGCTGAACACTTTGCAGCTTCACTACGATGTGGACAATGTGAGCGAAGAATCTTGGCAAATTTTGAAAATTCTACATGTCAACTGACAAGAACAGAGGATACGTTGTTTCACAAATACCGTCACAGATAATTTGCACCAGAGGTTGGAGCTCACTTGTGGCTGCTTGTGTGTTGTCACTAACTGTATATATAGTTCGACTTTCTGTATGGTGCCCCAGCTGGGAATGTATGTTTTATGAGAGCTTTTTAGTTTCCTTCCCTAAGGTTCTCTCCGTCTCGGACCGCTCTACGTGGAAATATCTGACTCAATCTTTGCAGTATTTTGGGTCATAGTCACCTTCGCAACTTCTGCCGTCAAAAACACTCATCAGTTATACGCCTGTCGCTTTTTGGTGAGTCGTTCGTTTTCTCTTCACAGCTCGAGGCTTGACCCAAGTTACCGACGATCAATCGATAGGTCGGACTCGCAGAAGGCACTTTCTACCCAGCGGTTCATACCGTTCTTGGAGGCTGGTATACGAAAGAAGGTGAGGAGAAAAACTTATTATCTTATCCGAGGCCGTATCATTGATACGTCCGAGCAGAACTAGCCAAAAGAGCCTGTATATTTTTTGCAAGCGCGTTTGTTGGCTCTATGTTCAGTGGATATCTTGTTCGTACCCCGAATCTGCGCCCCTCCGGTAAACGGCTTCCAATAACACGCAGAACAGCAAGCAGCCCTTTACACAGGAATGGACGGTGTTCACGGGCTCGCAGGTTGGAGATGGCTATTCGTATTTGATGGCGTTATTACATTTCCAATGGCTCTCTGGGGTAGCTTTCTCTTCCTGGAATTGTTGCAGTGAACCTATTACGATTGACATCTATCCAGCCTTCTACGCACTACCGGACTTACCCAGCAATACTCGAGTGCATTGGCTGACTGCCAAGGAGAAAGCTCTCGCTCTTGATCGAATGAAGCGGGCGGGTAAACAGCTTGAAGAACCGTTCACGTGGCAAGGACTTAAGCGTATTCTGAGGAAGTGGCATTTTTGGGTCTACACGATCTATTATACGTGAGCACAGGCCCGGAAGAAAGTTTTCGCGGGTAAACGTCTATCTGACAAGTCTTTCAGGTTCTTCATTTGCAGCGAAAACATTGGAAGCTACATGAACTTGTGGCTCAAGTCCCTTAATCGGTATATCATTTACATGGTTTCTTTGTGGAGAATTTCCTCTAACGTTACTACAGATACACGGTACCGGAAATCAACACCTACCCTACTGTCATAAACGCAATCACAATTGTGACAACACTTTGTTACGGCTGGACTAGCGACTCACTGCAGGTTCGCGCACCAATTGTCTACTTTTCACTCACAGTCTGCTTCTTTGCCGCCCTGAATTTGGCGATCTGGGATGGCGTTCCATTCGGACTTAAATGGGCGTCATTTTATCTCACCGGGTAGGTGTTCTTATCTAGGTGATTGATTGGCAACTGACTATCAAGCTTCCAGCTTCGCGCAAGGCTCGGGTCCTGTGTTTCTTGTATGTCTACCTACGTATTGTCCAATCTCGTGTGCAAAGCTGACATTAAAAAAGACCATGGTCAACGAGCACTGTGCTGGAGATAGTCTGGAAAGAAGGATCATTCTTGGCTCGACCAACTCGGTAGCGTGAGAGGACATGCCTTGCATTCTTCTGTCTTTAGTACAGACAGCCTTTCAGCACATCGCTAATTTGGCTTGCAGATACGCATTCAACGCATGGGTCCCACTGCTAACCTATAACACAACATACGCTCCGCGATTCCTGGTGGGAAACTCAATGACTGTTGTGTTCATAATATGCGCGGCGCTGACACTATCGCTCGCTATTTATCTACAGAAGAGAGATACAGTCACTGGATCTATCTACCATAGAAGCGACAGAGGAGGACATTATTTGAATTATTCAGAAAATAGGAGAGGCAATGATAGTACTCAAAGTTGATTTAGAATCAAGGTCCTAGGTCACTATGATATAAATCCAGTCATTTGTGGTCAGGAAGGCCACAGCTACTTCTCAAATGTGTTCCCAAGGGTTATTTATATAGTATAGGAACGATTAGTTAGGTACATGACCAAACAATAGAACATTGATTCTAGAGACACAATGTATTATGTACCCTCAGTGAGAAGTCCCGAATCTCGTCCTGGTTATCATAGGTCCTCCTGTTTTCAACTATCAGCGCAGACTTCTCGGATTCAAGGGCAGTCAAGGATTACGAGGACTTTGTCGACTACAATAACGACATCTATCGCGACAGCATCGGCCATGGAACATTGATCGTCCGTCTGGTCCAGCAAATATGCGGCGCCGCTGATGTATACATCTCGCATAAGGGAAAATGCCGCCATGACCATCAAACCCTATCATTGCTAACCCAGGTACGTCGCAGCATGTCACCATAGAAAAGCGATCGCAACGTAGTTACCTTCTGACTACAATAGGCAATTGACCATGCCAGAGAGGCCTGGGAAGTTGATGTCATCGTGATCCCCTCAGAATTCCAAGCCGAGTACGAAGACATGCTTCAGGCCATCGGAAGGGCAAAACAAGCTCACATCCTTGTCTTCGCTGCTATAGGGACCTGACGCATATAGCATTTCCCAGCCGCCTGTATAAGTCCGGAGTGCTATTCTACATGTTCTCCACGAATGCAGAGGCCCGCTGCTTCCCCTACTTCAACCCTACAGCCATGCCGGCTGCGATTGACAGCTTTGCGGTCCTGGGGCAGGACATCGCCCTGCCCAACGTCACTAAATCCATATCGCACACATCCTTTTCTACGGCGATCGGGGCAGCACTGGCGGTTCTGCTTCTGGACTTTTCAGGGCATCCTGATAGTCGGATGAGGACACGTCGTCCGCAGCATCTCCGTCGGGTTGAAGGGATGGCGGCTTTGTTCTCGAGGATGTCGAGGACGGGGCTGGATAATGGATATAGGTGCATCGTACCGTGGGAGCTAATACCATCTGACTGTCATGAAAATGAGGGTGGCAACGTCGTGCGGGAGCGATTTTTGTGATACGATTTCGGATACTTTGGGCAGGATATGGTAGTCCTGGCCTCTGTCTCCTTTTTGAACTTCAACAAGTCGTGAATATTTCATGATTACTATTCCCTCGCATAAAAGCGGGCCAGTAGTTAAATACCATATTCAAACTGGCACTAGTCAATATGTGCGACAACATCATAAAGGGGTTGTTATGTGTTAAAGTAACGCATTTGTTTTTGTTTGGGGTTCTCAACTTGTCAAATAATTGAATGCGCTGGGATGACCTAGATTCATTGTAGATGACAGACAGGTGTCGGGAGTTGATGGCTCTAAGTACCTTGTGGACTCCTTATTTTTCTTACTTTTACTTCACGGATTTAATTCGTCTCCTTTCCTTGATCTGGCTTGACTACGGCCTATCGTATTTCATTAGCATGGTAGTGTGGATTCCTGCTGTCTTTTTATCTACCTAGGTAGGTACAGAGCCGGTTCTACTGGTGTGGATTATAAACGCACTTTGAAGTTGACTAATATACTTTGCTGCACAAGGAGAAGTAAGAGGAGATATAATTCAAAAGGTCAGACCCTTTGTTTCGCTTCTTATTTCTCATATGCTTAATTTATTTTACTAACTTTTCTGCCCTTAACACGCCTTGTCAAGGATGGACCTTTCTAATTCCACTCATGGGCTTTCATGGAAACCGTCATGTTACTTACATATGTAAATATGGATTCCAAACTCTACAGCTCATCCTTTGAACTGGATCCACCTGTACCCAATGTGACCTTGCTGCCAGCGATACGATCGAAGGTCCTATGCGTGAAGTCCCAGACAAGCTTGTTGACGCCCTTCTTTCTCATTGACGATAGCACGTATTCGTTATCAGTCGTCTCCCCCAATGGGTCGACGAGAAAGATGCCGCCGCCAGACTTTTGGGCGGCATTGAGGCCCTGTGGCGTCGGCACCAGGCCGCTACGGACTCCATACCGGTCACTGGTAGCCAGGAAGAGACCGCGTGCACCTGACTCAACCTGACTCATCTGGTTGGGGGGGCTCATGCCAAACTTGGCAGCCCTGGCCAAGCCAGGCGTGGACACAGGGCCCGGGAACCAGTGGAGGATGCTCAGCTCTGGGTTCTCTTGGGCCACGTGTTCGAGGCAGAGCGTGTGCATGGTAGAGGCGTGGCTGGACGACGTCATGAAATGCCAGTTCCGCGGGTCCTTGACGTCGAGGTCTTTGACGTTGAGCTCCCGCTCCAGGCCTCCGGCCAAGACGGTCAGGACCCGCGGGACCGGCGCGTTCTTGAGCAGGGGCAGCAACTGCTCGACCGCCCGTTGGCGCGAGTAGTAACGTGTTGTCATGGAGGGCTCCAGCCCCTCGCTCGTGTCCTTGCGGCCCTCGAAGGCCATGAAACCCGAGGACATTACGAGCAGGTCCAACTTGCTCTCCTTTTGGGTGATCTCCTGGACTATCTTGTCCACCTCGGCCACGAGCGAGACGTCAGCCTTGATGAGAGAGATATTGGCGGTTGGGCTGGAGTGGCGCAGGGAATCCAACAGGGTCTCATGTGAGCCTACTGTCTGCGGGCGAGCGACAGTATAGATTCGTGGTGACTGTGGCGCATTTTGAACGAAGTGCTGCAAAGTACTCTGTCCAATGCCTGAGGTCGAGCCGATGAAGAGCGCAACAAAGCCTTGAGGGATTACCGACGATATGCGAGCGTTCGATTGCTGTACCGTCTTGTAAGAGACCATTTTGTGCAAAAAGAAATTCTGAATAATAAAATGCGTATCTAGACTAATTAAGTAGGTAAAAACAAGACCGGTTGTAACTCACTTAACATTATAAGGGCATTTCTCTTTCACAAAGGAATGCTCGGCCTACGGACGGACATCTTTCAATCGGGCTAATAATTAAGAGAGAGCTAATTAATTTATATTCATATCCTAGAGTGATTACTAGGGCTGCGGGGTAGAAGTAAGTATATAATTATCTAATAGGAATATATATAGCTAATAAATACCTAATCCTCCTTATTTACCTATATAAATATATATATTTAAATATATATTTATATATATAATATTACTTTATATAACTTTATAAATCTAATTAAATTATAAAATTTAAATTAAATAAATAATAATAAATTTAAAAAGAAATTTAAAAATATTTTAAATTTTAATATTTATATATTTAAAATATATATAATATTTTATATAATAATAAATACTTAAAATTTAATATTTAAAATAAATAATATTAATATTAATTAAAAATAAAAAATATAATATATTATAAATATATAATTTTTAATTTTATATTATATAAATAAAATTAAAAATAAAATATTTAAAATTATTAATGTTTAAAATTTTATTATATTATATTTATTTTTATATTATATAATTATTAATTTTTTAAATAATTTAAAATTTATATATAAAGTTTTTAATAATTTTATATATATTAAATAATTTTTTTATAAAAAACTTTAAATTGTTTTTATTATATTTTTTATATTATTAAAAATTTAATAATTATTAATATTAAAAATATAAAATTAAAAATAAATTTTTCTTTTTAATTTTTTATAAATTATTTTAAAACTTTTTTAAATATTTTAATATTTTATTATAAAATTTAAAAATAATATATTATAAATTCTTTTAAATTTATATTAAAATAAAAATTATATTTTTAAATAAATATTTTTAAATATTAAATTAAAATTTATAATAATAATTATTTAATAAATTTTTATTTAATTAATTTATATTATTATAATTTAATTTAATTCTATTTAAATTTTTAATATTTATTTTTAAAAATTAAATTTAAAAAACTTTTAAATTTAAATTAAAATTTATATAAATTTCAATTTATTTTAAATTAAATTTATAATTTTTAATTTTAATAATATATTAATTATTTTAAATATTAATAATTTTTTTAAAATAAAATTTATTTTTATATAATTATAAATTTAATTATTAATAATTATTTTTTTATAAAATTATTAAAATTATAAATTTAAATAATAAAATATAATTATTTTATTTAAAATTATATTTTAATTTAATAATATAATAAATTAAATAATTATTTTTAAATAATTTTATTTAATAAATATTTATTTAAATAAAATTAAAAATTTTAAAAAATAATAATTTTATTTTTATTATTTTTAATTAATTTATATTTAAATTATAAATTATATATATTTTTAAATTTTTATTAAATTATAAATAAATAATTAAAATTTTTAAAAAATATAATATAATATATTTTTAAATTTAATTTAATTAAATTTATTATATAAAATATTTTATAATAATTTTATAATTATTTATAATATTATTTATTATTAAAAATATTTTTATATTAATATATTAAATTATATTTAATTTATTAAAAATTAAAATTATTATAAATTATAAATTATTTAATTTTAATATTATTAAATATTATATATAATATTATTATAAATTATAAATTATTTATATTTTTAATTTTATTATTAAATTAAAATAAATAATTAAAGTTTTAAAGAGATAAAATATAATATATTTTTAAAAATCAATTTAATTAAGTTTATTATATAAAACTTTTATAATAATTTTATAATTTATTATATTTATAATACTATTTATTATTAAAAGATATCTTTTTATATTAATATACTAAGCTATATTTAGTTAATTTAAGTTAATATTATTAACTTTAATATAAATTAATTTATTAAAAGTTAAAACTATTATAAATTATAAGCTACCTAATTTAATATTAATAAGTATTATATATAAATATTAAATTTACTATATAATTAAGTTATATATAAATATAAATTAATTAAAATAAATAAAAATAAAGCTATTATTTTTTAATTAAAATTTTAACTTTATTTAAATAAATATTTATTTATTAACTTTATAAATAAAACTACTTAAAAGTAGTTACTTAATCTACTATATAACCTATTAAATTAAGAAATAATTAAATAAGGTAATTATATTTTATTACTATATATAATATTTAAATTTATAATTTTAATAACTTTATTATAAATAAAAGAAAAATAGCTATTAATAATTAAATTTATAATTATATAAAAGTAGACCTTTATTTTAAAGAAAAGTTATTAATATTAAAAATAGTTAATATATTTTTAAAAATTAAAAATTATAAGTTTAATTTAAAAATTAAAATTTATAAAAATTTTAAATTTAAATTTAAAAGTTTTAATTTAATATTTATATTTATAAAAATAAAATATTTTATATAACTTAAAAAAGTTTAAATTAAATTAAAAATTAAAATTAAAATTATAATAAAAAAACTAATTAAATAAAAATTAATTAAAAATTATAATTATAAATTTTAAATTTATATTAAAAAAATATAATATTATTATATAATTTAAATTTTTAAATTAATTAAAATAAATAAAAATAAATATTATTATTTTTAAAAATATATATAAATTTTAATTTTATTTTATAAATAAATATTTATTAAATAAAATTATTTAAAATAATTATTTAACTTATTATATTATTAAATTAAAAAGAATTAAATAAAATAATTATATTTTATTATTTATATTTATAATTTTAATAATTTTATAAAAGAAATTATTAATAATTAATTTTTAATTATATAAAATAAACTTTTATTTTTAAAAATTAAAATTTATAAATATTTTAAATTTAATTTTAAAATTTTTAAATTTAATTTTAAATAAAATATTAAAAAATTAAAAATTAAATAAAATTATAATATAATAAAATAATTAAAAATTAATTAAAATTTTATAATTATAAATTTTAATTTTATATTTAAAATATATTTAAATTATATATTAATTTTATATATAATATTTAATAATATTAAAATTAAATAATTTATAATTTATAATAATTTTAATTTTTAATAAATATAATTTAATATATTAATAAGAAAAATATTTTTAAAAATAAATAATAATATAAATATAATAAATTATAAAATTATAAATTATTTATATTTTTAATTTTATTATTAAATTAAAATAAATAAATAAAATTTTAAAAAATAAAATATAATATATTTTTAAAATTTAACTTAATTAAATATATTATATAAAATTTTTATAATAATTTTATAATTATTTATAATATTATTTATTATTAAAAATATTTTTATATTAATATATTAAATTATATTTAATTTATTAAAAATTAAAATTATTATAAATTATAAATTATTTAATTTTAATATTATTAAATATTATATATAATATTATTATATAATTTAAATAAATATAAATTAATTAAAATAAATAAATAAAATTATTATATTTTTAATTAAAATTTTAATTTTATTTAAATAAATTTTTATTTATTAATTTTATAAATAAAATTATTTAAAATAATTATTTAATTTATTATATTATTAAATTAAAAATAATTTTTAAATAAAATAATTATATTTTATTATTATATATAATATTTAAATTTATAATTTTAATAATTTTATAAAAATAATTATTAATAATTAAATTTATAATTATATAAAATAAATTTTTATTTTAAAAATTAAAATTTATAAATTTAATTTAAAATAAATTAAAATTTATAAAAATTTTAAATTTAAATTTAAATTTTTTTAAATTTAATTTTTTATAAACTTTTTAAAACTTTTAAAAAAACTTAAATAAAATTAAAAATTATAATATTATAATATAATAAAATAATTAAATAAAAATTAATTAAAATTTTATAATTATAATTTTTAATTTTATATTTAAAAAAATTATAAAATTATTATAAAAGTTTTTATATAATAAATTTAATTAAATTAATTTTTAAAAATATATTATATTATATTTCTTAAAATTTTAATTATTTATTTTTATTTAATAATTAAATTTAAAAATATAAATAATTTATATATTTAAATAAAAGTTTTATTATATATATATATATATATTTAAATATAAAATTAAAAATTTATAAATATAATTTTTAATTGATTTTTATTTTAATTATTTTATTATATTATAATTTAATTTAATTTTTAATTTTATTTAAAAAATTAAAATTTATTTAAAAACTTTTAAATAAATTAAATTTAAATTAAAATTTATTTAAAAACTTTTAAATAAATTAAATTTAAATTAAAATTATAAATTTTAATTTTTTAAAAATATATTAACTATTTTAAATAATAATAACTTTTTTAAAATAAAATTTATTTTTATATAATTATAAATTTAATTATTAATAATTTTTTTATAATTTTTAAAATTATAAATTTAAATAATAAAATATAATTATTTTTAAAAATTATATTTTAATTTAATAATATAATAAATTAAATAATTATTTTTAAATAATTCTTTTATAATATAATAAAGTAAATAAATAAATATTTATTTAAATAAAATTAAAATTTTAAAAATAATAATTTTATTTTATTTATTTTAATTAATTTATTTAAATTATATAATAATTTTATATATAATATTTAATAATATTAAAATTAATTTATAATTTATAATAATTTTAATTTTTAATAAATTAATTTATATTAAAATTAATAATATTAATTTAAATTAATATAATTTAATATATTAATATAAAAAATATTTTTAATAATAAATAATATTATAAATATAATAAATTATAAAATTATTATAAAATATTTTATATAATAAATTTAATTAAATTAATTTTTAAAAATATATTATATTTTTTTAAAAACTTTAATTATTTATTTTTAATTTAATAATAAAATTAAAAATATAAATAATTTATAATTTATATATATATTATTTATATTTAAATTTAAATATTTAAAATAAATTAAATTTTTAATTAAAATTTTTAATATAATTTATTATATTTTTATTTTAATTATATTATTTAAATATTAATTATTTTATAAATAAAACTTTAAATTTAATATAAAATATTTTAAAATATTAAAAATATTTTTTTATTTAATAATATTTTTAATTATATTAAAATTATATTAATAAAATAAATATAATATATTTATTTTAATAATAATTATATAATAATTTTAATATTATATAATATTTTTATATTATTAATATAATTTTAATATTATAAAATATAAATAAATATAGTAATTTATTTCTTTAAATAAAGTTAGAATATTATATTAATAGATTAATATTAATAGATTTTTAGCCTTATAATTTCTATAATATTATTAGCTTTAATATGTTAGTTAGGGGGGGGGGCGGATGTGGGGGCTAGACTAGAGTTATAAAGAAGCACAAGCTGTGGGAGGGTTCTACTATTCGGCCTAATTCACAGGGGATGACAAATGAGCCAATAGATGACGGAAGGATTCGGACTTTTCTATCTTGTCCGATTGCCCTGACTGTCCGGTCAAGGTAACTCGTTACTTTGCTACCCAAGTATCTCTGAGGCTCCATTGGTTCTCCATTGGTTTATTCCCAGGCGCACGTCCTCACTTATTGATGGGCCCGGGCAATCAGACTTCAAGGTTTACAGAATCCCATGACCATTTTGGGCCATACTAGTATTCGTAGTATAATTTTCCACTCACCATGCCTCCGATTGCAGGCCAGTCAGTCCCTACTCATCATTGGCGGCTCCTCCGGCATCAAGATGGGGCCTAGTACGCTGAGAATCACAATGCTGCGGATATGGACGCCCATGTTTGTCCCCTTCAGGCTATAGATGCTCATACAACACCTCGGTGTCGGCAATTCCTGCCCAAATCCAACAAAGTAGGAAGATCCCCAACATCTTTCTCTCCCCCATCAGGGTCATAGCCCAGACAAATATCCCAGCTCCGAGGTTTCTTCCGGTGGCGACGGGCATAAGCACTCACGCCTCTGGAGAAGCAGACGCTAGGCCGTAAATATCCGCCACTTCGCGACAATTTCAATCAAAGAGGTTCATTTTTTTGTATGAGTGTAACGTGGTGAGATACTTAAGTTTGAGAATATCTATGAAAGTCCCAAGAATACCGGAGTATATCAACAGTGAGCCAACGATCATGCAGGTGCCGTCCAGCAGTTGAGGGAAGTAGGTTGTCAAATTCTCCAGAGCAATGACATCTGCAGGTGCATCAAAATCACCTTGATAGAAAAGAAGAAGATAGATACTACATATATCAATTGAGATTTAGATGCGCCCGGGGGCATTTGACTAGATGTATCTTGCTCCGAGATCCGGGCTGTCTCGGGTTAGGCGCAGTCAGTCAACTCAGTGCTTTTCAAAACCCCCAGTGATGCAACGCAAGATGTACACTGTTGATCACTATTGCAAGCTCCGCAGTACTGGATCTTGCAACAAGACTTGCGTGTCCGTAAAGTAGCTTGTGTCATAGACCCATTGGAGCTTTGAAAAATGGGGCAGGACTCGGAGTATTTGGTGACCCAGCACGATCCCGCCCGGGACCGGCGAACAGCAAAGGAGGCGGGCAAGTTGTTACGCGCTCGAAGCACGAGGCAGAGCGTAGACAGCACGGCACACTGCTCTCGTGCCAGAGCCAGACGCTCCGGGGCTGGCTGGTTCCTTGTCCACCCCGAGAGAAGAGACAATTCGTACCTCAGAACCGCCGTGTCTGTGCAGGAAACCCAAGCCACCCGCTCGCTCACTTCAGCCCCATGACCATCAGGAACATCTCCCGGTGCTCGGCCCCGGAGATCCCCCGCGCCATCTCGCCCAGGCTCTCGACCTCGCGGGTGCCCGTGCCGTGCTCAAACGCCCAGGCAGCAGCGCCAGCGCCAGCGCCCTCGCCAGCGCCCTTTCCACCCTCCCCCTCGTCGCTGCTGTCATACCGCACCTGGAACGCCTGCCACCTCTGCGCCCTCAGCTCGCCCACGTGGCCGTCGACGGCGTCCCGCGGGCCGGAGAAGACCATGGCGCCCGGGTGCCCGGGCCTCGTCAGCCCGGAGACGCCGGCCGCCGGGCCCAGCGCGAGCTTGCGCTTGTTTGTGTTTAGGAGGTGGTGCAGCCAGATGACCACCGTCTTGCGGGGCTGGGGCTGGGGCTGGGGCTGCTCCCTACTGCTACTGCTGCTGCTGTGTTCCAGTTCCGCCCGCGGGGCCGCTGGGCCGTCTGGACCGCTCCCCGCCGAGTCGTTGATCAAATCCTGGAAGGCGAGGAGGTACGCATCCAGCACCTCCTCGCCCTCGCCCTCGCCCACGCCAAGTCCCCTGAACGCAGCCGACACCTGCGCCCGGGCGTCCTGGCCCCTAGCGTCCCTTGCTGTGATGAGGTCCGGCGGGCCACTGGCTGGGTAGGTATCTGGCAGCCTGAGGACGAGAACTCCCTTGCCAGCAACAGGACCATCGCCTTCGCCGGGGGCGGGTGGTGTGTACTTTAGCTCGCGGCCCTTGGGGTCGAAGGCGATGCTCTCCGGGTACATGGCCTCGAGGAGCGCTAGCTCGTTGCCCAGGCGCTCCTCTGCCTCTTCTGCTAGTGTGGGCATTTCACTCCCATAGGTCTCTGGTCTGGTGTAAGAGAGGCCCTCGCGCTGTGGTTCAAAAGGGGTGGGGAGGCCGGATGGTAATCCGTTGTTTGGTGCTGAGGGTAAAGGGAGGTAGGTTATGATGTAATTCGCGGTGCTGCTATTAGCCAATATTTGAGGTCTTCTGCCCAGTGGACCAACCCTCAGCCGTGGTACATGTACCTTTAACATGCATCTCGTCTTCGACTCTGACTTTCATCGTGCTTTTCTAGAAGTTGGGCACTTTTTCATCGCAGCATTTCCACTGTCGTTGACTCGAAGTGCTCGTTGTAGTCAAGTCCAGAAGAGAGCCATTATGTCATCACCGCGCCCAGAATGTAGTATTCCCACACCAGACGGCGCGGAATATTTCCGGAGGAGTACTACCAGTTGACATCTACAACACATCACAAGAACTTCAGTCTGCATTGTCTCAGAATAGTGACTCGTACATACAGGACAAGGCCAGATCATCAGGGGGAAAGGCGTGGGGTGGGGGTCGAGCACGGTAGTGGCTGACACGAAATAAGCTCCCGAGACGTTTGAGTGCCATTTTGACCTCGCGGGGTGTTCTGTCCTAGTCACTCGCATATGCGTCTATCTGATATCCTCCGCTAATGATGCATCCGGAGCCAGCAGTAAGTATCCAGCAAGAAAGAGTGCGCCGCTCCCAAGACTCCAATATTCCAAGTGTAAGTAACTTCAACCCCCCCATTCATGTAATCATTTCGTCACTCATGCGTATATGTGTATATGTGTCTTCCATCCATGCAAATTGCCTCGCAAATGCGCTGTGTGCTGTGCCAACGGTCGTGAGTGTAATTACGCTCTCATCTAGGCTCACCACGTTTCGGGCCCAAAGCGACCACCCTCGGGGACGGTGTTGTAAGAGCAGGCCTGCCAGTCGCAGCCTTGCTTGTACACCTCCGTGCCCCACCAACTGAAGTTCTTGGTCCAGCCAGGGTAGATAAGGCCAAAGAAGACCACGACGATGCCAAACGCGAGCCCAGAGTCCAGGGCTGCACTCAACGTCATTGTGTATTTGGCCCACCACGCCTGTGCCCTATTCTTGATCAGGTAGTTGAAGAAGTAGCAGACAACGGCCCAGACCGAGAAGTTGAGGCCAGTCGCAGGCGGTATCCAGCTCAAAGAACCAAACAGTACCGGGAGGTTGATCTTGCGAACGATGCTCTTCTTTTTGTTTCGGCTGTAGAAATACAGTGGGATCGGTGCGACCGCCCCCAGCAGGAAACACCAGACCAGCGGTCGGTAGGTCGCGTTGGGCCCGAAGAACTCGGCAGGTCCGACAACACCCCAGAGAATGGAACCGTTGAAATGAACTCTGGCAAGTGGACACGTGAAGCCGTTGATCGCCTCGGGAGTGCAGATGCCAGGAACATTGACAAACATCCAGTTCAACACCCCAATCTGCGTCAGAGACGAGATAATCGTCGCCACCATCTGGACCCAGAATAAGGTCCTGGGCGGGATCTTCATGTAGTGGCCGAGTTTGAGATCAGCCGCAAACTTGATACCCTGAGAGGACGAGATGTAGCCGTAGGTGACGAAAACCATGTTGGCAACCGGGCGACCCGGGAAAACAGCCCCGCAGACCAGTTGGCAAATCAGGTAAATACTGCTGTGCTGGTTGGTGACCGCCATGATGATGCCGATGGGGATAAAGAGAATGGTGCAAATCCCCAGCGCAAGCAGAAGCCCGTACCAAGGGAGATGGATTGGGTAGTACTCGACGACAAATATGCCCACCACCAGCATCGTAGCGAAAGTGATCAGATACCATGTGATCGGGGCATCCTTGTACCGCTTCATCAACCGATTGTGGACATCCTCCCGGTTCATCAAGCCCTCCAGGCCAGAATTTGAGTTCGACATGGACATGCTTCTGCGTTGTCGCACGCCGTTCTCATTCGGCCTTCGGCCCGCTGAATCTCCTGGTTCGTTCGCAAGTGGCTGATACGCAGCCTTTGATTCGTCCTTCGCCTCCTTCAGGGACCTGGTCCACTGTGTCCAAATGTCGTGCCCATGCCAGCAAGCCGTGTGAGTGAGCAATGCTGCCAGCCCAGCAAACTGAACACCGTAGCTCAGGACATATGTGATGGGGAGGAAGACTCGGCTGTAGTTCTGGTATGCCTCCTTGTCAAACAGAAAATCTTTTGTTAGAATTTTGCTGACGTCGTAGACCTTGCCGGTATTGTCGAACACGGCTGCCGAAAGAATAGGCATGTACGAAGAGTACAGCCAGTTGCTGTAGTATGCAATGGGTGCGATGATCCACATGACAAGGACCAGTCCACCGACGACGTTCATGGCAGCCCAGAAGGGCGTGAGCAAAGGGCTCCCGATATAGGCTATCTGAGCCCAGTCGAACGTGACAGGGAACAGCCCGAGGCCGGACGTGACACCAAAGAGGTTGGCTACCACGACATTCTTCGGCGCGAACCATGTGAGAACGTTGAAGTAGCTCAAGCACGGCATCAACAGACCCGGGAAGAAGTAGAAGAGGAATGACACGGTCCAGACGACGTAGAAGAAGTTCCACCGGCTTATGCGCCATCCGTCTGCCGGTTTGTTCTCCTCCTTGTGAAGGGTCGTGAACATGGCGGCCGACATGAGCGTGCTCGGCCAGATCATGCCGCTAGGTCGAACCAAGAAGCGCCTCGTCAAGCCAGCGAACGCGTAGCCCAGGATTTGGGTCGACAGGGTCAGGAGTAGCTGGTAGACGATGCTGGCATCCTGTTTGTAAAACTGCGTTTGCTCGACAATATCATCGGTGGCGAAGGCAAAGCCGAAAGAGACGTTGCTGCTAACATAGACACAGGCATGCTCCTTCTCGTTCCACCGGCCTTGCGCCAGCCACAGTCGTAGACGGCCAAGTCTTGTTCGCGGGGTTGAGTTGAGGACAGGGTCGTCCTCATTCAAGGGCACGGTCGAGGATCCGGCGCCACCAGACAGATTACCGTCGATGAACTCCTCGGGAGGATCGTCGCGACGCTTCAGAGTCAAGTCCCAAAGCAGGCCGAGAGGATGAACAAGTAACAACGCTATGACAGGCGTAATGGAAACACTGGGGTATCTCAAAGAAAAGAACAAGTTGGTCGAAGATCCAAGAATTGAAAACAGAACGCTGAGAGTCCACATGCGAGGTGTTGATATCGACAGGGTCGTGTTGTCGTAGGGAGCCACTGAAGCGCGGACTTGTGGGTAGGGCGAGTTGTCGGGAGGGTCCTCGTCGTCGTCCGGTGGTATTGAAACGCCAACACTGTCGTCGTCCTCATCTTCTGACCCGGAATTCTTTGGGTCGGCGAGCACGTCGCTTGCCAAGGACGACTCGGTCACCGCATATCGGCCCTCTATCCCGCCGACTACTGTGGAGCTGGCCAGCTCTTCTGACGAGCGCGAGAGGCGGCCCCGTGACACGGATTTCCTCAGCGACGAGTGGGACTTGGCTGGTCTTGTAGTACGCGTATCACCACCGCGGCTGTCCCCGTCGCTGGAGCCCTCGCCTGCGTCATTGCTGGCCTCGGAGGCGGCCGGGACGTCACCCGCGGAGCCGAGCGGCACGGCACCGTAGGATGGCGAGCGGAAGCCTGGCGAGGAGCGCAGGAAGGGCGGGGCCTTGTTTAGGAGTTGCATGGGGAGCTGGTCGGAAGGTCGAGCGGCGGCGACATTCGAGCTCTCGTTGTCAGTGTCTCCTCCAGAATGAGCAGAGTGGGTGTCGGTGTCTGTGCCATTTGAGAGGTCGCAAGAGGCATCCGGGGAGGCAGGAGCGGAGGATGGGTCGGTTTTGAGGATGGAAGAAGGGTGGGATGGTGGGTCGGAAACGGCAGGCAGCGGATTGTCCCGCAGCTGTGACAGAGCAGGCGTGGGAGTGGGACGGTGACTTGACGACCCCGGCAGAGGGCGCAAAGGGATTGGGATGGAGTGCAGCTGATGAGGCTGGATCTGACCGGCAGCAGCGGTGGCACGGGGGTCTGAGTCTGAACCCAAGTCAAACCCAGGGGTACCCTCCGTGTGCGTGCCGCCTTGATGCGTCATATGCGACGAAAGGCAAGGCGAACGAACAGGAAGAACTAGCAGTACTGTGCAGAGATCTTATCTGATCCGCCGATAGGGGAGGGGGCAAGCAAGTGCAAGTGCATGCAGCGCGCAGGACGATATGCGGCCGCTGGGAGGGGGGGTGTACCTGCAGTCTGCAGCCACAGTCGGTGGAGCTGATGGGTACCGCGCGTGGTAGGAAAGTCTTGATTGTCGACACGAGGCCGAGGGGCGCTTAGCGCAAGTATTGGCAGCCGACGGACGCGATGAAACGTAACGTAATGGCATGGGCCTGGACGAGAGACGAGGCGTGGGATGTGCACCAGCTGACAGGGTACTGCGGCAGCAGGGGCAGTAGCGAGCAGGCGAGGCAGCAGGATTGCAGCTGTCTGATGACTTTCTGACACGGAAATTGCAAGACTGGCCGATGGTGGCAGGCAGGCAGGCAGGTGGTAAGACTAGCAGTGCTGCTAGGCCGGGATTGACATGCACGACCGTGTATGCGGTCGTCCGAAAGTGACCGATAGAGAGCGACAAGAGGCGACTAATAATTCGTGGCAGCCCAGCCAGCCACCTGGGAGAAGATACAGCTGGAGCCCAAGATGGGGCGATAGACGAGATGCCCGCCTCGCGTTCAGCACTGTGTGACGATGACAAGGCTGGGTGTGGCTGCTGTAGACCTGCTCCGTACAAGCTGTACCAGGGCTGACAGGTCGGCCTTGGATGCGAGGAAGTCGAAGCCAGCAAGTCAGTTGACACGACAGCAACAGCACATGCTAATTCTTAACCGTCTGAACCTTGTTACCTACCGTCAGTTGCTGGCGGATGTGGCGGGTGTGCTTGTAAAAAGAGAACCCTGCCACCTCGTCTCCCGTCAGCCCTCCCAGCCCGTCTCTGGCATGCAACCTTGTTGATGTGATTGATAAGATAACTCAGCTCTCCCTCCCACTCCATCGCATCATTGTGCCGAGGAAAGGGCACTCCCGTCATCCGACGTCCGATGGTCGCAGTCCTTTTTTGCCGTCGTCTCATTTCAATCCAAACACCCACTTACACGGTACATGCTTCGGCAAATATGTGTGATAGATACATCCACTAGCCAGGTGTAAGTGCTTGCATCGTGCGAATAGCCATAGTCGCCTAGGTATCTATCTTCACATATCCGAGCAGACCCCCACGACAGGGAAATCCACGTTGCGGGTACCGGCCTCAGAAAACGAAATCTCTTCCCGCTGAGTCACTCACTCACTCGCTCTGCTTCTTACTCAACCGCACTCGGTTAGATACACAGGACAGCAGTGCATCAGGAACAAGGTGTGGCTTGTCGCCAACTTGCAGCCAACCTCCAATATCCACAACGAACGGGCAGGGGGACGAGGCGAACTACCAAGCTGCGACTTGTTTCCCGCCCCTCCCACCTTTGCAGGAACCTGATCTACAGTACACCAACTGCGACTTCGGAAGGAAGCCAGCCACACCACAACACACCAACCTTCTCTTCCCACAGCATTGCACCAATGAGTGGGAAACCCAAAGCCGTAGAAATGAACGCCGCCCTGTTCACTGCCAAACAGCAGCTGCGCTCTGCCATGAAGCAGAAGCTGGCTGCTCTCCCGATGGAGGCCGTCAACGAGCAGAGTACGTCTGGTTCTACGTGGCCTGGGAGGCCATTGGCGACGTGCATGAATATTTCAAGTGCTGAGTAGGAAATAGGCCATGTCATTCACACCAAATTGCTCGCCTTCGAGCCTTACCTTGGTGCAAAGCGTATTAGTGTCTTCCTTTCGATGCCTTCCGCAGAGGTCCAGACCGATGCTATCGTCCAGCACGCTCTGGCCCTGGGGAAGCAGGTATTTGTTCCTTATCTGCACAAGTCCCCTTTGCCTACAGCAGGCAGCACCACACCGACGAGGGTGATGGACATGGTCCGGCTCGACAGTCTCCAGGATTACCAGTCTCTCAAGCGTGACAAATGGGGCATTCCAAGCATAGACCCTGCCACAGTCCATTCGCGGCAGAGGATATTGGGTGGTTCCGATGCACATCACTCAGACGAAGCTACTCTGGACCTGATCCTCATGCCCGGGGTCGCCTTCGACGTGGCCCCCGGGTCCAAGGACGTCAGACGGCTCGGGCACGGCAGGGGCTTCTATGACTTCTTCCTCGAACGGTATGCGGAGAAACTGCAGGCGTTGAACCAACAAGGACCTTCTGTATTGCTCTATGGCCTGGGCCTCAAGGAGCAGTTCCTGTCCTCTGCGACGGACGAGGTTCCTGTCGGGCCGTATGATCAGCCTCTGCACGGGCTGATCTTGGGAAATGGAGACATCAAGACAGCCGTACCGGTCCTTTCCTGAACTCCAACCAGTATGCTCCGCTCCCTGGCGTCGGCTCCCAATCCTTAGGCTATTCGGGATGAAAAATCTCGACTGTGCGATTGTCCGCACGGATATCTCGTCGCTCAATATTGTACCATTCACTTTACCCCGACAAGCTCTGGATCAGAGACACGTTATCACCTTTCAACAGGATTTGACCTGTGGCAGGGTTAGCTCAAATCAAACCAACTGTACCAGGCAGCAGGAACAGCTGCATACCCAGGTTCTTCCTCTCCTCCTTATCATTCGTCTTCGTGATTTGCTTGACCTCAACTGCGTCGTCGATCACCAGGTTCATGAACTCGTCGAATCCTCGGATCTTGCCTTCTATGCGGATGGCGAGCTGTGGCAACAATGAATCAATTAGCATGATACCTAAAAGTCTGGGCAGTGGTTGGGTAGCAGAATCCTCCAGGATGACCAGGATCAGACATACCTGCTCATACAGCCATATCTGAACAACTGAGTGCTGCTGGAGAAGCTTGAAAATGAAGTTGATGGGCGGGAGCAGCACTCGGCGACCGCCTCCACCTGCTCTTCCGCCTCCGCGTCCCGTCATGGTTGTGGATTTGCTTGTTCGAGGTCGGTGTGAATGAGACTCGGGTGTTCGACGGCAGGTCGTTCGGTTTCGAGAGCCAGATGTCGATGGCTGGGGAGCTGTCGCGTGGAGTTGGTTACCTAGGTTGTGTTGCGCGCAGCCTGTCGCGAAGTTCAGAGCTGGGCGACCGGGATGCCTGCCGCCTAACGGAAAGTGGCGCTAAAATTATTGCTGGCCCAAACACAGGCCGCCAGAGGTCGCGAAAGCTGGCCAGAGGTCCAAGGCTGGGATGGCCCCTGCTGTCATCCGCCGCCCAGATATAGCGTACGGTGGTGTGTACATGCAGCTGCAAGCAGAGAGGACCAAGGCGACAATCTGACGTTGAATTTCGGAGGGGCACGCCGCCGCCGCCTTCTTCTGGACATTTGCTACCAAAGACAACCACAACCCAACCCCACGACAGCAAACCTGCACTGCCTGGTCTTCTGCCTCGCGCCTGCAAGTGATCCAATCTTTTTGTCGTCCGTTGTTCCTCACCTGCCGCCCTCTTTTTCCCTCAACTCCGACGCCCCCTCAAGGAGACTGCTGGCGCCCCTCCCATTGCAAGCAGCGTAGCTGCTCTAGTCGCAACCCACCCACCTGCACAGCCATCCAAGCCGACTATTCCCCCTCTTGCTGCCACCGTGTATCAGACACCATGGCTGCCAACGGTTCGGCCGACTCGTTCGCCCCAGACACGATTCTGGCGGCCATGACGACCATGCGTGGCGGAGAGCCGGAGAAGAAGAAGGTTGCGATGGACTACCTGACCAAGTTCCAAAAATCGGTAGGGACGGCCTTGCGCAACATGTCACACGCGGCCCACCGCGACCACATTGCGCGTCGCTAACATGCCTTGTAGAAAGATGCCTGGACAACCACCCTCACGATCCTCCAGTCCAGCACCGAGGCCGAGGCCATGCTGTTCGCGGCGACAACGCTGAAGGGAAAGGTATTACCCGACCGGGCGATGCAGCACCCCGCCGATCTCGACTGACATGCCTTCGGTAGATTACCTACGATCTTCTTACACAAGTGCCCGAGAGCGACCTGCCTGCCCTTCGCGACCAGATCCTCCTCCTCCTCAAGAAGTTTGCCGCCGGGCCCAAACCAGTCCGGGTGCAACTCTGCGTCTGCTTAGCAATACTGGCGATACAGCTGCGGTCCTGGAAGGATGTCCTGCCCACTGTTGTATCCGCCCTTGGAAGCGATGCTCAGAGTGCTGGAGCCATCCTCGACTTTCTCCGAGTTCTCCCAGAAGAGGTGACCGAAGGCCGTAAAATTAACCTCTCTGTACGTGGATCGCCATACGACGACCCGATCACCCATTCCGACACCACTGTGGTATTCTGAAGGACGGTACAGTCTCTAATCAACCTGGATTGCTAGGAAGATGAGCTCATTGAGAGAACCACTGAGCTCTTGGCCGACAACGCGGAGCAAGTCATCAACATATTCATCAATTACGCCCAGTCATCAGGTGAGTCACTGCAACTGAAACCCCGTGTTGCTGGTGTCATTGCTGATTCTCCGCAGCCGACGCTGCTCACAACCCCCAGCTGATGGAATGCATAACCTCGTGGCTGCGTGAGATCCCTATCGACACCATCGGGAAGTCTTCGCTCCTCAACATTGTGATCAGCGCTTTGGACAATGACAACTGCTTGGAATCCGCCGCCGAGTGCCTCGCTGCTATCTGCCGAGAAACCAGGGACGTGGACGACAACTTGGAGATGATCCAGATCCTCCTGCCCAGGATCATCGCATTGCGGCCGAAGATGCAGAAGGCGGCTGAGGAAGAGGACACTGAGGCGTTCAAAGCCCTGACACGCATCTTTGCTGAAGCTGGGGACTCATGGGTGGTCATCATCGCTCGTGAGCCAACGCATTTCCGACCTCTTGTCGACATCATCTTGGAATGCGCCGGCAGGGACAAGGACCGAGATGTGATCGAGCATACCTTCAACTTTTGGTACGAGCTGAAGCAAATGATCGTCATGGAGCGGTACGTTGAGGCCAGGATGCACCTCTACGATGTCTACGCTCAGTTGGTGGTTGTTCTTTTAAAGCATCTGGAATATCCCGAATCCGACACTGGAAACGAGCTCGACCTTTTCGACGGTGACCGCGAGCAGGAGGAGAAGTTCCGAGAATTCCGTCATCATATGGGAGACACACTCAAGGACTGCTGTCAGGTATTGGGCGTGGCGGATTGCTTGACCAAGGTTCTCGACGCCATCAAGCTGTGGATGCAGAAGTATGCAAGTGGCGCAACTGCAACATCAGTGCCACATTGGCAAGAACTCGAGGCTCCCGTGTTCGCTATGCGCGCATTGGGACGGATGGTTGAGAAGGACGAGAGTACTGTCTTGCCACAACTGATGCCACTGCTGGTGCAGATGCCAAGCCATGAGAAGTTGCGTTTCGCTACCATCATGGTCTTTGGGCGCTACACTGAGTGGACCGCACACCACCCCGAGTTCCTGCAACCACAGTTCAACTACATCATCACCTCATTCGAGGCAGACTCCAGGGATGTTGTCCGCGCTGCCGCTCAGGCCATCAAGTTCTTCTGTCAGGATTGCAAGAGCCTGCTGAGTGATCAGGTCGTTCAGATGCAATCATTCTACGACCAGATTCTTGACAAGCTCCCAGTGATGAGTCAAGAAGAGGTAACCGAAGGAGTCGCCAGTGTTGTCGGCGTTCAGAAGAATGAAGAGGTCTACAGGCTTCTGAAGTTGTACTGCGACCCGCTGGTGAACCGACTGATGGTGAAAGCCAACCATGCCTCGGATGAAGCAGGCAAATTGGCAATAGCTGGTAAGTTCACTCAGACCCCCCAAATCAGACGTGATGCTGACTACCTCTCAGACCACGTGCAACTCCTCACACTTTTCGTCCAAAATGTCATTCCCGTTGTGGAATTCGGACAGGAGGATCCTGCTGTCAAGTACTGGCAGGAGGTCTTCCCTATTCTGTCTACCGTTCTGGACAACTTCTCCGACTTCTCCCCCATCTGTGAAAGAATTTGCAGGTGTTGGCGCAACATGGTCATCTCGTATCGCACAGGGATTACACCTCTGCTGCCGCAGTTGGCCAATAAGCTTGCCGAGGGCTTTGTGAAGACCAAGCAAGGTGCTTTCCTGTGGGCAACAGGTGCCATCCTCCGAGAATTCTCTGAGGATCGCGAGCACGTGGACGACGCCATTACCGAAAACATCTACCAATTTTTCGAGTCCCAGGCGACGAGCGTACTCAGGGTCATGAGTGACATCCCCCCGGCGGAGTTGCCCGATATCATCGAGGACTTCTTCCGTTTGCTGACTGATGCGTTGCTCTACTACCCTCATAAGCTGCTGTTTTCGCAACTCCTCGCCCCCATCTTCCAAGCCGCCGTCTCTTCCCTGGCACTGGAGCAGCGTGACCCACTCTCAGCGACATTACACTTCCTACGGGACCTGCTCACTTACGGTGGGAGCAACCCCGCATCTACCATGCAGCTCGGGCCTGCCTCTGACCAGATGCAAGCCACCGTCAAACAACTCCTCGTGGCGCACGGTGAGCCGCTGGTCAAGGCGATCCTGGCAGGCATGATGATCACGTTCCCGCGGGACTGCTTCGCCGACGGCAGCGGTGTGCTCCTCGAGCTATTCGGGCTGCTGCCCTCCGAGACTACCGTGTGGGTGGAGCGGACGATCAAGATGCTGCCCGACGGCACAGTCAGCCCGGTCGAGGCGAACAGGCTGATCACCAAGATCAAGGAGAGGCTGTCAGCGAACGATGCCGGCGGACTGAGGCAGGTAAGAGTGCTACTGCAGGATTTCACTAACACGTACCGAAGGCGGTACGTAGCCCCGCGCGACGGGCTGGGGCAGCTGGAGGGCGCTCGCTTCCATTATGAGGGATAGTTTCTCGATCACGCGGGAGGACTTTTGTAATGCAGAGGGAGGCGAATTATCGAAGAAAGAGTATCAATAGAACTAGTTGGCGGTAGTTTAGCCTGGGCATCGATATCTCGAGAAGGGCAACGTGGCAGGCGGGGGATATGATCCCTCATGTCAACTTGGGAATGGAAGACAATCGAAGGCTACATTGCGTCAAGATGCGCCAACGAACGGCGGATGAAGTCGCCATGCAATCGACTCGTAGTCTGGGGCGAGGGTAGCGGAGGCTGAGAGGGGCACGCACACACATGCCGGAACCATGAGCTGGTGATATGGACGAATCGTGACCCGCCGGGCGAAATGTCACCATACCCCGGGGCAAGCCCATGGAGCAACACAGAGAGAGGGAGGCACGACGATAAAACAGGGGAGGGAAATGGGGACATGGGGGCGCGGATGGTGGGTTGATGATGTGATACTGATACATTGGCGGGTGGTCTTGGACGGATCGCCATCGATAGACAAATCGGCGTAGCTACAACTCAAAAAAAACTCTCCAACTAACTGCCTCTATCTGTTAAATCGCTTCCTACACTGCTTTCAACTTTTTTGCTACATTTCCCGCTCTCTTTTACGAGTCGCGTAGCCGACCGAGTCTGAGATCGCGGCCACGTATGGCCAGACACCAGAAGTGCGCTTTAGGTTTTCCAGTGCATGGGCCCGCCGTCTACCTACTGGCGGACGGATTTCGTGTGACGCCTGTCATGGCTTATTGTGGCCTCGTTGGAAGCCAGGCGGTTTCTGTATGTGTTTCCGTCGTTCGTCTTGGACCATTGAGCCGCAGCCAATTGTCTTCAAACCCGCCGGGATCTCCACACATTTCCTTCCGAGATGACCTGGGGAGGTTGATGGGTGCGCCCCTTCACTGGCCCTTGGCCCGGTTCATGGGGCCCCAGTTCTCCCGCGGGTTGGTCTGGTACCTGACGAGCCTCGTCCTGTTCTTCTCCCGGCCGAGCTTCTCGTCAAAGACGACCTGTGGCTTCCCCTCCTCCTCCTCCTCCTCCGCCCCCTCCTTCCCCCCCTCCTTCTCCTTGGCGTCAAGCCCCAGCAGCCGGTACCCCGGCGACCCGGGCTTGATGTTGGCCTCCTTGACGGGCGCCTTCTGGCGGACCCACTCCCGCATGACGTGCCAGATCACGGCCCAGGGCGCGTCGGTCTTGATGCTCCCGGGCTTGCAGTGGCTGCGGGTCACGCGGTAGCCCAGCCCCCTGAGGGCGCCCTTGAACGCGTCCTCGGGCGGCGTGGCGCAGTGCACGGCGCGGGCGAGCGCCTGGGGCAGGAGGAAGAAGGGGTACGGCTCTACCTCGGCCAGCGCGTCGTCCTTGGACTTTGGGGGCCTCGGCGCCGCGGCCGCGGCCTCGTCACCCCCGGCAGCAGGGGCGGCGGCCTCCTCCAGGTGCTCCTCGAGCGCCGTGGTCAGCATGCCCCTTATGCGCTCCGTGGTGCCGTACGTCTCCGTGCTCGCGCCGGGCAGCCCGTCGAGGACGCGCCTGACGAACTCGGGCGAGTGCAGGCGGCCGCCGTACATGGGGCCCGCGAGGTGCATCCTGGTGCCGCAGTGGGCGCAGAGCTGGTCGGCGGTCGGGGCCTGGGCCATCTGGTGCTTGTAGAAGGACCCGGAGCCGGTCCTGTTCTGCTGCGCCCTGTTGCGCAGGAGGAGCTGCGTCGCCCAGGCGCCGCAGCCCACGTCGCAGTTGTACACGAGCATGGTCTTGCCGGCGGTGAACTTGACGGCCGCGGGGGACCGCGACACCCGCACGAAGACGCGCGCGTAAAAGTCGATGGACAGCGACAGGAGCGGCTCGATGGACAGCCCGTAGCGGGCGGCCGACGTCGAGATGGCGTGCAGGATCAGGCGCAGGCCGGCCTCGTGCGAGAAGTGGCCCTTGACGGGGATGCCGCCGTACAGGGCAAAGGCCTTCTCCGGGTAGCCGTTGGACGCCCACACCCCGGCGTCGGTGCACGTCACGCACAGGAGGCCGCCGTCGTCGCGGACCGCCTGCACGGCGGCGTCGAGGAACACGGCGGCGGTGCCGTAGGGGTCGAGGTCCACGACGTCGTACTTCTCGTGCTTGCCCTTGGCCTTGTCCTTGTCGGTGAGCGTCTGGTGCGCGGCTATCTTGGTGTACATGTGGACGATGGCGTCGCCGTGGTTGACCTGGATCTTGTCCTGCAGTTTGTTGTGGCGCACGTTGAGCCTGATCGACTCGACCGCGGAGGCGTCGAGGTCGTTGGCGGTGACCTTGGTGACGAAGGGCATCTCCTGGGCATATCTCAGGGCGCGCAGGCCGGTGGCGGACAAGGCGTCTAGGATCGTGAAGGTCGGCTTGGTCTCTCTCTTATTTTGCTGAGCATTTTGCCCGTCTGCGCCTCCATTTGCCTGCTCGCCTTGGCCCTCGACAGGAGCATCTCCCGCGACCGCGTCCTCGCCTTTTTGCGGCCCAGGGCCATTGCTATTCGTGGGCTGCGCGGTGGTAGGCTGGGCTTCCTGGGCAGGATCCTCGGCTTCTGCTGGTATCGACTTGTTCTCTTCTTGTACCACAGCGTCGGCGCCTGCGGTGGTGGCCGTCGTTTCGTTAGTCGCAGGTGCACCGTCGACCCTGGCAGCTTTATTCGGGCCGTCTGTGTTCTTGTCTCCTTGTCGCTTCCTCTTCTTACCAGCTTGAAATTGTCTCCTTGCCTCGATCTTGGCCTTCTTCTTCTCCACCATCTCCTCCCCGTACGCCTTGATCGCAAGGACTGTCAGGTCGCGGTTAAACTGCTGGATCGGGTTGTAAAAGACGGACTGGACAGGCCCGTCCTTGTTCCGTATGTCCTTCTGGTCGGCCGCGAGCTTTGCCGACTCGGGCACGAGAATGTATGCGCCACCCTCCTGGACTGTCGTATATCGCTTGCCATCGTGGTAGACGAGCTGGCCGGCCGCCGGCGGGTCGTCGATGTCTGCTTGCGACGCCATGGTTCGCAGATTTGGAGGGGGGAACGCGGTCGTCTTCGCCAATTGAGTCACACACCCCGCGCGCAGCCTGGAGAAAACAGCCGGGGAGAGGCGCGAGAGCATGCGGGTAGTCGACCGGTGCTGGGGGGCGACCTGGAGGGCGAGGTGGCTTTGCGCCTTGCTATTTGCTATTTGCTTGGGTTGCTGGCGGGGTGAGCCTGAAATTCGGTAAAGTTCGTCACTCAGGCCGTCTGCCGATCTTCAGAAATTAAGTTTTGCCGCTGGGCGGTCAGGGATAAATTTTAGCTTCTGAGCACAGGCGCTCAGCTGCTGCTTGGGACCCCCACTGCCCCAAAGGTCGGTTGACAGCGGGACGATCCGAGATCTGTGGAGAGCCTTTCCAGGGGGTGGAGGCTGCTGTTCTAGGATTATGTTCACTTACACGGCTGTCAAAGATCAGACTGGAGATCTCGGGGGGTGGCAACACTATGCAGGTTGTTTCTGTTGAGAAGATATGCATGGATTACAGATCAGAAATCTCCTTTTCATTCTACTCATCACATATACCTTTCCCTTTGCGCGGTCAGCTCCTCTGGCTCACGCTTTGGCAAAAGGGCTTCATATGACTCACGCGGCCACTTTTTACTCTTATTCCCATATGACAACTTGTGGTCGTATTCTCTCCTTATCAGACTGTATACCAGATGCTCTTCCCGGCCCGTGGACGCGACTATACTTGGCAAAAGAATAAAGTCCCCGACCAAAATCCCCCACCAAGCTCATGCACACCCTCCATCATGCAGCACAGAGTGCGCAGGGACTTCATTGTTCAAAAAGGGAACTTGAACTAGGACGGTCTGGTCATTGCTGGGGAACTCAGTATAGTGACCCGCGATAGTGCTCATCGAAGCCAAGTCGGCCGCGATCAGGAACGACGCGGAGACCGAGCCAGGCATCGCATAAGCAACACTCGTTTCTACGGGACTGTTGTTGGCCCCTGGGGGAGTATAAGGCGCGGTGATGCGGATGAGGCCGTTGAGGACCGCAGTCAGCCTATAGCGCCAAAAAGAAGACCAAATCAGCGAGTATTTCTCGGGGCTGGGGACCTTTAGACCCCCCATGAAATATTTAAACTTCCATGAGATGGGAGACACCGAGGGACAATTCAAGAAACGTACTGCACCGCCGGGGCCCACGCCTCACCGACCGTCGTCCGCGGCTCGATGATGGACAACTCCGCCTGGGTGGTGCCCCCGCTGACGATCCAGTTGGTGGCCGACCTCGCGTACACGGCCTCGGCGTCCAGCTGCCAGCACTCGATGACCGAGTACCCGCCGCGGGAGGCCAGGGCGGTGATGTTCAGCGGTGTGGTGGTGGTGGTGGCCGGCGACATCTGATCCCGCTCTTGCGCGATGGAGACCATTGGTGCGCGCGACATGATGCTGGTGAGGACTGATTTGAAGAGCATCGTGGCTCAGCTCTCTAAACTATGATTTGGCAAACGACCCTGGGGGAGAAAAACAAAAATGAGTGTTTTGTTCAGGGCCAGCATTATCGTTCTTATCCCCCCTCGAGGAGTCGAGGTAAGCCACACGCTTCGACATTATTACTTTTCCCCAGCCAGCTCGTGCTAGGGCGCCAAGGACGCGGGCGGCTGAGAACCGACTGGGTCAGAGTCGAAGGCGTGATACAACTTGTACCACGCGGGCATGCCAACATGTGTGGTCAGCTCCAGGGTCCAGTCCGTCTGCGGATGAATTGGGCAGCACGAAACCCATGAGACAAAAAAAGAAGCAAGGTGGAACCACGCGACACACATTCCTTATGCACCTTGGTCAATTCCACGAGCTCCTGTGCTCACGAGAACCCAGCGGAGAAGGACCGCCTTACCTGCAGCACGTGCGCAAAATACGGACACGCGTGGGGGTCCCCGGTGCTTCTTCGCTACGGAGATCAAGATGTGGGCGTACATGGCACAAGGCAGGAGGGATGTTGCTCACTGTTAACAGCAAAAGACCCTTCGAAAACGCGGGTCCAATCAGACTGTACAATGCTGGGCTATATTTGGGCTAGAAGTAATAAAAACCAGCCCAGGGGCGAGCCCCAGGGGGGGTATCGCAGACTAGCAACAAGAAGGGCATGCTATTAGTATACGGTGAATTAGATACGTCCAGCATAGTAGACGTGATGTGGGCGTCAACCTTCATCTCTTCCTCATGTTCGTAATCGTTATAAAAAAACAAAAAAAGCACAACACTTCAATCCTCATCCCATCTTCATCCCATCCTCTCAGATATCTTCGATTCGTGAAGAGAAAAAAAAACATTGCCCACCCGCCATCCAGCACCGCACAGAGATTTAGGTTTTCGTTTTTGTTTAATTTTTGTTTCGGTGCTTGCGCATGCGGGTCTGAATGTGGCGGACTTGGCGCTTTTCTCTCCTTGTGTCGTGGCCGTCCTGGTCGCCGATGGGCGCCGCACGGTGAGCGACGTCGGCCAGAACTACAGGAAGGCGACGAGGCCAGCGGCGCTCAGCAGGGCCAGGAGGCCGGCCGGGCTGGCGACGCCCGCGCCGTTGGAGGTGGACCCAGTCGCAGACGCAGAGCCGGAGCCGCCCGCGCTCGTCTTGGTCGCGCCGCCACTGCCCCCGGTGACGGTCCCGGACGGCACGGCGGCCGTCGTGGAGTTGCCGGTCTCGAAGAAGACGCCGCCGGCGGGCCCGGCGGGGGCGCTGGTCGGGACGGCGGAGGACGACGAGGAGGTGGACGAGCTGGCGGCAGAGGTGGCGCTCGTGCTCGGGGCGGCGGAGCTCGAGAAGATCTTGGTCTCGAGGTGGAGGCCACCGGCGACCGAGTACTTGGAGGCGCAGGAGGCCAGGTCCGAACCCTCGGGGCAGCACACGGTCAGGCCGGCGGTGTCGGCGGCGCAGTAGTAGCCGGCCTCGCACGAGTTCCCGGTGCCGTCTGGGCAGCAGGCCTCCTTGGCGCCGGCGTCGTAGCAGTGCATCTGGTTATCGGTGGAAGGGCATTGCGCGAAAGAGTCGCCACACTGTCGCCATGTTAGTTCCTATGGATCAAGAACACTGGTACATAGAGAGAGGGGGTGGGGCGTACAGCCTTGGAACATGTCTCAGCCATGCCGCAGACGGACTGCTTCGGGTGGTAGACATCATCGGCGTCGCGGCGGCCCAGCCCAAAGATCTCGCGGGCAGACATGAAGGCCTTGGTGGGCCTGTAAGGCAACGGCTCGGCAAAGGCCTGGGAGGCGAGTGCGACAACCGCTGCGATGGTGATCTTCTTCATCTTGGGAACGAGTGGATTTGTTCTGTTTCGTTTCGTCGAGAGTGGTTCTTGTTGTTTTGCCTGTTACTTGGCTTGATGGCTGGAGAGAGTGAGTGAAATGTGGGCGCGAGTGTTGAAAATGAGTGGACGAGCCCCCAGCAAAAGGGACTCAGGTCAAAACGCAGCAGCGGGTATCGTGAGTGAGTATCGATTGACTCGACGGGGAGGTGCCAAAAGAGCGGAGACAGGGTCGGGTGTGAGACGGGTGGGCCTGGGGGGGGCACGGGGACTGGGGTACCGTACATATAGGGACTAACAAGGCGGGCCTTTGGACTAGTACGGCTGGACAGGCAACCTGCGACCACAGAGTGTAGGAGGGCAATCTCCTTAATTTTAGTGGCCACTTGGCCGGGCAGACCTGGTCCGGATCGTCACAAAGTGCCCTCGTTTCTGGACTTGGGATTGGACAAAAGAGGCAAGAGCAGCATCTTGTCAAAATTAACAACCCTCGAGGCGCTTGCTGGCAGAACTGAATGGCCCCAAGTGTTCGAGGCCATGGCTTGCCCGGGTCCAAACAAAGCCAGCCTGGCAGCCCTGCCCCGTCGCCACCTCGATTTTCCCCTCTGCGCCCCTGGACGGCCCCCTGGTGACGCCTCGGTTGGGGCCGACGGCACCGAATCGCGACAAAGCAGAGACAAGCCGCCCGCAAAGGAGTCTGCCCGTCTGTGTCGGTGTCTGGCCCGGGAGCAGCACTGAGCGGTGACGGAAGTGGGCCGCAACAATCCACCTGGAGGACCTCTCCGGCTCACGGAAACAAAGCGAGGAGGAACCCAGAGACCCCAGGCACCACGACGCCTTGCCTATTTGCGCCGACAACCGTCAGGATTTTGTACCTGGCTCGGGCCAAGGCCCCAGCCGCGAACCGGACGAGGTAAAATGAAATGAGACCGACAACACCTCACCCATCTTTGCCCCATCGGCCAGAACTAGTCAGCTAGTCTGATGGGGAGAAAGAGAGACGGCGCTTGCGACTGAGCGAATCCCCACCACAGGCCTGTCGGTTGCTCAATAGTAATACTTAGCCACGGCTGGTCAGGCTGGATGGATATACATAGACTCCCGTCACCGTCACCGTCAATGCAAGCAACGGCCTTGCCAGTGGTTGGCGGGCGCTGCACGGCGGCTAACACAGGAGGAAAATAGACGGGAAGGAGTCGGCGTCAGATCCAGATTCAGGAACAGGCAAGGCGCGACGGCTTTCGTCCGAGCTACCCTATCACTTGATCAGCGGGGCTGCATTCCACTCCCCTGGGTCTGAGCTATGCCTATTTGGTGGGGACCTCCCCTCTCATTGGCCGCGCCCTGTCGGGCTGTGGGGTCCCACCAGCACAGACCGTCGCCTGCCCGATCGGGACTGCTGGGCGTCAGCCCCCTGCGTCTGTCTTGCCAAAAAGGAGTCCGAGTTGCACTCTTGGTTGTGACACTGCGACGCTGCGATATTGCGCCTCTGGGAATCCGGGGAAGCCTCGCCTGTCACGGACCATTTCTTAAATTGAGAACCAACGTCTGGTCGCCTCTGCCATTTGCTAGCACTTGAGACATCGAATTACCTACCACGAGGATAAGACTATTGACCCTCGGATCGCGGGAGTCAGAGGTTGGACCACGCCATCCACTCGGCAGCGCTCATCCATTCCCCACGTCTCCGTCTCCAATAGTCCCTGTTATCGTCCTGAGAACTCATTACCAGTTGACACCATCCAGGATCCGATGTGGCGATGAAGCTGTGTGGGAAGTCATTTTGGTAATTCTGCGCTCAGACTCTGGTGCCATCCCCAAGACGGTAAAGACTAATAAACGCTTTGTTCAGTACGAGAAACGTCAGGAAGCTTATATTCTCCAAAACAAAACAATAGACAATCACACCTATCCAAATCAATCAATCGGCCCTGCGCTAACTTGCGTCAGCATGTCGACATCGCCGTTTCGCCCTGTGAGACATTGAGCATCAAAATGTCACGCACAAATGCCTGTCCCCAACTCCAGTATCCTCTTAGATGGCGTCATGCAGTCCATAGCCAGGCCAATGCAGCAACAACAACCCCCCCGCCCCTTTTCACTATGCCTCCAGGTGCTCCGTCTTAAAGGCAACCTTGGTCTCCCCAGACTCCTGGATGCCGAGGCTAGCCTTGCGCGCGTCACGCGCCGAGTCCCCGATCGTGCCGTGCTCGTCCGTGTACCCAATCTTGGACTCGCGGAACCCGTCGAGCTCCCTCTTGTAGACGGTGTTGAGGAAGATCGGGTAGACGAACGAGACGAAGAACCCGATGAGAGGCACGCACATCCCGATGTGGTACCCCTTGTGGTCCGCCAGCAGGCCCGTCAGCGAGGGGAACAGCGCGCCGCCCGAGACCGCCGCGACGATCCACGAGCTGCCGCGCTTGGTGTGCCGGCCCAGGCCGCGGATCGACAGCGTGAAGATGGTCGGGAACACGCACGACTCGAAGAAGAGCACGATGCTCAGCATCGCAATACCCGCCTCTCCGTAGAGGCCGATTGCCAGGGCAATAAAGAGCATAATAGCTGTCATAAAGACCATCAGAACGAGGCGTGGCTTCACGATCATCATCAGCCCTGCTGCTGCGAATCGCCCGATGGCGAACAGGCCCTGCCCGATGGCATAGCGGTCGCTGGCCTGGGCGGCAGTCAGACTGGCCGACTCTCGTGCGTAGTTGACTATCAAATTGTTAGTGACTCATCCATTGATCTTCTGTGGGGGTGGGTTTCATGAGACGTCGTCCCAAGATCCCCATGATAGAGCAGTAGGCGGAATCATTTGCTTCATTACACCAAGAAAAAAGGGCGCGTCGACGTACTGAAGTTTGCAGCTACTCCAACTTGGCTGCCCACATAGCAGAACTGAGCAGCCACGCCAAAGAAGAGCTTATACTGCTTAGACATGGGCCTCTCCTCGTATCCCGTGAGCCCGGCGGACTGCTCTGCTTGCAGCTCCATATCCGCATCGGTGACCTCGGGAATGGGCGAGAAGAAGAAGACAACGGCGAGCAGGAAGACGAAGGCAGCGATGCCGAGATATGTCCACTGCACCTTGGAGATGTCGTTCGGGTTGGTCTCCTCGAAAAAGACGCGCGAGGCCAACAGGGGAGCCACTGCAATTTGTCAATACCTATTACAACATCGCCGCCGGACAAGAACATGAGAGGCATAGTGGGTGTGGGCTTTTACGTACTAACAGAGCCGATGGCCTGGAATGATTGCGAGAGCTCGAGACGGAACTCCGAGAGTCGGGGCGGCCCGCAGGTCGCAATGAAAGGGTTCGCAGAGGTCTCGAGCGTCGAGAGTCCAGAGCCGACGATGAACAGGGAGCCACAGAAACCGCCGAAGGACCGGTACACAGCGGAGGGCCAGAACATCAGCGCGCCGACGCCGTATATGCACAGTCCGACAATGAACGTCCATCTGTAGCCGAACTTCCTCACGATCCAGCCAGAGTAAGTCAGAGGCCCAATGAAGTAGGCCCCGAAGTAGGCACCTTGGAGACCCTGTGTGCGCGCGGTCAGTACCTGTGATCGAGAACGACGGGGTCGGAGTCGAAGCTTACGCCAGCTTTGGCAGCCGTGATGTTCAAGGCCGTCTGGAACTTTGCGTTGAGCACGTCCAAGCTGAACAAGTGTTAGCTTGTGGCCCGAAAATGCGGGCCGTGTCAAACAGCACTTACAGGCCATAGGCGAATCCCCACAGGAAGAAGAGGATCGTGACCAGGGTGATTGGGAAGATCGACTGCCTGACAGTCAGGGCCGAGGCCCCCGTCAGGCCCCGATTTGACACCGACTTTCGGTGCGTGTTGACCTCAGCATTGGAAGGTCGGCGCTGCTCGAGGATCTCCTGTGGGGTCGGCTCCTCGCGTTTTCCAAACATCTCGACGTTTTATGTCTCGCCCAGCACGAACAGGAGCTTGAGAAGTGAAGGGGCGATCGATGGCCTGTCCGAGCCGGGATGGCTTCCGGGAAAGAAGTTTAAAGGTTGGTCTGAACCGTTTCTCGAAGGGTTGCAGTGCAGATGGAGGATGATGATTATGTCCAAGCAAGAATCAAGCTCAATGGAGCTTCCCCCGTGCTTCTTATATATTCCTGCAATCGAATGCGCCCATCCTCGCAGCGTTGAGCTTTCTCTGACGCGGTTGTCGAGCTGTACCATATCCCCAGCTCGGCGATGCCGTACAAGTGATGCCAAATACCACGGCTCCCGCTTCCCAGTCTAAGTGCTATCTCTCAGTAGCAAGGCAAGCTGTCAGGCCAGCGGCGTGTAGTCTGTGCTGAAGGGCCCATCGACTGCCACTAGCAATGTGCCCAAGTGCCCGGCCTGTTTGGGGGCCGGTCGAGCCATTCCCCCTTGAGGATAAACCCACCGGTAGCCAGCATCACGCAGCTCTCCGGTCACACCTCAGACCGGCATAATCTGATATGGGTAGGTAGTAGGTAGGCAGTTCCCCCAAGTCGAGCTCGAGGCCCCCTCCAGCTGGGCCTGTCTAGCGCGCAATGCAGGTCGGTCGCCTTGCCCGGGCCACACACACAGCACGAGGCCAAGCGGCACCCTTAGCGTTTTGCGGGGGGAGCTTTTCTCATGGCATTGCCGATGGCCTCGTCCCGGGCGGGCCTTTGGGATGGGATGGGACGCTGGGCTAGCGTTTGGGGGGGAGATGCGGAGGAGGGGGAGGCGGGAAAGACAGGGTAGGCTTTTGGGGTAACGCCGTGCAATTCAGCGATAGATATGACGGCAATCATTCTTGTGCTGTTCCGTGGTTGATTTCACGATAGCCGGGCACATGGTGAACCTGAGGCCCACTGGTCTACAGCGCTCTTGCCGTTCACAGCACATGATGCGGGTGGGTTTCCGGTCTGACTCTAGAAGTGGGCATCTTGATACATGATCTGTGATCATATCAGAAGTCACCACACTCCAGCTTGTTATAAAGCATCTCCTGATGTTACCTGTCCTGAAGTCCAGGCACATAGCTCGTGACTGTTTCGACAAGATGCAGCACATAGACTATACATACCTGGGCACATAACCCTCACTCTGAGAAGCCGGCCAGGTGAACGCATAGGTACGAAGTTGACCGAAGGACCCTAGGAAACAACCAGGAAACAACCAGCTTCCGGGGGGCTGGGGGGGCAGGTCTCGGTGGCAAGCCTAGACGTTCCAGCATCAAGTAGCTCGCGGTCCAGACCTCCACAGATCCAAGCTTTCCTCCTAAGCTTTTCCCAAGCTTTCAAGGTTTCTTGGAGCCGGTCGTGGGGTTATATGGTGCGCGACAGGGGCAACTTTCCAAAAACCCACTTTACCTTAATACCCAGACAACCTCTAGGAGGTTGGGAGGTTAGGAGGTTAGGAGTTAGGAGGTTAGGAGGTTAGGAGGTTATCTGGGTACTAAGGTAAAGTGGGTGTTTGGAAAGTTGCCCTTGTTGCGCACCATAGGTTAGATAGTCACATGGGGGGGACCAAGTAGCGGGGGGCCAATGAGGTGCATTCCCAGCAGGACGTCACCTCCCCTCTCTCCCCGGACGATACCCAGCCCACATCCCGCGCGTCATTGAGCCTCTGTATCTCACCTTATCTTTTCGGCCTTTCCTCTCACTGAGCTTATACCTCGGTGCTCCTCCTTCGACGATTGGTCACGTCAACAGTGGAGCTTAGAAGACCACTCTATAAAGGCACACACATGGTCCATACTCCCATGCTCACATAGGGTATAGTATATCTCTCAAAGCTGCAGCAAGCTTCTTTAGTTCCCGGGGCAGTAACACCGAGCCCAGTCTCTGAGAGGCGTGAGATGGTCTGATCACGAGGTCCGCCGGCGCACTGGGAAAAGCAATCATGGTCTCTTGTTTTTGGCGCTGGAAATCCCCATCTGTGCTCTGATGGCGGCTGGGCCCAGACCACGGCGGGATTTACAAGATCCAGCTAGGCGGTATATCGGAGTATCTGAAATCGGGGGCGGGCTTAGGCGCCAGAAGCTGCGGTAGTAGGGAGCTAGTCGCGTCACCATACCAGACATCATCAGTATGTCTTCGTGTGCTCGACTACACGAACATAGCTTGCAGACGGCTCTATCCGGGCTGGTAGGCTTTCTCGAGGCTAAGTATATCACGCACACATCACCGGTCACTAGGGGCATGTTAGGAATCTATCCACCGGAGCCGTGTCAACATAAGAGACCAGAAGACGAGTTCATTGAGCAATGGTATTAATAATACGGCCTACGTCTAGGCAAATCCTCGCGCCTACAGGCCACAACCTCTCATCCCCATAGGCGTGTCTGTCAATCCGCTATCATACAGCTTGCGTAGCAGTCTAAACAATAAGAAGGATGCAAGTCTCCCCCGCTGCATCCCAGCTCGCCAACGCGAGGCCGATCCGATATGAATACTGCGCACTATAGATCAACCCAATGGGGTCCAACCAACTGAAGACTTGTGCTCTTATTAATGGGCGCGCCCCTTCTTTTTCCGCGAGGGCAGAACAAATCAAAGAAAAATCAGTTGACGGCTCGTCGTAATCTGTATGGTGGTCCTCCACTTGCTTGCCCTCTAGTGGCCCTTCCGAGGGTTTGAGTGCAATGGAAACATCCTGGAGGTAGTGATGCATCGATCGCCAAAGCCTGGTCTCTGGAATATACGGCGAAACTAGAACGCAGACAAGAAAAACAAGTTTATGGCTCCGTTCTATCGTGCAGAGTCCGTGAGCAGAGTCGCAGTCGTTCAATCTGGTGTCGATATCGAAGAGACTGAATAATTAGGCGGCAATGTAGTAGCGTCCGAGTCGAAGACTGCGGAAGTTCCCGGTATCACTGATACGAAAGTGATATTTTGGTTGCGGTTCGGATTCTGGAAACTCGGGGGTGGTTGCTTTGGGTGGCTGGTGGCTTCGTATTAGAATCCGAGCATGAAAACTCCACGTTCATTCTAGGACGTCATGCCAGACCAACAGGAGTTCGAGCATCGGAATCTAGAGCTCTTTTCTCGTGAGATATGTTCTGTCGATTCGGAAACAGCAGATCCACAAAATCCTTGGCTTCGAGTCTCTAGTTCTCCTCGCCCTCGAGCTTGGCGAGCCATTTGTTCATCTGGGAGTATTTTTCATGGAATGTCTTCTCGAGCTTTTCGCATGCGGTGTAGACGTTATCTGTGGGCTTCCAGTAGGTCTTGCAGTTGGTGAAAATTTGATTCATGTCGGCCAGGAATTCCTCGTCGCTGTTGTACAGGCCTTGGTCCATCTTGTTCTTCATGGTATTGAGGTCCATGGGCTTGGTGACCTTTTCAAAGTAGTCGGGGACATTGTCGACGACCGCGTCGACGGGCTCTTTGAATGGACCAACCAGACGTGTCCAAAATCCTGTGTCTGGTTAGTATTACCACAGCTCAGGAGTTATGGGATACTCAAAAATCATGGAGGAGGCTGGGCCAGACTGCTTTCTGTCCCTTTCTCATATCACGATGTGAAATCCTGGGTCCAGACTTACCAGGCCCCGACAGCATCCTCGTCAGGAGATCCGAGCAGAAATATAACTTCTGGGCGGTAGTGAAGTCTTGGTCGCCATTCGCAGCACCGTTAGAACGGCGCCGAGGTGCAGGCTTCGGCGTAGGCAACGAGGTCCTTGGCTTGCGGATGGCCGCCTTCGGAGTTGGTGGTGCGTGCAGCACTGGCTCGGGCCGGCGGGGCTTCTTTACTGGATACATAGACTCCGGCTCCTCGTCTCCATCCTGGTCAATATAATGAACTTGCTTCCGAGGGGGCTGCGCAAGCTGCGCAGGCTTCGTGTGGTCGGTATCGGCACCTAGCTGAACCAGCGGGGACGTGTCTGAAGGGACCATAGCGACCACCAACTCGCTGAGCACGTCTTGGGGCAACGACTTGGCGAATTCAGCCTTGGAGTCGGAGGTGTGCATGTACTCTGCCGCCCATCCGAGGAGAAGCTTCCTGATGGAGCATCCCTCGGGGGTATCCTTCCACACTTGCACCAAGACCGGAGTCGAAGGGATTCTCGTAGTGGCCCGCCGCACCTCAACCATGGCGTCGAGCGTATGGTCACAGAGGCCATCTATGAGAAGCTCATACCCCAGCTTCCAAACCCCGATAAGGATCTCGTAAGACGGCAAGGTGTTGTCATCAGGTATGACGGCGCCAGTGTACAGGAAGTTTTGCACAAAGCCGAACACCTCGACGGGGCAGTTGGGCAGTCGCTCGACGTACTCGACTTCAAGGCTGCGGCCGAACTTGTCGAGGTAGTAGGCCGACTTCGAACAGAGAAAGTCCTTCTGCAAGCCGAAGGGAATCTCTTCCGGCCCAACCAGGATTATGACAAGCTCTGGGTGAGGTTCCAGCCATGAAAAATTGAGGGCCTTGGGGCGTGTGGCCGGCTCTGCTGGCTTCGCAGCCGCTGGGGTGGCGGCATTGGCCTGGGTGGCAGATGGTGTGACTGGAGCCTCTGGGGCAGCCCCAGCATCAGGTACTGGCGGACGTTCCGCGGTGGACACATCCATGATGTGGTCAGGGAAGTGATGGTGAATGGGTGTGCTGCTTGTGTTGATATTAGCAATCTCTTTTGCGAAACACAGCGGAGTGATGAGTCCGTTGGACCGAGACGGCAAACAATGGGATGTGAGTCATTTGATAGAGTGCACTTGGAATAGCAGAAGCAGGGGGTCTCAACTACTCATAAGGTTTTGCAAACATTGATTGAGGGAGGGGTTAGAAGTGAATGAGGGAGGGAAGGAGGGATGGACTTACCAGCTGTGGCTTCCGAGCCAGCTTCGATGAGAATGCTGCACTCAGGATGAGGATTTTGATGGCAGATGAAGGATTTTGATGAGTTGGATTGGTGTGTGTGTCAAAGAATGGGCTGGGACGTAAGAATGAAGGAATTTAAAGATGTCAGGCTGTTGTGTTTGATGATAAAACCAGTCACTCTCTGCCCATTTCAGGTGAATCTTGGTCTGCCCCGGTTGAGTGAGGTGAGAGTTGAGTGAGATGACTAAAATGCAGTGACTGCACTGGAGCTTGGTGTGGGGCATGGGTTGGCCCCTGCCCTGCCTGCCCTCTGAGGCCAGGCCTTCAGGCCACTAGGCAGACGGCATCCTGAGGATGCACCACCCAATTCTACATCATTTCACTTTCCAAGGTTGCCTTACCACTTCTCAACAATTGCATTCTGATTTCTCTACTCTACTATCCTCTTTTGTTTTTATGTGATAATCAGAAATCAATTGTGCTTATAAGTATTCCGGTTCCAGTCATGTCAACAAAAGCTCCAAATTCATTTGACAGGTGATTCATGCTTTATCACAGCCCGCAGCTGGCTCCTGGGGGGCATGTCAACCACAGAATTAAGCAGCCCCTGAAGTTCAGTTACAACTTTAGAAATACCATTGCCCCACATGAGCAGTTTACAATGATTAGAATCTGAACACGGTAGAATCTTCCTGTCACTGGACCAATTACAGGTGTCAGGTGTACATGTTGTCAGCTGCAGTCTTTAGGTTCAAGGGGACCTCTGTGCAGTCAACCCTGGAAGAGTATTATATTAACCTTTGAATACAGTAGTCATTATGGGATCAAACAAAGTCTCAATGAAGTTTATACAGTCAGTTTACATCCTAAGGTATTCATTTGGATTAAACACTTCTTTGAGACTGAGATCAGTGGTTTCGTTTCTACTCCCCATGCCTACAAAACGTATGTGGTTTCGCTTCTATTCCGTATACGTCCGAGGACATACATGGCGTCTTCATACGGTGGTAAGCACTCTAGACCCAGCGCTTGGAAAGAATACGATGTCGATAACCGTAGTTATAATACGATAGGTGATACAAAACATATGTGGCGCCTTCAGGCAGTGAGTGGTAAACGCTCAAGACCGAGCTGAGATTAACATGTAGGTACTGCCTTTGACAATAGCCACAACTTGAACTTTAAACTAGGCTGCCTCCCTGCCCCTTTGCATTAAGATATTGGCCTTATGCTCTTTCAATTTACTTGTTAGGGACAGCATGTAGGCTGATCCGAATAAGGGCCCCGCAAGCTTTAGAGCAGAAGCCTGTCAAGGGTAGCTCTAGGTCCTGGCAGTGACTTAGCAATAGATCTGACTCCAAGCATTGGTCTCACTCCGACCATGCGAAGGAAGGACCATCTCAGACAGAAACATCCTGAGAGACATATGGTTCCAGCTACTGCTTTCCCGCAGATTACTACATTGCAATGATCTGAGAAAGCATCTTGGACAGCCAACAGCAAAGAGTCATTGAAACAGCCAAAAGAGCTGATGGTTTCTCAAGAATAAAGAGCCAATGAGGCATGCAGTATACCTAGATAGTGGCACAAGCTATACCCAAAAACAAGAAGGCATATGTGGAGCCAAAGGGAGGTGCATTCACAATGCTGAAGATCAAGCGCTATTCCTAGTCTGACCTTTGCCAGCCGCCCTCCTGCTCCTTTCAGGTTGAGGGGGAAATAGTCAGGCTTATGAGCACCTCGAGCAGAGAGTTGGGCTCCTCAGCATTGATTCCTGACTAATTTCACCAAGTTGGGGGGTGAATGGTGGTGCTTGTGTGTATTAAAGTAACCATATTATGGCCTACAGTAGTTAAATACCATTCTGATAACACAATAGACAACAACTCTGAGAGAAAACAAGTCACTGAGAAGGCAGGGGATGAGCCCTAAACCTACTAAAAGGACAGCACAAGGCGTGATATCGCTAGCAGTTGAACCACACTGCCTTATTCTTCTCAGTACGGTTGTAGGGATATGAAAACTAGTTCCTCAGCATCCGCCACTTCAAGACAGGCGCCCGCCCCCGTCTGTTCGCCGAGACGACCAGCCCATATCGGCCTACCACCCTCCATACAACCCTTCCGAGTCTGAGGTTTAAGTGCATCCCTGGATTCCAACCACGGGAGCCGCAACGACTATCCAAGCGACCCTGTCGGCCCCTCCTTCATGACGCTCGTCCGTGTGCCCTCTTATGCAGGCAGGGTTCTTGCACTGCCTGTCCTTCAAGTCCGAGAGGCTTTCCACCACAACAAACAGATCGTACCTGTGACATCCTCCTAGGTATATGCCGCGGACGATGGAGAGGCGCAAGGAATCGGAACTGTGACTTTGAAATCAATCCCATGACATAAGTCACCATTATCACCCAGGTCCATAACCCCTTCGATCGCAACCCGACAGGACAAGAACAAAAGTTCTCGCCTAGTCGGTTGCCAGAGCCGTTTGCATGAATATGTATGCGCCACCACTCCCGGCCATGTTGTGTCACTTTACTGCCGGTTCTCCCTAACTGTCCCCTCCTCCTACTGCCCCTCCGCCTCCTCATGCTCGGGTATGTGTCGTGGGGTGCGCAACGCCGACAGGACTTCCTAACAGGCAAAACTCTCCAGCGGCCCGGGTTCCCAACACACCGCGATGCGCCACATCCATGGATACAACAACGAGATGGGAGATCCCCGTTATACACAGATGGGATCGCCTGGATGTCGTGCGACGTCGGTGGGAGGCAGCGGAGGAGGAGAGAGGTAGCGTCCTCTCCTGTTGTGCCCCAGGGTCTGCTCCCCGCCGGGGTGGAGACCCACGTCACGGTATCATCTTCGCTTGAAGAGCCGGCCGAGACACACCTCGCGCATCGTAGCGAGGGTTGGGTGGAAAGGGGAAAAGACGAGGACGAATGAGATGTGACCGGCGAGTGAACAGCCCAGCGGGCCGATCGTCGTCCTCGGTTGGGTCTTTGACGCCGTGGAACCCATCCATCGGTATGTGTTCGCCAATAACGGTTCAGGCCCACCATATATCTCAGTGGTTATGGCTGCGAGCAATCTGAAAAGGCCTTGGGCCCTTACCAAACCCATGGCGCTCATATGTCTTGGAAAAACCAGCGTTCGAGCACAGTTCAATTATAAAGCCGGATTGTACTATTTGATGTCCCTCGAAGGCTTACCTTATCTTCAACTAGAACAGGTACGAGAACCAATCACGGCATGTGAAGATTCGTGAACCAGCCTCGTACCTTAGCGAGATGCAAGTAACTTACGGGTATAGTCGTGTCTCGACCAAGATCGTTTGACCCTCGCCGAGCGATCGGACCATGCGTTCATGTAGGTCATCACGAAAGCGTTAATCCCAATATACGGTCTCCGCAGCCAAGAGACTCCGATGCGACTCTTTGTGGGTTGAATCCCGCAACCGTGGCCGAAGCAGCCAACAAGGATACAAAGTGCGTCGGGCCTCAGAGCGAAGCCCTTGTCCAGTTGCCTTGATACCCTCGATAATGCTTGCTGGATGTGGTCGCATTCGCAGGCCCGGGGCGCATCATCCCCGGGTTCTAGTCCCACACCACATCGACCTGTCCCCTTCACGATCTTGGACGGATCGCGGGCTGTCACATCTCGAGATCGAACGGGCGGCCACTTGCTTGCGTGCCAGGCACGTTCGCCCTTGCGGGGACCTGGTGTTCCCCGCAAGATAGCCGACCCTCCTTCAGACCACCGCCATTGTGCATCCCGGCTTGCTGCTTTAGCCAGCAAGGTGCAGAAGGCTGGCAAAGGTTCCGAAATGTGGAAAGAAGGGGGGGGGCACGAGCGGAAGTAGGTTACATCGAGGGCGGCAGAGAGGGCGTCAGTCGCAACGTGTGCCTCTCTTTCAACCGATTGGCGCCAGAGATGAATGGCTTGAAGGCACCATCTACTCAGGTAGAGTGCGATCACCACGGGGTCGTCGAGGGCGATCATACATCGTGAACTTAGGCGTAGAGTATGGTTCACGAGCCGCAGCTCTAGTGCCCTCTTAGTGTGCCGGGTAAAGTGAAGACGTCGGATGAGCGGGACGAAATGTAGGCGTCGCGGTAAGGATCCGCTGGGAGCCTCAAGGCGCTTACTTGTTCGGTACCAAGGGGGCCCGTTAGTTCCCTCAAGCCTCAAATATGCAAAATGGGTTCATTGTTCCCGATGCGATCAGGGTCTCCAGCATGCCTGTATGCGCAGCAATGATCTCCGGGGTCCTTGTGGAGACCCTACCCTTTAGATCTGTTTAACGACCCGAATGCGGTATGTAACAGCGGTAGTCTTATCGGGGCCGATGTCGAGCATTGGGATAGCGCGACGAGAGGACCCTCTCGCCGGCGAGACCGCAATTCTCCATCAATCAAAGCCGCGCATTTCTGTGCTGGTCGGTTGCTGCCGAAGATATCGTGCCACGGCCTCCGGCGGCCGAGCGGGTCAAACAAACGGGCAAATTCGCTACCTAAGGACCGAGCTCTCACGATGATCCAAGCGACCGGAGGAATGTGATGTGCAGGAGTTGGGCCTGGCCTCAAGCGAGGCGAATCCCACGACGAGGACTGACCAGGATTCTGATCCAGACCAAGGAGGCACAGAGTCACAACGGCGCTCGTTGGACCGCCGCCAGGCACTGCAATCTTCCAGGCGTGCGCTGGTGGTCTCTTTCTAAACACACTCCCCCTTCAGGAGCCGGGCCTGAGCTAGCGGGCCGTGGAGGGCTGGCTGGGAGGGTGTCGCTCCCCAGGTGACAGCTCTCAATAATCAACGTCAAACAAATTGAACCGTTGATAAGGCAGTGCAACCCCCCACGCAGTTCATATCGAAGCCGTTCTGCCCTGCAAGCCAATCTAACCACCCAGTGGCACGATTGGACGGGGACCAGCCCCCGCGTCGTCCGCGACAAGTGACCACGGGTGTGTGTTGGTGACCGTCGCGGCTGATCCAACTTGCCGCGCATAATGAAGGTGTGCCCGCTCAGCAGCCACGTCCCGCGCCAATACCGCCAAAGGAGGACTGAGCTGATGATAGGTGCTATCATCCCGCTGGGAGCGGAAATTGGGCCTTGGTGCTCATCCTCTGCCAACACTGGGGCTGAATGCAGGGGACAAGAGGTCCCAGCTAGCCGGCGAAGGCGCAGCCTGTCGACGCAAGATCTCTGACGAGGGCAGGACAGCCTGTCGGGCTTCCGTCTGCCCACTGACCCCGTTCCAAACCCCTGGGGGCGATCATGGTGGAGGAAGGTATTCCGGGAACACAGAATTTGCATCAAGCACGATGACTAGGGCTGACGCCATAGACCCGCCCCCAAGCAACTGGCGATGGTCTGGCCAGGCCTTGTCCAGGTTTCGCCCGGGCCTTGGAGCCGGACTCGACGATCAACTGTCCCAGAAGACAGTCATAGGTGGGTGCCTGTCTGTCTGCTTCCTTGGTACTCCGTGCTCCGTAGACCTAGCCCGGCTGCTGCACGCGCCAGTGCCAGTGCCAGCTTCGGTGAGGGTGGTTTGCTCCATCGTGCCACCGAGCCACCGTATTGCGTGCATTCCTTCACCGGGGGCCCAATCCAGCAGGGTTTGCAGTGTCGAATCACGAAGAGAAAAAAAAAAATCTCCGTTTGGGAGGGAGGATCGGTGCATCTGCAGCCCGTGTTCGGCCGAAGCTGCACGTTCCAGGAGAGAAAGCAGAGATTGAAGCTCCCCTCTTAGGCTGTGGGGTAAGGATTGCGTTCTGGATGAGGATAGGCCGGCTCGACGCTTTCTTGTTGAGCTTCCGGAAGGGGAGCTAAGACACGGCTGGAGAAGATTAGGTTGACGCCAGAACAGGCGGCCGGGACAGAAAGCCCTTACCCCGTGGGGCCGTGGGGAGGTGGAGGGGCTGGGAGCTGGGGGCTAGCGCCTTGGAACTTCTGCTCGATGGGTGAAGTTGGTTGCCGACGCCCGCCTGAAGAATGGAAAATTCCGAAGGCCAGGACCATCTATCTCCCTTCCTAGCACAACCAGCCAGCCCAGGCTGGCTGAACCAAGGCACTCCGGGTCCGACGTGCAGAGGGTGGTGGGGTGAATGTGATCACTGATCGGTCGATAGAGGCCGTGGACAGATACCAAGTCCTCAAAGCACACGTTACTCCTTGATTCCCAGCGCAGGATGCTGGCAACTGACATCATGCCCTGATTCAGCCGTGACCCGGTCGTCCTTCCAAGTACCTACCGCCCTGTCAGGACTTTGTACCCCCCCGTTGTCATCAGGCTAGAGGGGCTAGTAGACATCGCTGGCCTCATCGACCTCCACACCATTGATCGGGAGGTCCATCGCTGGCGAGTCACCTGTTGCTGCTGGCCTCTGGCTCGCTCGGTCAGGCAGCATGAGAACTGTCACGATGTCCAGCCTGCCCAGCTCCACCCCCACGCAGGTGTGACACCCAGAAACATGGAGCTTGCGCGTGTGTCCTACCTCCGGGGCGCTCTCGCATTCCCTGCCTCCGCCCTGGCAGGCACACAAGCCCTCCAACCACAGCACAAACAACCTACTCCGTATAGTACCACCCACCCTCCAAACACCTCCCTAGGGGCATCTCCCGCACTTCACCTGCAGTGTTGTAAATTGGGGGGGGGGGGTGGAAGCTGGGGGTAACATATGTACAGGGCCGGAGTCAGTGCCAACCTGGACCAGCTGTGACCATGCCCTTTACGCGGTTTCAACAACCCCCAGGGCTGCGTTTTAAGTGCAAAGGGACAGGAGAGAGCGCCTATTCGTGCCGTCTCAGGGTCCTCGATGGCAGCCTCCCGAGTCGTCACGTCACAGCCCGGGGACGCACAATGCAGCACTGATATCAACATCGTTCGAGGGGTGGGCTCGAATTTCCTAATAGGCCACGGGTAGAGGACTTCAACCTGGTCATCCTGTCAACCCTGCCTTGGCAAAGCAAATGTTGCTTTTCTCCACGTAATATTTAGTCGGCGCACTGTACCACGACGAGGCAGGGAGGAGACTGGCCACAACATGGATTTGTTATGATCATGCATCCCCGGGGAGCGAACGAACAAAGAATCTTGGAGGTGTGTTGTGTGTGAAACGCGGCGCCCGGTGAATCAGATCAGGCCTCTCGGGCCATCGTACGCCATGGCGCTGTCAACCCCACGACAACCGGCCTCCCGCGGCTTGGATGATCCCGGCTTGGGAGCGGTGTTTCCCCAGCCGCACACGGGGGAGAAGACGTATCGCATCGCTCCACGACAACTGGTTGCCGACAGTGCCACGCCAGCCCTGTTACTGGCCACCAGAGAGAGGGCCAGAGACGGAGGAGTGACTGTACCTGCGACCGTCGGCGGCCTAATAAGGGCCAGCCCCAAGTTGCGGTGTGCGGTAGTGTGGGAAGTGAGAAGAAGAAAATCTCCTTCTCGGTTGGGATATGCTTGAGAAGCTGAGCCTTTGTCCGCGCACCGGCGAGTCGCCCAACGGCGCCGGCTGTCAGCTAGTTGGTCCCCTTGCCTGAGGACTGCAGACCTCAGGTCCTCAGGTCCTCAACAACCGCTGGCGATGGCTGCCCAAAACACTACTGCGTAGGAACCTGTGACAAGAGTCAAGCAGGCTGGCCTCTCACAGCCCCCAAACACTTGTGCCCCACCCACTTGTTGATGCGGTATTGCGTGGACCTGTTTGGACAGCAGCTGTCTTGGCGCGCACGCAGCAAGTGTCGTCTGCGCTGTCAGATTGGCCGGCTGTGCATCATGCTTCTTATTGGCAAGTCGCAGGTGAAGGCTCTCTGTTTGGTCCTCATTTCCCTTGCTCCTTTTTTGGGGGGGCGGGAAGGGGGCGGTAAAAAGTATATCTACTCCAAGAGTGACCGACGGTGGCAGTGTCGGAAGCGTGTTCTGCGATTGCTCAAGTGTTCCGTTCGGAATTCCGTGAGCTGATGCAGCCTGCAGTTAGTTACCAAAGTAGTACAGGTCGCCTCTCTCAACCCCCGGCAATTGCGGTACCGTAGCTTTCTCCCCGCAAAAAATAGGGAACCAACCCCTGGCCGCCCTGCATAGGTACCGGCGATCAGGGAAGAAAAACTCTAAACAGCGCTCAAGACGTTCGGGATCGACAATCTGACAAGAGCCTCGCCCCGGCTCCGGTGGTGTGGGGAGGGGGGGGAGGGGGGGAGAAGGGGGTAGGTTCTTCCTTCCTTCCTTCCTTCCCTCGAGCTGAGCCTGCCATCCTGCGTTGGCGGAACTCTTCCACCCCCCCTCCACCCCCCCTCCAGAATTCCCACCCAAACTTGCCTCCCCCAGAAGGAAGTCTTAAGTACGTGGCGTGATGATGAATCGCCCGGCACGGTACTATCTCACATTCCCAACACAGGCAACGCCCCCTTCCCCACAGAGTGACACGGTGTAACTTTCCTGTTCCTGATCAGCTCATCTCACCCATTTTCACCTGCTGCGGAGCCCCAGCTTTTTTTTTCATGCTCACTTCTCCCGATGCTGTCTGAGCCTTTCTTCTCCACGTCGCCCCCCCCCCCCCCGACCATGATATCTTGTCCGTGACCCGTGGACATGATTAATTGGTTTTGTAGATCTCGTGAAGGTCAGCATACGGTTTGATACGGCCACAGTCACCCCAACCGAATTTCTCGTTTGTGTTGGTTGATACGTGTATCGGTCCCTGAGGTAGAAACCCCCCGGAGGAGGCTGAGCTTTTCATGCAGCTCACCTCACCTCACGTCTGGTCGAATGAATACCGGACCACAAGTGGCCCTCATGCCCATGATAGGCTGTCAGTGATCTGTCCGTAGCTGTGTGTCTCACCCTCCTCTTCTCGCTAATTCCATCTCACATTCGCGAAACCGGAGGGGAGGGCAGCTGGCGGGCCCAGCGGGGACGAGATAAGTACCACAGTAGTGAAAGTCTTGCGTCGGATCCGTCCTTCATCCCACTCTCTTGGTAGAGCACGTGGGCCTCGTTCTGGGGTGATGAGGGTAGGGTGTGGCCACCGGTACGTCACAGTGGTTGATTTGGAGCCTTGGGGCGATTTGGGACCGAGTCATGTCACGACAGCTTTCTTGCTAGGTCGTCAGCTTCAGATGGGGTTTTTGGTCCGCCGGCACACTCTGAGGTGGAAAAACCCTTGGGCGGGCGGGAAAGCGTTATCGCGGTTCATTTTCGCTCTGGTAGTCAGTCAGTCACGCAGGCAAGTAGTGGCTTGGCTTGGCTTTGAAAAGATCTGAGATTGTTTCTGGCTTTTTGCGCCATCCTAGGACCACCAGGCTCCCCCCTTGAGGACCTAAGGCCGTACTCCCGTCCCTTCCTGCATGTTGTTGTAACTCCGCCAGGCCTCCCTGGATCATGTGTCTATCTGATATCTGCGCGAAACAACAGACACGATCTAAAAAGGAAACAAAAAATAGAAAATGTCAAACCACTTATCACTGGCTATTCAGCACACAATGATCGACCCCGCCATCCGTGTCCTGATCCAACCCAAAATCAAAAGAGAAGCGAAGCTGTCTATCCACCGGGGAAACGGGTTCTCTATGCGGCTGATTATTGGTCAATGTTGTTAACGGATAGTCGTCCCGAACGCCTCGCAAGTTTATCCATCTATAGTAGTCCTGTTCATCATTCGTACATCGCCTGGTGCTGGTGGTCGTCCACTTCACCTCCGCCTAGGAGCGATCCATAAGATCTCCGCCAGCGATGCTGTTGGATGAGGAGCTGCGCCCGCTGCTGTTGAAGCCGTCGGGGGCCAGAAGGTCGTGCACTGCCACCTTGGGGACCTGGGGAACGGGAAGCTTCCGCTGGTTCCCGTCAGGCCTGCTCATGATGTCCGACAGCGACATACCGGTCCTCACAGGGGCGGCGCCGCTTGTGGGCGCCGGGCTTGGGAACTGCTGCTCGGGCTGAGGCTCCAGGGGTGCAAGCGCGGGGGTGTGGTGTCCTAGTGAGAGCTGTCTGAATGGGGGAAGCTCGTAGGTAGCCTGGTAGGACGGACGCAGGCGAGGCGAGTGGGCTGGCGTGGCAAGTGGCGTGTGATCCGGTGTGGGGGACAAGGAGTCATGTGAAAAAGTTGGCGACGAGGGAGCAGTGGAGTTGGGAGAGTTGGGCCTCGACCTCTTCGCGTGCCTGTAGGCGTGCGAGTAGTGGTCGTCGTGGTGCTCCTCCTGAGAGTTTGATCTCGACATGTGGTAGGCTGACAGCGAGGGCAGGTTGCCGCGAGAGCCGTGAGAGCTGTGCGAGTAATAGGGGTGGAACCTTGAAGAGTGGTGGCTTGCTGAAGGGGCCATCAGGTTGTCACGCTCAACCTGGTGGGCAGCCTTGGCGAGCATCGTGATGTCCATGGGCCCGCTGCCATGAGGGCTGCCAGCCGGGGCTCTTCCGAAGGGAGCAACAGTGTTGTGTGGCAGGACGAACTGAGAGTACGAGTGAGGGGGAGACACATTTGGCGACGACAGGGAGGAAGGCGGAGCGGAGCGGATGTTCTTTGGAGCTGGGGGCGGCATCATGTCGCCGGGCTGCAGACCACCCATCATCTGGTGAGGCTGCTGGCCCTTGTTGCCCCGTCTCGAGTTCGGGTTGCTGTGTATCCTCGAGTGTCGGGTCAGCTCGTCGGAGCGAGAGAACTTCTTGCTGCAGCCCGGGAAGTTGCAGGCGTGCGGCTTCTCGCCCGTGTGCGTCCTGATGTGTCTTGTCTGGTGCTCCAGGCGGTGGAAGGCCTTATCACAGAGCGGGCACTTGTACGGCCGTGGGAGCTCGTTGCTCACCTCGGCAGGCTGGCCGGTGGGCAGAGGCCCATTTGGACGGAGGACAGAGACGGAGGCCATGTCTGCTTCGTTGTGCTGCTGGGTGGGAGACTGCGACTGGCTGGTGCTGCCGCTGTTGGTGCCGCTGGGGGATTCCTGGTGTTCCTGAGCGGCGGCCGCTGAGGAATCGGGGTTCAGCAGATTTGCGAAATCTACTGCGGACTGTGACCGTTGCATGTGATCGCCCTTCTCTGGATTAACCAGACCCAACACGCCAACCGGTTAGATGGTCCTTGGTGACTGGACGTTGCGTTTCCTCGAAGCTGCTGCAGGCTTTGGCAGCAGTCGGGTTGTTGACGTAATGGTGGTGGCTGTGGATACTAGTCGTCGTCGTCGACAGTGGTGGTGGTGGTGGTGACGACGAGGGAGGGTCGACAGGGTTGTTGGTATTGCTGAGTCTTGTTGCAGAGATATGTGTGGGAGCCTGAAAGACTTTGGACCCGGTTGGGGCAGGTGTACTTAAGTACGTCGGGTGTTGTGGGAGGACCTTGAGCAGATTGGTTGTTGTAGGATTTGGAAACGGGTTGGGGAAAATCGGATCTCTCACTCTCTGGGGAAAGGGGGTTTTAGGGAGAAAAAAGAGGCAGCGGAGGCCCTTGGGGGGTGGGAGGAGGGGAGCCGAGATCTTTTTAAAAACGATCCATGTATGGCGCCTTTTTTCCCACCGTCAGGCTTGCGGGTCGCCCAAAGTCACAGCACGTAATGGACGGGTACAGTGCAGTGTGCAGCGCAACCAAGCCCAGCCCCAGCCCAGCGCAGTGCCCGCAGGACCCGAGGTACCAATGTACCTCGCCCGCCCAGCCTTTGCGCTGCCCGGTGGCCCCCCCAGTGGCCCCAGTGGGCTGCCCACACCCCGGTCTTGGGGGGCCACCCCTGACACACCTCCTGGGAGGGCCAGGGAGGGAGACTTCAAATCTGTGGAGAGCGCTGAGGTGACGACCGGGGGAGGGATGTACACAGGCAGGGCGGCATCTAAGCACCTGGCTGTGACTGCTGCAAGCCATCGCGGGGGTACACCTAACAACCGCCCCAGACAGGGAGCCCCGGGGTCCGACCTTCGAGGAGCCGAGTACATACCCAGGTACTTCGGTACTTTCCCTCCCGCTATACACAGTAGGGAGCGGTAGTATCTTTTCCCTCCCAGTCTGTCCGTCTGCCCACCTGCCCATCCTCTGCTGCCCCCCCCCCCCCATATCAGGAGCGTGGGGAGGAACAGCCTAGTAAAGTACCTAAGTAGAGTGACCCCCAAGACTGCCCCAGGGCTGGAACACACCACAATCAAAAACTAAGGTGTCAGACTGTCAGTAAGCCAACAATTAAATCCCATGCCAACACCGCCGGCGGTCAACACCATGCAGGCAGAGAGACACGCAGTAGCGTACAGAGAATGAATGGCAAAAAGGAAACCAGGAAGCAGACCAGGCCATCCGTCCTGCAGGCTCTCACATAATCATAACACAACATACTCCGCCCCGGCGCATTTTTGCTTTACCCTGGCAGTACTGTAACCCGCACGCACGGGTAGCCTTCATGCAACGGACCGGCAAGCAAAGGCAGCCAAGCAGCACCTCCTTCGACCACGTTCTCCCGCGGTGATGCACGTATGTACAGTACTGATATCATGCTGCGGTACTGTCAAAGTGTACCCCGTACTCCGTACAGGGACACATACCATCGGCTCAGAATCACCCCAGAGTCGTGACAGACACACAATCTGGGGTCCCCGCCCGGCCCCAAATGGTTGCCCCATGCCCAGCCGCGATGCCCACGCCCATGGAGACTGTCTGCCATGGCCCTCTTCCGCTAGCGGGGCGCTTATCTTGCCTGTCCCTTCGGCGTAATGCAGTACGGGGGGCTCGGGGGGGGCTTGCTTGGTGACTTCATCTGCTCACCCTGAGGGCAATCCTTTCCACGATGATGGGTATGGCTCCGCTCGCCTCAGGTACATTATCACAACGGACACGGGGGAAGCCCTGGGGTCCCACAACCGGCCGCCTCGAGACTACATTGATGCCGGATAAGCGGTTGTTGTGGGGAGATTGCCTTCCCACAAGCATGGGAACACTTGCAAGCCACACGGTCGAGCAACGCAACAACACCATTGGAGCGAGCTTGACGAAGAACGCCATCGATACCAGATGGAAATTGCTCAACCCTCTCACCTCCTTCGGTCGTTGATCAAGGGCCGGCGTGGTGGTATTACTGAAAGACTGGGTCATTGGTTGGACACGGGCGCTCACACAATCGCATCAACATGAAAGCAGACCTAAGCCTGGAGTTTTTATCTATGGCGGCTGAGACCCGCGGCATTTGCCATGATAACCTACCTGTGGGTGAATCTCGTCCACAGGGCACATCGCGACAGAGTGCGTCGAGATTGCGAGTCGTCAGGGAAATCCCCAAGAACCGCGATAACTAAGGCTGGGGCATTCCTTGGCCCACTGTCAGCTGTGTTTACCCGCGATACCACTACTCATATAACCCTTGGGGATGGGCCAACTCCGTCGGCTCGGCGCAACGACAGCAACAGCCCTTCTACCCGCGGCTATAGGGCGCGCTCGGGATTTTGCACCATGAATGATCAGATCAAACACTTCGGGTAGCTGAAGGGTTTGCGGAGAGTGGCCCGTGGGGGGGGGGCCTCCAGAGACCGGGGAACGGGGTGAACGATTGGGGGGGGGGGGGTCGACCGATTTCCCCAGACTGGTGACGCATGCTCTTGACCGTGTTATGCTGGACCATTGCGTGCTTGTGCGCTTGGGTGACTCTTCTTGCTTCCCCTGCCCAGGCTCTCCCATTTTCTAATTCAAGACTACACTAGAACAGCGTCTCCTTCGCCCTCGGCCTTCGGTGACAGTTACCCCAGCGCTTGTCACCGTGTCATCAGGGGCACGCAGGAGCCGCCATCGAAAGCCTAGGCCATCGTAGCTGCGGCCGATAAGAAGTCATCCTGGGGAAACGTGGGGAGAGCTACCTCAACCCGAGAAATCCTCGTGGGGGCGTGTGCCTAGAAAAGATAAGGAATCTGGCCGAGTGCGCTTCCTCCTATGGCCCAGAAGCTGAGGATGGACCTACCTCGCTCAAATTTCGGAGCCGCCTGAGAGGCCTGAAGCTTGCTAGAATTCCAACCATGACAACATCGACCATAGCAAAAATTTGCGTGTCTGCCTTTCAGAAGGCATGGCTGGCAACATAGCCCCACTTACAGCCATGTCTCATGGTGGCATGCCCGACTGCACTTCTCGCCCCATCCTGAAGCAGTCCAGCCTGCGAACTCGCGCACAAGTCTGCCTGCCAGCCAAAACAGGGGCAAACCTGCGGCAAAGCTCTGCCATAATGGCAAACCTTCACAGGCCTCTTGTGCGAGCCGCCTCCCGCTAGTTGGCCCTCTGGTTGCCACGGTGCATTTCATGACTAGATGCCGGGTGGAATATTTGAGCGTTGAGAATGGTCTGAGAGCATTTGGTCGGCTTCCAGTCCTTGCAGACCGCTGCATGCCCCAAGAAGAAAAGCGAGGCAGGCATGGCTCTCGTCCTTTACATTCTTGGAGTATCCTGGCCGCGCGGTCAACCTGTCTGTTGTCAGGTCTCTGGCGGTGGTTTTCCGACTTGCCTCGGCTGCATGCCCAGCCTGCCAGCTAGCAGTCGAGATCGGATCCGTCACTGCTGAATCACTGGAACGAGGGAGACTGGGGCCTCGGTTTCACAAAGGCTTACAAAGCCTATACTCAGGCTCGTGAGAAATACGCAGTAGTGACCCATCAAGGGCGGTTGCAGCCGTGCTGGTCAGCCACATGGTTCCTTGCGATAGCACATGTCAGCGTTCTACCCAGGCCCGTTGGCCGTTGGCTGATGGATATGCAGGCAGGCAGGCAGGGTGTGCGACCACAAAGCTTATCATTAGAGCATGAGTCTGGCCCGCGAGACATGACGTCGACAGACCACGCCAATGGTCAGTGTCTGCATAGTGTTCAAAGTCAAGTAGCGTATGCGGGCGTGGAATGCTGGCTTGGACATCGGTGCTGGCTGCTAACATGTGATGGCGGCGGAAGCTCGAACGCCCCCCTTCAAAAAAAAGAAGAAAAAAAGTACCGCTCCCCCGTTCGAATCTTGCCTTCCCCACGAGCTTGCACCTTTCGGCTGTGGGGAGCTGATCTAGGGCTGCCTGCCAAGCTGCAGGCGCTGGCCCTTTGAAACCGTATCCCCCCGATCCAGCCAGCGCGGCCAGTGTCAGTCTAGTCAGCGAGAGACGGACTTCCTGAACAGGAAGGCCGAACCAGTCGCAGCTTAACCCTCTGTCTACGAATAGCAACCAGCTGTCGCAACCCTCACTCAGCCTTGCCCGCCAAGTGCCGCCTTGGCATCGCAATGATGATCCCATCGCAGCGATGATTGCATTGTTTGATGACACGTCTGGACAACGAGTCATTTGAGACAGGTGGTCTGGACCACATCCGAGCGTCGCGAGATTCCTGCAGTGGCAGCACGCCTCCAGGTCTCGCAGGTCTCGCAGGTCCAGAGGGTGTTGGTGTTACGTCAAGCGTCCGCCTCCCTCCGTTCCCCCGTTCCCCCAGCCTGCCAGCTTGGCAGGGACGTCAAAAATCTGCTCGTCGACTCCGTATTTCTCGGGGAATTTCTGCGAGGAACTGCTGGACCTGCTGCGGCCATGATCTGGCAGCTGCCCTATCGACCGGCCTTCCATGCCCACGGGCAGACGGGCGTCGTCCGACGAAGGGAGCCCCTGTGGTGATCCTCCGTGGGCCGGTACGCTGCGCACAACATGTCCATGTCAATCGCGAGGTCTCGACCGACACCCTGCTGGGCTTGCCAGCCTGGCAGAGCCTGGCAGAGAAGGACCGTATATTTCCCCGGCTGAAATCGAGCTGTGAAATATAATTGACCGGGGCTCCACCGTCCTGGGGCCTGGGACTGGGCCCCAGTGCGGAATCCTGACAAGCCGTGGGTGCGTACGTAGCTATGCCACAGCATAGCATCAAAGCACATGGGGCTCTTTTTTGTCACTCCTTTCCCCAGTTTTGGCCCCACATTGCTCGCGATGCGAGTCTGCCCGAGGGCCTTTGGGGGCCGAATCTGGGCAGGGCGAAGCGCCCTCCTCGGCCATTACCACAGCGATTGCCTCTGCGCAATCTCGCCTACGCAGAGTATTGCAATAGCAGCCTCGCACGAGCCTGACCCTGGGGAAATCGCAATCACATGTTAGCACCGACTTTTTCTCCCTAGGCCAATGAGCTCACCAAGTCGGGATAGCTCCGGCCCTTTCAAAAGCGCTGCTGGGCTGGCAGGGCTGGCGGGCGGGCTGGCGGGCTGGCTGGCTGGCTGGCTGCACGCATCCATTGGCCCGAATGGGCCGAATTCGAGAATGGAACGTCAGGATCTGTCCTCCCGCACCCTAGCGAATGAAATGGCTATTTCGGCGCATGTATCTCCGTACACACATTCCTCTAACCCGTCCGGATGCTGTCCCTTGCAGCCGTCCTCAACGTGTTCCTGGCCAGCTTGGCCAAGCCATCCAGATCTGGGAGCGTTTCTCAATGTCGACTTCCAAATCGAGTCGACGGCGCTCAGAGAAAATTCGATGTGCGATCTCTAGCCTTGGCCTCTTCGCAGCCGGTTCCACCCGTTCCCAATCGTTGATTCGGAACTTGGGCGAAACGAGCCGCAAGTTTTGACCTACTTTACCTAGGGGTTTCGGTCGGAAGTCCCGGTACGCCTAAGGAAGCATTCAGGGCTGATCGTGTCATCTCTGTTGCAGGGAGGAGCCGACAGCCGCGCAAATCAACTGAACCAGAAGCAGACGGCGGCGGTGTCCCTCAGTCAGGCACACAATAGCATAACTGCCATGCCCAAAGAAACACCCAGGATCCTTGGGATGACTTGTCAGCGTCGTCAGCAGCGTGCCGAGGAAGTCGTTCATGATTTGTTGCCGGGCTCTCAACAACGACAACAAATCTGCCCCTGCCCCGGACACCGGTACAGCCCCAGAGGGAGACCACTGAGCGCCGGTAGCCCGCACCCCTTCCTTGACACTGTGGCTTCGGATTCCTTCCGACGGCCCATGAGGTGTTCGGTGGGAAATGTTTTCCAAATCCGACCTGGGGATAACAACACGCTAACACGCCAAGCGACTGCACGCTTATCGCTGCTCAGCCTCCGGCCAAGTCACTCTTGGGGGTCCTGATAGTAGACTCTGACAAGAGCGCATAAATTGTCTTCTGCTCGGCATATCCGCTAGTTTCCATGGCGCGTCCATGGTACCGACTGCAGCGCACACACGGTACTGGAAAGGCAGCGCCGCCGGGGCGCAACCACAGACCGTACCCCGAACATTGACCCCAGATGCCCACGTTGGAACGGCGGTTCCTCTTGATCTTTTATTTTTGGGGATGATAACATGCTATCGTTTCGCAGGTTTGGCCGCGGTTCCGTTAGGTTCTTCTACCTTCCTTCCCCTTTAGGCTGGGCTTCCCCTTATCTGAGCGGTAGTGCACACTACCTTGAGGAAAAGGTCCGGGATCCGACAAAATACGGAGTACGGAGTACGCACACGGGTCTCGAATCTCCTGAGGAGGCTTCGCGACCCCAGATTCTGCCCGGGGTCGATCATCAGGGGGCTCCAACTTGCGGGGTGGGAATGTTACATCCCAAGTCAGGGTCGCTGATAGCGGAATTGCAGGTCCACCGGAGTATTTGTCGTCGGCTGTCTGTCGTATCAACGGCCGACCTCGTCCTACCAACTGCCAGCGCTCGTGCTGAGTGGCTTCAGCAGGCGGGACCCGATGACAATTGGCTTACAGGCCCGCCTCGCATTTGTGAGCCAGCAGCCCGCTGTCAGCTGACATGGCAATAGTGCGAGAGGAGAATTTTCCCGAGCGTCTCGAGGGGGCTCTTTCTTGTGGTCCCCTAGATGCAGCGACCTCATCAGCGACGGCCAGTCTGCTGGCGAGCAAGGGCCCAAAGGGACCCCCACGACCCACGCACCGCCTTGACCACGCAATCTCGCTGCAGCTGTCCGTCCACGACATGGCCTCTGAAACCCCGTACCCTCTGCCCTCGGCAAACGTCGTGGCCCGGTGGGGGAAGCCCCAGAGACACGAGAAACAGCCAGCGTTGGGAAATTTGGATGCTACTAGGCGGACCGGCGAGTAACACAGTGTGTGGTGCAACACGCCGCTCTCCCCAGACATACGCCGGGGCCGACGTGGTCGCAGTAATTGTTCCGGGAAATCAGGGGGGAAGTGAGATGTCACTTCTGTGAGAAAAGGGCGTGGAGGCGTATCCGTACACCGTAACCGTAGACCCCTAGCTGTGGAAATCAGATGCAACGGCGAACGAAGAAAGCTCTTTTCAGTGGACCACGGCTGCTGGCCTCGCATCGTACCCACCGACCTGAAGCTTACATTGGGGAGCCTGCAGGAACATTTGGGTTTCGAAAGATGCCATCAGCATCTAGGGCATCAACAGCTATTGTGGTGAATGTGGTCAAATGTATTCCATGATGACGAGTTCAGCGAAGCTCGAGATAATCCATGTACCTATGTACCCCACATGCTTGCTCTAGCATGTGCAGTCGAGAATGTGGGGGAGGCGCGTCTAAAAAGTCCATTTCGAGGACCACGCCCCTTCCCGCCGCGGGCAACTCCCAACAGCTCGCAGCACCGGGGATCGCGTTTCTGAATGAGACAAGAATTCCTGCAAACATCGACCAGAAAGAGACCCTGATTGTCAAAGCTTGACCTGCCCTTGCTCGTTCCCCGGAGTCAAGGCGGTGGTGTGCGCCATGGAGTACCACGAGCGGCATGGGCACGACGTCTGCAGTTTTGACCTGCCCTCAACGCGTACGTAAATCGAAGCATTGTCAGCTGTTTTTTTGCCGCCCACGGTTGTGACGGGTTCAACGCTGATACCATGCTCAGACCGCCTGCCGACCGTCTCGGCTGCACAGGCTCTCGAGGACCTGGATGCCAATGTTTCGAGATTCGTGTCGACCAATCTCCCCGACTTGGACAATGCCTTAGCCGCCGGTGCTGCTGCCAGCAGCTCGCCCGGCGAGGAGGGGGCCAGTGCAGGTGGCATACACAAGGGCCACCTCACCGAGATCTGGGGGCCCCCCGGGGTGGGGAAGACTGCCTTTGGCATCCAGGCCGCCGCGGACGTCCTACGGGGTGGCAAGGGCGTCGTCTGGGTAGGTCAGTAAGCCGCCTGCCGTCTCTTCGCCACCAGGCTCCAGGCTCCAGGCTCCAGGCTAATGCTGAAGCTGCAGACTGCTTCTTTCCCGTCTCCCGCGATCGATTGACAGAAGTGTGCCGGGCCGGGGCTGCTGGCGGTGAGGATGCTGCATCAGACCATCTCGACGGATTCGTCCATTATTCCTGTCCTAGTCTTGCGCACTTCATCGCCCTTGTATGCCGGCCCACCCGGTCCTGCATCCCGCCAGGAACTGCTCTCATTGTTGTTGATTCGCTTTCTGCACTGCTAAATCATGCATTTCCAAGGCTACCGGCTCAGAAAGCTGCGCCAAAGCCCAGCGGCAAGGGCGAGTAACACCACGCCCGCGGTCCTCAGAGCTATGCTAACTATACTAGGTCCCTCCATGTCCTCTAAGCGACTGCAGATGCTTCAATACGTAGTTGGTGCCCTACAGAAGCTAGCTGCGACTCGTGATGTTGCAGTAGTCATCCTCTCCCAATGTGCAACAAGGATGCAGGCGGAGCGAGGTGCGACTCTCATACCTGCCATCAACGCTAATGTCTGGGAACAAGGCATCGCCACGAGGGTGGCGCTGCTCAGAGACTGGATGTGGGACGATGGGCATCCATACGGTGCTCGCCTTGCCGCAGTCCAGAAGGTGAATGGCATGACGGCCGCAGATGGTCTGGACAGGCTCTTCGCTTTCAGTATCGACTCGGTAGGTCGCGTCGCTCCTTGCCTTGTCCGGTACCTGCTGCATGCTGATGGCTCCAGACGGGTTTGGTCCCGGCCCATTTTGACGGACACGCTGCATCTTCCGGTCCCAAACGAAAGCTGGGCGAGACGGGTTTCGAGGTCGTCGATAGCGAAGATGAGGACTACGGCTGGCAAGAGAAGGACTCTAGCCTGTTGCCAGGGATGCCTCCCCAGTGGCAGGGTAGTGAAGACCTCATACTTGGTCAACCACACCACGAGACTGAAGGAGACAGCCAAGTCGAAGACTCCGAGTTGGAGAACGGCAATCTCTCCGACGATGAGGAATGAATCGCCTCTAGTCGCCGGTCTTGATGCTCCACCCGAAAGACCACCGCGACAAAACTCCAAAAAGTCACCATCGTGAGGACGGTCAAGGCGTACACCCGTATAATTTGACGTTGGCTCAACCACAGTAAGGCCGAGTCGTCGTCCCCAGGCGGCCCCGCTCATACAATCTTAAAATGCTGGGGTAAAATATCGCGGGTCGGCCGAATGTCGGTACGATAGGCCCTTCTGTGGAACCAGTTGTACCGGACTACAATATCGGCCAATTCCGCTCGCCTTCCCGCCAAAATACTCGGTCCTTGTGCAATGACAATGGGCCCGAAGAGCGCTTTTTCAAGTTGGCCGCTGTCGACAGTGCGACAATCCCGTGGCACATTCTGACTAGGTCCTCTCCTGAACCACTCAAGCTGACTACCGACGGCGCACAACATGCCTGCAACATAGTGTGACCGTCGAGAAGAGAACAGGCTTCCTGAGCTTCTGGAAACTGGACCTGCATATGTGTGCATGGATATCGTCGCGCGAGGCCTCTAACGGAGGTGATCTGCGCTCCCTGCATATCACCCGTCGAGTCTCCATAGAGGGCTTGGCCTCCGAAAGATATCACGACTCAGTATTGGCCCCTTTAGGAAGTCGACATTTTATGCGCTGTCATGACCCGCGTTCAGCAATAGTTGCAGATTGGCAACATGCCTGGTTGGCGGATTGGCGGGTTACTCTGGGGACACTTGAAGCTTGCCGCTGGCAGACGGTCACGGAGGTGAGGCTAGCCGTGAGGGTTGACATCACCACCTCTATAACGCGCGTGCGCGATCCACGTTGGCACACTACGGAGTACTGTGTGGCACAATAAATTCGAGATTGTACACTACATCCTCCTGGTGTGTGGGTCTCGGTCTGCTGCACGTCGGCGACAAGCCGAGGCTTGCTTGACCAGGGCTGGGAGGGTGTGCAGAGAGATTGATATTTGGACACCGTGGTGTATAGCACCGCCTTGGTTCGCCCTCTTGCAGATGCGGGAGACTGGAAAAGGCCAGCACCGAAAAAGCCGGATCTCATGGGTTGCATTTGTTCCGCAATGTGGACGCTGCAAGTTACCAGAAGCATCTGATATCTGAGGAGTCTGGCACCACTTTCCCCTCCTAGTGGCATGGTTAGACAGCGGATCTACCCGGCCTCGACCAAGGACCCGGCTGCGGCAGGGATCAGCAACACACATTTTCTTTCGTCAAGCTTGCGACTCACAGCCTTTGCGCCGCTGCAGTATTAGTGACTCCTCGATGGCTACAGCTTGCATCTTAATGCAAGCAAGCTTTCCCGTTCTTCCGCCCAGCCACTATTTGTCCCTCGATCGGCTGCATCGGACGCCTCCAGGTGGTGGAGGGCGGGCCCCTATTCACACTCGCTCCAAACTGAACGTGGTTCAGCGAAAGTCTAGGATGATATTCGGCCGATTCGCAAGCATGTGATCGCCCTTTTCAGCGCCTCCGAACACCTCATGGCAACATCTTCTTAATAAGGCACAAATGGTGTCTTCATATCGGTTCTGTGTTCTTGACCCGCTTGTGATGTGTACCGAGATATATAATATATACATCTCTCGTGCAATGTCGGTCGGCGCCGCAAAGTTGTGGAGCCCGCCTGCTGCGAAGCCTCTCATGTCCAAGGCAGAGACGCCTCTGGGGTGATCTCGGGACTGAGAATGGTCTGACGTCCCCGCATTGGCGGGGGACACATTGCGCCAGATGGTCCCCCAGATTTTGCTATGCAACCTCCCTGGCCACGCCGGCACTGTGCGAGGGACGTTGGTCCAGATGTATACGAGACATCAGATCGATGAGACAGCCACCATCTCGCTGCGTACTGCCGGGTCTCCAAGCGGGTGATCTGCAAGAGTTGACTGCGGCGGTTAGTGGGGGAGAGGGAGGTCTGGAACCTACCGGCGCATGGCTATCAGTCGTCACAGCAGTATAAAACAGGCTGTCTTGGTGTGTGCATCCTTGTACCGGTCTGCTGGGGGACAATGAGAGCATAACGGGGGCCAGGCAGCCCCCGTGGTTATGTACTCGGCGCCCGATCCGGAGCTCGCTACCTCTCTTCCTGACCAGCCCGAGAACTGGAATACGGCTCACGAGTGGACACGCAGGTCACCCTGGTGCATACGGCCCTTTTTCCCCGTCGGCGATCCCTGGATCTGAGCAAGATTTCACATGCGACTGTGTGCATTGAGGTAAGGAGTTCTGAGGGTTCGGCTTGGCTGGAAACTTAGACCTGCTGTCGGGTCCAGTGGTCGGGATGTGAGTGGTCTCTGCGTACTCTTGAGTGTCAAGCGTAACGTCGGGAAGCATGGCGGGATGACGCGAGAGCTTACGGAATCCGAGGAACAAGGTTTTGGTGGGTGCCGTGGGTGTAGGCCTTGCATGTGCCTGTGTTCATTCCTGTTGGCCGTCGAGCGCCAGGCAGTCTCGCGATGCGGTGACGTGTTGTTGAATATCACCACTGCGGTGGGAAGATGGCAGCTACTGGCTGTGCATATCAATTTGATGACGAGGGACCGTCGCAGGTAGGCATGAATCTTTAAACGTCCAGCAAACTGGCATGTGTGGGAATATCTCACGATAAAGATGCGAGGGCACCTCGGAGTGACCGCGTCGGAATGAACAGGTCCATTTCCAAGCTCCGCCCTTCCCCTCGGGCCCGGGGGAGAAACAAGAAGGTTACGCCCCACAGACTACAGAAAGTAAAGCAGGTACAATCTATCCATGTCCCTCTACATGGGATATACACGACATTGGAGGCCCCATCAACAAGCACACACGCACGCACACAAAAGCTTGCTCACTTCCTCTCACTCACTCCCTCCCGCGACCTTCCCTGGACCGGGCCCAAGTGGATGGGACGGCAACGTAACTTTGAGGGCTAGAGCTGCGCTCACATGCGTCAACGAAGACAGACGTTCCCCTGTGACTTACGCCAAGATGGGCGATGTAAATGATATACTTCTTAACGGCGTGTCATGGCTGTTGCTTTTCTCTTGTCCCGGCCAGAGGATGGATTCACATGGGAGGGCAGTGAACACAACCCACCCCTCCCAACATTTCTTGGTGAACGAATATGGACTATACACACCCACTCCTTCTTTGAACAAGTTGTGGCATGAAATGAAAGCACAGTATTTTTCTTTCCGGCTGTTATTGTTGGCAGGCAGGCAGGTAGTCAAGCATGAAGCCAGCCCATCTCTCGGCCTTTGGCTTTGCACCCTCGAACCGTACGAGTACACATACCTCCATGAGCTCCGTCAGTTCATGCTTTCCCTTTGCTGATCGTTTAATGACCATCCATTTCGCCATGCGGAGCGGACTGGGCCAGTATCCCCTTGTCTCCGGGCCGAGGCTGCATGAGCGGAGGGCCACTTCGGACGCTCGCTCGGAACCTTGGGGTTACGCACAGCTGTTGGCGAGAGCCGTGCTTCTCTTGGCCGGCCTGAGTCTCCAGTAAGGAGGGCAGATACAGACAGTTCGGACAGAGTAGGGCATCTCTGGTCTGGGCGAGGGCCGGGGAGGCGATATTCCCCGTTTGTGGGTGGGGTTTTGTTTATGTCCCCCGGAACCAGAACGCATGACTGAGCACGCTGTGCCTCGCGGTCACGGCAGCGAGACCGAGGCTCGGGCAAAGGTTGCTGATGAGGCATAGATGTTGCGTTGGTATGGTATGGTTAAGCTGAGGGAGGGGGGCCCGGACAACGGTCCTCGTGGCAAGTCTCCTTCTCGCTGAGACTAGTGCAGGCACTGAGACGGCAGCGCTGACACCCGATCGTTTCGTCCGTCAGGGAGGCGTTGAGTGCGCCGCCTGTGATGAGGTGCTGCCGTTCCTGCACGCTCGCGGGGCCACAGTCTCCAGGGAACATGCGAACCGCCGTGCTTCGGGGGGAGGGGGGGGGGGAGTGGGCATTCTCGTGCGATGGAGCAGCCTCGACCCGACGCCTCATTTTCCTCCAGTGAGCCGCTATTGAGGAGTCGACTGGATCCTTCGAACCCATCGAGGAGCTGATCCCCAAGTTAAACATTGTGGATTCGGTGCTGTCGACGAGGGGGGTCCTGACATGCCACTTGGAACTCCTTGCTCCAAAGCGGTTCAAGATTTTTAAAGAATTGTTTGCTTTTGATCAATCCCATCTATTACATAACCAATCTATTTCCCCTCGTAGCCTCACATCGCTTGCTGCGCGGCTCCGAGTCCGCCTCGTGTGTGTGTGTGTGTGCCCCCTCCAAACGCCGTTCAACCCATGGACGAGATCATCATCACCAAATCGCGTGCGTCATCCCTTATAATATGTCGTCCCTCGGACTGCCCCACGCGCTACCGTCACGCAGTCCCGTCTCCGAAACACACCCTCGCTCCGCATTCGTGCTGCTCAGTTGCCCAAGTAGCTCCGGATCGCGCCTTGCAGCTTGGTGGCGCCCTCTCCCAGCACCTGGGTCAGGTTCTCTAGGTCGTCGCCGGCGGTGATGCCGAATTTCCGCACAAAGTCCTTGGCGGCGCTCTCCAGGTCGCCGTAGTCCTCGCCGTTGTCCTCGTCCTCGGGTCGGCCGAAGTAGGCGTTGGAGGAGATGGCGGTGGCGCCCTCGAAGCCTTGCAGGCGGGTCTTGGCCTCGGCCTGCGCGTTGGGGTCGTACTGACCCTTGCCGAAGAACTCGTCGGAAGAGATGCCCTTCTGGTTTCCGAACTTGCTTCGCGCATAGTTCTCGCCGTCATCTGTGTTCGCGTCAGCGGACTACTCAGTCGTATTGGGGCGAGCAGAGAACATACCGTTGGAGGAGGAAGCCTTGATAGGCCCAACAGACCCAAAACCGCGGGCTGCTTCTTTCTTTGGCTGTGCCGCAGCCTTCTGGCCCCCGATTTGTCCGAAACCCAGACGGCCCATTCCCATGCCTAGTCGCTCCATCTCCGAGGCGGACTTCTCGCGTGTGTGGGACGCCGAACCGTAGCCTCCACGTGGCGGGCTGACAGGGGTGGGCGAGACGATGTTGCCGGAGTCGCTCTTGTTCGCACCAGCCTTCTTGGCCTCGGCAGCCTCCTCATCGGGGTTGTAGCCCAGCTTCTCGATGCGCTCTGCCTCCTCCCTAGCCTTCTTCTCGGCCTCGTCGAAGTCGATGTCGGCAGTGGTGACCTTCTTCGCGCCGAGCTTGGAGCCCGCCTTCTTTGCGCCCAGCACGTTCGTCTTCCTGGCGCCGGTCGTGCCTTTCTTCAGTGCCGCGGAGTGTGTTATACGGCTGGCGGCAGGCTTGGATTCGGTGGAGTCGGTTCGAGAAAGAGGCGAGGCGGTGCGAGCGATATCCTTTCCAGCACCGTTGGAGTCTCCAGCCTTGAGGAAAGGTGACGGTGTGCGACCAATGGCAGACGGGGTGCCAGTTCGGGAGACGGGAGGGGTGGGCTTCTTGATGGCCGGCTTATCCCAGGAAGAAAAGAAGTCGTCATCAGGCTCGCCAGCAGGAGTGGAGGTTCCATCATCGACCTCGCCATCAATGACAACCTCGCCTGGATACCTAAGGGGGCGGTCAGTCATGTGGTCATGCAAACACACGTGGGGGGGGCGCTCCCGACATACTCTTGGGCATCCCTAGCTGCCCGCTTCTTGAGCTCCTCCTTGTACTTGGTTGCGGCGTTGGACTGGTACTTGGTCTTGGGGTCCTTGCTGTTCAGGGCGGCGGTCCCGCCATTCTGCTGGAAGAACTTGGTGGCAGACTCGTTGCCGCCAACCTTCATGACACGGAGCTGGTCCCATTGCCATTCTATCCCGTAATCAGCGGCGGCGCCGGATGTGTGGGTTTCGCAGAGGACACTTACGGTCGAGGTTGGTGGATCGAACAAAGGAGATGTGGACACCGAGGTTTCGATGGTTGGAGGAACAGTCAAGGCAGAGATAGATGCCTAGAGGTACGGATGTCCATGTTGGGTTCTTCTGTCCACAATCGAAACAGATCTGTGTGGGAAGCACAGGTCAGCAGTGGTCGGCGGGAGGATGTAGGAGACTCGAAGTGGCCGCAGCGGCGATAAGCTTCCCGGGACAAGCTGAGGGCACATTGCGTAGGACAGCACGAACCTTGTTTGCTGGCTTCGTCTTCAACTTCTCGAAGATCTTCAGCGACTGCTGCTTGGACGCAAGCCCGCTCATTTTGGCGACGGAGGACGGTCGACTCTGTAAGAAGGGATACCGAGCTTTCTGAGAGTTTCCGGCGATAAGGACTGGATTTTTGGTTTCTGTGCTTCCCGGAGGCGACGGGCGGTAGTTGAGCAAGTGGGCGGACGGCGGGATGCTGCGAGATGGATTAAGGGGTTGAAAGGGACAGCGCGACGAATTAATTGCAGTGAAGCCCAATGCTACCGACTAGGCGCAAGGTCGGTCCCGCACGGCGCCAGCGCCAGCGGCCAGCCGCCAAGCCAACACCCACTCTGCCTCTCTTTGCTGTGTGGTGGCTTATTGATTCGGGTCTAGCCGTCCTGGGACTAGCGCATCGGGCCCAGCATCCAAGCTCCAGATTCTTGGGCTGCTACTACGCAGTGCCTGCTGTGAAATAGTGGGACATCTGATGAACCCACCTCGGTCACTCACACAAGGGAAAAGCTGTAACCTCATCACTGCGTTCACGTATTCTCACACGCAGTCCCTCCTTCTCATTTGCCCCTGAGCAATGGAAGCTTCACAGCAGCCAGGATGAAGACAATCGCAACCGCGTCAATCCTGCGGCCGGCCACCATCGCCAGCAGCTGTCACCCGGTGCTGCTGCCCCTCGCCGCGCGGAGGAGTTATGCGGCGCAGGGGGGCTCCTCGACCACCTCGAAACGCCGCTCCGTGACCCCCTTCAACGACAATGGCCACGTGCCGTGGACCCAGCTGTCAGCAGCGGAAAAGGCAGGGAGGGCGGCGCAGCAGTCCTTCAACTTTGGTTTCATCTTGGTCGGCGTCGGCCTGACCGGCGTCGTCGGCTACTTCCTCTTCACCGACGTCTTCTCCCCCGAGAGCAAGACCACCTATTTCAACCGTGCCGTCGACCGCATCAGGAAGGACCACCGGTGCCTCGAGCTGCTCGGGGACGGCAAGAAGATCAGGGCGCACGGCGAGGAGACCAACAACAGATGGGCTAGGTCGCGGCCCATCGCCTCCACGGAGAGGACGGACTCCATGGGGGCCCACCACCTTCTGATGCACTTTTATGTGAGTGCCGATTGTGTTTGGTCCTGTCATAGTCTCTAGGACTTTTACTGACTATCGAAAAGCTGGAGGGCCCGCTCAACAAGGGCTCGGCGCATATACATCTCATCAGATATGCCGGGCAGAGTGAGCACCAGTACAAGTATTTTTACGTGGACGTCAAGGGGCACCAGAGGATATACCTCGAGAACGCCGATACCAAACCGCGCGAGGAAGGCGGCAGAGGGACCAAGTTGTTTGGTATCAAATGGAGTTGATGCGCAATTTGTGACGCTAAAGGTGCTCCTATACCATGGCCGGTCGATCAGCAAGCAAGATCGCTAATTAGCCAGCTGACAGCTGTGCTCCTATGAATACTGTACAATATGGACAAGTCTACAAGCGTTCCCAATTCTCTTCACAGTGAATGTATATGTTGTAAACGAGACTACTGCACAACCCTTCAAAAAACACGTTACAAATGTCGCATCGACGGGAGTTGTCAAGAAAGGCCCTCAGCGAGGACGAGTACAAGTGCGCGGTGACATGGTGGGTCCAAAACGGTCATACTCATTTTCTCATTCTCTGAACGCCCTTGTATCGTCTAACACGACAACGAAGACATCTTGCAATGCGACTCCTATAGCTCTCGGCCCAGCTTATATGGCCCACGCATCTCTCATCATAAGGAGATGCGATGCAATATTGAGATACACGGAGAGAGAGAAAAAATAAAAATAAAAAGAATCCGAGAGTTATTTTCATTTACAGCTTCGATGAGACCTTGACCAGCTGGCTTCCCCGCTGCAGCGACGCGGCGGCGTCGGTGACAAACTCATCCACGATCTCCTTGGCGCTCTTCTTCTCGTTGCAGACGGCGGCGCACTGGCCCATGAGGAAGGGGCGGAACTGGTCCATGAGCTCGTCGACGTCGACGTCCTCGACGGTGGCGCCGCCGACGTCGAGGCCCTTGGGGGGCTCCTTCATGTCGCCGTTCATGACGCTGTCGAGGTCCTTCTCGTAGGGCAGGACGCCCTTGGCGGTCAGCTCCCTGATCTCGTCCTGGCGCTGGGTCTCCCAGTTGACGATGTAGGGGTTCTTGCGGACGCGCAGGGGGCGGCCGGTGAAGATGAGGGTGCGGATGGTGTCGTCGAAGCTGGCGGTGCGGACGGCCTCCTTGTGGGCCTCGGGGGCGCCGGCCTCCTCGGCCAGGATGAAGCGGGTGCCGACCCAGACGGCGCTGGCGCCCATCATGAGCGAGGCGGCCAGCAGGTTGCCGTTGTGGATGCCGCCGGCGGCGATGACCTGGACGGGCTGGCCAGTCAGGGGGCTCTTGTGGCCCCTGACGGCCTCGACGACGGCGGGGATCAGGATGGTGGTGGCGACGTCGCCGGTGTGGCCGCCGCCCTCGCCGCCCTGGGCGCAGATGATGTCGACGCCCAGGTCGAGGCACTTCTTGACGTGCTTGGGGTGGCCGATCATGTTCATGTACAGGATGCCGTTCTTGTGCAGGCGCTCGACGACGTGCTTGGGGGGGACGCCGACGGCGGAGACGAACAGCTTGGCGCCGCTCTCGATGACAATATCGACCAGCTGGTCCAGCTTGCCCTTGGTGTAGTCGTAGTTGGTCTTGCGGGCGTTGCCGCCGACCTGGGGGAGCAGCAGGTCGACGCCGAAGGGGGCGGACTTGTCGGTCAGGTAGGACTTGAGCTCGTCGATCTGGTCCTTGAGCATCTCAGGGGTGTAGCCGACACCGCCGATGACGCCCATGCCGCCGGCGTTGGTGACAGCAGCGGCCAGCTTGGGCCCCGCGGCAACGTTCATGCCGGCGAGCAGGACGGGGTGGTTGATCTTGAGAAGATCGGTGATGGGGGTGCGGATTTTCTCTACATTTTGAGGACAGCTGTCAGTCCACGCTCAACCGGCGGTATGCGGGAGGAGAGGCGGGACGCAAAGGGGGGGGGGATGGGAATACGCACGTGGTGAAGCCATCTTGAGGGTATCTGTATTTGCGCTTGCGCTTGTTGTTATGTACAAACCGGGTTCAACGGGATACTGATTCCAGAGCGACCAAGGAAATTTGAAGATGAAGGAAAAAGAAATATGAGGCACGTTCCCGAGAGGGAGAAGGGGGAGGCGGCGGAGGCGGCGCGAGCGGGAACATCGTGCGAACACACATGTTTGGCGGTTGGGGTGTGGGGACAGGATCTGGGGTACTGTGAGCCGAGGCACAGGCTCGGTCGTCTGACGATTGGGAGCCCGGCACATCGATGCGACGGAGCAAATCCCACGTTCAGGGTCGCAGCATCGCCGCCGTGCAGAACGTGCCGAGGCACTTTGCTAGTGATGCACCTGCAAGACTTGGCATTTTTGACTTTATGAATCGTTGATCCGCTCCGGTCTGTTTGTTAGTGTAGTGTCCAGTCTATTAGATCAGAGGTGAGACTTGGTCAAGTCCTCCCTTGGTAGGTAAAGGACAGGCACAGACACCCCTCGACCAGGCGTTCGGGTCCCGCTAATACCCGGTGTGCTCTGCGGCAAGTGCCCCATTGTATTCCGCTCGCTTGGCCCAACCTGGGCTGGCTCAGTCTGGCTGGTGCAGTGGTCTTGGAGTATTGGAGCCTCAAAGGGCGGGCGGTAGGGCGGGACTGAGTCGAGTCTCAGGCTGTTTTCGGGGGCCGGCCAGGCCTATTGTCGACACGATTCACCCAATCATGACTCGACCCTCTCGGGAAACGGGCCACCTGAGAGGCGAATGTTAGACCTGATTCTCATCAACCTCCCCCGGCTTGATGAATATGAGAGCCTTCTCATTTGTTTTCTCACCTCGTCCCCTGTCCTCGAGAATATGTAGCAATGTCGTTAGAGTGGCGCCCTCAAGGTCTGCATCAGCTCGAGCTCAGGCCCGACTCCCTTCCTCGGCCGTAGTCAGCGCCATCGCCAGCGCGAAAAAATCCTTCTCATCCTCGACCCCGAGGCCAAAATCATTCACCCGGTATACTCTGCCTGCACAGATCCGCATAGACCGTGCCAGCGACATGACCGCCGACAAGAGGCCTCACAGGGCCTATATTGCCCTGGGCAGCAACCTCGGCGACCGCATCGCCGAGATCGAGAGGGCATGCCGTGAGATGGACGCCAGGGGCATCAGGGTGAAGCGGACGAGCAGCCTGTGGGAGACAGAGCCCATGTATGTCACAGACCAGGACCGCTTTGTCAATGGGGCCTGCGAGGTTGGTAATAATAAACCCATGTGCAAGTGATGGCCCAGTCGACTTACACGGAACAGGTCGAGACAACCCTGGAGCCCCTCGACCTTCTGGACCAGCTTCAGGATATCGAGAACTCTATGGGCCGCAACAAGGTGATCGACAAGGGGCCGAGGAATATCGATCTTGATATCCTACTATACGACGACCAGGTCGTCGATCATGAGAGACTCAAGGTCCCACATATCGGCATTCCGGAGAGGGAGTTCGTGCTCCGCCCTCTGGCAGAGTGAGTGGATGAGTTCTTTCTCTGCCCGTGGCTGGCTTGCTTTGACTTACAACGTGCAGACTCATCCCTACCAAGGCATTATACCCTCAAAACCCTTGGAAGTTCACCCAGGACTACCTCAATGAGCTCCCACCATCGTCACCACCTCTGACAACGCTCACGCCCCTGTCGCCATCTCAGCCCCCCCTGCAGGCCTTCAAGTCGTCCCGCAAGACCCACGTCATGGCCATCCTCAACATGACGCCCGACTCCTTCTCCGACGGCGGCCTGCACCCGGCCTCGACACAGCCGAGCCTCGCAGACACCATCCGGTCCTTTGTCGCATCCGGGGCGACCATGATCGACGTCGGCGGCCAGTCCACGGCGCCCAACCGCCCCGAGGTCACCGCCGCCGAGGAGCTCGCCCGCGTCCTGCCCGCCATCAAGCTCATCCGCTCCATCCCGGAGGCGAGGGACGTCCTCATCAGCGTGGACACGTACCGCGCCTCCGTGGCCGAGGCGGCATCCGAGGCCGGCGCCGACATCATCAACGACGTGTCGGCCGGCGCCATGGACCCGGACATGCTGCCGACCGTGGCGCGGCTGGGCAAGACGGTGTGCCTGATGCACATGCGCGGCACGCCGGCCACGATGAGCAAGCTGAACGACTACGGCAGCGGCGGCGGCGGCGGCGGCAGCAGCGGCAGCGAGGACCTGCCGCCGCTCACGGGCGACGGGCTGATCCCGGCCGTCGCGCGGGAGCTGCTGGAGCGCGTGGCGGCGGCGGAGGCGGCGGGCGTGCGCAGGTGGCGCATCATCCTCGACCCGGGGCTGGGCTTCGCCAAGCTGGGCGAGCAGAACCTGTCCATCCTGCGGCACCTGCACGAGCTGCGGTCCTGGCCGGGCCTGCGGGGCCTCCCCTGGCTGGTGGGCTCGAGCAGGAAGAGCTTCGTCGGCAAGTTCACGGGCGTGTCGAGGCCCGCCGACCGCATCTGGGGCACCGCGGCCACGGTCGCCGCCGCCGTCGAGGGGGGCGCCGACGTCGTGAGGGTGCACGATGTCAAGGAGATGGGCCAGGTCGTCAGGATGTCTGATGCCATCTGGAGATACTAGGGATGGGAGGGGACCCACCCCGTGGACAGGCGAGAAGAACTAGGATCACAGGATCACTGGAGAAGGGTGGGAGTGTGGGAGAGGTCGAGGTGGAAGGGTAGGGGGTGAGGGCCGGGCGGCTCTGGGTGGGCCATGATGCTCCCGACCCTCCAACTACGCTTGGTGGCTTGAGATCCTCACACACCCATCAAGATACAGGCCGGCCCGATGAGCGGATGGGCCAAAGTCCAGAGATCGTGGTGCCATCTATAGGGGAGGGGGGGGGGGAACAGACAGTCACAAAACAAAAAAAAAATGACAATGATTCCCACCTTGCATTGTGGCCCGATCGGATGCATCTCCCTTAATTTCCGAACAAATCAACTCTGCGGTTGCCGTCCGTCGACACTGGGAGACCAAGCGAAGGCGGCCTGCCTGCCCGCCTGCTGCTCCTGCATACCGTACAGGGTAAGAGACTGCGGTCCCTATCCGCAGCAAGCAAGGACGGCTAATCACATCGCCTGCTTTACTCGCTTCGTCGCCTTGCACACACACACTCCCAGATCGCCCCAGTGTTATGCAGATCGCGTCCCCACCCCCTCCCCAAGAGGCATCAAGCACTAAGCGTTGGTGTGTGTGTGTGTGTGTGTGTGGGTATGTGGGTGGTTTGGCGCCCGGATGGGGCACCCATGCGAGAGGCTTCTTCTTTACCGACCCATCCTACAGTCTGCGTTGTATAATATGGGCGGCCGCTCCAACACGCGCTCGCTCGTCTACGATGGAACCTTGTCGTCGACAGACATTCAATAAAAAGGCTCGGCGCGCGCGAAGTGTTGCCCTCGCCCGCGCGAAGCATGTGCCTCTTGCCTCTCTGCCCTGCTCCGGACCAGCATTTGACGAGAGGGGCATGCGCCCACCCGGGACAGACCGTATGTATTTATGCACATGTAAGTATGTGTTGATCCATGTGTGGCCAGGCCATTGTTCACTGACCTCTCCTGGATCTGGGATCTATATCCGCCATCGCGAAAACCCCCAAGAAAAGAATTGATTCCCTCCCTCTTCCTGCCGACCCCCCTGGGCCTTCGATGAGTAATTGCTCTACCGCTTTCCTGCTTGTGCCTGCACTGCACTGCACTGCACTGCCACGCCCTGTACCTGAGGCCGGCGTCGGCGGGCGGACATTGCATTTCCGAACCTCCTCGACACTGTATGCACGATGCGGTCCGAAGTAGGGAGGCAGGTGAAGGGGCAGGCAAAGACACACGAGAGAGAGAGGGAGAGGAGAACAAAACCCCATCCCATCCTTTCCCGGTTTTCCACCCCCGACCTCGTCCCGTCGCGTGACCGGCAAGAATGACGCAGCCGGTGAAGCTGCGACTTTCTTCACCGGGCGCAAGCAAGCGTTGGGGAAGGCATTGACACGCATGTCGCCGGCACCGGGAGAGAAAGAAATTGTTTCGGAAAATTCACTCCGGGATTTCTGTTGCCCATTGCCCCAACACGGAAAATTTCCTTTGAAAAGGGGCCAGGAGGACGAGGTCCGCCCACACTACACTCACGCACGGGCAAAAACAAAAGAAAAAAGGGCGATGAGAGGCAGTGCAGCGTTTGCGATGTGCCGGTACTCGCTTGTGGGACGTGCAGAATGGGGCGACTCACAGCCACGATACTTGAGCGTAATGAAGGCCGATGCGAATGTCGATCAGGAGAACAGAGGAGAGGGGGCCTTTGTCGGTAGCGGCTGCAGAGTAGACTCTGCCGGCAAGTCAGGATTGGCATCAGTTTTCTGGGCAGGCAGATTCCCTGAATGAAGAAGACAGTATGATCGCCTTGAAGCGAGGTATAATGGTCACGATAATGGTCGATGCGTCCTCACGCGGGGCGTTGCCGCCAGCTATGGGCGGCTGTGTGCCAATGCCAACTGTTCGCTCGGAGCAGTGTCGTCCACATGCCTTGTCAAGCCAAGAAGGGGAGATGGCAACGGATCTGATGGCACGCCAGAACGGACAGACATTCGCAGTTCTATTAATCTGCGACACCAGCAGGACGTTGGTGACGCTAGAGATCCAGATCTGGATCCGCCTCAACAGTAATAGGACGGCCTTTGCCAGCCCTTCTTGCACGGATTATCCTCTCCGTCAATCTTGCCTCACTGATCAACTTCTCGTACTCGGCCAATTTTCCGGCTTCAACCGCCGCTTGAGCCGTATGCCCAGCTGTCAAGATGATGGTCTCGATCTTGCCCCAGTCGCCGGCCCAGTCAATCATATCTATCTCATCATCGGGACCGTGTGCGTGAGCTGTGAGCGCCTTTTCCCACGCCCCACAGCCCGTCAGGTCTAGATATTCCAGCCCGTATAGACTCTTGCTCAGCTTCCGCAGGACTAGGATCGCCTCGGACCAGTCGTCGTCCAGCGTGTGGCTGTAGGGGTTCCGACCTCCGTACTGGAACGACTGGCCCTGGGCACTCACCACCTTGGCAAATGTGGCGTTCGGCGTGAGGGACGGAATTGGCCAGTACGCGAGACTGAGATGCGTCAGGGTCGGGAGGTGTGATGAGAAGGCAAGCAGTTGTTTCCAGGAGCAGAGTTTGCTGGTTTCTGGGCTCGCGGCAAGCGAGAGGTGGGTCAGATTTACGAGAAGGGGCCGAGGGATAGCTGTCGACTCCGGAGCGTCCCATGAGTCCAGCAGCGGGCCATCGCCGTCAGGATTTGACGGGAATAGGAAGTTTGAGAGCTCCCGAAGCTTGATGGCCCTTTCGGTTGACATGGACAGGTCTAGATGAGTGATTCCCTCATTCAGAGAACTGGGACTCGGTGGAGGCTCCGTCGCGGCTCCATTGCCGTCATCGTCCTCGGGAGCCTGAGGGAGGAGTATGATCTTCAAGTCCAATAATGACAGTCCGGGCTCATACATCGTGTTGACGTAATGAATTAGAGCCATTCGAACCCGGTCGGGCAGATTGTAAATGTAGTAGAGGTTGTAAGACCTCTGGTATTCCCAATCGAGCGCCATACTGCGCAGAGCGACGTCCATCAGACTCCGCTCTCCTGGCCGGTAAAGACCGGGAAGCAGTCGCTGCTCGTACGCCCCAGCATGATGTCCGTTGGACTCGAGGCTCGGAGCATGCCGTGACAATGACAACCAGCTGCGCGGTGGTGGCGGACCGGCTGGAAGCCTTCGGCCCTGAGCATCAAAGCGAGGAGCAAAACGAGGCCGCCTTCTTGGGGGTGGCCCCGGGGCTTCCGGGACGCCAGGCAATAGGATCTGACGGATTTGTGGCGGCACACTGGGGCCGGCGATATTTGCGACGTGGGCTGAGGTCTGCTGGTCACTGCTATTCAGCCTCGTGCGCCGGAGGGACGCTAGGAGCTGATTTACACTGGGACGATGGTGATCTACAAGCCACGAGCGCCACAAAGTCAGCGTGCATGAGATACAATATGGACAGCCAGAGATGCGAGTAAAGCGGCGCTGGAGCAGGTAGAATAGCGGGCAGGTGCATCAACGCAGCGGGCTCTGCGTAAGTTCCAGTGCTCGATTCTAGGGCCGTGATGGGTCACCTGCTGGAGCGGACTGAGGAATAGACACAGTAGGAACTGGGCGGCAGTTGGTCACTCACCATCATTGCCAGTCGCTGACGTCGAGCTACTTGCAAGAGATGCCGGAGCTGTGGACTGTGGTTTGGAGAATCTGTTGGTGTGTCTTTTCTTGGGCATGACCGCACGACGAGGCCGGGCGCTGTCCTCGTTGTACGACACGAATTCAGTAGGCGAGATACCGAGCAACAAAGCGTGGTCCTCCTCACTTGCCGGTTCCCGTGACAAGTCAGGTGAGGGTGAGGCCGAGAGCAGGCTCGGGGAACGCAGCAAATGTGACAGGGTGCGCCCAGCAGGAGGGGGAAAGGGGTGTGAGGAGCAGTCTGGTCCTGGTCCGGTGTTGCGAGGAGCAGGCGAGATGAGGAACTTGGAAGTAGAATGACAACGAGTTCCTAGGCGGGTACTGGCAGGGGCAGGTCTGAGTCAAACCCAGGCCGCGTACCAAATAGGTAGTAGACCTGTGACTGTATGATGTATCTAGCCAGGGATCAGCCACGCCGTCAAGTTTGCCCCCCCTCTAGAAACTGACCGGCCAAGCAGACAAGTGCAATAGGACACCGGATGCAATGGGTGGTGGTGGATGGGATCGGATGTGATGGAAGGGCATAGAATGGCCCGGAACCGAGCTGCCTGTTGTCGGATGTCAAGCCTTGAACATTAAGCTGGCGAGGATGGCGAGGATGACGAGGATGCTGAGGATCGCGAAGATTACTAGGGTGGTTGTGGTTGGGTGGGGGATGACTTGATGACTGGATCGGTCAGTGACTGGCCTGTCATTCGCTGCGGCCGAGGCAAGCGAGCGGTCAATTGTCCAAGCTGCAGCCTAGAGATGCTTGGCCCATGCGCTGCCGCCCTGGTGCTTGCAGCCTGCTGTAAGTGATAGAGAGCACTGCACTCCGTAAATACTTTGGTTACACCAACACACCAAACCAACCACCACCACCCTGACCGAACCCCCCTCCCCCAAAAAAACAGAGGCAGAACGAAGGCTGATTTAAATAGCCCCCATCCCAGATGCAGAAATATATGCAGATGATGCAGGGTCCAGGAACTTTGGGAGTACCCCGACCAGGTCGCTGAAACTTTAACACCTCACTACCATATGAATCTATGCACCGGGGGGAGTAGCAGTGTAGGAAGAAGGGGGGGGGGGGTAAAGCAGGAGGGTGTGGGTATGAAGGGGGGGTGGTCGATGCTTACTCGTCACATCACAGCCATTGTCCACCTGGCCAATGGTCGACAAGACCGTTGACGTCCAGATATTTCGAGGCGTATAACTCCCAGGAAGTCGGGGCTAAGTTCAAAGATCCGCCGTCTGTGCTCAGCATGTCAAGCTCCTGCCGTTGAGAAGAATTAGGGATGGTAGCATTAATCGTCGGCGATTTCCGCGATACAACGGCCGTTTCCACTGCGGGCGTGTGTAGGCTCTCAGGCTGCTTGCTCGAGACCTTCCAGAGGGGTCCTGCCCGCAAGTGCTAGCAAGCTCTTGCGGGTCGTTTCTATCGGGGCTCCTGTCGTGTTGTGGAAGCTAAGGTGTGATGAGGCAGCCTCAAAGCAGCCTCCTTTCCAGCTCCAGAAAAGGGGGCCAGCTGCGTAGGATACAAAAGAGTGAGATAGCCAGGGCTTTTCAGTGGTAGGGTGTAACTCCGGACGAGCCACCCGGGAGCACAAGGGCAAAGGCACTGTCACTTGAAGGCCACCCCTTCGATGCACATAGGGACTCTAGAGTCATCCCCGAGTGTTGCTCTTTTGCCTCCTGACTGCCTGCGTCTGTTTGCCTTCCTCCGTCGCCTCCGCCCCCATGCGGGGAGTGGTTCGACCTCCTGCGGCTGCAATGACACACCAGGGGGGGAGGATGGGATCTTGCGTACCGTGTTTGGCCCTTGGGCGTACTCAGTTCCGTGACATGATGCCTGACCTGGTCACGCTTCTCGTCACGTTGACGATCAAGTGCTTGCCAGCACGCCGCCTCTTCTCATGTACCCATCCGTCACTTTGGTGACACGACTGGGGCCACTCTGCTGTGAACTATCGATCCCCTCTCAGCATGGACTTGGTTGGTCGATAGCGAATCCGTTTGTAACACAGGCTCCAGCTGTGTCCGTCATTTTGGTCGGAGTGTTCCTCCCTGGCCCTGGTCCCGCGCCCATCGATGTCGGTCTGCCCAGCTTGCTGGTGTCCTGCCCATCACCCATCTGCCGGCCGCAGACAAAGCCATTGTGGACAAGCGGATGGCAAGGGCTGGCGGGGGCCCCGGGGAAGGGCCCGTAGCAAACCTTTTCGGCATCTGCGAGGACGCAAATCACACTGGAATCACGCGTCTTCGCACAAGAGTTCTGCTTCAGCAAAGCAAATTCCAATTCTGGTCGGCGCCCTGAGACACTGTCTCGCAAGGTATGAGCGTCTTGTAGTTCATAGCCATGATCTGAGTTGCACACTGCTTGATGAATGTTCAGGTATCCTGGCCCATGCCACGCCGGGCCGGCAGTGGATCTTTATGGTTCATGCCAATGCGACCATCAGTGAGACTGCTCCATCTGCTGCTACACATTGAGCAATCTTGGTCGTATGGGTGATCAAGGCTTGGGCCAGATGCAGAGCGCCGGCTCCAAACTTTAGGGCCCGTAACACGTTACAACGAACGAGTGGAGAAGTTAGGTCGTTAACGGCGGCCAACATCAGCTGCCGCAGCGTTGATGATGCGCGCGGAATCGAGCCCTTAGATACCATGCTACCTCCCGGCGTCACCATGGGACTACCGTATGGTCTGAAACAATTGGTGGCTGCGTGCCCCTGCCCGATAGGTGAGTGAGCACATTTGGGAGTCTCGGCAAAGACGACGTCGAAGAGAAGATCCCGTACCCCTCCTTGTTGCAATTCCGGAGAAGCCCCGGCTCTGGCGCGGAGAGCATCAGTGGGCGCCCTGTGCCGGTTAGGGAGGCGGCTCATTCCGCATTTGGTGCCAGGCCACAGCATGAGTGAAGCCGGCGGCAGTCCAAGGTCCAGCTGGTTAAGCTCATCGTGGCAAAGCAGATGGGCGTATCGTGACAGTAAAGTATAATATCGCGCCCGATTTGGAAACGGTTAGCGAACTAGTGCGGAAACAAGCAAACCTGGTCTGGACGAAGCCAGGAGCGTGAGTGATGTAGGCACGGGCTGATTCCTCATCATCGTCCGTCTTGAGCAAAGGCACGTTCGGCAGACAGTTCGAACCCACCATTGCAACGCTAGGCTGATCTATGCAAGAGTGTCCGTAAGGTATCGACTTATGCGTCTTTGCACCTCCGCCTTTAGATACCGGCGCAGTCCAGTGGCCAACTTCGGGAGCCGCAGGAACTGGGATGAGCATCCATATTCCCTTGGCTGTATTCTATTTCTGTCGCAGTCTGTGTCTCTGTAAGCGGGAAAAGGAGTGATTCTGGCAGCAATACGCTCACTGTAACGGTAAAAATGGTTCTGGTGTCAGCCTACGAGGTTATCACATAGGTAGCCGCCGTGTAAGAACACATAGGACGGCCTCCAGCTCTAGAAGACTAACTCGATCCACAACGACGAGTATGATATGTATTGCAATCCTCTATCGGTGACGCAAGAGCACGGAAGACTCATTCTCGGGGATCTGTCGAGGACAATTTTGACTTATGACTTATCCGTTGGCCAAACGAATCTCGGATCTGGATGAATCGCGGCTTGGGATTATGCATGGCTGCCAAGACCATGGCCGGCGTTCACTGACTGTGTAACGATAGGATGCAACTATCATCATCGCCTGAAACAATGGGTAAGAGCAACACAAAGCTCCTATCAGAGACTTACCGGCAGTCGAGTAGCTTTGACTGGGATGGCGCTACCAATATACGGCATGAGGCTTCCCTGGATCTCCAGTCGTCGCCCGCGTTGGGCTTCCCTAGTGATGTATCTGCCTAATCGATCCTGCTGGATTCTTCGTCGGTTCAAAGGATGGCGAACAATTGGAGGTTCCTGGAAACTGTGATAGGGTATGATGTTGCAATTGCTGGTTTTTCAAAAGGACATCTCGAGGATCATTGGGTACACTGAGCGAAAACGCTGCAAGTGGATGGCCTGGATAAGCGACTAGACTGCTGCTAATGCTACCTCCTGCCCAGCAAAAGTGGCTGCGGTGGGTGCGGAGTCGCCGCCAGACACGAAAAACAGCTGCTTCAGGCGGTCGGTATTACTCTCGGATTTTTTTTTTCCATGAAGGTGCGCCGCAGTTCCTGGAGTGTTCTAGACAGGGCCATGATATGCCTGAAGGTACTTAATCTGAGGTTGAGAAACGCGGAGGTCGTCCCAATGGCCACGCCAAAGCTGGATGTCGGAATCCAGAATGTTCGGTCGGGTGACAGAAGAAAGCTGGCTCTGGTTGGATGGCAAAGCGCCCGGAGTAAACACAGACGCCGAAGACATTGGTGAAAGTTATTATGCTGCGCAAAGAGCAAGTTCTTTCGTGCAGCACAGGATCGAACAGTTGGCGGTATGCTTCTGGTGAGGCAGATTGGTGTCATTGGTACCATGTAAAATGATGTTCTTAGAGTCGGGAATTGAGAGGAGACTACCCGCCACGAAAAGCGCGCCCTCTGGAATCAAAGCCGATCATGGCCGCATCCCCTCCGTCACGGCTTCGGGGACAAGCGCCGTCAGGCCAGGCAGCTGAACTGCGCCTGGGGCGCTGGGGTGGCGATGCTGCGAAACCTGAAACCAGCCGCGCTGTCAACATACGTCAATCCATCCTGTGCGATCCGCTATGTCTCTAGCTTTCCGGGCTCTGCTGTGATCGAGGGGTTTGGAATTGAGTCGAAAGTGGCTTGGGATCGATGCTCGGTACCTGGCGGCGGGCTGGCTTTGTGTACCCATAGCTCCTTGCAGAAAGCCAGGCTATCACAATAGCTTTGTTCTGGTACATCCTGTACGACAGACCGGGCTTTGAGAAATAATGACTCCTCGAAACAAAATGCCTCTTCTCGTGACTGGACAGTCAGGTTGACGTCCACATGCTGCAGCGACTCGAGCCTGCGTTTGGCCACTGCAGACACGGAGACAACGCGGGCCATGGGATGCAGGCTCTACGCTCCTTGGTCTGTGTCCAATGTTTTTCTCCGAGCAACACATTTCAGACACGCGCAGTGCCAGTTGACAAGCAGTGATCGAACACGCCCTGATAAAAGTCAAGTTGCCCGGCCGTTGGCTGGTCCTTGTTTGGCGAGGAAGACTCGCAGGGTGCCTTTGCCCCTGTACTGGCAGAATATCGAGCTCGTAGTAGCGACTCCATGTCTCCATTCGCAAAATCTGGTGACCTCACGTGGACTGTTCTCTTCACGCCTGGCGCTGTCGTGACTCCACTCCGTAGGGGCTGAATGGCGTCAGGTGTTGCTTTGAGGTCTCTGCAATCAAGGGTCAGGCTGCACGCGCAGCCATAGACCTGGCAAACAAGAAGCCGTGTTGGAAAGTGATGAGGAAGTGTCGCTCCACAGCCGAATTGCTTTCAGACCACAGGCCCAGCATACTGCATGGTCCGACCGATGCTGCCCGACGCCGGTCTGCCTGGTGCAGCCAGCCAAGTATGTGAAGGTAGGCAATGCGGATCGGTGAGTGCTGCCAGCGTGCCTGCTGATTGTGGGATCTTGACCGGTTGGAAAAGTGATGCTATCTGTAACGTCCTGGCACAAGCGAACTAGAACTCAGGAGCGACGTTTTCCTTGGACGAGGGGATTTAGGTCGACGATACGTTGGTCCAATGGACATGGTTCAGGGAGGGCGGGTACGGTACCCCGAGGCAGCTAGCTTTGTCGGGAAGTATCGAGGTGGGACTACCGCATTCTGGGTAGGTTCAGCCACGGCGATCCACCAATCTAGGCTGGCGGGGCCCAGGTACCCCGGAGTACTTCGACTTGGCCCCGCCTGCCATCCGAGGTCTTGCCCGGTGTACCTTGAACTTACTGCACAGTAGTTGGGTTGGCCTGTCACTCTCGCCCTCTAATTGCCGTCTAAGGACGTACACACGCTACAACATACACACACACACAGTATGTGCATGTATTTTCCTGCCTTTCAGGCGTCGGCACCGCTCCCACTGGAGCGCGCAAGACGCTGCAAGCAGGCAACGCTGAACTGGGAAAGGATCATGCATGCTATCGCCGGCAGGACCCTGGCAGCGCAGCTCTCCTCGAGCTGGCAACGTACCTGGACCCTGCTCAGTATCGAATCAAGCACCTCGTCCGTGCTGTCCCCCTTCCGATGTGGACCGATTCCTGCATCGCAGCCCGAGTTCCTATCGTCCAGCCCCATGCTTTTTGGGCTCTGAACGTCCCCGTGCCTTTCTCTTCTGCTTGTTGATCGGGAGACAGTTCTCGAGCCAGTTCTCGCTCTTCTTGCAACGCCAGCCTCGTTCCCGTCGTCACCAGGCCCGGCGTGCTTCGATCCCGTGCGACGCTCCCGAGTGTCAGCTGCCACCAAGCTTCAGTATGCTGGATGCGTTCATGCACCATTGACTTGCTTTCTGCAGGACAACAGCAGCATCCGCGGACAGCAGTAGCCTCATCTATCGATGAAATC